ATCTTTATATTTTATGTGTCATTCTAAGTATCTTTAGTATGCTGGTGATTATGTAGTGAAAAGTATATGTATATAGTACTCTAATAGATGGCGCTGGGGATTTGCATCGGATGAAAGCTTTTGTGTTCACTCATTTAAATATGTAGTGATCGTTAATATACATGGAAAAGTTTATTTTTGATTAAACTCTTTCTTAACTCAAACTAATAAGAGTATCTGTATGACTGAAAATTCTATAAAAACTACATACAATCAGCGATAATGAAAGTGAAAATACGAAAAAATGTACACGTCGATAATTGATAATTGTTTATGCTTGTCAGCGAAAATTAAAATTAATTCACTTTTGAATCGTATAAAATCTTTGTCTAAAATTTTCGAACACTCATCTTAAAACGTCAATTATTCGTATTTTCGTGTTATCACTGAATCTTGTATTGATTCTATGCTTCATAACGAAAGTTTTCTGCAATTCTACAGTATATTTGATCTTCTATTCATTGCATGTGATGTAATTATATTTCTTGTACTTTTTTGAAGCAACTAAATATGATTGTTTGAAGGTATCATTCTTAATAAATTGTATTTTCTATTATATAGAATCGTTACCTAAAATTTCATTCATTGGGTGTTGTAATAATCTTCTTAGATTTTACGATTCTAAGTAGTTTTTGTTTTTTCCACAATAAATTTTGACTGAACAAAATCTCCAAAGTAGATAAATAGCTTTTAAGTATCACAAAAACAATCTAAAGATACTTATGTTTGAAAAAAAAACACGATAGATGAGTGAAATCTAGATATATATCATAGATTGATAATTTCCTACCGTTCTAATTGGCAATATGAATAATTTTGCAAGTGTACTACAGAATCACTATATTATATTGGCACTTAATCCATTTTTAACTATACATTCATAAATTTTATTGTTAATTGCTGATCCATAACTTGATAATCCTCGAACAAGTCGTCTGGTTCGATCTTTTTTTACGTAGTACAAAAACTAATGACTGGTGATTATGCTCTCGATTCATCGAATTGCTCTTTTAAAAGATAAAGTTTCACGAACGAATCAAGTATTTTCTTTAAACTTTACATCATCGTTGACTAGCTATTGTCTTCTGCCAGAAATTCATAATCAATTTTTTAATTTAAATTTATCGAATACAAAGCTTTGGTCAAAGTGATCTTTGTAATATGGGATTTAATGAATTAACTAAGGTAAATAATACTAGCACGTCAAATACTATTACGAAATGAATTTGTTTCTCTCAAAGAGAATTCATGAAAACTAGCTGTGATTACATACATTAATTCCTCAATTTTTTGAGAAACGGGAAAAGTACAAGTTATTATTATAAGCTGTAGTACAGATTTCGCTGATTCTTTTTTTTTGCCAATTTGCATTGGAAAGATGCTAGTTTGAATGAAGTATCATTCAAAAAAAGTCATCGTCTCCAAAATCTCAATAACTACAGTATATCTTTCTAATGATATCCTGTACAAGTGCACTTCTGTAATGTCTATGGTATTGAAAATAGCTTACAGGATGTACGATTAAGTCTTTCTAGATATGTCGACGACTTTCTGTGAGAATGTAATATTTACTACGATACTACTGATGACGGGTCTATTCGTTGAATCTAAATTTAAAGTTTTCTATTTTACTGCTCTTAACCTGTACAATCTCATGTTGTATGGTAATATATTCGATTAAATAGAACAGTATATTATTGATTGATTTCTTACTGGGTTTCTATATCGAGAACATTTATGCTATTTCATCAATTGTTCGTTCTATCAATTGTCGATTCGAGGCATAACATTATACTATGATACAGGGATTAGTTGTAATGAGTTTTTAGTCGAGACAATCATTAATGTATCAAAATCTGATTTTTCGAAAGACTATTTATTTATCAATGAAATTGATGCTGCTATAGTCTTAATTGTAAATCAATGAATTTGATAAGATGTAAATAATTATTATCCTTCAAATTTATTTTGAAATCATATCTCGATCGAACCAATCTTAGAGTTGATTCGTTTTTATGGTAATTATGATCGATCGGAATTTACGCTAAACGAGATAAAGTTGATATCGAACAAATCAAAATTTCGATGTTCTTTCAAAATTTGCGTCATCGATAAAACTTTTCACAAGCCTTGAGACACCACAAAATTTCGATATATTTATAGATAGAAAATACTGTTGAAACAAGTACTTTTAATGAAATTTGAGTAATTATGTAATAAAATCTTCTATTTTAGTTGTAAATATCCAGACATGACAATATATGAAGAGTAGCTTTTCAAAATTAATTAACATAATTTTAAAATTAAGTACTGAACAATTCTTCATGAAATGATAAATAGTATTATAGAAACCATTAATTATGCATCTTACTCATTTTATTCAGTACTCATAATTATTCACTGGTTAGATGTTGAGTCAAGTTATGCACTCAGTGATCGGATAGAAAATAACAAAAAATATATGATAATGTCGTGTGCAGTACGAAGAATAACGATTGTATGTTGAAATATCGATGAATGATTTAGTAATCATGTTTTACTTCAAATAAATTATGATAAATTTGTTGACCTTATGCCATCCACTGAAAATGTCGGGAGAACGTTTATTGAAAAAGTATGAGAAGAAGAATTTTCAATCTGTAAACTAATAAAAAATTGAATTAAAAACAAAGAATAACAAACAAAACAACTTTCAGCTTTTTATGAAAGTATTTTAAACGACTTACTAGATTTATGAAAAGTAACTGTGCAAAAATATGTGACGTTTAAATGAGATTTTTATTCAATAAAATAAATTGATGCTTTTCTTCGTCTAAGTAGAATATTTTTTTAATTGATGGATGGTAAAGCAAGCTTGCGTATATTCTTCTCGTCTTAATATGTTTTCATTATTATAATAACAGATATGATCGAATAATTACTTGACGCTCATATATATAAACGCTCGTTTAGACTTTATTCTTTGTCTTTATATAAACTGATTTGTAGTGCTTTAAAACTTACGAAAAAGTTCGCACTAACATTATGAGCATCATTACGCACGTATGGGCTCAAAACACCAATGAAATGCATTTGCTATGCATCGTATGATTATATAGTATTCATAATCGAGATAGTACGAAGGAGATTCAATGATAGTTGAATACCACAAATGTAATATTTTTTTTTTTTTGTATATCTAGGTTACGTTTTAAAACATGAAATTTATATCGGTTGTGTGTACCTTTCAAGTTGAATAAGTGAACATGATGAATTTTAATATAAATTCAATCTAAAATACATATACCGGGTGTTGCAAAAGTTTTGCGACATTTCGAAAAAGTCCTCCTCATCGTCGTCTTGTAGCGCGATATCTAGTTTGTCTTACATTATATTAACAGCCTCCAGTGTCTTTTACTGTTCATGATACCAAACATATTTTCACTTTGTTTCTCTTGATTTCAAAATGGTAAAAGGGAATGATGTACGAGATTTGGTAATATCCCACTTTGAAAGTGGAAAAACGGCTCCAAAAATTGCAAAAATGCTGTTCGGCAAAGTTCATAGAAGTACGGTTGATCGTTGGATTCAACGTTATAAACAGTCGGGTTCGATTGGTGTTCAAAAGAAATCTGGAAGACCTAGAACTGTTCATACAAAACGCCTAATCAATTTAGTGAACAAAAGACTTAATTCCAAGATTCCCAGAAAAAGTTTAAGAACCATGGCCAAAGACTTCAACACTAGTTTGTGGACCGTCAGACGAGTACTGAACGAAGATTTGCACAAAAAATGCTACAGAAAAATCAAGGTTAAAAAACTAAATGAAGATCAAAAGTCGAAAAGAAAGAGGTGTTGTCAATGGATAAGAAAAAAACATTGGTTGCGACAAAACAAAAAAGATCATGTTTACCGACGAAAAAATATTCACTAGGAACGGTTATTTCAGTCCAAAAAATGATGTGGTGTAGGCCAACAATCGAAATGATGCGAATGAATATGGTGGAATTCATGAAAGAGAAAAATATCCGGTTTCTATCATGGTCGCCTTGGGAGCAACTTGGAATGGCATCACAGTTCCTTTCTTTTTCCAAAGGGGTGAACGGCTAAATGGCAAAACCTATCTTGATGAACTTACCATTTTATAAAATGGAAGGTGGTCGGCTATTCGGGCATTAAAATTGGACCCTCCAACAGGATGGAGCAAGCTGTCACACTGATAAAAGTGTACAGAAGTGGTGCAAAACAAATTTCAAGTTTTTTATTTTGAAAGACAAGTGGCCCCCAAATTCGTCCAAGTTGAATCCGCTAGATTATTCGATTTGGAACAGTATATCCAACAACGTGGTTTATTATAAAGTCAAAACAATTAATGATTTGCGTCGAGAAATAGAAAAGGCAACGAAAAAAATTGATGTTAATTATGTACGGGACACGATCAGTGTTTTTCTTCGACGAGTGCGATCGGTAGAAAAACATAATGGTGAACTCATTATTGATGAACATTGCTAGGTTTAGTAATACCCTCTTGTAGTGTTTCAAGCACTTTGTTGTTATATTGTTACTCCTTGTTCTATAGAAATAAAATACATTTTTCGAAATGTCGCAAAACTTTAGCAACACCCGGTATACGTACTCTAATAAGGATACTCTAATCAGTGTGATTGAAAAATCATGTTAAAAACTTACAGTCTACATATAGTATATTATGGCTCATATTCAAATTTAAGTCCATTGTATATATACTATATAGAATCCTGTATAAAATATTTTTTGAGGCTTCCATTTTTCAAAAACTAGAGGAAAAAATGGTAAACTGGATTTATTTGTTTTTGAATAGATGTTGATTTACGTCGATTAATAATTATTCAACAGAAAATATAAAGTCATATATAAGTGCATATATATATATATACATACGAAAAAACAAAAATTTGTATCATTTTATGAAAAAATGTTATTTTTCATTGGAAAACATTTCTTCAACAGACAGATTCTCGATACGATGATCCGGATGGCCTCTTAATATTATTCGCTTCTGATGGTACTTCAATCGTTTTCTGTACTATCGACGTTGTTGTTGTAAGTAGAGCATTCGATACACGTGTGCTCAATGTAATTGGATTAACAAATGTGGATCGACGTCGCATAACATACGCTGCTGCATCAAGTGCTACTGCTAGATCTCCATCATGAATAACAGGCATATGATTAGCACCAGCACTACCACTAAATCTTTGAACATCACGTATAACAATATTACTTCCACGTTGTTTTAATTTTTCTATTAACTCATTGACGCGTGCTTCACGTTCAGCAATCAATGCTTTAAGTTGTTCATTTTCTGCAACTAATTTTCGATGTTTTTCTTCATCTTCACTGCTTAATTGTTGTGTTGCAGGATTTGCACCGTGACCACCAGTTGAATTTGATCTTGAATGAGCTTTAGTATCAGCTGATGAAAATGGCTGATCACGACCACGAATAATACATAGAATTTTAGGTAAAAATATAAGACCGAATGAGACAAAACAACAAAGAATAATAGCTATGGATGCAAATGCAAAATCAGCATCTTGGTTACGTTCAATAATAAGTGTTAATGAAGCTGAGATCAAACAAACAATCTAAATTGATATTAACGAAATTCGTTTATTTAGTTATTTTTATGTTTAAAAGAAATTCACTTACAAATATATTATAAGTACACATACGAACTAAATGTGCATCATTAATCGTTTCAAGCTTACTTGCTCGAGTTTCATAACTTAAATAAATTCCAATAACAATTAATACACCTTTAATAGAATATAAAAGTCCAATCCATATCATATGATAATTTGAACGGCATTGTTGAAATTGATAAACAGTTTTAACATCATTCGTTATTGGACCTTCTCGTGTTGCTTCGGAACTAAAATGTAATGGATCTTTTATATTCCAAACAACAAATACAATTAAATCAATAAGAAGTAAACTTCCAACAATGATAAAAAGTTCAGACATTGACCAAATTTGACTCTGCAATGAAAACAAGATTGAATTAAAAATAATTGTCGACACTACTAAAAACAAACCATAGATCTTTTTGTTGATAAAATATAAGTTCGCACAAGTTTTGCTAATAAACCACCAAAACATAAAGAAAATCCAGCAGCTAGAAGTGAACCTTTTAACTAAGAAAAAAAAACAAATTAATAAGTTTCTTTTATAGAACAAAAATAATTTCTAACTTGACATAATTTAACAAAACGAGCTGGATTATCTGTTTGACTATCAGCTCCAAGTAAAAATACATCCGCTAAACAAATAATACCACCAATCAAAGCACAATTATTATACATGGGTTTTGATTGCCAAATAAATCTTCAATGAAGAAAATTTTAAAAAAATATTATTTTTATTCAAATAGTTCAATCATACTTTCGCTTTCGATAAGCAATATTTAATATAAGACAAACAATAGCAAAAAGAAGACCAAGTGCTGCAAAACAGCTCATTGTTAAATACAATGGACGTGATATTTCTTGAACTTGATGAGAAATCTGCAGTTGATCAAATGGAGCTGAACGACGTTTTTCATTATCTTAAAAACAAAAAAAAATTAATTTTCTATAAAAATTAATTCTACAGTATAAAATACTTGATGAATAATTATATCTATAATTCCAACAGCGACTACCATCTGGTTCTTCACCACTCAACCATTCAATCGAACCTTTTTCAGCATCAAAACGAGCCAAACGATGATAGAGGCCATCTAAAAAAAATAACATATTTATTCAATTAACAATACAAATCAACAACACTTACTTCGAAGTTGTTCAACAACAACTTTTGACATTCGATTACCTAATTTATCAAATTTTACTGAACCCGAAACACCAAAAAAATCTGTTTTTTCCATATCTTCCATCCTATACAAATCAAAATAATATGTATAAATCTACATGATAAACATCGTCATTTTGTTTTCGTACATAATTTCTTTCATGTCTTTATTTCCGTAAGTCCATTCTTCTAAATTTGCTCTTTCTAATGAACGATTAAGTGCTAATGCTAGTGCCCATGTTGCATCATAAGCAAGAGGTGCTTCAACATAACCACCGACAGATTCAATAGGTTTTGTAGGAAATAGGTGTCTCAATGTTGAATTAAGATCAGTTATAAATTCTTGAGCTGTTAAACCTGATATTGATTTTGTTGTTGCATCAGTTAACATCTGAATTTCTGTTGTAAAATGTCCTTCAACTGCTCGTGACATTTCTTCAGTTGTACATTCAACATCATGTACTTTCATAAACCAATTATCAGCGTACCTTAAATAAATAAACATACGTATAGATACATAGATTTAGATTATATTTTATGTACAGGAAAAATAAACTACAAGAAAACTTACCATCCAATCAACCACCATACATAACTTTCTCCATAATAATTTTGTTGATAAGCCTTAAGAAAATAGTGAAATAATATTTTCTTCATAAAATATTTGTTTTAAATTACTTTGCAAAAGACTTTTCTAGCTTTTTCTTCATAGAATAATCCAACAATAATACGAATATCATCCTTTTTTAAATTACTAATGGCATGTGAAGGATCATTATCAAATAATTGTCGTACAGCAATCTTAAAAATAATAGATTTTTTGTAAATATATAATTCAATATCTATTTACTTACATGAACATTATGTGCACGTGCTAATGTTTCTAAATGTTCAGCGGTTGATTGCCAGACTTCTTCTGTTTGAATCAGTATGGCAATACGTTTCCAACCAAATAAATCAAAAAACTTTATACGTGTTGGATTATGTAATGTAGCAGGTGGATGTGTACGAAAAAACGTACGAAAACGATCACGATTTGATAGTGCTGGTGAACTTGATCCATATGAAAGTACAATTAAATTCCACATTTTAGCTGCTTCGCCAACAGCTGTAGATACAGGACTGCAAGCTGGACCAAGTAACATTAATATGGAACTATTTACGCTACCAAATGTTTTATTATAGAGCAATTCATAGAGAATAGTTGTACCCAAACCAGGCGAACACTAATTAAAAAATAAAGCAATTCGTATATAAAAGAAGAAGAAAACAGCATTGTTATTTACTCGTGTATCGTAAGCAGATAAATTTAGATAATAACCGGATAAAATATCTTCACGTTGATTTATTTGATTTAAAGCTTTAATAGCTGCAGGAAAAGCAGCTTCACCACCGGCCCATTCTCCTGTTTGAGGAAACATTCCTGCAAATAAAACGTTACATGAGTAATGTTTCGATCGAGAAAAAATAATATTTACCACCAATCCATAAAGTTTTATCGTTTTTACTTGATATCGGAGGTAATATATCAATTGGAAGTTGATGGGCAACAGTAATAGAATGAATAAGTATAACAAGATATCCATGGCATACACAAAGAAAAAATAATAAGCTATAACTATTGAAATACGAATAGTCCAATAACATCGTTGTATTATATTTGCCACAAAATTATCTGGTCACACACGTATAATAAAAATGAAAGGAAACATGTAAAATTACATATTCTCTTTTTCTTACCTTTTATCTTTACTTTGTCTTCATAAATAACAATTAATGCGTCCCGTCCGACTGTTGCCGATTCCTATCACGGCGCGTTCAGTTCTTATGTCACAACTCTTTTTCTTTTTCTCATGCTACTTTCTTTTTTCTTCGACTCACTGTCGTCAATGCCGCTGTCGTTGAAATATATTACGCTCGGCATGCGATCTACCCTCACTACTAACACTGGAGAAAAGAGGAAATCGAAGAAGAGAAAATTGCATTTCCCGGCCATCTCTTCCTCTAGGCTTGTGTTGTTTGTGTATGTGTATGCCTAAAACCAAATTGAAGCGAAGCTTACAACAACAACAAAAGACGAAAGAAAACTCGAGCCAAAGAAAGAAAAAAAAGAAGAGCAAATAGCGTTCGATGTAAAGAATGTGAAAATGAGGACTATTGTCGACTGTCAAAACAAGTATTACTTCATATATATATATATATATATATGCTGGTGTATGTGTGCCTATATCTGGCGTAAATAACTGAAGAAAGATTTTTTTTTGTGTATATATAAGCTAACTAGATTTATATCATTTAAATTGACTTACTTCGCATTAATTTATGCGCGCCAATATATTTATATCTTGATTATTTAGTGTGATTTAAGGTGACGCTTTTTCTTAGGCGACAGATGGCCTTGAAAGAAGTTCAAATTATGCTTGATCGAGTTCAAACTCTCGAACATGTTACTGGTTATATTTGTATGACATCAAGTGGTAGGCATTTTGACTACGATATATATTTGATGCTATTTTATGTTTCGATATAAAAACAAAAGGTATGCCTATTCGAACAAATTTTGATGAGGAATATACGAAAAATTTAGTAACACAATTACAACCGTTTCTTGAACGTATCAAACGTACAATAAATCATATCGGCTTAAAAGAAGTTGTTGAATTACGTTTAAAGACAAAGAAATTAGAATATCTTTTACGAGCAGATAATATATGTACTTTCATTGTTGTGCAACGACATGCAGAAGATAAAAATGGAATTGATGAATAATAAAATATATTCTATCTGACTTGAATTTTATAATGAAAAAAAAATCACGCATGTCTTTTGTGCAGTTAATTGTATGTAACTACAGCTGGCTTAGCAGTGAATCGATCACGAACATGTGTTTGTCTTGTATACATTTCATCGCGTAGAACCGTCATACTAAAATTAAAATTAAAATAGATCACAAAACTAAATTGCTGAAATACCTTTTCTTAAGTATTTCATATTTTGTTTCCCACATTTGAATTTCTTGTTTATGCCTTTCGGATTGTCTAGAAATTTATGGATAAAATAATTTGTTTCTTCAAAATTTTATGAGAATTGTTGTCTACCGTTTCATATCATTACGATGACGTTCGTCCATAGTTATATATTTTTCCAATTTAACTTTAGATGTCTTTTGTTGTATGTCAAGCTAAAGATAAAATAAAATAAAAAGAATTTTGATTTTGAAAAAGATGTATTTTCATACTTCTTGCATGAGTTGTTGTATTTGAGCATTTTTCTGCTCCATTATCGTTTGATATTTATGCTCGAGTGCTTCAACTTTTGTTTGCATCATGGCTTCAAATTCTTTATTCGCATCATCTGATTTATCATTGGCTGGTGATGGTATCCATGGATCAGTTTGAGCTAAACGTGATTGCGTTGTGACCGCTGGCGTTGGTGTTGGTTCGCGCATTGTAACTTTTTTTGATTCTTTTAATTTAATTTGAAGATTACTTAAGTCACGTTCTATATTTTCAAAAAGATTTTAATTAAAAAATTCTGTTCATTATACATTAGAACTCGAACAATTGATCATACTGATTTAATTTTGAGTTATTTGTTTAGCTGCGAATGACATGAAAAATATTAAAATCATGATATCAAAAGAGAAATTCGTTTCCATAAAAAGTTTTATAACAATAAAGCTCTGTTAACGTTCTGAAAACTCAAGATTCTTAGGTAATTGACTCGTCGTTTTCAGGACAAAAGAGCTGAAATTTGAAACTTTTTTCTTTTCGATTGTGCAGTGATAGGCTGACTAGCTTTTTTTTTCAGAAAGTGGCACTCTACTAAGCTTTGTTTATAGCTGCATAACATCATTTTTTTTATCGAGTTTACAGTTGGAAAATAGCGACCGAAAAACATTTTCTCGAAGTGCTTCGTACTCTTGATTTCAGATCCATCGAAAAAAAAAACTTTGAGAATTCACACGTACCACAATTAGTGAAAACTTAATTACTCTATTATTGTATATAGCTAAAAGATACTTTTATTTTTTTAGTTCGAAATCCTAAAAAATTCATTGTTTTTTCTCAAAATCTTGAGTTCCGAAAACATGGTAAAGATTTTGTAATTCTCTAGCTAATTCTTCTTGAAATCAATTTTATTCTATTCAAATCACTATTCGAATTCTTAATGTGATTTGCTATTGTGAAAAAAATCCAAATAAAATCTGTATGATCAATTATTCGTATCACAGGTAAAATACTGAGATCTCGAATTTGCTCTTCTTTTTTCATAACTGCATCTTCTGATTGAGCTATCGTTCGATTAGCATTAGCTAATTCTTTAGTTAAACGATCTTTTTCATCGCTGAGAAAACCAGTAGCTATTTTGATTTCATGCTAAAATATCAAAAAGTCAAGATTTTGAAAAATCAAAATGTATTTCTAACTTGAGTTGTTTCTTGTAATTGTTCAATTTCTTTTTTTAATGCAGCAATTTCTGTTTCATAACCTTTCATCGCTGCTTGATTAAAAAATGATTTTTCTCGACTTTCCATTCCTGATTCTTGTTTTGGAGCGATCGAGTCCGATGATGTAGGTTTATCACTCTAAAATATACGAATAGTTTCTTTTATTCATATAAAAAAGAAAATGTGAGCAATCTTTTTATTTTTACATTAATAATGCTTCGTGCTTGAGATATAAAATCATGTAATTGACTTCGATATGAAAGTCTTAACGTTTCCAATGCCTAACGAAAAATGAATGTCATCCATTATTATTCTAAAGATTAAAAGTGCTTACTTTACTGTGATTTTTTCTCAATGCATCTAGTTTATCAGTCAATTGGTAATATCTTAATAAATGGAATGAATAAAATAGAACAACTAGTGGAAGTAAATCTCACATTTGTTGTCCATTTGACTGTAATTCCTCATAAAATGATGATCTTAAACTATCGCGTGTAAAAGTTAATTCACTTTTGAGCCATTCAATTTCCTATCAATGACATCCAAAAAAATATATTTACAAATTAAAGTAATTCAAAAACAAATTCTTTTTACATGATAAAGTTTTCCCAATAATTCGGTTGTGTTTTTTAATTGAACAATTTCGTCTTGATCTGTTTGACAAGCGCAATCCAAACAATAGAGTCCAACATAAAGTTGATCAGCAATTGGAATCGGTGCACTTATATATAAATACCTCAGTATTATTTAAATGATAATTGTTTTACATTCATAATTACCTCATTGTTCTCTTCAGAAAGTAGTTACTTTTTCTTTTCTACTCACTATCAGCTATATGTATGAATTTGCCATTTTTATTCAAATCTCCGAGGTAACTTACTAACAGAAGAATTTCATACAAATATTTTTTTTCTTCTTCTTTATTTAAACGAGGAACTAACGACATCTAGGTAAGATTCAATCACACGATCATTTTTCATAATTATTTGATGATGAAAACTATTTTCTTCAAAGTTAATTTTGAAATGGAATAAAGAATTGAAATGATTTTAGCATAAAATAGTATCTAATTGATTGTTTTCTTTTTATATTAATAAATTCCATTTACATGCTATATATGCTTACCATATGGAAACGAGGGAAAACGCTGTTTCGTGACACGACAAGTGGTCTCGCTATTACCAGATGGCCAACGAAGAAACAATCGGTAAATAGCATCACTACTCAAAATAATAACTGTTGTTCTTCTCGTTGGAGAGATGTGCACATCAAAAAACAACTAAAAGGAAAGAAAGAACTCAACGAAAAGAATGAAAAGGTGAACTAGTGTCGTTGTCGATTACCATCTGTTATCTCGTGTAATCCATCAGTTCAGTATCAATGTTAAGTGACGTAGTTCCGCCTTTATTTTTTGTGTTCTCGTGAGACAGACACATACATCACTTTTTTGTTTCACGTCACAATTGAGAGAAAAAACGAGTGAAAAAGATATATTATCGAGGGAGTCATTGTTGTATTTTGTTCAATATAGATAATCGATGAGAATATTTCTTAGGTTTTTTCCCATCTGGTTATAAATACATATGTAGACAAATGAAAAAGAATAATGTTATTTCTGGTTTTTTTTTCTCATTGCTCGAAGCTATTCACCGACAAAAATATGATTGGCATAATCTTTTGATTCATTTTAAAAATCTAACACCGAATGTCAACATAACCAGTAACTAAACCTTATGTGCGTTATCTCAAATAAAAACACCAAAGAGAGAGTAGCAAATGCAGAAAATAAAGAATGGTAATCAATACGGTCGAACAATTATGATAAGCATTGTTGTATATTTTGTTCAAGTGTCATCTGAAAATACTCTCACAAACGGACAATGTCATCCTCTATACATATATACATAGAGACAGTAGTTACTGAGTCGGCTCCTGACGTGACGAACATAAATGAATGAATGAATGAATGTGAAGGCGTGCTTCACTCTCTCTCTCTCTCTCTCTTTCTCTGCACTTATCATCATCATCGCGACAGACAAGAAGCAGAAATAAGATCACAAGTACGAGTAATAATTTGGCAAAAAGAAAAAGAAAATTCCATATGGTCTTTTTCTCAGTTGAATAAAACTGTTCGAGACTAGCTTACTTCAAGCAAACACATCATCAGTCGTAGAATACACATACATCTTTTTTTCCGATTTGATGCATAACAGTGTATTAAAAATTGATTCTCTCTTCATTTTTTTTGCGCAGACGTCAGTGCGTATGTTTGTAGTTGCCTTCAGGGCAAGTATACAAGAAATGTACGTGTATAAATTAATGAGAAACGGAAATCTAACAACTCAACAAGTATCTAAAATAGGGATAGATCAAAGAAATGTAAAAAAAACAAACTCATATGATAAAAATATGAGTAAGTGTAAAATATATTTTGTTAGCAAGTGAAATTTTATCTATTGAAGGTCATAACAACCATAATGAATATGGATCTAATATCTCATTTTAATTTTAATTACTCTTGAACTTAGATGATATTATATCACCAGGTTTTTTTTGTCATCTGAATTCAATGACTTTATTCTTATTGTGAAAGAAAACCTTTTGAATTAATTGTTTTACCAGGACAAATCGTATTACTTTTTTCTAGTAGATTTTTCTTTTGTATAATTTTATCATTATTTACAATTCTAAGTTTGATGGAATGTACTTTTATCTATCTTTACAGTTTTAAATAAAAATTGGTGGAAATGAAAAACGTCTTTTTTCAGAATTTCTTTTCTTCACTTAATGTAAAGAAAAAAAAGAATAGAATATAACGTGAATAGTTGATGACGGTGGTGAACCGCTCATTTGTTCAAATGGACTTTTACGAGTATTAACTTATTTATATTATTTTTACTTCTATCACCTATCTCATTGCACGACAACAAAAGAAAAGAAGAATCCGAGTTCGATTGAATTAAAGTAAGAGAGAAGCATAGGAAAAAAAAGATAATACTTGTATAGAAAAGAACATAGAACTGATCGTCGCCTTGCGTGTCGCTCGTGCTTGGGGAAATCTTCTCTCTTTGCTGAGCTAAAGATGACAGACAGATGTTGTAACACTCATATTGTCAAACATCGTTCATTGGTTGATGAGAAATGTGAACAACCAATGAACGCATTTTTTATCTTTTCTCTACAGGTAAATTTTCTTTTCGCTTCTTTTTTCCCCCTCTTTCTCTTGTCGAATCGAAGAAAAAAGTCTCTCTCATTTCTTATTTATCATTAATCATTCACGGAACGAACAGCAGCAGTGAAGAGAAAAAGAAAAAGAGGAAAAAAACGCTTGTAAGCAAGTTATACCTCTTCTTTGTTTGTTTTTTTTTTTGAAAAACCATCACGACTAACAGAAAATAGTTACCTGAACAACTGAGTCTTACCACTCATATTGATTATATCTATCTTTCTTTCTCCTGTGAATGAATGAGTGAGTGTATGAATGAATAAATGTATGAATATTGATAATTCATTATGATCGAATACATATATTTTTTTAACTATGCATATATTTATTTATTATTTAGCGTACACATACATAAAACAACATCTACATAGACATAATCATTCAAGTGTACGAAAACAGAATATATTCAGTTCACTGTTATTAATAATGATAGCTTAAACATAAAGTAAATTATTGATTGATTCTAATAAATAAAAAAACTCAATGCTAACAAGTACATCATCACTTGAACAATCATCATCAATAATGTCAAATAATAAATTATCGTTCCCTAATACATCAAATTCATTCACATCATCACAAGCAGCAACAAGCATAAATGCAAACTCAAACTCAATAGAAAATAATAATGGGCGATATTCATCAAGTAATTTTTATCGAGCTGCTGCTGTAGCTGCTGTTACAGGCGATCCAAATAATCGTCGATACATGCCAAGTACACCGGTATGTAATAGAGAAAGAAAATAAATTAGATTTATCTTAAATGTTGTTTATCCTTGCGTGTAGATGTGTCTAGTTAAATAAAGAGGTGTTCATGATGATAAGAATGAACTATTTTCTCATCCTTTTGTAATATGAATCCAGTTGTACAGATTTTTTTTTATTCCGCTCAGATTTGTCGCTCTTTTTAATGTATGATGAAAAGATGTAGGATTATACAAAACATGACAGCTGATCCTATCAGATCTTCATAATTGAATCTTTTTTTACTTGAGAAAATTTTTTTTTTGGTTTTTCTGTTGTTTTTTAAATTAATTATAAGTATTTTTGGTCTTCAATATTTTAGTGGTCAAAATCAAATTGTTTTGGTGATAGTTTTAAATTTGAACCCAATGTGCGTATGATAAGTATGCTTTAACAAAAACAAATTCGTATTATTATTGTTTAGAGTTTATTTGGATCGACGATTGACGACAATTTTCTTCGTCAAGCTGAAGCTCTTGCAAAACCTGAAACATCATCATCATCATCATCTCTTTATTATGCATCTCCTTTTGCTTGTTCGTCGGGTACAGCTACTGTTTCTTCATCGTCTTCTTCATCATCATCTTCAGCAGCCATTTATCCAGGTTCGTCATCACTGGAGTCTCATCTTCCTTCTGATCAAATTCAACATAACCATCACCCACAATTAAATTCTGATCTACATCCATTTTATCAACATCCATATGCTACTGTGGCTCATCATCATGCTGCAGCTGCTGCTGGTGTTTTTCCCGGTATGGTTGTTGGCATGCATCATCATCATCATTCAGTTCATCATAATAATGTTGTTGGTGGTTTTCTACCACCACATGAACTTGATATCGATCCACGTGAACTTGAATCATTTGCCGAACGTTTTAAACAACGTCGAATTAAATTAGGTGTTACACAAGCTGATGTTGGACAACAATTATCGAAATTAAAAATGCCTGGTGTTGGTTCTTTATCACAATCAACAATATGTCGTTTTGAATCACTTACATTATCACATAACAATATGGTTGCATTGAAACCCGTTCTTCAAGCTTGGTTAGAATTTGCTGAAGCAGAAATGAGACAAAGAAAAAAAGAAGAAATGAATGGTTCGATTGGTAGTTCGAGCGGACACGGAAGTTCAAATGGAAGTTTGATTGACAAAAAAAGAAAGCGAACATCGATAGCAGCACAAGAAAAGCGTTTTCTTGAATCATGTTTTCTTCAACAGCAAAGACCGAGTGGTGAACGTATTGCACAAATAGCCGATAAACTTGATTTAAGGAAGAATGTTGTACGTGTCTGGTTTTGTAATCAACGGCAAAAAAATAAACGCTTAAGATTTGCTGCTGGACAATCAACATGATATCAACAAGAGAGAACTAAGATGATTATAAAATTATCTAAAGATCAATCAATCCGTCCGTCTCAAATGAGTTTATAAATTTTCTTTTTTTCTTTTTTGTTTTTTGTGGTTGTTGTTGTTGTTGTTGTTGTTCTTACTGTTGTATATCACGTTATTGTCTTCTTTTAAGTAGTTGATCTTTATTTTCTAGCACAAAGTGTATATTCTTTGTTCTATAATAATCATATTGAATGAATCTGAGCAAATATTTTTATCTTTTTTCTTATAGACGATAAGAGGATTAGTCTGCTAAGTCTAAATCAAGGTTTATATAATGATTAATATGATTCGACATCATTAGTGTATTGAAATTTGTTTTGACTAAATAATTTTAGTTATTTATATAATTAGGCGAAAGTAATTATAAAATAAAATAAAAGCTTATCTAATGATGGTGATGATACTAATGATGAAATTAGTATAGTGTCATGAAGGATTTTAGTTTTGTCTGCATAAAAGAATTTTTCAAATTAAAGATGTAAAATATCGACAAATTCACTGTTGAATAAAACGAAATCCCATCTGAATCGAAAAATGAAATCGATAGTATGAAAAGGTCTAAAGAACAGAAGAAGAATTTAGAGATATGCATATTGTATCCTAGCTTAACAATTGCTAAAGAGCTATCTTTCTTCTAGAGTTGTTATTTATACAAACATAATTTTTAGTTCTGCAAAATGAGTGAACATTACATTTGCGAGAGGAAAGCTCAATATGACACACTGTGTTTTTTTCAACGATGTCACAAAGTACCCAAGCTATGTATTGTTCGAATTATATTAGAAAACAAAAAGGTTTCGTATGTATTTTCGAAAATATATAACATGTATTATTTGATCGTATTGGATGAACAATTCTTTTATCTCATATTTCATAGATGATTTTAAAAAAACAACATAAAACAATAAACGAAGAAAAAAAAATCTAGTTTCATTTCTCTGTGAATTCTTTTATAGTTAGAGATATTAGTCAAAATAGATTCTTTGTTTTTTCTTTTATCAGACAACTATTTTTCATAAATCTCATGTTATTATGTATGATCGTTTTCCTATGTATACATCGATTTTAAATATTTCATAATAAAATATAAAATAACAATTTTATTTTGTCTAATACATCCATTCTATACGAATTCAAATTTATTTAAGTAAGAAATGAAAATAATCTCTGAAATTTTTTAGGAAATCAAAAACTTCTATTTGAAGATCTACGTATATTTCACTTTTTCACAATTAATTCGTGTTGTATTTTGTGTAAAATTGTATGTTAGTCTTTTAAAAGATTTATAATCGATCTGAAGATTAACATCATTTGATAAACACGTTTTGATATGAGATAGAAATTGTTCGACATAATCATCATGAACTTCATTCAAATCAAGGTATTCAAGATGATGATATTCAATAATTAATAAGTTTTTGATTGTTATTTTTCTAATTTTCTACATTGTTTATCGTTTTGTGCTTCTCGATTAGCTAGAGTTAAACTTCTCATAAATGGAAATGATTGAACAATTTGAATGAAGAATTCATGTTCCAACGAATGTTCATCAAATAATGATACTTCAAAACCACGTGTAAATAAACGACCTGGAAAATTCTTTTCTATATTTTCATATCTTGTTATTTTGTATGGATATGAATAGATATAACATTCATCTTCATTCTGTTCTAGAAAATAATTGGCACAAAAAATAATTTGAGTATCTAAAAAAAAATCTTTGAACGAATGTTGAATATCTTTATTTGATAGCAAATCAATTTGATCTTTTAGCAACATAATTGAGCGAATATTAAATCGAAATTGATTTAATCGTGGCAAATAATTAGTAATATTTTGTTTTAAATCATTTCCATCAATAAATCCATTACGACGAGCGAGCGATAAATACAAACTAAGTTATTCTACATTTAACATTCGATGTAAAAGTGGTATGATTATTGTATCATAGAAATATGTTCTCAAAAGACAATACAACGAAAAACATCGTAAATTTGGTAGTTTTCCCTAAAAAAAGATAAAATAGATATTGATGACGTTTAATAAAAAAAAATACTTTATTTATTTTTAAGGCCGAACGAGTAGCTGAAGATCCTATATTAACAAAGAATGTCCGAAGTTGATTGAAACGACCATCAAGTAAATAAAGACAATCTTCAGTATGCATTACTTTGACACGCAATTCGCATAAAGTTGAAGAGAACACAGCTGAAGGCGAAGACCAGAATGATATTCGTTGATAACAAAGAAATGGATCAAAATGAAAATATTGTAAGTTAGTGAACATATTAAAAATATGTGTGAACATAAGTGTATTCTAATTTATTGATGTATCTTGTATGCCAATAGTTTTAATCATGAGTGATAAGATTTGATTTTTGAATCTATGCATTAAAGAAGTTTCGTCTAAATATAAATAGAAAATTATTATAAAAATAATTTACGATCAAGTCATAGTATTTATTCTTTTAATTATCTTTCTTTTCTTTGTATCAACAAAAGATAAATTCTTTTACGATATAACTAAATATGTAGATATTTAACTAACTGTAAAAAGAAGTTATGTAAAATAAATTATTCGAACTGTCATTCATTTTAATGTATTAATTATTAAAAGAATCGAAATAAAAACATTTTACTAGTGAATAGATTTAAAGCAGTCTGTTTTTCAATGTTATATATATATACCAAGTCTAAATAAATTCGGATAATTTCGAGAAAGAAGAAGACGTTTCATAGATAATGGTTCAAGATCAAGCGACTTGATTTTATGATGAATTTTAGGTAAGATTTGTAAATAAAATTGATCAAGTATTAAATCCGGTAATGGATAAATACAATCACACGGTAAATAATTGAATAATGTTAAACTACTAGTAAAAATTGAATCATGTACAATTTTATCAAGTCATTTATTAACACCTATGAAAAAGTACAATACATCACGTTTGTTTAAGTTTTTGAAAATAATAAGAAGAATTTCATCAGGTAAATCAATCAATTGAGCAGATGAATATTCCCATATTGATCTATATGTATATCTATATATTTTTATTACGTTATAAATAATATCAATATCATTGCATCTGTATATTTATAATCACTCGTTCTATTTGACCAATATCGTCAATAAAAAGAATGATGTATATTTTTTCTATAGTGCAATGATTTAAATAGACAACGAATGAATTTCTCTCATGTTACTCGCCACATTCAGTGGTGGATTTAGGAGGGCAGGGGACGCGACGAAGCGATTTCACTCCCTTTCATAAAATACTCATATAAGAAAATTTATGTTTTTCAATTAGAAAGATGTTTAATATGACATATAAAAGCAACAGACGTATTTCTCTGTCCTCCGAAATTCATGTGTTACACTTGTAAGCGTGCTCTCTCTAATTGAATAAAATCTATATAAAACCATTCATCAATCCCTTATCGCACTTGATATGTTTTCATTGAGAGATGGAACAAATTAGGTTTCTTTCAGCGTAACGTAAACAAAAACAATATTCAGAACACTATATAACCTTTCACTAACAGAAATGATCACAGGGCAGGACAAACTATTCTGCGCTGCTAAAGCTTTTCTGTGAACAATCATTTGAGATAGATTTTGTTTATATAATCACTAGTTTCGATTCTAACATATCATCTTTGTAGTTGATCAGGATAAGTTTTTTTCGTTATGCAATGATGTGAGTCTTTTCTTCTAGATTCATATCACACTTCCAATTTTTTTGCTTTGTGATGATCTCAAGGAATCAAGATGTTTTTATTTTTCTTCTATAATTGATGTCAGTATACAAAATTTGATTGTTAAAATAAGACTATCAGTGGAACTAGTGGCCGAAATCTACTTTAGTCAGTACAAACAAGTGATGTTTTCCATTTTTTCCGAAGTTATTGATGCCATTGATTTTAAAGATATCAAGTTGGTAGAAAATTAAAAAATACCGACTTTCGTTCATTCTCGATTATTTTCTTCAAAACAAAATCCATATAATCAAAACAAATCAAATCTTCACTGTTCCACTTCGATAATCCTTATTGGTTTTTGTTGCTGATTTGTAATTATGTTTTTATAATATATCGAAATCGCTTGTGATATTTTTTTTTTGCAATTTATATACATTTTGTTACTATCAGATTATAATCAAGGAGAAAAGGCTAGAGAAATTTTCTTCATTAAATAAGCGAGGGTAAATAATTGAAGTTTTTTTAAATTTTCTGTAAGGTTTTAATATAAAAGAGTCTGTTTAATCAAAAGTTTTACAAGAAAAAAAAATTTTTTTTTAAATCGGAAAAATCTAAAACACTAGTTTTTAGAATTATTGTTCTAGACTTGATTCTCTCGATATTCGAGCAGTCTTCGTTTAACAATGAAGTTCTGTATACTGATACTAATTATTCAAAAAAATGAAAATTAAGACGCAGAACGTTCAAAACCAAATCTTTTTGACAAAGTGTATTCGTAAACTTGTTTAATTAAATTTATATTTTGTATTTAAAATTCATAATACGAAGAGATAGTTCAATCTATACCTCCATTTTCATCGAAACAAAACTTTCATAGCTTATATTGATTAATGAAATGCTCTATTTAATACTCGGTTCATTTTTTGTGAAAAACTTCAAAGAATCATTATTGATCACGAACATTTTTCTTTTTTCTCGATATAATTTAAAAAGGTTTTCAGTAAAAAACAATCCTTTAATAGTGATATATAATTTTTTTTTATTGTGCTATTCATGCATTTTTTAGAATCGGTTTGCCATTGAGCCTTATGTGGACAAAACAGGTGAGACGTTTCCGGATAAACTAGTAAGCCTTTTCATTTATCAAGAATAACGTTGTTAGTATACGTTTCTATCGCAATTTAGATGCATGACTCCACTGATCTTCTTGGGGTTTTGGGCACCGATTATGGTGATTATGCTCGTAATATATTACGTATTCTATATACCAAAGAAGAATTACAAACATCCATTTTACCACCAGGTAGAACACATTTGTCAAGAAAACCGCTCGATAAAGTACGGTTTAAGAAGTTTACAGGTAGTTGAATGTTATTTTTTTTTCTTTGATGATTACTTCATTTTTATACAGATGCCATGCGATACAAGTTCAAATTAACTTCGGTTAATTTTGGTCAATTTTATCGAACATTATTACGAAGAAAACTAACAGATTTTTTAATTGAAGAACGTCGACGTGATGAACTCAAATTAGCTCGTCAATCATTGAAATCACAAGCAAAAGATACAAGTCAATCAGATATTGATGAAATATTCAATTAGATTGAAAAAGAAACTTTTTTGTAATTTTAATTGTATATTTTGGTTTGAAATATTGCTTTTGCACGTTTAGCATGATGTCAAAATAAAATTATAGTAAACTGTTGAAAAAATAGTCGAAACCTAACAAGAAATCGATATTTATTTTTTTCTACGACAGCATCATGAAAAAGTAGTAAAAGAATATCAATCGATTACGATCGTAAACAATAATCGTAAGATGTCGTAATTTAGTCGTATACGACACGACAACATACGGTCGTAATTCTGACGTCAAGTAATACGACTAAATACGATGGTATATGATCGTAATTGGCACTGTATACGACGTCGTAAACGACCGTTTACGTTCGCTGTAATGCTCGTCCTGGGTATGATAAAAATTAGAGATATTCTCAATCTCAATAGATTAAATGAAGCCGATAGTAATAAATCGAAACGGAGATCAACAACTTTCAAATGGACGCCTAACAAAAGGTTTATTTTAAATGAATATGCGTTTCGAAAATAAAAACAATTAATATACGGGATGTCCGAAAAGTCACCTACCAAAAGAAAAAAAACAACATTGCATATCTCCGTTGTATTTCAATCAAATGAGCTAAAATTTTTCCTGATGTTAAAGAAACGATCCAAATTTTCATTTCTAACTCGACAGCTTATTGATACAATTGAAATCTTGGATATATTCTATTTGTTTCCTAATATCTCCATCAGTAGTCGACCATAAAAAACAAACATATCAAAAAAAAAAGTTTTAGTTCATTCTATTTGGTAGAACTTTGGAATACCTTTGTGTTGTTTTTTTTGATTGATTATCCATGGAAATACTCTATCACAAGTTAACTGTCGTCCTTCGAATTCTTCATCATTTTCTATGTAAGAATATCGGAAGAGATCATATGATGTATCAGAAAACTAGAGATAGGCTAGAGAAAACTTTAAAACATAAGAAGGTCAAGTCATATTACAGAAACAAAAAAGAAGTCCATCGTGTATTAAAAACAAACTGCGATAATTAAAAGACATTATATTTGTCGATACTCTATCTCTAAATGAGAAAATGAATGAAAAAAGAAAAATTAACTTATTCTTCACTGCATAAAATGACTATTAAAGTTTTTTTGTTGCTTTCATCCATGGTGTGCTTTTTATACAATCACAAAACATGTGAACATATATCAATAGGAAACCAGTATTGAAGCACTGTGCGCATATATAAAGTGAATGAACATTGAAATTTATCGCGAGAAATTATATTCAGGCAACTGAAATATACCAAAATTCTCTAACTATACTATGAAAAACGAGAACAAAGAAAAGTTGAGAACCTCATTAAGTTTCATCCTTACTTTGATGTCAGATGTCAGATATCTCTGTATGTGTGCATATCTATTAATGTATTACATAATTTGAATCGCATTTATTATGTATTATATCAACTATGAACAGAATACATAGCAACACAGATAGATGAACGTCTGAAGCAAATGCTTTTTTGTTTTAAATGTTCATGATCACAGCATTGATAAGTGATGAAAATAATATGTGCTTGGTAACACTTCAATATACGAAAATTCACAATGCTTTTAAGCCGCTTACAATGAAAATTTCCACAAATATCTTAATCAATGTCATTTGAACATAATTAATCTATTTTGACAGTTATTTATTTTATTTTAGTTTTAATTAGATTCATATACCGATCGAGGAGCATTTATTGCATTAATTGTTTTTATTTTGATCTGTATTTATGAGTAGAGTTAGGTATTAATATAAATCACTATAAACTTCTTACATTTTTCTAATTATAATCATTAAACAACTTCTGTTTTTTTTTAAATGTTGGATTGAATATCAATTATTTTTCTCATTCCGATCTTTCAAAATTTTATTTTATAGAATTTATCTATAAAATGATAAAAGATTTAAATAAAACAGAAAAGTAAAACACATGCCGATTTAATATTTTAATTGGTTTGATTGAATTTAAATAAGTTATTGCTTTTTATTTTTCTTTAAAAGAATTTTAAATATTTCAATTATATGCTAGAAGTTAACGCTATTATTAATGAAATGTATATTTTTTTCAGTAATATCATATATCGAAAAAAGTCGAAGAATGAAGAATAAACAAAATGATTTTTTCAAAAACAAAAAAAAACATCATTTTCTATATCCTTTGTCATTCGATTTTCGAAATATATAATATCATTCGTTTTATTGTCTTTGTTTTCTATTTGATTCCAATATATTGTGCTGTTCATTTATGATTAGTCATAGTCACTAAACTCACATTTTTTCTCTTCGCTTATGTTCTGATGTTTTTTCCTAAACTTTATGTCATTCAATCATTAATTTCGAAGGCTTTTCCTTGATAAGTACTTAACATTTAAATAGGGTGTGTTGGTGTCAGTTCTATCTTCACTCATCTCCTCAAGATAAATCGATTAACAAATGAAATTGAGATCTATCAATTATAAGGCTTTTCACACGTCAATAGCAAGTGAATAGAGAGATAGTGTTGAATCAAACAAAACTTGTAGGTTAGATGCTGTACTAGCAGCATTATCATTCGATGACACATGCAACGATGTCAAATGATTCACTGTTGATATGATAGACTAGCGATTTTCATCGATTGTCAGATGTATTCGTGGTGAATTAAGATTAAAAAAATGAGTATATGACTGTTGATTCAGAGGTTCTCTGTCCCCACATCCACATCCGCAATCAGATTTTGAATATCTCTTTTCTTGGATCTAATTAATCTATGTTTTAAAGTTATTTTGTTTTTAATTTAAATCTCGTTATCTTTCTTGTTTTCACGTATTCAAAGATATGCTCCATTATTGAAAGGCAAATCGAAACTCATTTCTGGAATGTAAATAGTATGTGAAAAAAAAATAGTATGTTTGAACGTGCAAATCAAAAGGAACAACAGACAAATAGAAGTGCATAAGTGTACAAGATAATTTAAATTAAATAAAGTAAAACAAAATTTTTTTGAAAATTTCTATATATTTATCGTTTTATGTAGTTTAGGCATTGACGAAAATAAATTCACGAGAAATATTAAATTTCATAAGTTCATAGAAAATCATTTCAATTTTTATGAAACCTTCATATCTAAAAATAAAATGATCTTTTTCTTAAGAATCTCTCATTTGTTTAAACATATAAAAAGCTTAATTTTTATTTATAAAACACTTCGTTATATATCAAATTTAAAATTCATCCATGTTCTTATTTTTATTTGTTTTTCCAATTTTTACATTCTCAATAAACAAACATGATGATGAAGAAAACAAAGATGTTTTTTTTACAATAACATGAAGATCATAATTATAAATTAATTTTCTTGTTGACAATCAGTTGAATCGCACATTAAAAATTTATGCTTTTGTTCAGCTAATTCTTTAAATATATATTTTAATAAAATGCCAAATGATCTTCTTCTTTTTGAACCAACATGCATTGCCACAGGAACAAATGCATTTGTTGTTGAATCATGAACAAAATATAATGATCCAGAATCACCACTTCTTGCAAATTCAATACCATCAATCCATTCAACTTCAATAACATTTCTATAATTGGTATTATCCAATATTGTTTTCCTATCAATTTCTTTAATAAAACCGACGGTTAAATTTGTAGCTGGACCATATTTAAATATTGGCACTTTGTTTGGTTTATGTCTATTTAACAATGATTTTAATGATGAAACATTAACATGTATTGGATTACGTGATCGTTCATACAATTCTTTAAGTGATTTTGCATCGGTCGATTCATCCGATGATGAAGATTGAATTGATGATTCTAACGGCGATTCAGATGATGATAAAAAATCGTCATAAACATAACTAGATAATGTTGTACAATCTAAATTGACAATTTTACAATAAGGATTTCCTTTTATTCTAAATTATTCAGCATCATAAGTCAATTAAATAATATTATCCGGATCGATATGTAAATTTTTAAATGAATTGATATTAACTTTAATTTCTAGTGAACTTGTATCTAATCCACGTAAAACATGTTTAGCTGTAAGGCCATAATGATCATTATTATTGATATCTTTTACAAAGAAGGCAATGCTACCTTTCAGATGTATTCCATTTTGATAAATACCTGAACCATGGCATATATCATCACCACATTTCTCTAATTTAATAATATCATCATCTGTTATTGGTTGATAAATAATTTCAATAGCATCATGTTTTAATAAACTGTACAATTGTTGTTTTTCTTTGTATGTATCATTATCAATATCATTATGATTTATATCATTGCTATTGATTATTTTTAATATATCATCATATTTCATATTTGATTTACATAGAAATTTTTTTTCTTTATTTTCATAATTATAAGCTGTGTTGATGTCCCATATGCCAAATTCACTATCTAAAAGCATCTTTGTTAGTCGATCTTCAAAATTTTTTTCCAAATCAAAAGATAAGATATATAATGTTTGATTGTTACTAGCACGACGGATGCGATCTAATGCAATTCCCATACGTCGTATTCTAATTTTGATTAATTTAGATAATTTATGAATAATTTTTCATAACATTTCCTTCTTTTATTTTGTCTTGATAACATAAAACATATTGATCCTTTTCATTTTTCTCAATATGACATTCATATTCTGTACTATTAATTCTACAGAAAAGTATTTCATTTGTTTCTAATAATCCCATTTCAACGAAAGCATTAATCGCTGGATATCCATAACCATCATTGTTCGCATTAATGATATTAATATATTTTATTAATGAATATGGATCATGTTCCATTTCTATGTTAGACGTGTGAGTTGAGTTTTAATATAAAATAAATCTACAAAATAAAATTTATGTTAAAATATATTATATTGTATAATTCGTAGTTCACTAACAAAAAATATCTTTTCGTTTATAAAAAAAAAGAAAAAACTAATGAATGGCTCGATTTGAGTTCAAAAAAAATAGTAAAAATGATGAAAATTTTGGATGACACATAAGAAAACGTCATCAAATTTTCAATGATTTGAAAACTATGGCATTCAAGATAATTTATTTTATATTAAAATTTGACAAGAGAAGAATTTTGATTATTAATCATGCTAATTTATATCGTAATCAAAGTTCTAAGTGAAGAGAAACTATAGCATCAGAGAAAACAAAACAAACAATATAATCAATAGACTGGATTGATGCTTTAGTTTGTCGAATAGAAGACAAAAAAAATATATTATTTAGAAAAAGAATATATACAAGAAAAAATACTGATTTGTTTTTATTTAGTTAATTTCGTTAGAGAATATTATATTTTTATTAACCTAGCAGGCGTTCAGTGTTTCTTCGACAGATAACGCTGTTAAACACCAATAGAATACACGATTTTATTTTGAGTTATATGGGATTTACAGGCTCTATCGAAATGGTTCCTATATATGTTTGCTTCTTGGATGTTCATGTTTATTGACCTATCATGACCTGTAATTAGAGGTTTTATATGAATGATTTCTAATAGAAATTTGAAAGAAAAGATGTAATTATATAATAAAGAGTCAACAGACTTAAGAAGTAGTTAAAAAACACTTCACAAATAGATATAGGATGTACAGTAAAAGTTTATGGAAAACTGGAACGAAAATAGATGCATTTGAATATTTCACTCTGTACAAGATACTTCATAAGTTTTGAGATTTTACAAGTTAAGTCGCCACTAAAGTATATCATAATTCCTAGTTAACGTGAATGTATCTGCATGAACTTTGAGTACACCCGTAAATCTTTCAAAATGGCATGTTCTTACATGGCATGTTCTTTTATAATAAGAATATAAAAATGAGAACATGCTCATCAATTTTTCAAAATCATTACAAAGGATATTTTATTAAAAAGAATTAGAAAAATACGATTCTATGTCCAACTAAATATATAAGTATGATTAGAAAAATAGAATCTCATTTCACTATCGTCTATTCGTTATACAAAATTACTGAATATTACGATTACGATAGATCTGCGGATAATTATATCAATTAATTTTTCAGAATTATAATGAATTACTTTTACTACTTGCTATTCTATTTAGTATTCAAGCAATTCACAGCTTTAACATTGTTCTTTCCATATTTTTTCATTTAATATTTTCTCTGCATATTTAATGGATCATGCGTCAGCAAATTCAGCATTATCATCTTCAGGTGAAAATTTTATCCTTAAATAATTCATCGTTTGCTGGTAATGCAAGCTTTTGTTCATTGTTTTGTGATGGCATGGTACTGAAATATCATATTTCTTTTGAATTTTTCTATAACTAAGGTTCTTGTTAAAAAATTCAACATCGAAGTCATCAGTGAATAAACTGTTGTTTTGTTTTATTGTAATCATTATTTTACATGAAATCGATGAACAATTTTTAGGAACTAATCTTTCTTATCGGATACTACTGTAAAATTAATATTACTTCTAAATTATTTCCTTTTGAAGTTCACATGTGTTTTCGAAGAAAATAATTAATGCAACTTTAAAAGCAAAATTTTACGGCTTTCCACTTTCACGTTACATCCATTAATTAATATCCAAGATCCACTGTTTGAATACTACATTAATTATGCTGCTATCTCGTTTCTGTTTTCATCACATAGATTATAAAAGAAGCACGACCTATTCGTTACAGACCTAAGCAAATAGGCACTAATCGAAGCACAGATTTTTAAAAACTAGAGAAATTTTTACAAAAGATTTTTCAATTCAGCTACTGTCGATCGATTTACAATGTGTTGAGAGTATTTTTCGAATATTAGCTGTTTAAATATCTTTCTTCGTAGATTGAAAAATGATGCTAAGAGAATTTTTCGTGAAAAAAGATATAATTCGATTATAGGCTATAAGTTATATTCTGATCTTATAACTATATGAAATGAAGATATTGTTTCTTTACGACTTTTGTCTGTTCCTATCGCGAAAACATACTTGACACCATTGACTAAGGTTTGTAGTTGTATTGCACTTGACATCAGTTTTTATGTATACGAGAGATTTTAACAATAGACTCTATTGTTGGTCGCCGATATTCGATCTGAAGTTTGTTTTAAATGTAAAATAAAAATCTGAATAGAAATGTAATATTGAGAAGAGAATTCATCAAGAAAAAATCTATTATTTCAACTATATTTTGACAGGAAATTATATGCTAGTTTTACTAATAAGAAATGTTCGTATTTTCTTGCAGCTTTGAACTTTCACTGTGTTTTGTCATTAAGGGCATTGAAGATTAAATATAATTTTTACAAAAAAAAAGATTTTTGATGATATTCAAATAAATGTCATTTCAGTTCTTAAATTGAATGAACTTACTTTTTTAGAATACATAGATTTACGAACAATAACCGCGTGTATTGTTTAAGGTCGGAATGAAATATAATCATGTAGCATTATTGAAAATGGATCTTTTTACTATATTAATCATATTAATTTAGCAAATCAATTTTTTTATTTCGACAGACAAAAATTAATATGCTATGTGCATTTTATTAGAATAACCTACAATATGATTCATTATTGATTTGTAGATATTTGAGTTTGACCATAGGATGAAGATATTCTAAGATAATTCAAAGGTTTTGTTTGACTCAAAAAATATGAATTAAATATAATTTCTATACAATTACTATATACCATTGAATAAAATGAATATTTGCTTTCATAGAAAATATTCGGTCGGTCAAGTTATTTAATTGTAAACACCATAGAGAAACCACTGGATTCTTATTGATCTTTCATAACTGAATAGTGGTGACAAACAATTTTCTTTATCTTGCTACATCTAAAAGAGTGTATATTAATCTTTATTTTTTTTTCGTTCTTTCTTCGCAATTGAATTTGATGCTTAATATTATTATTAAAAGTAAAGTAGAGATGCCTAGAAATTCAACTCCATACTCCTTGTAGTCTTCTAGCATCAGGTAAAATTACCTGGAAAATTTATTGTAAATCTGTATTACATAAAAGCACTTTTAAATTACACCAATTAATATATAAAAAAGATTTTGATTGAAGTAAAAATCCTTTAAGAATTTGTTACTATATTAAATATATGAAAGATTTATATTTTAATTCTCAATGCAATAAAAGTTACCTTTTTTTTTTAAATTGTTTTCTTATGAGAAAAGAGAGTAAAAAATAAAATGGTTAGTTTACATGTTGATCATTTATTTTCATATTTTCAAAAGTTTGCGGGTACATAAATATTAATTGCAAGTTGACGCGAGAGTTTCCTTCTTTAATATATTTTATCTCGTTTTAGATAAGAGTTTCAATCAATCTATCTGTTTCGTTACTTTTGGAAAGTACCAAATGCTCATTATTATTCATTAGTTTTTGTGTATGTCCAAAACAGTGGTTTCCTATGTTAATTGATTCTATGGATTGATTTAGGAGATTTTTCTTCAGTTTTTTTTATGCATTCGGTATTCTAATTATACTTTTAATTATGTTAAAAGCAAAATATACTATATTATAAGAATAGCGCTACTAGATAACTAGAAATAATAGTCAAATAATCGATAGCATTGAACGGATTTCTAGATCTCATTTACACAGTTTCTTCTATGATTTCAAACATAATAAGGCATCAGTAGAAATGCTAAATTCGTATGAAATATATTGTCTAAATGTCAATTTACTTATAATATTATTGTTGAAACCGTATGGTCAAGAATGTATCACTTCATATCAAGAAAAAGATTTATTCGATCAAAAAATTAGCACATGAGATGAGCTCATAGATTGATACAAGGCGTGACAAAATTTTCATGGGTTCATAAAATGCAAAATTTAAAAAGAAATGGTGAGGTTCATACATTGCTATAACCCTCATGAACTCAATATTTTTCTGTCACAATCACTTTCCTATACAATATACTTCATGACTATGGTTATGATTGTCGATGATAATAGAAATCCTATTATGAGTGAAATTACACGTATGAGAATGTGAGAGTACGGATACGGGTGTATATATATATGAGACTGTTGATTTAAATATATATCTAGATGGGAGGTTGAATGCATAAAAGATTGATACTCGTAACATATTTATACTGTCAAACAAGAATAAATATGTATGATATTAGCTCTTTCTCCGATCCGTATTGTTCTTGTATATCGTCATGCATGAGAACATTTTGATACCGGACTTCTACAACATAGTGATTATTCAAGAATATTCGCTTGTCATGAACATGATTTCTATTCTTTCTCCTTTTTTTGAAGAATTGGTATTTGTTTCGAATTGTTGTTATAATTAGAAAATATCATCTAGACCAACTAATATCTCACAAAAAGAATTAATTATGGAGTTTTTCTGTCCATCTCTATACTTGATTATCTGTCGTCAAAATTGAGATCCTTGGATTAGATACTTATAGTAGTTCTTTTCATTATATCAATGAGATTTGTAAAAGAGGAATTCAGCAGACGAAGATAGCTTTGCAAATGTATCATCAATAGTATTGATCGAATGTATTGTAGAAGGTTTTGTTGATGTTATAGAAAGCGCGCTGTACTTTTCAATCATCCAGAAAACTAAAACTCAACACAGCAACAAGCTTTGTTAGTGAGTTTTTGTTTACTTCTCGCTCGCTCTCTCTCTATAATTTTCAGATGCTCAAATTAGCTTGAGTTGAAATTTAATAATAAGTGCAAAAACCACTATTATTCTTTGAATTTATTATATGTTTACTCCATACCTCAATATACACGATCACACAAGTCAATAGAACAATAATGTTTAGTATTTATATGCTAACTGGATTCGGTGTTATCGTGATTATCGTTCTTTTTGGTCTTATTCTAGCACAAATTTTTATCAAAAGAGCAGATAAAACTCAAATTCACAAGAATATAGTATATGAACAATCACAAGATATAACTATTGCTATCGATGAATTACCAGACGTCAAACAAGGACCAGATATAAGTGTTACATCTAATGATGTAATTGAAGGTATATCTCATCGTCATAATCATGCAAACAAAAAAAATGCACCATTCATTAATCAAGATCCTCAAATCTATTATATTAATGTTAAAAAGACGCCAATTGAAAGTTTTTTTACGACAAAAAATCTGACAATACCAATTCAAACGAATACTGATAGAATATCATCTGATACAAGTCTTGTAAATCCACTTACCGACAAGATTACACTAGAATATTAAAATATTCGAAAGATAATTTTGACGTGAACTCCTTTTTTGCTTAATAGTTTAAGCGTTGAGAAGTTCAATTGAATATCAAAATGTAACGCAGGAAAATCGTACTATTCTCTTTTTGAACTCCATGGTGCGGAACCGTTAGACAATACAAAGAAAATTATCACAGCTATGATTTATAAGCTTTTTATTTAAGATTCGAGCAGCTTCTAATTCGAAGAAAACCTAACATTAACCATCTTTAGCGAATTCATTATTTCTTGCATCCAAAAATAAAGCAGCACCTGCTCCTATCAAGTAATAATTCTAATCAAAAAAGACTAACAAATACATGAAATGAGGATTAAGATCATTATAAATAAAAATATCTAGATTTCAAAGGTGACGAAGAAGAGTGTCAAACTATTAAATTGTCATTTAAACGAAAATGAATTTCCGTCGAAGTAGATTGCATACAGATATTAAAGTTTTGTTATAGATACTTGAGCTTTTGATGCTCTTCGTTCACGCTGTAAAGATAAAAAAAAGCGGGATAGGAAATTTCAAAATCTATTTTTAAATGAATTTTTCTTACTTCGTTTCTTAGTGCTTGATTAGATTCATAGAGATTTTTCTCTTTAGCTATTTGAATTTCATGTGGAGTACTTGGTATTGCAAAACCAATCGCAAATTTCAATGCCAAAAGAACATGCTATAAGAAAAGGATCTTTTATTAGTGAATAGGAGAATCGCAAAGTAGATATACTTCAGCAATAACAAACATGAGAATATATTCAGCATCTGTATACGATGAAAAATATGCACGAACTGATGGCTGCATTGCAATTAATGCTGTATTAGTAACAATGGCTACTGAACTTAGTATGTCGAAGGCGTAACGCCAACTACCTATAGATATGTAGTATGTGAGAAGATGTTTAACCACAAGAACAATGCACTAACCAATATTTGAAGCTCGTTGAATAAATGGACGTTGGTAAACATAACAATATTTGAAAGCATCCGCACGAAGTTCAAATATATTATTGATTAATGCACAAATTGTGATCCATGGGAAAACCTAATCAAAGTATAACAGCTAAATAATTGTTTATTTTATGTGTAAGTTTAGTACTAAGATTATTCAAGAACTATTATTACAATGAAGAATAACATGAAAATAAATAAATAAATAATTGTTTGGTTTGGTTTGATCGATTTTTGTTTCTAAATAGAACTTTTCTCTTTGCCAAAAAATACTTTTAGCGAAATCTCTATGAGATTAAACTGCACAGTTAAAATTAAATTATATTTATGATTAACAAAGATTTTTCAGTATACAATAGAAAAAATGTAGGAATATCTTTTATCTTTACTACAGGAGCGGTTTTTGTAAGTATTTTAGTCATGAAAGATCCGAGACCTGCGTAGACAGTATAATTTTCGAAAAGAATTAGATATGTATTTTTCAATGTTCATCAATAATCATGTTTCTCTACTAGACTTACTGCTGAAAATAAAGCGACATAACCATATTGTTCAAAAATAGTCAAATAATCTCCATATGTTCCCTAGAATTTGCTCAAATATTAATAAAAATATCACTCACAACACATTTTTTTCTTACTGCAAATGAAGACAATGTTATTGCTTGCTTCACTGCTTCACTGACATGAACATTTTGTGATTTGCGTTCAATCAATTGATTTTTTTTAAAGCGTTTAATCACATATGGACCGATTTGCTCAGTAAATTTCAAGAAAATAGCATTGAAAATAACAAATACTGTCAGTAACTAAAATAAATCTATTTTAACTTCTGAAAAATAAATGAAATTATTTTATTACTTGTACAACATTTGCAAAATTAGCATTAATAAACGCTTCATAAAAGAGTCCAATGAAACAATTCATAAAATAAAAAATAAATAATTTCGATGTTAAATTATTTTCATAAGATGTTTGAAGTCGATGATTTTCTAAAAGAAATAGAAAATAAAATCAAAGAATTTCAAATATTTTATTATTTATTCTTTTTACCAAAATCAGTCAAGTGAGTAGCTATTTTTCTATAAATTAAATTCAATCCTAAAATAAGTAATGAATAGCCAGTTGATGGTAGCGTACGCATAAGTTTAGCATAAATGAAAAATAAAGAATCATCTAATGGATAATCATGATCGGTCTTCATTTGTATTCCATAAAAAGCAAAATAAATCCATAATGATAACGCTAAGCAACAAATTAATATTGGATAACTAACTAAATACTTTTTCAATACTCTTTTCCATCTAAACAATAAATTAATTAAGAAAATTGATACGAAATAAATCATCTTTTTCTTATACTTCGGATATCGTCGTTCTTGTTGATTTGTTATTGGTGAAGTTTTTAAATCTCCATAATAGAGTGGACGAGGACGTTCGAAGATTTGTAAATCATATGAACCCCATTGATAAGCAAGTCTATTACTTAAACGTTTCCATTTTTCCATCTAGATTTAAACTATAGATATATGATGAAGTCTTTTTTGATTATTACTTACGAATACAGTCCACCAGATCACATTAAAAATACAAAATAATGAATATTTGTAAAAATCGGAACCAGGCCAAAGGCTAACACAAAGACCTGGAGAGAAAAGTAAACGAGTTAAAAAATATAAACGAAACAAAGACTGAGATTTACCGAGTACAGCTGGAAGTCGAAGTGCTTTGGTGTAAAATTCAAGAAATTCAAAATAATAAGCTACCTCCTCTCCAAAATAATTTCGAACTTTATCTATACAGAGTTTATGACAAATTATTTTAAATTATTGAACAGAATTTTTCCTACGAATATCTTGTGATTTAAAAAATGAATTTTTTGACATGAACCAATCACGTTCAGTTAATTTCATATCTTCTTTATCATGTAATGGGAAAACGCTTATAATATAATTCAACTTATGAAGAAGACAAACTAATAAAAGAATTATGCCAATTTTATTATTCAATTATTTTTACATACGAATTGTATCGTGATTAGGCTCAATTAATTTTGTAGGAACTCCCGGTATAGTACTTTCATGTTGCATTGGTCGTACATTTTGTATTTCTTCCCAAATAATTAATTGTTTTTCCGATTTAAGTAAAAAACTATCTAGATTTTCTAAAATAATAAAAAAAATGACCGTTAAGAATACATCACTTGAATATTCATACCAGATTTATCAAAATTATGAATATCCGAGATGAGAAATTCTCGTGAAGTATCATTTTTATATGGTTTTTTAATTCGTAATTCTTCGGCACCAAGCAGTAAACGATCAAGTGTTGCACCGATTAAAAGAATATCGTTCTAATAGACACTGAAGAAAGTTATTATCATAAGACGACAAATGCTTACATGATTTTCAGAATCAGAATCATATCGAACAAGTAAAGCAGCACCATCATTTTCATCTTGCTTGGCAATTAATCTTTCAATCATCCAGTTTTTAGTTTCCTCAGGTGTTTTAGAAGAAAAATGAATCACAACGAGTGGTTCAAAATTTGACTTTTCAACCGGCATTATTTGATTTTTAATTTACTTCGCCTAAAATAGTGATTAACAACCCCACTAATATAAGCTGTATTTATAAGAAGAAAGAAATAATATTTAATACATGACTTGGGTGGCAACTCAATTTATTGAATTTATAACATCTTATTCATGTACAAAGGATCTATTTTCGATACTAAGCATTAAAAAATACATTGAAATCAGAAGTTAAAAATTCCCTATAACTTAAAGCAGACAAAAACTACCTGTAAACCATTCGTTACAATATATACTATACCAGCACTATTTCGATATTTTACCAGTCTACTCTTCTCAAGCTACCATTCACTCACAGTGAAGCTGTGATAGTGCCAACAAAGGTGCACAGTAAGATAACAATAATGAAATATATCCGTATCAATCTAGTCAAATGAGCTGAGCCTTTTTTTGGCTAATGATAGTTGTTCATTTAGCGCTTCTGTTCTAGATATCAGTTAAACTAATTTTGTTATTATTGTTCAAATAATTTTACTGATTATAAAACTAAAAATAAATGTGTAGCATTTCATAGATACATTCTATGACTTTATGCAAGAGAATCATAAGAAAAAGTCAAAACAAATCCAATGAATAATTCTGCATTGATAACAACTGCGAAAATTTTCGAAAGTATTTACTTAAGAAAATCACAGATTACAAGATTTTCAGTTTTCAAATAGGGAAAAACGTTTTTTGCAAGAATTCTGGTGATGTTGGGTAATCCAAAAGACTGCTATTACCATTTTCGCTTAAGATCCACTGATTTCAACTAGTTAATTTTTGAAAAACGTCCCATCTGCATAAATACAAGTTTATACTTGCATCAAAGTTGACAACTTATTTAAAAGTTACTACACATGTATTTCTCTTGTTAGTTCGATGGCGCGTAAAGCTGCTTACACAATTCCAATAATAGTAATAGTTCACAGTAATAACTGTTTAAGTTGCTTCTATAACAAAAGTATTCTATATACTGGTACTACTGAAGAAAATTTCAGTTCAACCTATTAGAGTAATTGCAGAAATACTTCATCCTCATCTTCGTGCAGCGCTACTCATGAAACACCTTATTTATGTAAAATATCTCGTTAATACGAACAAGCAATTATGCACTGAATCAGCTCTCTCAATCAAGCAAATGAAAGAGATAGGAAGGGCGTCAAACTTTGTAATGACTCATTCTACATTTCATTCGTCAAATATTCTCCAATAGAAAACTATCATAAATTTTTCAAAAACAAATTTTTAAAATAAAATATTCAAATCAATCCACTGATAGATTTTTTTTCCGTGAAAAATCAATCTTTTCCATAGTTATTTTACTAAAATCAGATCGGATAGACAATCTATCCATAGTTTACCTTCAAACGAGTATTTCTCATATAAACAGTTTCCATTTTTTTTTCTAAACCATTGTATGATCATCTTACATTTTTTTTGTTAAAAATCATCACTTAATGTTCATTTATACAGAACAGAGTAGTTAAATTATTTCTAAGAGCGGTATTTGTTTGATTCATGTAGAATTATTTTATTATAATTTAAAAATCAGTCCAATGATGATAACCGACGATTGAAGAACAATTTATACGTGAGACGAACTAGCAACTACTTAATTTCTCGTGTTTTATTTTATGAAAAAAAATAAAACATCGATTTCTCTATTGTTTTTAAGCAGCAGTTTGTTCGTCTTATATATGTGGGTTCTAATGATTTCGGATTATGAGATCTGAGGACTTAATTTATTCGTTGATTTATTATTATTATAAAGGATTGACGATATTGTTTTATTTTCTTTCATAGATCGACATCTGAATAGTTGGAAAATAAATAATGAAACACAATAACGTTATTCCAAATGCTCACTTTAACAAAAAGTGGCAATTACATGTTCGCACATGGTTTGATCAAGCAGGTCGTAAAGATCGACGACACCGAAAACGTTTAGCAAAAGCACAACGTGTTGCTCCTCGACCAGCTAAAGGTTCATTACGTCCAATTGTTCATGGTGAAACACGTCGTTACAATATGAAAGTTCGTGCTGGACGTGGATTTTCATTGGATGAAATACGTACCGCTGGTCTTCATCCAAAGTATGCTCGAACAATCGGCGTTTCAGTCGATCATCGACGACGCAATAAATCTACTGCAGCATTTCAAGTACATTCAATAATGAAAATGATTAAAATGTCTATTGTTTTTCTTTTTCTAGGTCAATGTCCAACGTTTGAAACAATATCTTGGCAAACTTATCTTGTTTCCACTGAAGTCCGATAAACCCAAGAAGAACGATGCTAAACCGGATGAAATTAAATTGGCTGTACAACTTAAAAACCAACGTGTTATGCCAGTTAAACAAACAGTTAAACGTGAAAAAGCTAGACCAATCGAAGAAGCTGACACTAAATTCAATGCTTATCAAGCTTTACGTATGGCTCGTGCTGATGCTAAATTAGTTGGACAACGTGAAAAGAAAGCCAAACAAGCAGCTGAAGATGAAAAGAAACCCAAAAAAGAGAAATAAATATTTTCATTTGTTTTTGTATCCGATTGTTTGGGTTAACAAGAATTAAAATAAAACGAGAACAACATTCGACCGACAAAACCGATGTCGGTAGATAAAAAACGACTATTCTATCGATTTAAATTAATCTGAGAAGTAAAAACAATAAATTTCGATTAAAAAAACTCAGGGTTTTGAAAGTGAAGAATTTAATATTAGGAAAAAAAGATTTTACCTTTCTACTAGAAAGTTAGCGAGAAATCTCATGGAGTAATCAACCAATTTTGAGTTTAAATTGTACATAGAAGGGGCATCAGAACTAATCATGACTGCATCCATAAAAATAAGCAACTGTAGAATTTCATTTTACAGTTATAGTCACTGTACTTGAAACTGAGTCGATAGTATTATTTTTTCCCAATAAACCGGTTGATGATAATTTGATATGAAATCTTGCTGGTAAAAGAGATCCACGTGTAATTAGAATACTATAATAATTCTAATTTAGAAGAATCTATTCTTCGTAAAATATCCAAAAGATATAACATACGTTCATTATTGCTAAATTAATAGTAGTTTTTGAAAATTCCATATTTTGTAAAAATAGAAATACTCTTTGGTAATGAAATTTTCAAGTAGTCTTGTTGTCTACTAGATATCAATAGAGTAACTATAACTGTGGAGTGAAGATCTAATTAGCTTGTATTTTCTTGGACTTTTTCGTAGTTTGTCAGACTTCTCTTCATTCAGTGTTCAAACTCAAAAATGATTACTTTGCAAATTCTAAATGTAAAGGTATTCAAGCTGCAGTTTTTTTTGTATATGACTTATTCCAGATGTATATACTAATTTATAAAATTTGTTATACGTATATTGCACGATGCCAGATCAGAATTGTCTCAATAAGATGCAAGGTGTGCAATAAAAATTGAATTGATATTCGTCTGAACTATTTTCAAATATAGGATTTACTGTCGCGAGTTTACAAAACGATTTACACTATTTTTCTTACAAAGTTTATAAAACTTCTTTCATGAAACTTGTAAGTAAAACGATATCAGATTTATTGTTATTATCATATATAACATCGCTCTACTAATCTGTGAAATTACTTGCGAAACTGCAATAAAAACTTTTTAAATATAAATTTTGTTTAGTGAACCAAATACTGTCTACAGTGTCGTACAAAACCGATCATAAGCTGTAGCTATTGCTTTCTTTTCTAATATCTTGATGGTTTTTTCAACAGATTGAGATTCAGATTTTACTCAAAGTCTGATCTTATTTTTATAGTTATTCTATTACAGACATTTGCATTCATTGTAGAGTATTTAATCTGATAGACTTGAAAGACATTTGAAATTTAGAAAAAAAATATTTTCATTTAATTTTTTGATCGATATGTTACAAACGATGCAAGTTCTTGATCAAAGTAATAAAATACGAGATTTTTCATGTTGACATGTCTCTCCAAAAGATTTGAGAAGATCCTATCGGGGATATTAATAATAGTTTTCATTATCTGGACTCAAGCGATCGAAATAAAGTATGTATGCTCTTTTTATCATGATATTAAACAAATCGACTAGTGATAACAAAAAAAAATATTATTTATAAATCTAGTTATAATGACTTGCATGATTGTAACATTATAACAATACTTCACAAAAATTAGAAAACTTTCATATTTTAATCGAAAACGATAAGAAAATGTACTTCATTTTTTTCGATTTCAAAACAATATTTCTTGCCTATTTTAAAAATCTTTAATAGTCTTTTAAAAATATTTCACAACAATGAATACAATAAATAAGCATCGTAGAAATAATGTAACTAATGAAAAAAAAAATTTCATAATGTATTAAAAAAGTCAATGAAAGTTTGTGGCTGAGAAAATGATGCATTAAGTTTATCGAATAGATTTGGAATTTTTGCTTTGACATTTATTCCTACAAATTTATGTTTGTCAATGAATAAATCTGCAACCATACCTACATTTAATATATAGTTTAATCATGAGAAAAGAAATATATTGAAATAAACTCACTACATAAACGATTGAGATGAACTGGTGTTTGTTTGTATTGTTCACGTATAGAATCAGCATTATCAAGTATATGTCGATGTTCGGGTGTTAAAACATTTTCAGATGAACCATCCATAACTAATTCTTTCAATGGCTCAATTAAATTATATTTATCTGTTAACGTTTTATAATGTGCAATCATCGGCAACATTTGATTAAGCGTCGATGCTATTGTGTCATCATTGAATTCTAGAAAAATGAAATTTGGTTGTTAAAAATTTTTAAATTTAAAATTTACTGATCATTACCATAGGAAATATTTAAAGTAATTTTCTTTTCCGTAGCCTTTTTACTCATTACATCTTTGAGTATTGATATAGTTGAAACATTTTCTGATCGAAAAATAGCTTCGTCTTGTCTAGATCATAAAATAGTAATGATAATAATAACAATTTTCTATTCTATTTTGAGGGCTTAAAGATCTCGGCAATCCTCGAACTTCACAATGTACTCCAACAACTTGTACTCTCATTTTTATTAGGAACATAGAGACTTTCATCATATTAGCGTAAGATATATCGATATTAATGGAAAACACATTAAAACAATTTAATAAATATTGCAAAGAACTGAAGAAAATGTTTCTTGATCTATGTTTTGCTGCATTGTTTTTATGTAATTAATCTTCAAATGATGCTATTTCAATAAACTTTAAATGTTTATAATCTAGACAAATGAAATGAATCTCACGTTTACAGAAATATAGATTTTGTAGTTGATATTGTATTGCATTTATTAATTATGATTTTTGTTTTTGATTTGCCAGTTCAACAATTAATTTTTACAAAACTACCACAAGTGACTCAAAATAGTTTGGGATAGTTAGATGAAATAAATACTATACTCAACTGAAATAGATTTCTATTTTATTTTGAATGTTCTACCATTGAAGAAAAACTAGTTTCTATATTATTCCTATCAAATACTGCATTATTTTCAGTGTAGCTAAGTTATATGATATACTCGAAGATAAATGCAAATACGTATATCAGATTCATGAAAAATATCGTTTGCACTCGAATAAACTCTTCTATTGTAACTCGTACGTTGAAATTTATATTTGACTATTCCAAGATTATTAGAAAAATTGACATTATAAATTGTAAAATCAGATGTTAAAAATAATCGAAATACCTATATATACATTCAAGTTGTGTATTTAAAAAGATATTTGTATAAGTTAGTCGATTTTCTCTATCAGCAGGTGGTCTTTCAGGGACATCAGCAAGACAAAATTGTATCCATGAATGCATTTCTGCATAACTAAATGATCCAGTTATTTTCATTGTATTCATCGGTCTAACATGTAAAATCATTTTTTTTTCGAAAAGAACATTAAAAGAATGCTTCCTATACTTATTCGAATCAATTGATATTGTACTTCTTTGATGTAATGATAGTGGTTTAATCGTATGTCGTCGAAGCATTGAACATCGTGGTTGAATTTTCGATGTTATATATAATTGTAATGTTCCATAATGACCTTCTATTGTTCGTACATGCATTTCTAAACGTGTTGTATTTACTTGACAACGATAAGTAACAAGTACTGCATTGTTATCCTTTGAATTATAAATGAAATAAGTCAATATAAAAAATAAAGAAACTAACAAATCAATATAATTTACCCTTGGATCACAATCACTAAAACTCATCACAGCCGAGTTTTTTTCAACATCGAGTATATCCAAAATCACATCACATTGTAAAAGTACATTGTCAATTGGTATTTCACTTTCAATAGTTAAATTATATGTTGCATCCTCACGATTTAATTCAAATCGATCATTCACACGAAATTCACGTACTGTTGATGTAGCATTTGCATTTGATTCAATCTCATCATGATAACGATCATGTGATACTAATAATTTTCTTTGTAATTCTTCGATTTCATTTCTAAATCAATTTAATAAAGAAAAAAGAAATTATTTGATCGGAGTTCTATCTACTTAAGATTTTCTATTTTATTTGTAAGATCATCATTTTGAGTGATGAGAATTTCTCCACCTAATTCTTTTTGTAATGGTTGAGAAGTTAAACCGAATATCCAACCTTGAATAGATAATTTAAAAAATCGATTAGTAAACAAAAGAAATTAATAGGTTTACCTTGATATGTACAGCATACTAATTCATCATAATTTGCATTGCCGATTGTTCCGCCTTCAATATTAGTAATACTTTCTGCGCCATTCTAAAATATATTAAATATCATTTTCTCTCTCCCTCCCTCCCTCTCTCTCTCTCTCTCTCTCTCTACATATATATAGCTATACAGTAATAAGATAGATTCACATGAGTGAGATATATTCCATAAAAATTTTCTACAAATTCTATTAACTTATTTTCTAAAATTAAGCACATGATGAATTTTTATAAAAGATAATCGTAAAATCTTCAACTTAATCTTAATTGATCAGAATTAGTAAGAAAACAAATTTGCTTAGTTTTGAGTTATATCATATCTTACATAAGTATATTTTAAAATGGGTTCATCGGTGGTTTCAAAATTATATACTTCAACAGTACCATCTTCACGTGCAACAATCATATCTGGTACTCCATCGGCCAATATATCAAAAAAATCAATAGCACTTATTCCAGATAAATGTTTTGGATTAGCTATTTCCCATTTAGTAGTTGCTGCAATACTATTTCAAAAACAAAATACTATTCAGCAACACGATTAATTTTCAGAAAAACAAACCTCCCAATTTCAAGTTGACCAAGACGACCATCAGATGTACCGTAAACAATTTCACTTTTTGTTGGACCTCAAAAATGAATTATTTTGCCATTGTTTTTTCTTTCTTTCTGTGTTTAATTAGATATTATTCGAATTGTTACCTCCAGTTTTATTTGAAAGAATTAAAGTTGTTGGAATGCCAGGAATTTCAGCTTCATATAATACTGATGATTTCTGAAAGTGAAAAACGAATTCATTAGTTTTAATTTTTTTAATTTAAATTTACATTTAATGGTCTCAACAATCGATCTTGACAAGCAATAACAGGCATAGCTTGAATTGGCAAAGGAAGAATCACAATATCATTCATTTTGGCTGCAAATGTCAACGTATCTGAATCATTCGAATCAACATAGTGTGTGTACGTTGTGTCTGTACAAGCATATAAACTTGAACCAACTACAGCCCTGGTTTTTTAATAGTTAAAACAAATAGTAAAACAAAAAGCATAATTTTAATCACTTACATGCACCGAATCGGATCACTCACATTTGTATCAAATGTATAAAATTGTTTACCTTTTTTAGAATAACCTCGTACTTGTGTTTCTGCTGCAACAAATATTCTGTCAGGTATTTCACCTAATCTGCCACCGAGTTCGACTCGAGTAATACGTTTACCCGGATTAGATTTAAAAATAGGCTAAAAACTAAAACTTAGAATAAATATTTCATTAGAGGACTAAAAACTTTACATTTATATCTTTTTTTCGAATAGAAAATAATTGAATGATCCCATTACTTTCACCTAATGCAATCTATTATTGAAATAAACAATGAAATTATATTCAAAAATCAATAATAACAGCAACAGTGAATATTAATACTTTTTGTGTCTCTTTTTTGACATTATCACGAGATAATAATCGCATGCATTTAGGAGTCACTGAGGATGCTGCCTTTACAAAAAGATAAATAAATAGATTTAGATATTAAGAATCTTAGATCAATACTTTAAAGTAGTCGACACGATTTAATTGTAATTCGAGCATTTTACAATTTGAGATGATAATCTAGTCAATTTTAATCTGTTTTTTTTTTGTGCCTTCCGATCGCAGAAAAAAAGAACCATAATTCAAACCATTGTTTCGGCGAGAACCTTCATATTCACCTTTGATTTGGAATGTTTTACCTTACTGAATATGTACGTCATCTATCGCTCATGAACGATATATGTATATATATTAATAATTATTATAATATAATTTTCAACAAGTGCTGATATATCTACTCTAGTGAGAAAAAGAACGTGTAACTGTCTTTATTTTATTTTATTTTTCAATGAATCGATTAGATTGTATTGCTGACTGATACGGTCTATCATCACAATAAACTAATTATAAGATTTGGGTTTTCAATTAAATAATTTCTATCAAATATTTGAGAGATATTGTTATTTTTGAAAATATTATCTGTCGAAATGAAAGTATGTAAGTGTTCAGACACAATGTTAACCTCTATGTATGTTTGTTGATGATATTCTATGCAGGAAGGTTATTATGGAATAAATCTCTATTACTAGTGTAGATGATGACAGGCATGTACTTTGTACAGATATCGATCTCTTGATAGTTTATGTAAAAAATACCGATAACGTACAGATCGATAATATATAACATTTATTAGGGGCGTGCTTACAATGAGTATTGACGTAAAACATTTCGGTAACTTTGATAACAACATTTCAAAGATACGTTTTTGACTATAGCTTTCTGTGTAACTTACGAGTGAATCTTTCTGCAATTGCTAGTGTGCATATTTGAAAAACAAATACAAAACGTATTTTAATGAATTCCTTAACGCATGAAATGATCCGACATTTACTATCGAATATTTTCAATAGAAGCTTAGAATTAACCACCAAAAAGAAAGAAAAAAGAAATTCGCTTTTTTCCATTTATGCACACGAAAACAGCAAAAGCGAGGTCAATCGATTCAATAGACGAAAAAGTTGTACAAAATGTAAATTCTTATTAATCTTATCAACTAAAACAAATATTGTCCTTGTTATTGAAAATTTAAGCAATGTATTGTATAGTTCAATAAAAGGACAAGTCGTTTCGACTTTTTTCTATTTTGAAATAAAAGACAACAGCCATGTGTGTACCTATAGGTTCGTGTTGTTATAAGAGAAGATTTCTACAATTGAATATTAGCTGAAATCTTTCCCGAGTTGAAATACTTCGCCGATAGCGTGCGTTTATTGATATGCAAAGAAAAATTTTCGTAAATCTTAGTTTTACACCTAAGGCATATAATCATTTAACGATAAAACATTCAAGTGCCATCTTTCGTCAAAAGTAAAATATGCTTTGTCAATTCATTTATTCATCCAATCGTATTTTCTATCTGGAAGAAAGAAAAGAAAAAAGTTTAGGAGTTAATGATGGCGTAGATGTAGGAATAGGATAATAAGAAGAAAAAAAAAAGAACAGCTTTATCAATCATTCTATTCTTTGAGAGTGGTTGCACGTCATTTTTCATAGATTGCCATTTTTTTTCTAGTCCTTAATTTGTAGTGTTTTTTTGTATAGTTCGTGTGTAACATGTATTGCTTTGAAATAACAAAAACGAAACAAATTTGTTTTTATATAGGAATAATTGATATTATTTTTCTCTTATAGATTTTAGAGATGTCTTCTGCTAACGGTTCAACTCATTCGTATGTTGAATTTTTATAAAGAATCCAATAAATCTTCTAGTATCGATTAACTATTGTAGAAATATAAAATGCGGTGGTATTGGTGGTATTAGACCAGTTAATGATGATGATTTAAAGATTTGGGATCTGGTAAAAAATTTACTATAATTCAAAGTCATAAAAAAAACTAATTGTATGTATAGTACAAAACACATTTGGAAAAGAAAATACAAGATCAATTTCATGTACCAACTACTCATACGCTCAAACCAGTTCAAGTTTCTACACAAGTTGTAGCAGGGCAAAACTACTTTTATAAGGTTTGTAAATTATTTTATATATTTTTTTGCAAATATTATCAATTAAAATTAGGTCGAATTACCCGATAAAAAATATGCAACAGCTCGTGTTTACCACGTTCCATGGCAACAAGACACACATGGTAAACCAGAACAAGTGGCTATACATGATAAATTACTGAATAGTCCAAATGAAAATGTTGGTCATTTTTAAAGCATCATAATATATTTCATTTGCTTCAATTATTTAATCAGTAGAATACATATAAGGAAAGCAAAATGGAAAATTTTTGTAGTCAGCAATTCTGTATCTTGATTATTTCAATATAACTTCGCTTTTACAGTATTCTCGAAAATGTAACTCTTGTAAACTACATAATTAGCAAATAAAAGACTTTCGAAAAAAGAACAATTCATAGTTTTTTATTGATCATCTTCTGCATCGGTATGATGCGAAACTGAACTGGTTTCATCGCTAAAGGCAATTAGTTCACAATGTCGAAAAAAATCATGAGGTGCCTAATTCGAATTCAAATATAAATGGACACCCAACTGCATGGTATCAATTCCAAAAATAAGCGATAGAAGTAGATTCAGTTTAAAACGGTGTGAGTGTTAGGTATCCCTGTGCCTTCTTGATGTTAATAACGAATGAGTACCATAACGATGGAACTAATTTTATCATTGAAGAAAGAGGAGTATATATAGAGGGAATATGTGTCTGGGAATGAGTATACAAATGTCGATGAGTCAATGAAATAATATATGACTGTAACATTTCTCCTCGCCAACAACAATGTGGCTCCACACACATTAAAATGTACAAAAAAAGACGATTGAAATAAATGAGAATGCTGATACGAAGTGAAACAAGAACAAAAGAGCATCAGAAACAATAATATAACGATACTATGAAAAATAAAAAACAGAAAGAATCAATGTGATTGGTATGTGGACTAAGTTCTATAAACTACTGCGATGTGTAAAACGATATCGACAATAGTTTTAGATGCAGTACATACGATGAAAGTTTTTGAGAGACGAAAGAATAACGATATAGCCCAGAAAATTTGTATATTGAAAACCAAGATTGTCGATAAAAAAATCTGCCATTTTAGATAATTGAAGATTGATACGACGAGACGAATGCAACTTTGAAAACATTTTTCATAAGTTGTTTCCTGCGTTTTTGTTTCGATTGAGTCATAGAACGAATGCCGATTTGATACCGAATACCAAATGTCCGAATGAGGATGTAAGTGTTCCCAATGAATTAGAGATATCGTATACTAAAACAGTTTCGTTTATTATTGACGTTAATAAACAATTGCGACGATGGTAATGACAAATGAATATAGTGATTCACTTGCTTTGAGAATACAACATCAAGAAAGAGAGTCACGGCACCAAAATGTTAAGGATCACTGTGTCTTCTTGATGTTAATAACGAATGAGTACTCTAACGATGGAATTAACTTTATCATTGAAGAAAGAGGAGTATATATAGCGGGAATATGTGCCAGGGAATGAGTATACAAATGTCGATGAGTCAAGGAATAAACATATGACTGTAACAGTGGATGTGGGTTCAGGGGGGCTAAGGGGTAACTGGGTGGCGGTGCGGGGTACTTCAAATATGGGTGTGATTGTAGGGGTATATATATATATTCATATGTCGCATATATCGGAAAGTTAAACTAAAACTAAATCTAGGAATAGATTTAGTTTTAATTTAACTTTTTCTTGCCTCCATTTATATTCGAACTCGAATTAGACAGCTACTCGTATTTTACTCGCCGAAAGTGAGTGGTGTCACATATCCAAGATTTTTTAGATGCTACCACATCTCCCACAGGAGATGTCGCGTCTCCCGCTAGAGACGTGACACTCATATTCGGGAGATGCGGTCATTCACCACTGGAGATATAAGATCTCCTTTAGAGATGCGCATCCCCGACACCCACACCCTATGTTTGAAGCTAGCAATTCTATGTAATATTACCATTTTATATTGGTCTTCAAAATGTGAATGATCTAAAATTACTAGCAAATAAAATTCAAATTTATAACATACGATGATACTTACGACCGTCAAAACACAAACCGATTCAAATAATTTTTTCTGTTATTTAAAACAGATCATTATAGGCAACAAGTTTTTATTTCAGACAAACGAAAAGTATACATTATTATTGAACTGTTCGATCATCAGAGTTGTTCAAAATTTTCTTCATTTAACTATGCAATCGAATGAATTCATACAGTTATCAAAGCTTCATATGATATTAAAACCGTTATCTTGCATTGGTATTTCTGATGTTGATATAAATACTGAGATACCGAAGAGGATAACTCACCGATAGAGAGTCAATTGGGACACTGGTTATGTTTGGATCGATTTTCATTGGCACACTGGTGTCCACTTTCGCTACAGTATTCAAATTTCAACTCTATCAGAATATACTAGTTTAGTAGCGTTGTGTTACAGTCTTTCAGTAAATAATAATACCAATCTATCATTTTGTTATGAACTACACTGAACTGATAGTCAATAGACTGAAAAGAAGTCATTTTCACCGCACAACGAATATACAAATAAAGAAAATTCTAGTTAAGGCGTTTTGTTTTGTATATATTTTCTCATTAGTTTTATTTTATCTACTCATATTCATGTCACTAAAAGTTCACTGCAATTTCAATATATGAATGAAGACACCCAATCGTGTGAAGAAATATATTATAGGTACTTCTAAGATGTTATCTGACGAGTTTCTGTTAATAAAGTTTATCAAAAAAAGTATCGAAAATTTTCTTGGTTTTAATCATTTGAAAGAAGTAAAAAGAACGTTATTTTTCATAGGAATCATTGAGAGATCGATCGCAAAAATTTTGAATAGAACATGTATAAATTATCATCGATGAAATCCAAAATTTCATTTGAAAGCTTTTAACAAAAAAATCAAGGTCAAACTAAATTGTAATACAATGTTCAATAGTTAGGGATTGGCTCTGTCTAAAAATGAACAACGTGACATTCTGTCTTGATCGTAGCAAATATTATTGAAGTGTGTCCAACCAAAGTTTATTCTAACGTGTGTTAATATTCGGTGAGATTCAAAGTATTTTCTCCTCTTTATTTAGTCATTTTCAAAAAAGAAAGCCTATCTATTAAAAGCATTAAGTCGATCATACATCCATCGAATAACAATATTTTATAACTAATCATGGTTATAGTGATCGTTCATTTATTGAAGACATTTGGATTTTATTTCGAATAAATTTATACGAAAATCTTGACAGTTCTCGTAGTAATTACAAATCAATTGAACCGTTCTATGTTGTCTCTAGTTTTGCGATTCTATTAACGATGTAGCTATGGAAAAAGAGGAAATTATTTACCATCGATATTAAGTGTTCTTGAATTGAACGATGTAGCTATCGTCGTCATCAAATTATATACGGAAATAATCGAATTGCATAAAATTATAGAAAAGAAAATGATTTTGATCATTTTCTGTTAAAAAATAACTGTATCTGATCCTTTATCTAACTGCTTTGTTAAAACAGTTAATGAATAGTAATCTTCTCAAAATGTGTTGCTATTTTCAGATAATAAGTCGTAATAGATTCATTTTTTAGAATATTTTAGAAGAATTCTGTTTATGTGATAAGTTCTATGATTAGTTGGCATAGTTATTCATATGACAATGACATTTAAAGATATTGATTTCTCTTCGTTTTTCGGGCAATACGATTGGATGGTAATTATAGATAACATCAACGATGTGTTTTATAAGAGCTCTCTAATCTTTTTCTTAAATAGCTGACATACAAGAAAGGCTATTTGTCAAAATTATATTTGTTGGTTTGTTCGAAGAAAGAGCAACCAATAACAATTATCCCAAAAAATCTTATTTCGTAAACAGCATACGAGTGTATCTTTGTTATGTCCTACAAATATAATTGTAATTCTAATGTGTATCATCACCGAAGGATGAATATAAAATAAATAATCGGATGATATCCAGTACTACCAATTAATGACTTCAATTGTCTATTAGCGATACATAAACTTGGCCTGACATGTTTATTTATTTGTCTATTTATTTGTCTGTCTTTGCCTCTCTGGAACACTTAGTCTGTTCCTTGTTTTTTGCATATACAAAATGAAATGACACAAGAAGAAAAACCAAAGAAAGAAATCGGACGGAATAACAAGCACAAACTATTGTTAAAGTTGATGGTTTTCTGCTTTTTTTTCTCTTTTAAACTGTAGTCACAGCTTGTTCCATCGTATGATTACCAATTAAATCTTGACTATTGTCATCATCATCATCTAGATATGTTTGAGTCGATTTTTTTCTCAAAGATAAATTATCTTGTTGCTGGTGCTGTTGTTGTTGTTGTTGTTGTCGTCGTCGTACACGTTTTTGTCGTTGCTGTTCGATCTTTATTTCTTTTGGTGTCTCCATTTCTTGTTCTCGTCGTTTCATTTTAATTAGTAAAAAAACAAGTATAATAGCAACAAATAACATTATAATACAGAGAATAAAAATAATAATAATAATAATAAGATTTTGATGCAGAAAAGAAGATGATGACGATGATGATAATATTGGTAATGAAAATCTGGAACGCGTTGGAATCATAAGAAAGCAGCTTGATGAAAGTTCATCATCATTTGATAATGGTTGACAATGAGTTTGACCATCGCACAGAAGTGACCGATGAATACAAAATGAATTTGTTATGGCACTATCCGACGTCTTTTTACAATCAAAATATTCATTAGACAATAAGCATTCATTATCAGTTTCATTTGATTTAACTTGGACAACTGTCCATAATAATTGAAACCCACGTAATGGTTCTTTTGTTTGTCTATTCAATGAAATAAATTGTATTGTAAACCAATGTGAATCTGTTAAAAAATAATAAGATTTTTCCTGTTGTCCACATAAATCATCAGTACGTAGTTCACTGTGGATTCTTAAAACAGATGATTGACATCCTTGTGGTGGATCTTTTGTTTTTGAACCTTCCATTTCTAGCATATTTATTTCTAAATTAAATTGAAGTCCATGTCTTGTTACATAAGTCCATTCACAGATAATGTTTTCTGGATAACCATTACTTGATATGTTACCCGAAGGTTCAATTGTTTCATTAATATAAATTAGTGAATCAAACGGACTTCGACAAAGTGATGAAAATAAATTATTTGATTGACTTAAAAATTGATAACGTCCATCAAATCCTAAACCAGCTTCGGAATCGTCATTTGAACGAAAATGAATATGGAATTGTTGAGTTGATCGAAATGTTAAATAAGGTGCAGGAAAATTTCGATAACCACAATAAATAAATGGATGTAAATAGTATTTTGATGACGAATGAAGATTATAGGTATATGTTAAATTATCAGATGGGCAGTCAGTATAATTATCATCAACAACATTAAAGTAATCATACCATACAAGTAAGCGTGAATCTTCATCGAGAAGATTAAAATTAAATGTGCAATTGGAATTAGAAAAATAATCATTGTCTGATGAACGTGGTGGTTCGAATTTTCCTATAAATACAAATAAAAAAGAATTGATGATTCTATGAATTGTTAATCTGTCGAAAACTATATTTCTTGAATTCGTGTTGTTTTTTTCTAAGTTTTCTACATCAATGAAAAGTTATATCATACCTGAAAGTTCGCGTGCTTGATAATAGGAAAGATTACAAATAGTTGGATTTATTGGATCATATTCATCGGCGGGTACTTGATGATAGCTTTTGACGAATTTATATTTTGCTTGAAATTTCCCACCATTGATTAATGATGGTAATACATCTACTGCTAAACGATCATTTGGAATAAGTGATAATTTAAGTAAAGCATTTTTAGAAACGAAACGTCCTTCAGGCTTAAAATGGCCACAAAATGTTAGATTTGCTTTAAAATCAAGATCTTGTCGATAGTAATTACTATATAATGGCGATTTTTTTGTCATCATTGACATCGAACTACTTGATACAGTTGATGGACGTGAACGTAAACGATAATCATATATTCTACTAGCATTATAAATAACTAAAGTTGCTAGTTGACAATCAACATCAAGTTGATCAAATTCAATTTCAACATTTTCTAATGTATAACGATCATCAAGTCCTAATAGATATGTTGTACATGATGTTTGAGGTTTATATGGATGTGGCCAATTTGGTGAAAGAAGTTTACCTAAAAAACGAAAAAAATTTTCACATTAAAATATTTGCACCATAAATTCATCATTTTCTTTCTCGGTACCATATCCTTGACCAAATGATTTGATGGTTTGATCACATTCTGTACCAGATAAATATTGATTTGATTTATTTTTTGAGACGAAGTCAAGTTTAGTTATTGATGATAAAAATTCATATTTAGCCAAAAATCCGAATCTCCATAATAATGGTTGTCCCGTATCATTCAATTGGTTTTGTTCTTCGACAGTTAACTCAGCATAATGTGTTGCAATAAAATAGAGTAATAAATGATTACTTGTTGAATAAACATCTAGTGGTAATGCATATGTACCGCAGAGATCTGTTATATGATATTGATCTGTCTCTTCAGGTAAAAATTGATTATCAAAATTATTTGCTTGACGAAAACTAGATAAAAAACGACGAAGCTCAGGTGGATTCAATGTATTGTCATAAACTTTTATTAGATCAATAGCACAATGTTGTGCGTTAAGATTTTTAAAGATCATTAAATTAAGAAAACGAATATGAATACGTTCACCAGGTAAACCAATAAATGAATAATTACAAAATTGCCACTAGAAAAAAACAAAATTACCATTTTTTTATTACTATTTCTATCGATCAAATTTCATCTACTTACAGGCAAATACGCTCCTGGATATGTTGAAGTAAAAAGTTCACCACTTTTTGCAATTGATGAATTAAATATATAATCGCATGGTTCCCGGATAAGATTTTTTCGATAAGGTTGTGCTGATATAAAACGAAATGTTCCATTGAAGCCACGTTCTGTTTGTGTGTCTTCGGTAAAAAAACCAAGTAACAATAGATTTGTAAATGAAACAAGTCGCGGAGGTTTATTTCGACCACAATATCGATGAAGTAATTGATCATTGAGTACATTTTGAATAACATCAAAATTAGTTACATTAATAAAAACATCTAAATAATCATGTGTACAATGTGGTGGAACGCCACGAATTTGAAAAAAATCTACATCGATTTGAACACGATAATCAGATGAAGTTATAAATTGATAAAATAATATTGTATCTTGCGGATAATAATTTGGAAAATTAGGACCTGTTTAAGTAGAGTTTAAAAAAAATTAACTTAATATAATTAGGAATAGCTACATACTGGAAAAAACACCGCCATTTGGCCCATATTGAGCCATGTCAAATGTTAAATATTGCGTTTCAATGGTCGCTGATGACATAAGTAATGAATCTTCTTGACCACGAACTTGCCATTTAAGAAGCATTAAACAAATAAATATAATGATAGATGAGGAGTCCATTATGACAATCACAAGTAGAACAGAGCTCGACGACATGCTTGTCGTCTTCGTCGAACGAAAACCATTCAATGTGTCATGATGAAATCGGCAGTAGTTCGTGTCTTTTCCATTGACAGACACGCACAAAATTCCTGAGATCTACAAGGCCATATACGAACGAACAGAAAAAAACGACAACGGCTGATTAGTTAAAATGACAATATACAGAGAATAGAACTAGTAGTATGAGATGAGAAGAAATGCCGGTGGTAGAACATTGAGGAAGATCATCATCATCATCATCATCATCATCATCGCAGTTGTGGTTGCGTTAGTAAGAACTGTCTTTTCCTTTCTCTCCTATTCTCTTTTTTTCCAATATTCCTCGTGTGTGTGGGTGTGTTTGTATGTATGTTTGTTAGAAAAGATGGAGGAGGCAGCTTGTGTGATTTACTCTGTTCCGCACAAAACATAGAGTAACAGAAACATAGAAGAAAAGAGAGAGAGAGAGAGAGAGAAGACAACGAGAAAGAGAGAGAAGCTCAAGATCGGATCAAGTCATCGATGTCACTCACCACCGACCACTTCTTTGATTACATAAATGCATGTGATAAAAACGAGACCCCGGAAGTGTGGACAAACGACCTAGATAAAGAAAACAATTGTGTAATCAGCGAAGTGTAGAAAGTCGAGACTCGTTTCATAATGTTCGACGATTGACATGAGATGCAGCAGATGGTAGCCTCTGCTTCTATTTCCCATTTTTTCTTTCTTTTGTTCTCTTTTATATTGAACAAATATAATACGAATACGTCTTTATCCAAGATTGTTCTTAACATCAAAAATATTCCTATCAATTCTTATTTGATTAGATGGTAAGAAGAAGGAAGTGAAACCGAGAAACATCTACTATCAACACAAAAAAAATACACAGTTGTGCCCCGTCATTATCTTATACATTAGGTATCATTTAAACAAGCAATTATGAAGAAAAACGTCTACGAGATAGTCAGAGGTTATTAACAAAACGATGAAATCAAAAAAGATCAAACATATCGACTGAACAGTGGGAGAAAAAAATTGGGAGAGCATATCGCCTTGTGCTTGAATTAGCACCATATTCAATTAAAAACGACAATATTGAGGTCAATAACAGTTGTTGACGATAGTTTAGACCATCGTCTGTATTCTAATGGGAAAAAAATGAGGCTGCTTGATTGTTCTATATGTTGATGATGCTAATCACTTCATACACAAGCAAGAACGTTTGTCGTGTTCGTTGCGCAAGACTAATGCTCCCGTCATCATTATTCTTTCTCACGAACATGTACGCATGTACATACGCACATACATACATCTATACAATAGGAATAGTAGTGACCGCCGCTTCTCACTTTCTCTGTCTCATGTCAATCTCGATTAGCGTATACAATCGTTCAATAAAATGAATGTATACATCTATACACCGTCTACCTACAATATTACAGTTAGGGTCAACGTCACTTGATACGTTGTCATCACCTACATGTTGAAAAGCGAAAGAAAAACGAATAAAAAAATAAGTCGAAGTCAACATATAGAAACTAATGATCTACTTGACGTTCCTGTTTATTTTTTGTTCGAAATATTGCATCAAGATGTGACTAATTCAAGTAGCATCTTACTTGACTTTATAACAAACGATGCATTCACATATAAATATACAAAAGAAAGAATATAGATTTAAAAAGCATTTCATGTACGACTGATATTCAAATCAACTTCCTTGTACAAATAAAAGCATTTATATGAATCATAAATCCGAAGCCATACATACGGTTTCTTTTTATTCTCATTGAAATCTGTGATTCTTTGTTCATTGCATAAGCGAGAGATTTTTTTTCTCGAATAAATTATAAGATAAACACTGACTTTGGACGATCTATTGTTTCTTTTCATACATTTACATAATTTACGCAAGAAGTATTCATTTTCTTCTGTTGAAATTTGATTCTCGTGTTCAGATTTAGTCAACATTACACCGTCTCAAACTGAAATATGTCTTTTGTAAATAGAAACAAAAATATATCGTTCTGATAAGACTCTCAAGGGAGATACTAAAATGAAACAGTAACTTTGTCCTTTAGGCATTTGTTATTTATTGTTATTATTATATTAGTAGCTTAAAGTTAATATGTGTATTGTCAGGCGCCAATCTTATTCTCTTGAGTATTGGTCAGATGTCAATCAATTTTTTTTCTTCTGTCATCTTGACAAACTCTTCCACTTCATACGAAATATATTCTGAATATGTACCAATTGTATATAATGCGGTAATCATCTTTAATAATATCGAGCATAGTTCAAGCTCGTTATAACAAAAACAAACAACAAAGAAAAACAGAAAAAAATCACATTGCAGAAATCACCGTGTTGTTGTTGTTATGACAATTATGATTTGTAGTAGAGTTTGTTTCTAATAATGTTGATGCTGATGAAGCAGCTAGAATAATTTCAATAGCACCTTTTGTTTTCATTAATTCTAATTGAAATTGTAATTCATCATGAATAGTACGTTGTAATTTTTCCATTGCTTTATTATTTTTATCCGAAGGTGATGATGAAAAATCATATAAATATGATATTATATGTGCTACTTCAATCAAAACTGGCATATATGTTGTATGAGCAATATGTTTTTGTAAATAACGAAGAATTTTTAATAATGATAAATCGTCTCGACCTGCTAATGCTTGCTTGAGCATTTGACGACGTGATAATTCTTTAAATAAAGCTAGAACAATATCTGGCTGTCGACGTTTAAGTGCTGATGTAAATGCAGCATCTAGCGCAGCTGATGCTCGAAATTTTCGTAAATAATTATCGTACGGTGCAAGACGAGGACGACGATTAGCACTTGCAACTGGATCCATTGCTGTTGGAGTAACAATACCTAAGAAACAGAAGGAATTTTGTAAAAAGAAAAAGAAAGAAAGCAAAATTTATTTATTTACCAGATGGAAAAAAACGTCGTCTTGATTTTGTTTTTCTTGAACCTGATGATGCTGTTGATTTCGTGTCATTTGTTGATTCATCATCAATTGGCACCAATGAATTACTTGTACACATCATATCACTGTTACTATCGATTTTCATCGATTCATAACCATTGGTAATTCCAATAGTCGATGATGAATTTGATATTTGTTGTGAACCATCTCTTCGTTTTACTGACCATAAACCACCAGGCATACCAACACACAATGCTCGATCATTTGGCCCAATCATCGCTAATGACAAAACTGCATCGGGATATGTTATTGTATGAACAACACGAAATGTTGATGCATCATAAATTTTAACATGACGATCAAGACCACCTGATAATATATAATTTTGTTCGCTAGTAAATCCTGTACATAATATCGACTTATGATGATTTGATAATGATGCTAAAAGACGACCACCACCCAGTAAATCCCAAACTTTCAAATGAAGTCCACCAGCAGTTATAGCAAGTGTTTCATTAGCATACATCAATACCTAAGATAGTAACAGAATAAAATCGAAATCAAATGTAATTTAATACAAAAAATGTTTATATATTAGAATTATCTATATAGTAAGAAAAAACTTTAACTATATATTTTCATAGTTGTTATTATCATTTCACTTATTATAATTCATCTATTCAAATGTTCAACTCATATATTTTTTCCATAGGATTTAAATTATTTTTTCTATATCCTAAACTCAATTTATAGAATATGTCTATATATGATTCGTACCGATTCAATTTGATCACCATGATCAAAATTCATTAAAATATTATCATTATTCGACATGCGTCGATCGATTAATTTCATTGTTCGATCATAACTTCCACTTAGTAATAAATGAGGATTTGTTGCTGAACCTGGTGTTAATGCTCGAACATAATCCGTATGAACATGATCAAATTTTGATAATTGCTTTTCTGTTGCCAAATCGAGTACACGTACCGTTCGATCATCACTACCTGTAAATATATATGTTTTATCACGTGAAAAATGGGTACAATGAACAGGAGATCCTTGATGTTCTTTGAAGTGACGTAATTGAGTACGCGTTTCGAAGTCAAATACACGTACAATACCATCTTTAGAACCAGCGCAAACTAAACGACCATCTAAATAATAGAATAATCCAATAATTCAAAATGAAAAACAGTTCTATTATAATTATATTAAACCTGAACGAAATGTTCCACAATAAGCTGTATCTTTAAACGAATAAAATGACCGCACTAATGATAATGTATCAGGTGAATAGATTTGAACACGTGTTGAATCTGTAATTGAAATCCATTGTTGACGTGTTGGTGCTATATCAATAGTAGTAACTGGACCATATTCACGAAGTGTTGTTGGATGTGAACTTGATAATGGTCCCCAATATATATCATCATCAGTTAAAGCTTGTCCATCATCAATAGGACGTTCAATACGTAATTGCTTAAAATCACTCATATTGACGATACCGATCGAAAATTTTATAATTCAACAAACAAAGAAATAATAACAATCAACTACGAAAAAAAAAGTAATCAATCGACAACCAACCTATACGGAAAAAATATCATTGGATATAAAATTGGACCGATAAGAACAAGTCGACTAAAGTGACATCCAAATTTAATGATATACATATCGCATTCGTTCGAAAAATTTCACCACAATAATAATAATAAAAAGAATTTATTATTATTACTTTGGTATTATTAATTTTACAAACATGAAAGAATGCTAGCTAAATATTTCATGTTGTTTTCTATATATTGAATTTTTATTTTATTCATATTTTAAACGAAATTGAAGTTTTTATCACTATATGTGAATATTAATTGAACTTTAGTTATTTAATGAATGACAAAATTTGTCAAGCATCGTTAGAAAATGTATTATTTGAATTAACTTTTATGTCTGTTTTCTATTTTTCTCAAACGGTAACTGTCTCTCTTTTTTTACTTAGAGAAGGATAGATAGTCAGAGCATGATCAAACGCGGATGAAATTCTATTGATTCAAAACTTTGAGAATCTTATATATAATCAATCGAGTTTGTAATTAGAACTGCTTCATAACACGAGATTAGCATGTATCTATACAACTAAATCAACAATATTTATTAATTTTTGTTTTCGTTTATTGATGAAATAATAAAGTATGTGTTAAAGCACAATAAAAATTATAAATAGATATGTGTAAACAAGACGCTCGAATATCTGCCGTAAATAATTATTAGTGTAATTATAACAATAGAAAATGTAAAGATGACAATATCCTAGACATTATTAAGTTCTATTGAAAACATCATGAAGATATTACCAATAATCAAATGCATTATTTTCTTTTTTTTTCAAATAATTGGAAGTTTGTTGAATATGCAAAAATCTAAGCATGATTTTCGATCATTTATCTCATATGCAATACAAATGAGATTGAAAACTGATATTATAAACTCGTATTAACATAAATACAAAAACAAATAATGATATTTCATCCTTGTTGTGCATATAGTATTAAACATGTAGATAATCTTAAAACAAGAAAGGGGTGTGGATGTGAAAGCAATACTGATACCCATGCATACATGCTTTTTTTCTCTAAATTTTACGTCTTGTATTGTTTACAGTATATTCTTCCTGATGTTTGACATTTGTTTTCATTTTTGCCGTGAAAGAAATTTTGTGCTTGTGTTTTTAGAAATTTTAAAAATAATTTTGAACATTGGAAGTCAGTTTTTATCATGAGGACAATGGAAGACGCGAAGAAACAAGAGAAATAAATAGTTCCTATGATATCTGAACACTACAATGATAAATAAATATTTTTCTTTTCTGTTTAGGTACTAGTATCAAACCTATTGAATTTTCGAGAACTAAAAGGAACTCTAAAATGAATGAGTGATCAGGTATCGATTCGTTACATTATTTTGGACATTATGCATAGATATATAGGATAATAGAAGTAAACTTTTTTTGTGGAAAATTCATCTAGAAAATGAAGATTGAAGTTTGTTCGTTACAAATTAACGTTGTGTGTTGTAGAAATCCGCGTGACGTAAAATGTTCGTCATATTTTTCATTATAATTGCCGAGTTCACGGTTTTTGCTTTTTCAGTGAAACTACCGTCACTCGATTTCTTAGATTGATCATGTTTTTGTTTGAATTACTCGTATCGACAGGCTGATTATTGATTCGTTTCTCATCGTTGCTTTTTGTTTTGATTTTGCTAATGGTGACGCCACTGAAATTCGATATTCGCTGTTGTATACTATTATCGTCGTCTGGAGTACTTGAACGACTTCTGGCATGATCCGGTGTGATTTGATCGATGCATTGTTCCCTTTAGGCGATTTTTCAATTTCCTCTAATCTAACACGACCAACACTGATGATGCTTTCTTTATCAATTGCTGATACGGGTACTGTTTTTGTTGAATCTTTGGAGGGTGCAATATTAATAATTGGATCTTGGTGATTCGATTGACGCCGTTTAAAATTATTCTTTATTTTTTTCCATGGGCTAAGTTTCGTTACTTCCTTTGGATCGGATGATGCACAATTTTGTTTCCATAAGTTATTTTTGACTTCGGTTTGTCCACGACGTCGGGATACCACCATTCCTATGCAAATAGTATAGAATCTAGAAAATTTGATCTTGTCAAATTCAAGTGCATACCTCATTAAAAAGTATAGCCAAAAACAACAGCAACCTAATGCCAATAATAGTCCCAACAAAGACAGGCCCACAATTAATGGTATATTTATTTGATTCGAAACTAGAAAATTATAGAAATCTAAATTGACGTGTACATAAGGAAATGTAAATTTAAACGTACCAACAAGTTTTGCTGTAGTTCTAAACGCAGAGATAAAATAAAAAGATCTTTACAATCATTCTATTCAATACTTTCTACACGATTATGGCAATTTAAAACTGACTTACGTTTTTTTTGCAGAGAAATATAGGAAAATAAGCATTGTGTTAATGCAATTTATGACTAGAAGAAATTCGTTCTACTATTCGTTTATGGAAAAAAACAGACTTTTTGACAAATCAAAATATAATTTCGATATGATAGTAGTATAAAAGATTACTTCTTTTTTTATCTATCTATATGTATTGCTGTCTGTCTTTAAAAGAAAACACATTAATAAATAACTTTAAAAGATTAGCAGTGTTTCGTGAGTTTGTTCTTGCTTAACAACTAAATACATATTATAATAGTGAATAATTTTAATCATAAGTAGTTAACACCTTTCTCCTAGCTTCTATGAAATTAATTGTATATTTCTGAAAATGAAAAGCATCAAAATATGATTATTATGAAATTCGAAATAATCGATCATAGATCAGTATTGAGGAAAATTAATTTTTACGATTATAGCTGATTAGTTATTTAAAAAAAATAATAATAAGAGGATAAATCTTTTTTTACGTACTTTAGTGAAGTAGTGTGCTTGTTGTTGTTGCAGCCGTGATAGATATTGTGGTCGCTGTTGTATCAGTCGTTGTAGTGACTGTAATGGCAGTTGTTGTAGTTGCCGATGTTGCGCTGGTTGTTGTGCTGGTGTTTGTTGACGTAGTTGTAGTAGTAACACAGAGCATTGATGTTGTGACAATAAGCGTAGCACAGTACGGGTTAGACTCTACTTTTTCGCTATTTGATAGAATACAAATATGTTATAAAAACAAAATTCGAAATGAAATATTGAAGTTTACCTGGTAAAAGCAACAGCACAAAATGTTTGAGGTTCAATTTGATTTGTAGTCGGTGTCCAACGTGGTGTAACATAAGCCAATGATGAATTTGTTGTTGAATTGACGAGACTACTGACTTGCGTATCAGGGATATCTGCTGGTAATATCAGGCCAATAACAATGATCTTCGATTTATTACCGAAATTCATTGTATACAGAGTAAAATTTATTGATACATTCACTTGAACTTCCATACAGTCTGTTAAAGGAAAGATTTGAGGTATTTGTGAACACTCAGCTATCGGTAATACATAATAAGGAATTCAATGGCCACAGAACTCATTGGAGAAGTGCTTGCTGTCTTGATAAAATCTTCAATCTATGGAAAATATCATGAACATGAATAAGCATAAGATATAAGTCATTTTGATTAGAAGATTCTATATTCTTTAATTAAGGAACTTGTTTTTTGTTAATAGATAAATACTGTAAGTGAAAAACTATTGTTGTACCTATACTTTAAGTTGCGATAGTATAAATTTAAATGATTCTTTTCTTTATAGATTTTTAAAAGTTTTCTGATCGAGACTAAAAAAGATCCTAATAAGATTTCCGGAGTAAAATCATATTTTTACTCTAAAATAAATATAAAAAATTTTATTTTATGTATATATGAACATGCATTCGAGAATAAAAAAACAATATATTTAACAGTATTTTGTTTACCTGTAAAGCAATAGCATATCAAGCGCCAAGTTGTTTTGGTGTAATTGTTAAGGTACAATCAGATAAATTTGTCTGAGTAGACGCGTTTCCCATGCCACAAGCATCGCCACATTCGTTGACCCGATAAGTACTATTTACAAAATAAGATATTCAGATTCGTTTCAAATTCATTCACTTGTTGGTCACTAATTTTCCATGCATTTCGTGTTAACTCATGTCAATTATAATAAATACAAAATTTATTTCATAGTTATAGCTAAGAGCATTCGTTGAAAAAAATTATTTTCCTGTTTTAGATTTTCTATTGATTAATTCAATTTATCCAATAGTTCAAATATGGACTGATTTTGTACTCATGATTCTTATTGCAAAAAAAAAGTATCATTACAGAAAATACAACGAGATTTCTCTGCCTATTCTGAGTAGTCTTAGATTGCCAAAGTTGGTGAAAACAAGTAAATGTTTAAAGTGAATATGAAAATAAAAACTGACTAAAGATTTATAAAAGTTCTTGTTAATTGACTCAGCCATATTTCCGTCAATACTTTCAAAATCTTCTTTACAATCAGTAAAAAATGGATGCTTGCTATTTACGATCTATTATTTAATTTAATTATCCTAGCATCTTTTCATGACATCCTTTGATTATCTTATGATCTAGTGATGTTTTACGAGATTGATTAGACCTACGATTTGCAAGTTATCAAATTAATGACAGTCACAATACCTGTTTTTGGAGGCCCATAGGCAGCGTATGTTGTCATTCACATTAACATCTGAAACCTGAATTTTTATTAGAGCTGTTTGATTGACGAGGACGTATTGAGCTGAAGTTACTTGTCCTACAGGTGGTGTATTAATCAAACCATCAGAACGTTGTCGAAGATCGATCAAAGAAACAATTGACCATTGAGAACTAGATGCTGCAGATTTGTCCAAGCCCCTCCAAGCTTTACCTTGAAAGGCTAACCAAAAATATGCAGTTTCATTGAGTGTAGTATTGACAGATTGTTCGCTTGTTAACATGCCCAATGATGTATTGTATGAAATACAATCGGTTGCAGTAGAAATTGGATGAGTAACATAACCACCATCTGTTGAACAACCAGTGACACAAGTTAAATTTGTGACTCCAGTCGCTGTACGAATAATCGGCGTACAGTTCACAGTCGGATACAACCAAGGATACGTTTGTGTGCTAGTAATCAGAACCGATGGAGACGTAGAATTTGGATATACTGGCACTCAAGTGATTGTACCATCATTAAAATGATTACTCTGAATGGCAATTACCAAAATCAATATCAATAGAAACCAGATAATAATTCTGTCCATAGTATTCAATCTAAAATATACAATTCTTTAGATAGAAACAAATTTTATTCGCATTGTTCGGAAAACAATCAATTTTCTCTCTATCCTTTATCAAGAATAAAGATTTCAGAAGCAATCAACTTAAAGACTATAAGTTAGTTGAATACCTTTGAATGTCTACTTTAGAAAATACATGATTTATTTGAAGTTTGGTGATTTTTAATAGACTTAGACGAGTTTTACTGAATATGTTAGAAGTAATGGAAAAATAAGTGTTTTAAACATCATAGTTGTTGCTTTCTTTTGAAAATTTTCAAAAACTTCACAAATTTGAGAATCTGGAAACACTGTATGAAGACATTATATACATTTTTATCGGTAATAATCTATACTTAGATTTTTAACGCATGGCAATTTGAGAGAAACTTAACTTTCTAAATACGATTTGATGCGCCGTATCAAGCTCTACAAAACGATTCACATTGCAAGGAACAGATAATTCTTAAATTGAAGATGAATAGTTCTAATAGAAGAAAACCGTTTACAGCAGTCTAGTTGGTTATTATACGTAATATTTGTCACTGATCTATTGTTATTACGTATTACAAAATATAAGGCGAAAGAAAAATGTTTTCCATTTATATGATTGAAAGTCTTGTTTGAATTTTCTCCTGTCAATCAATGAACTAGAACTAGAACATATCATCATTTTTTAATTTTAGATAACTTACAGCAAATATTGATAAGTATCTGTGTTATCATCACTACAATAACAAGCGCGATTCGAAACTGAAAAACTCATGTATTGAGCTGATAAAATGCATTCTGCATTTGGTGTTGTTATCATAGTTAGTTTTATATTATATTCGAGTTGAGAAGAACATTTAATTTGAGTCAAAACAAAAAAAAAGATCGCATCGACTCATAAGAAAAATAAAGTAAAAAGGTGTATACTAAAATATTTATATTAATTTCTTATGTAGTAAATATTAGTTATATTGATTAAAGAAGCATTTCAGCATCTGTCACGATATTTCACTGAGTGCATGACGTAAATGAATTAGAAAGTAATTCAGAATTCAATCAAACCTTTGCCTATTCTAACTAAGAGAAAGACCATAAGTCTTACACGGCGTACCAGGGTCTACACCTATTTACCAGGGTCTACATGTATCTACCAGGGTCTAGAAGGTCTACCAGTGTCTACGAGGGTGTAGGTGTGGTTGTGAATGAGAATGTCTTCTTCATGCCTAGCACCCACATCCTCACGATATTCGTAGACGAGTGCATGACAAATCTTAGTGATAGTATCATTGGGATTTTCCAAAAAGAACTGTCACCTATCCACATATAGATAGATAGATAGGTAGATAGATACGCAGATAGATGGATACGTAGATAAATAGATAAATGGGTAGACCGAAGAATCACGGTAATGATCACGGTCATGGTAGGTATCTGTGAGGGCACGGTTTTCAATCATGGTAACTGATTGATTTTCAGCCTATCGTGGCACCCACAGTTAAGATGTTATGTATGTGTGTACACGTTGTTTTCAGCCTTTCATGGCACCCACAGTTGAAATGTTATGTATGTGTGCAGATGTTGTTTTCAGCCTTTCGTGGCACCCACACCCACACCCTCTGGTAAATAGCTGTAGACCCTGGCAAATACGTGTAGATCCTGGTAGATACATGTAGACCCTGGTAGATATCTGTAGAGATTTAGTTTTAGCTCTGAATTATATTGTAATTCATTTGCGTCATCCAGTGATTTTACTGCTTCGTTTGGAGTCCTTATATGAAAATAATGCTCTTTTTAATTTTGATTGAAAGCTATACAGTAACTATTGCGTCGCAAATATAATCCAATAAAAAAAATGTGGAAACTTGGGATTTCATCCGAAAGTTATGTGTACTGCAAAAAGTGCATGGGATATATGAGTCATTCTAGAATGTCTGAACACCAAAATTATCATGAGAAACTAGGCAATTTGATTTCTGGATGCAGTTTTTGTGCATTTTGAGACGTTTTTCAGGCGATGTTTCATCAGAAAGCTACGGTTTAGCTCAAAACTAATATCAGATTCGGAATCAGCGTTAAAAACTGAGTCGATTTATATATGTTGTGAATAATTCTGAGAAAGATTTATTTTTTGAAAAAAATTCCCTGTACTCCTCCTCAGGGATGGCCTGGTCAAAAATGACAATTTTTTCGATAACTCAACCATTTCTTGAGGGATTCTTCTCATCTTCGAACTCGACCGAGATATTCATGAGATTGAACTGTGTGGAAAATTTCATCACGGTCTGACTCTCCTTTCGCAAGTTATCGTGCCTACGGCCGGACGGCCGGACACCCTGACCGATTCTAGAGTGTACTCACTTTTTGAGTACACAAAAACATCATATTGTAACTTTTCTTTATGGGAAAATAAGAAATAAATGATTTTAGTAATTAATATAAAATAGAATGAAAATAACGTGAGACTTTATTTTGAATACTAAAATATTCAAATGCACTTTAGTGTTGTTGTATCCACGAAATATACTTTCCAGTGAAAAGCGTTTTTGAAAATGAAAATAGTAAAACTGGTGGATGATTCAATATCTGTAAAACTTCATTGATATCTTCTCGCTTCTTGATGACCGCGTATACGTATATATTTCATGTTTGATTTTTAAAGAAAATCAACTTTTCCCAATATTTTCAATTAAATGTGTTAAATCATTTGTACTTATAGTTATAGATATGAAGACATCGATTTTTAAGTTTAATTTATACATAAGTAATAAAAAGAATTGTTATTTTCTGATGAACTTCTAATATTAAAATACAAAAAAAGGAATGTACTAAAAAATATTCGTGCTTTTGATTATTAAAAAGGTTTTTTGTCTGTGAAGACTTAAAAATTGTTTTGTTTAACCGAGGTGTTTTTTTTTTGTTCTCAAACATTGAATCTATATTGGAAGGCCTTGTTATGCTTAAGACATGAACAACCGTTTTAAGGAGACATGATGAAAAAAATTGAATAATTTAAAATAACTGAAAATTCGATTATATTGTCTCATCGTAAATAATTAGGAGATTCGTGAAGAGATTTATTTTGTACGAATTTGTGTTTTCAAAATTTGTTTCAATAAAAAAGACACAATTAAGATCATCGATCCAATTTGAAATTATCAATGCACAAATATAGTTCATATATTAATTCAGTAATGAAACAAAAAAATGTTTCGAATTATTGTTTCTCTTACATATACAACTAGTATTGCGTTTTTATATTGACTCACTTCTTGTTTTATCATAGTTAAAAATTCGATTATCCTAAGTGAATAATTCCATTCATGAAAAGTCACTATGTTGATATAAAAAACAATTATGTGCAAAAATAAATCGGAATAACATTGAAAATAATAAATTAATATAATCAGATAAAACAATGAAAGTATTTGCGAAAGTCTTCTTCATCCTAGTGTAAAAACTGATATTTGCAATTTTGTTCATTAAAAAGTTGTTTTAGTTACCTACTGATTACAAATAAGAATTAAAATACATCATATTTACTGTTTAAATTATACTAAGCATCTTACTTCTTTTGATTATACCATTTCTTTTATCTGTTTATAAGAAAAATTCAGCGTGAGAAGTGATAGAATAAATGAACATTCAATGTTTTCACATATTTTTTTTTGTTTGGATTGAACGTTTTGTTTTTCTTTGTAAAACGTTCATTTTATCAAAATTCAAACATTATATAAATCAGTTTCTTTTAAATTAATTTTCAGAAAGTTCATTCGAGTAAAGAAAAATCAATTAATTTGAAAAGAAAATTGTTTTAATGTTTTTCATCTTGCTACATTTCCATCGATAAATGAGAAAGGTTTATATGAACAATCGTAAAATACAGATATTTCATATCTAAATATAAACATAATTACTTAAACTTTCCATAAAAACATTTTCTATTTAGTTCACATCTTTTAACTCACTGTATTAATGTGCGAAACTTAACATTCGCCGAACGTATGCGTTTATATTGACTATAGAGGAAATTGTTAATACCATCAAAAAAAAACAAAGATTTACACGTGACTTGTAATCAGTAGATTCTTCAACTTTCAGGAATTAAATGTCAAGATTGATACATCAATAGAATTTATTTTAGAACTTCGATAAGTTGCAATTGATTCATATATTGATCACATCACATACTTTAAGTGTCGTCATTTCGCACACTTTATTATGTTGGTTACCATAATTCATTGAAGTGTTCTTAGCTAGTTCAAGATTGTTATCACAATGTTAAATAACTAAGAATTCATATACGTTGTTGTTCAGTCAATTAAGTTAAATCTTACAATTTTGACACAAAGCTTTCCAGATATTGAAATCTTACTTAGAATAAGTTTCAACGAAGTATTTAAAAATTTTGAGCAAATTCTTGAATCCAGGCAAGATGCTCCCCAGACAGATGCTCTCCGGTGACACTTGCTCCACGGCACTTGCTTCCTAACTGTATTTAACAAAAATGTTAATCAGCACGAGATTAAGATATAAATTTATTTATTTGAGGGTATGGCTGTATCGGTGTGACTGTGCCAGTGCAAGTATGGACAAATGGTTATCATCTTCACTCACCCACACCCACACACCCTCATCTTTGCATGAATCACACACTGTTGTGGAATCACTGTTCCGGGAGCCAATGTTGCTGAGGAGCAAGTGCCACTACGGAGCAAATGTCCGGAGAGCAACTATCCGGGGGGATGGGGGGCATCTATGTGAGAAGCATCATGTCGGTTACCAAATTCTTTTTGCGGCATCGAGTTTTCGATATAAAATCCATAGAAAAGCCTTTGATCGTGAAGTCTACAGATCTCGAGAAGAGTTCTTTGAAAAATTCTGAATGCTTCAGGAAAGTTTATCTAATTTAGTTCTTTATCAGTGGGAAATTTCAATAAAAACTTCGAAGTTCAAAACGTACTTCTTCAAAAGAAGACATATTTTAAAGTTAATAACTTAGCTTAGTCTTGATAGAAAGCCAATACATTTTACAATTTCCACTACAGCAACATATCAATGAAATATGCAACGAGAATAAAATCGTGAAAAAGCATCATTTTTACAATTTTACTTTTATAAATATTTTCAAGTATTTTTCTCGCTTTTCTTCTAACTGGTATGTAAAAAGGTTCTTCTTCACATGAGAAGGAATGAAGAAATGTACATTACATTGCGAATTCATAAGATTCAAGAAAAGAACTGATATCAGTTATATTTCATGAACAAAAAGTATTACAGAAGTATGTATATGTTAACTAGAAAGAAAAAAACATCGACATTCCTCTATGCTTGTGTCGAACAATTTCAGTTTACAAAACACTACAGATGTTGTGGAAAGTAAATAAAGATGCATTTTTTTTCTATGGTATTACTCCAAAGATGAAAGCAAAGCGGTCAAAAATATCGTTGTAATCGCATAATGGCTACAGTGACATCTCATTCAAATGATGTTATTCGTCAAAATGTAAATAGAGTATTAATAATAAAAAGGAAAGGAATCGGCTGTGCTTTGTTTTTATTGTACACTATGGGAATGAGCAGCTTGGATGGTTCATCTTTGAGTTTTCTTAATCATATATTTGTCAGATAATATAATGAAACTTTTCACATAATTTAATTCTTCTTTTAAACAAATAAATAGTATTTCAATGAATTAAAATACTTTTCAGGTTATATTTCTATGCTCATAACTTGAATTCCCTGAGGAGTCTGATCAAAGTTTTTCAATGTCAATTTTGTTTTTCTTTTTATTGAGTACAGAACGAAAAAAAAAACTAGAATAAATTTTACTTTCGAAAAGTTTTGTTGTTTCTTGTTCTCAAACAAAAGTAAAAGCTTGACAGAACAGTAACGTGATAAGTGTAATAATGCTACAAGTTATTTTTCAGTTTTATTTTGTTTTAAAATAGCGAATATATTTCTTTTATTTCGTCATTTCCTTATGATTGGTAAGAGTGTCGTTGATTTTTTTTATCTGTCGACGTCATCATTTGGGTACGGGTAAAACCTAAAGCATTATTCTGTTCTTTAGCATTTTTGTTTTTAAGGTAGTTTCGCATTATTTGTTGATATTGATCTAGAATATACGTAATCAATAAGAGAGATAGTTTCAATATCGAAAAAAACATATTCTAGATGGCACATGACGAGTCAGGTGGCGTGAGGGCTTTGGTCCGTTATACAGCTGGCATGGCTGAATTAGCCATTCATGCTGGTCATCCAGACAGAAAACATAATGAATATTTGCCATATCCCGATGAAAATTTTAATGAAACTGTTGATCAACGTCTTCAACGAGGTCTCCTTATATATATATATATTTTATTCCGATAGATCTAAATGTTTTCTCTTTTATTTAGCCAATAAATTTACTATTGAACATATACATAATCGTGGAGGCCAAGCATTTGTTCCTAATCTTACCGTTATTGTAAAATCCATAACTGCTGACAGAACTTACGCTGGTTTTACAGAATTTCTCAATCCTTATTTGTAGGTCGAACGGAATAATTCTTTTATTTTTACAAAGATAAAATCATTTGTTGATAGATACTGTATAACAGTTGAGCATGGTCGTTTTGAATGGTGTATTTACAAGCGTTATCGACATTTTCATGATTTACATAAAGCACTACTTCAATCGGTTCTAATAGAAACGAAAAGATCAAGAAGTGATTTAGAAAAGTATGTACGAAATCGCATAATTAAAAAAATAAAAATTTACTTCATATCTCTGTGATAGAAAAAATAATCTAAATATAGTTAACATATTTCTGATAACCATTATCGACCGATGATGCGAAATGGAAATATCTCATATTCCCTTTGGTAGCGGTTATCTTTAGCAAAAAAAGATTATTTTTATTATGAAATAGGTTTATTTGTTTAACTGGAATACTGTTAATAGAATATATTTTGATTTTTAGTAGAATGCAAGAGGAAAATAATGAAAATCCATGTTTTCCAACAAGAAATGATAGGATGGCATTTATTAATGATGGTATTATTCGAGAGCGTTGTGTAATTCTTCAATCAATTTCTTATTGCCTATAAACCTCTCTTGCTATTTTTTATTTCATAGGAAATTCTGATCGAATATCTTAATAAAGTTTTGAAACATCCAAAATTTCGTTCACATTCAGCAACGGTAAGAATGTATAATGAATATCACCAATAATTTCAAGATAGAAAACTGATAAATATTCAATGTTTACGAGAAAGAAAACGCCACTTTTTGCGTGGGTTATATTTTACTCCAATAGATGATCGTTGTGTTTAATCATATTTTTCTTGATGAATCTTGTGAAAGTAAACAATCTCATAGCTAAATTTTAAAAAATTTGCCTGTTCGTGAAAAAAACTCCTTGTTGTTATAATGAGGTCAGTGCTATTTAAGAAAACGAAAATTGCCTCGTATATCAAAAATTGCTTTTATTTCAGAAATAAGTATCGTTTTCTTAAAATAACATACAAAAAATACAGTGAAAATACTATGCTTCATTTATGACGACTTCTATACCAATAAAATTTATACGTAATGTATAATCGCATAAAATTTCAAGGATAAATATTCAAGGCCAGCATCATGTAAAAAAACAGTTACTGCTATAATCTCGAAATAATCGATTTTTTTACGATTAGAATCATATAACTTAAACTACGAGTTTAAGACAAAATCGTGGCACAGTATAATCATCAAATCGATTATTGTGTCATTATTTGTGAAGATTTTTCTTATATGCAAGGGATTATTTATTTTAATTTAAGGTATTTCCCGATGAAATCTAGAATATTCAATATTTGTTTTTTCCTATTGACTCTAAAAATCACGCTTGTTTGCAGTAAAAAATGACATTCTTTGACAATCAAAATCTGAAAATAGCTGAATTCTTTTCGCCTATTTCATACGGAATATGGTCCTACTCTAAGAATCATAATTTCAGTATTAATACCAAAAAACGCAAGTTTTAATATGACAGGATCACTTATGATACGGAACAAATTGACTTCAAACATATAAAAGCTTTTCTGTGATTATTTACTACGATGTGGATCTGCTGTTTTCAAAAATTCGATTTCTACGCACTGATAATTACTATCATTTTTCTTTTTCTTTTCTTGATAGATTGTACAAAAACTACCATGATATTAAAAACTTATGTTGTGAACAGTGAGTTTTCGAGAAATTACAAAGTGAACGATCTTTCTGTTGTATAAAAATATCTAGGCATACCGCTGGCTATTTTTTAATGACAAGAGAGTTCTTTGAAGAAACTATTTGTTTAAGATAGCTTTATTTTATTTACTCGAGAATATTCAGTTGTACGTATATGCATAGCAAATAATTCAATCATCTATTTATGCAACTATAATTAAAATTATCATACAATAGATAACTTCTATAGTTTGTTGAAAGTGATATTTTTCGTAGTTTATTATACTAATCTCTGCTAAAAATTAAAAATACCAAGCACGAAATTCTTTTAGTTTGATAAAAAGAATCATATTTTATTCTTTGAATTATCCTAGCGTGAATTTTTCGGTGTAAGTTGTTTATCATTTGTCTATGGTATATCAGTTAGTCGAAAAGAAGGCTATCTATTGAAACGATCTCACGATGATTATCTTGGTCGACATACTTTCTGTCTTTTTCGATTTTGTCCTGATTCATGTAAATGTCATCATGATCGAAAGTATGTGCCTTTTGATCCTTAAAGTCTTTATATAATCGCAAAATCAATTCTTTAAACGTAGATGGTTCGCTATTAAAGATACTTATTTAACTTATTTACGAACTGATACACATGAATTACGTTTTCCGATGTTAGTTGATCGTGGTTTTCAAATTTCAACTGGCCTTCGTAATGCAGCTACATATCGTGGTGTCAGAATAGAAAATTTACAGCGTACATTAGTGATTAAATGTCGAACAACACGGGATTGTGATGAATGGAAACAACATTTATTAGATTTAATTGAGAAAGCAAAAAGTTTTGTCAATGGAACAGCAAGTCGATTTAATTCATATGCACCTAAACGAGAAAAACAATTAGCTTATTGGTAAACTCATTGAAAAATAAACGAATAATATTATGTTATACTAAATTGGAATATATATAATATAGGTTTATCAATGGTAAATCATATATGGAAGCTATTGCTAAGGCACTTTTAACAGCGAAAGAAGAAGTTTTTATCACTGATTGGTGGCTTTCACCTGAAATCATGTTGATAAGACCTTCTGATGATGAAACATTTCGACTTGATAATATATTAGCACGAATAGCTGTATGAATTTGATTCACTTGATTATCTATGTTTCTTATAATGTGTTTTTCCTATATTATAGGATGCAGGCGTTCGTGTTTATGTAATGATTTATAAAGAAATGTCATTTGCTGTTAGTTTAAATAGTGCATACACAAAGCGAGTATTAAATTCGAAAAATAACAGAGGATTTATCAAAGTTAGTTGACTATTTAAATTTAAGAATGTTAGGAAAATATCCTTGGCTATTTAAATCTCTAAGGTTATACGACATCCTGATCACTATCCTAATGGTGGAGTATTATTTTGGTCTCATCACGAAAAAATGGTTGTTATTGATCAAAAAATTGCCTTCGTCGGTGGAATTGATCTTTGCTACGGCCGTTGGGATGATGACTTTATGCGGTAATTTATTCTCTTCTTTTAGTTTTCACAATCACATTATATATTTATATTTAACCAAAAAACAAAATAGCATTAACATACGAGTTTTATATAGACATGCTAAGGAACGTGCAGTGTTATTTCGATATATCGAATAATAAACTGCAAGCTTAGGATTCACTAAGAAACTATTTACACTGAGTGCTTTGATAATTGAATTCATTGCCATTTTGAGGCTTCTTAGAGAGATACGCAATTTCAATTTAGTGACTAGCTAGTTAATGTATGAGTATGCACTCTACCAGCATGAAGAGTGCATTTTTTTTTCATTTATTATGAATAGTTTTGAGACAATGTTCAATGGAATAGTAATGATTTTGTTTGTTGAACTAAGTATTGAATTAATTGTGTGATTTGTTGTTAAATTCAGTCTTGTCGATTTGGGAGAAGACAATGATCGAACGTTAAAATTACCATATGAATTGACCGCACACAAAGCAGCGTCGAATGATATAACACTGATAGAAACAGCACAACAAGCTAGCACACGAATGGTTGAGCAAGCTGGCGTAATATCTAGTAAAGTAAGCTGAATTAATATGGGAAGAGTGGGATCATGCATAAGTAAGAAGCATTAAGGGGAAAACAACAAATTATTCTGTATAGATATGTAATGTTGTGTAAAAGAAACCCTAATACATAATCCTTGAACTGTTTAATCACGAGTAATTACTCTGAGTGGTAACGAACGAAATTAAATCTAAAAAGAAAGGATACTTAAAAAATGAATATATACCAATGCTATAAATTGGAAAATAACGCAAGCACAAAAAGAATATATATATATATATTATCAATTCAAAAACATTTCTTTTAATTTATAAAAGATAACTTTTAAAATTTATGCTAGAGAAATGATCTTTTGAGAGCAGCATTTAGTGGTTCGAATAAAGCAGGTAAAGATATTAAGTTGGCCGGACAAACTCAGTCGAGTGGAAAAGAACACAAAATGAAAAACGTAACTAAAAAATGTAAATATTTCGTGCTTTTCCAAAATTGTTTTATTATTTCCTTCTCATTTTCAAGGGATGGATTCAAAAAAAAAAGGTAAATATTTTAATTTTATTTTCACTCAAAAACATAACCACAGAACCCTACGATATGCACATTCAAGAGATCACATTTCTAAATTAAAGTATTCTTCTCTCATTTTCTCACAAATATGTCAAATAATAATTATTATAAGTTTAATAGATTTCTCTTAAATACTACAAATTTAATCGATTCTATTCTTTTATTATAATCTTTTGCATAACTGATTTTCTGATTTTCAAACAAACTTATAAACTTCTTCTTCTTTTTAATAACAAATGCATTCAATATCTATTGGTTGTTTGAATATTATAATTAATTACTATTTCATTGATCCTCGTCAATCGCATAGGAGTAGATGAAACTGAAGATCTGATTGAAATAGATAATGGTAATAATCAATATTCTACATATCTAGTAAATACTAGAGTAGTATTGTATGTAAAACGACAACAGCGACTACTAGTATTGCAACTACTAATTTACAACAACTATATTTCGATACTACTTACTAATTAATTAATGTCAACCAAAAGATGTTAAGATGCTGCATTGCCATTGTTGTTAAGCTAATATGGTTAGCATTCTATGTTCACTTGCGAGACTGCTCATATTGTTGCTTTTGCTAATTTTTACTTCTTATCTATGTTGCTTGTGTAATGCTTTAAATCAAAGTCATTTTTTATATTCTGCATGTTGGGATTCTTTTTTTAAATTCTATCAAGAGGGATTATTAAAATTGATAACTTTGGCTATTTTTCGTTTCACAGCTTCAATGACTCAAGTGTCATGGCTCTCTACTTTATATAAAATAAAACAATCTAAATTTAGACTTCTTTGTTAATATAGGAGAAAGACCAACATCATCCAATCGGAGAGCAGTCAAGGATGACGTCGAAGCTGCGATACGTCCAGAAAAATATGCTCGGAAATGGATGAAATTAGCTCAAGTAAGTGATTAAATATATAAACCACGTGTAAAAAGTATTTATACAATATTTATAATTAATTTTTATCTCATAAAAATGCATTGATAAAAATTTACATGAATCAACTACAAAAAGAATTTTATGTTCGTTCTGAATAAATATACAATATTTTCTTCTAAACTAAAATTAACTCTTCAAGAGCAAAATATTTTATCATGAATCTGAGTCCAAGATAAAAGATGATTCCTATATAGTTTTCCCTTCTACTTGATTTTTGCATTGTGATTCAAACGGTTCTAACTAAAATGATGCTGAAATCCATTTAAACAATAATCTAGCTACAGAGTCAAGCTTTCTTCAGAATGTATTCAAAATATAAGATTTGTTTCTCTAAAATTTTGCCTTGAGTAAAATGTAATACATCCGAAGGATGTTTTTAATATTTTAGTTTCTAACTTACTACGATCGCTGATGTGATAGTAAATCAAATTCACTATGATAAATAAAAAGCATAAAATATCCTAACATTGCAGCAACAGAAGTTATGAATAATATAAAATTATTTATTATCCTAAGTATAAGCAAAATGTTCAAACTTGACGTTTCAAGTTTCGCTCACAGCTAGCCGATCTTAGTTCTGTAACAACAAAATTCTTGACATAAGTCAAGAAAGCTCTCGGCCTATCTTAAGTGAATCAAATGCTAAAAAAATGAGCAAATTTATTTACTGGAATCTTTGAACGATTAGAAACAGCATGACATTCTCGCTTTGTTGTGGATAGACGAAAGTTAACAAGTGTTATCAAACCAAAAAAAAAGACTTTTTACTCAGATTATAACAAAGTTAAAATGCTGGCTTATTTAGAAAGCTAGAAAACATGCTGATGACTCTGATGACTATGAAGACATCGAAGATTTACAACCTGCTTGTGATCCAACACCTACCATCGACAGAAAGCATCGATTTTTTATAGGGAAAGATTATTCGAATGCATACGAAAAAGATTTTGAAGCTTTAGATAAATACAGCGAAGGTAATTACTTCTATCGTTATATTCATATTATTGATCTATTTCAAGTATGCTAATCTAAATTTTAACACAGATTATATTGCAAGAGATTCGGTACCTCGCATGCCCTGGCATGACGAAGCACTTGTTGTTTTTGGATCAGTAGCTCGAGACGTTGCCAGACACTTTATTCAACGATGGAATATTCATAAAGTTAGAAAATAAAAAAGAACTAATTGAATTTCTTATTTTGATTTTACTTTTAAGTGTGAAAAAAGTTTGGAAAATGATAATTATCCATTTTTATTACCAAAGTCTTATGATGATACAGAAGACTTAAATGTCAGAAACTGGAAAGATTTTCTTGAAAGTAAACCTTTTCACGTAGATGCTCAAGTAAGATATTATTTTTAAATTAATACTTTTGATGAAATGTTTTCCCTTGTATTTTACATTTAGTGTGTTCGTTCGGTTGGGCCATGGTCAATAGGAACCAAAAGTGTCGAACATTCTATTCAAAATGCTTATATACAAATGATTGATGCTGCTAAACATTTTATATATATTGAAGTAGATTAATTTTTAAAGATCTAAGAAAAAACAACATTCATAATTACTATTTCATATTTAGAATCAATTTTTTATAACTATTTCTCAAGATTCACAAGTCCGAAACCAATTAGCTGATACTCTTTTTAGACGAATAGAACGAGCGCATCAGTATGAATTTATTTAGGATTATCTAAAAAAATTTTAATTCTTATTTTTGCTTTTAAATTAGACTCCATGAAAAATTTCGTATTTATGTTGTGCTTCCTTTATTACCTGGCTTTGATAATATCAATGCTGTGCAAGCAGTACTCTTTTTTATTATGCGTTCGATAACCAAGGGTGATAGTTCACTGTTGAAACGGCTTGAAAGAGCAGGTAAATAAAGTTTCTTATTCTTTAAAATCTTCTATGAAGAAAAAACGACTACAACTTATTGTTCTATATTGTTCTTCATAATGAATACATATATATTCTTCAATAATTCTGTGAACTATATTTTTACTTAGCAGATGATTCTCATTAAATATAATTAATGCTATTTCACAGGCAGATTAGAGAGGAAAAAGTCATTCAAATAAAAATAAAAATGGTCATAGCGATACAATAATAAATCTATTAATAAATTCCTTCAATTTCTTTGATATAAATAATGTTGATGTGAGAGGTGTAAAATATGTATAACAACGTCATTGGTGGTATTAATTGTTGCGAAATGAATACTCGTTTGTTTAAAAACTAATAAATTGTATTATTTATGTCCGTCATTTTCATGTTTTGTAGAAAATTTTAATTGATTCTACTTTTAAAATTTTAATTATTGAGAATGACAACAATGAATAGATTTTAGTTTTGCTGTACACTAGGAGATTTCATAAATCAGATGAGAAATGTTTAAAAAGCATGTTGACTAACAAATTTTGATACAATATTTCTATTTGACATGCTGCTTAAACTCTATGCACATATGAATAACTGAAATAATCGAGTCAGAGATGTTCACCGCAGTATTATGTTTATGAGGGAAATAGTGGAAGCGTCTGTTTTTGCAAAGAAAATACAAGATTGTATACATATGTTAGAGGTTTCAGTATTTACAAATGTAACAATATGACACAACAAGTTTTATGGTTTAGTATCCATGGTCTCAATTCAATACAAACATATCAGTGGAATGTGAAGTAAATGTTTTTTTTTTCTGATAGCTCATCGAGGTGTAGCAGCGAAAATTTTTCAGTCACAATAGATAGTTCTAATAAATCTATGTTAGATTATGGAAATTAGATAAACAATTAAAGAAGAAAAAAAAACTGTACTTTATGATATTCTTTTTGTCGACTTATAGGTATCCCAGCAGATGATTACATTAGTTTTTTTGGTATGCGTAATCACGATATTCTTATGGGTCGTTTGGTAAGTAGCAGTTTTTTGATTAATCATACGATTTAGATATGTGTGGTTTTGTTTAGGTGAGCGAAATAATATATGTACATTCGAAACTGATGATCGTTGATGATCATATGGCTATATGTGGTAGTGCAAACATAAATGATCGCTCATTGCTTGGTCAACGCGATAGTGAATTCTGTATGGTAATAAATGACCGTGAAGAAGAAAAAGGTCAATTTAATGGAAAGGAAGTTCTTGTAGGAAAATTTTGTTCTAGTTGGAGGAAACGTCTTTTCGCGTATGTTTTAAATAAAAACTATAACGACTTTAATGGCATTTGACTTTCGTTTTTAGAATGTTATTAGGTATTCTATGCGAGAATCCAAATGATATTGATGTAGCTGATCCGGTATCGGATGAGTTCTATCATTATTTTCGTGATGTAGCAAGAAAAAATACACTCATCTATGAAGAAGTTTTTGCTACACTACCTACTGATCGTGTGAAGGAATTCAGTCAAGTTGACTCATATACTCAAGCGCCAAAGATGCAAGATACTGATCCATTACAAGTATTTGTGCAAAAATAGATTTGATAGACTTTTGCAATGAGTTTATTTTATGTTTAAGGCACAGCAAAAGTTGAAAGGCATTCAAGGTCTTGTTGTCGCATACCCACTATACTTTCTTGACAACGAAGATTATTTACCAAGTTTAAGAACTCCTGAAGGTAGGAATTTTTGATTAACTATCAAGAATATGTTCAAAAAGTCATGATTGAATTGAAATCAAGATTATACTTTTCAACGAAAATGTTCTTTTTCTTTGGCTAGAATTGCAAAACAAAGTCTAATCGCTACTGCACAGTACACGAAACAATTTTACCCTTGATACGTATAGTTATCGGATATGTTTCCTTTGAAATTAAAAACATGAGTAAACACAATATAGTTAACTCCAGAATGCACACCAGAACTACTATTTAGTTTAAATTCTTTTTGTTTTAAAAATCGAAAACCATTCTTCTTGGTGAATTTTAATATTTTTCAATTACAGTATGACACGTGCTGATGTTCTTTCAGTATATACTATGTCAATAGTGATATCACACATTAGAATTCTAAATATTTAGACCTTGATCATTAGTTGGAGTTGATATTTCATCAGGTTTAAATGGAAAACTAGTTGTAGAATCGTTTTTAATTGTATCTACTCGTACTATAATGGATGTTTGAAAATATGCGCACCGTCTGTATTCTCCTAAGTATTCCTCTAACACTTTCTGTCAAATTGAAGCGTTAGCAAGATCATTCTCACTACTGAATTTATGATAAAATCGACAATAAGTGTTGTTAGTAAATAAAGTTTGTTCATGTTTTTGTTTTATCAATATTTGTTTATCAAATATGAAAGCGCTGCCCTTTATTGTTTTCAAATGATTTGACTAAACTATAAGATGATAAACATGTAAACAATCATCGATCCCAATTAGGTATTTCATTATTCTCTTGGAAATTCCAAGTCAACGAGACTATGACTTTCTCATCCTATCTTCTTGTTAATCAACCGGTTTCATTTTACGAATAAAAATTTCTGTTCATCTAATTCTGAATTAATACACAAGAGAATCAATTATTATTGAGCAATTGTAACTTTCATCTCAAAAAAAAAGAGAAAACAATCACATAAATGGCAGAATGTGCTACTTTTAATAACGTTTTGATTCACTTGGTGCTATCAATCATAGATTAACTGAGCTTTCTATTTTAGGTTTGGTTCCAAACATTACATGGACATAGAATCTGTATTTATGAATTGTGGAAAATCAAAATATGAAATCAAAATAAAACAGTCGAATAAAATGCTTGTATTACGATGATATTTTTATTAGATCAAAATACCCTTTTTTAATTTATATTTTCAATTGAACTTATGCTCACTTTGTGTGATAATTTCATTTATCTTTCATTCTATTTTCTATTGTTTGTTTGTTTGTTTTCGTTCTTTCGTTCTTGTTGTTATTTGTTCATATTAATGCTTTATTTTTTTGTTTTCACCGATATTTTTGTCTAGTTACTTAACTATTCAGTTATCTTGTTATTCAGGAGTGATTTCATATTTTTACAATGCAAAAATAATTATATAAATATATTTATTTATTTATTTATTTTGTTTATTTCGATGCGCTGTAACGCAAACTTCCCTTTTCATGTTCAGTTACAAACAAAATAGATCAGCAAAAAGAAAATGAAATTAAAACAGGTAATGTTCAGATATTGCTTTTGTTTAGTTTGATTGTTATGTATGTTTTTATGAAGGCTTTGCTTCAATCTGAGAACAAGCATTAAGGATAAGTAGAGAAAAAAACCAAGAAAACGTTTTACTTTTAACAAGTTTTTATAGCTGATACTCTAACAGTTTTGATGCTAGTTACCAAAACCTACACCTGTAATATTTGCAATTGAATATTTGCATGCTCAAATTATTCTGTCGAGCCTGTAGCTGATTTGGAAGGAAACGAAATACTGGAAATGTAATTTTGATCAGGTTTTAGAGTTTATAATCTATCCATTCCAAACCTAAATAGAGATTGTAATATTTTTAGATACGATTTTGTTCATTATCAATCAAATAGAAAGCATTTGTAACGAGTCGAAAATTATTCTATGATTCAAGCTTTGTGCTTTTTTTGAAGATGAATTTATAAGAGTGACGCGTATTTTTATTCAAATATAGTAAAGGACTTTGTGCAGAGCGTGAAAAAGTTACTTTCAATGGTTCGCTATCATTTTTTGTTTGAACGGTAAGCTACTTTGCGAACATGTTAAGAGTTGTCGTAGTCCGCCATTTTCTGGAGCGGATACTTCTCGACATAGTGAGATATAGAACTAGACTATCGCTTTCACTGAAGTAATCCTATAAGTATTTCTAAAGAGCTCCTCTCAACTCAAGATGATTTTTGGTGAATAGTCAGGTTTTTAGAAATGAATGTTTGGCAAGAATAGAAACTGAGATGCCTTAGTGAAAGTCAAAAGAATTTCACATAGTACATTTTTATGGTATCTTCGGTTCTGAAAACTGAGTCATACGACAGAATATGAAGTTTTCGTTTCGAATTGGAAATCAAAATACGAAAATGAACGGGAAAAGTGTCTATCTTATCCTATTTGTTTGACGTTCTGAAGAATATTTGACTAATTACTTTCGAAGAAAAACAGAGAATTCTAGGTCAATATCCAAAACGGGCACCAAATTCTGACAGTAACTATTAATAATTTTGGACTAGTCGAAAATACTTTCCGTTGATACAAAGATGAAAAAACATTCTGCCTGAAAACTTTCTGAACAAGCATTAGTATATTTTTGATTTAGATAAAATGATCGAAAAAGCATCGATTTTCACAAGAAAAAAAGTTTTTGCATCGAATATTGAAAGTCTCTCAAGAGAAAGATTACTGAGTATTTCGATTATATACCAAAATTAAACCGACTGATTTTCTGGCTCAAAATGAAAGAGAATACGATGGTTGTATTCATCACGATAAAACTCATAGTGATTACTCAAACCTTCTATTATTAATTGACAAAAAAACGAAAAAAAATCCATCGTTTAGTTTGCAAACATATTCGTTCATATTTGTTTGAGTCTTTTAATAGCATTTAGGCATTTTACACTTTTAACGTTAACATTGATGAATGTTGTTTCATGAACGTTTGCTTTTTTTGTTCTTCGCGGGAAAATCATTTATATTGAGTGTAGCGTAAACTGAGACGACTTAAACAAACATTTGAAAAAACAAAACGAATAATAATCTTTTATATTGATTTTAACTTTTCTATGAATTAAGTAAAGAAAGAAAGTATTATTTTGTGAAACTTTCTGTTCTATTGTTAAAGATAAATATAGAGTATTACAAGAAAAAGTCTTTTTTTATTCAATGATTTCAACAACTCTTCCAACACCAACTATTTGACCTGCATTGCGTAATATAAATCGAATGAAAATCGATTATTCCACTTATTTCTTAGATGGGAATTGTACTGTTAATACTTTTGAAGATTTTCAACCGTGGGAACACGGACAAAAGATTTTAAAAGACAAAAAGCTCTACTTTAGATATTAATTTCAGTGTGATGATAATCTTGTTTTTTCTATACGTTCGAATTATTTTATGTGAGACCACAGCGACCTATATGCACTTACGCGTTACTTCTGAGTATTTCATGGAGTCTCTATCAAAAAATCCATGAGTGTTACCGAAGCACATAGATTTTTTCAGGAAATGTACTCCACGTTAATATGCGACTTTCTGCCTAATCAATTTTTTAAACTAATTAAAAAATACCTGCATATATGAGATGGTAAATTTTTCAGTTTTGTAAAGATCATCAGTAGAATAGTTTTTCAGAAAATTGACGTATGCATCTGTTAAATACGAAGATATTTTAACAATATATACACTGTATGTTATAGCCAAAATTAGAAATCAGTCAAATTTAGAATTTGCCCAGTCGAAACTCAAATTATAAGGATTCATATGGGTAGAATTCTAATTTTGCCTTTAACATATATATTGTTAAAATATCTTTGTATTTAACAGATACGTCGATTTTCTGAAAAACTATTCTACTTTTGATTTTACAAAACTGAAAAATTTACTATCCCATATATGCAAGTATTTTCTTAATTAATTTTAAAAACTGATTAGACAGAAAGTCGCATATTAACGTGGAGTACAATTCCTGAAAATTCTATGCGCTTAGAAAAAACTCGTGGACTTTGTAGTAGAGACCCCATGAAAATACCCATAAGTGAACCAAATTATACGTAGAGATCGAGTTTGACCAAGGAAGTCATTTGTTGACTTGGTTAGCTCAAAACTTAAATCGTGCCAGACGGTCACGTCAAGGCAGATACAAAAAGTGTATATCTAAAAGATTCTCAAACAGTTTATTGTTTACTGAAATGGAATAATGATCTTGCATAAAATATTTTTTTGTCTACTGGATTGTATTTCATGTTTACTGTGATGTTCAATTAAGATATTTATGGGCAGATGATCTTTTCTTCACAGCTCTTTTTTTTGCATAATTGTAGAACTGGTACCAACTTATTTTTCTTTTGTAAAGAATGAATACTTTGGTAATTTCGATCTTGTTCACGAAGAACAAAATAATTGGAATTTTTTTGGAAATCGGTGTTTAGTTAGACTTGACTTTAGACCGAAAAACCTCTCTTTTGTACGTAACAGCTTCAAAAAATATCACTGAATTGTTTGCTGTGTTTTGTGTGGGATCAATTTCAATAGTTACCCATGATAAAAGTATATGTATTGTAGATTATGTAAAATAAGCGTTTTCCATACATGTCTTTTATGCAGCAAAATTCTACTCTAGTTATTATGAATTTACAATATAAAAAGAAAAATCGATGAATTTCGTAAACAATAAAAAAAAATAATAAAGATTTAATGAAAAGTTATGACAAAAAAAGCTAAGCCTAAAATTTCTTAATCTTACTTCTAGAAATGCCCAAAATATAAACTTAATTGTATTCGTTGGCAAACGATGAAATATAGAATACTATTCAAAATAGAGATTGAGTCACTGAAAGCCTTAGAAGAAAACATATCGATTCAATTCGTAATTTAAGCAATGATTCGCTTGAAAAAAGTACTTCCAATCATCTATAATTCTGATTAGAAAAACTATATACGTACAAAATTGGTTATTTGATCGTATTCAAGTGCTAGGATGATATTTGTTAAATCAAAGTATTGACAAATCAGCACTATAGATAAAATGGAATCAGTTTATGGACAACATTCTTTCAACACTAGAATCAGTCTGGATTGAGATCTTTAGCAAATGTGATGACATCCGAGAAAGAATTGATATGACAGTAAAGTTACACACAATAAATTACTAATATTAGTAAGAAATAGTAGAGGATATTTTGTTAGAACTGAATCAATAGTAAGTAGAATAAAGCAGATCAATCCATCAAACCGCTTTAGACATCATCATATGGTTTAAAAAATTAGTTATCTCGAAATTAGACGTGCAGATTATCTTCATTAACAACGAAGAATTTGACGAGATATGAATGAAATTAAAGTCAAAGCTATGTAAAAGATTATTATCAATCATGATAAAATATGATTTATTCAATTTTTAAATTTTAGATATTTTTTTTCGACAAAACATTAATTTACGAAGCATTCTTTTTTTTTCATTTTCTAAATGCAGTATTCCAACAAATAGGATCTACTGTTAGATGCAAGAAATATATTCATCTCTTTTCTGAAGTATAATACTGAATGTCCTCATGTGCAGAAGCCATCTATGTCAATAATTTACTGTTCTAATGTATGGCTTCTATTGAACTATTTATTCAATTGTCATCATTGTTATTCTATACGTCTTTGTAATTTATATATGGTTTATTTGTTTTTTTTTTCATTTTGTAAAGGGCAAGAAAGAGTAGTATATGTAGAGAGAGAAGAAAAACTGATCAAACACAATTCGAATTCATTTTCAATTGTCTTTCTCTTCTCTATCTAATCAATTTAATGAAACCTACATGTCTGTGCCTGTAGACGAATGAGCATACAAAAACAAAACTTTTACGTATGCACAAAGAGACATGATCCTAATTACAAATAAATCAAGGCAAAAATTCAAAATTGATAGTTGAATTCTTCTTTCGTTCATTTGCTCTTTTAATTCTAAAAGTTCAAGTATGGATGTCATAAAAAGACGGCAATGATGTCAGTCATTGAATGATTCTTAATAATTAATCGATCCAGTGACTACGATGATCTTTACATAGAAATAATCTTTTTATTAATTGTTATATGCGAATCATGAAATTGTTTTATTCGTTTTAGATTCACCTGTCTGTCATTTCAGTATAGCAATATATATAGTATATCAGTTAATGAGAAAAGAACGGAGAAAAGTCGTACTTGCATGCATATGTTGAAGAAAGGAGAAAAAATGGCTTCATATGCTCACATGAACAGTACAGAATGCATCTTCATATTTCTCTTGTCTCCAGTGCCTGGTTATCTTATTAGTTTGACGCGTGCACACATAGCAATTCCCATAAATCACACCCTCATATATACATACATTGATGGCAGATTGGGTTGGCTATACGTATGTACACTTGCTTGCTCTTGTCTATCTCTCATTGTGCGTCTCCATCGTTTTTATAGGTTTCAATCATCAGGCGACCATCTGGTTGAAACTCATCATCCTTGTGTACATGAGTGTATGTATGTGTTTATCTAATGAAAGTTTCATATCGCCTTGTATATGAGAAGCTAGAGAGAACGTCTCACTTTTTCTAAAATCAAATCCATATATTTCTATCCATCATAAATAGATGAATAATTTTTGACGTGCTAGTGAAAGCAAACATTCTCAAACACGTTATTATATGTTTACACAACGATTGAATACTACTGAATGAAGATTAGAGCACCCAAACTAAATCTAAACATTATCATTTCATGCACATTTATTCATATTAATCCTTTTTCATTGTTCTTTATCTCGTTTATAAGATGTCTTCATTTCTACACTAGATTCTTTTTTTTTATTATTACGAACTTACTACCAATTCACTTCTGTCATCAATATGGTTGGTCATTCGGTAAGCCTTTAGTATATCATCTATGCAAATAGTACATCCGACAAAGAGATAGAAATTACGATCATAAGAGTCTCTGATTAGGTGATGATCAAAGAGAAAAATAAGCGAAGACAGTAGAGAGTTGCAAATTGATTCAAGAGTACTTGCCGTTTCTTTTTTATATGTTGCGGAATTGCTGATAGCCGAAGGCGAAATAGAAAAGAACGAACAAAATTAACTAGCTGTACTACTGCTATGCATAAGTTCAGTGTTAGATGAGACATATGGTTTGCAAATTGAAAGTTAGCAGTTCAAGCATGGAGAATAATGATTTTGTCAAAAAAAGGTTTTGTTATCAATGAAAGTGGTTGGTTTTATTTTATTTTTTGTTGCGTATATCGCGATAGCAATATACAGATTGTAAAGAATAATAGCAAATAAGCGCGAAGCATTGTATCATTTGTTTATTGTTTAAATTAGTCGATTTTTTTTTTCTTGCGTTTTATTGTTACCATTTGAAAAAAATTCATTTTCTTGAAATCTGATATAAACCAAAATGGTTAAACGAAGTGCTTCCAAAAAATCAAAACAATCATGTAAAACAACTAAAAAAAGCGAATGCAGTAATAAAAATGTACAAACTGGTGGCAAACGACAACCAAGTGGCTATCTTATGTTTTGTTCTGAGCAACGAACGCATCGAAAGAGTGATTTTGAAATGATGAAACCAAAAGAAATCATGCAATATTTAGGAGCTGAATGGCGTAAATTATCTCCTCAACAACAAGAATCTTACAAAATTAAAGCTCCTAATAAAGTTCACCATGATACATCTAACAAAGAAGAAGCGAAATCACAAAAATGTCATACACATACGAAAAGTACTTGTCATCAATCTGAAGCAAAAGCGAAAAGCAATACACTTCATAATTCTACTTGTTCAAAAAATTCTTCAAAAAAGAAAGAAAATGCAAAGATGAAGAAAAATGCACATGAAAAAATCACCAGTCAAAAACTAGCTCATCGTGATGAAGAAGCTCATCAAGTTGATATTAATCTAACAGATTAAGTTAACAAAATGAAGAATAGAGACTTCTATATATATATATACCATTAGTCATAGTTATAGATTGTTCGTTTTCCCAATTTTGACATTTACTACATGAAGTGTCGAATTTTCCCCCACGACGTAAAATGATAAAATGTCGGTGTCTTGTTTGCGTTAAAAATTAATCTTCTATTTTTTAATAGACGAGTATATTAGAATATTTTTCATTTTTCGATTAATACAGTAGACAATCCGATTAGTCACATTCATTGATTCACTCTGTAGTCTACCGATTGTTCGTGCATATATTATGGTGCTTCGAGCATGGATGAATCAAGAAAAATAATTGACTCTTGCCCTATGACTGTTACTTTTCCTTCAATGAAAAAAAAAAAGAAAACTGGGCGAACTGATTCCGTTGGGACAGTGAACATTTATAATCGTTGTTAAACACGCAACATACACTAAGCTTTTAACAAAATGAGGTCGTGCTCTTGCTATATTGAACTGAGCAAACATATGTTGGAATTTGCACTATGAGATAGAGAGAAAGAGAGAGAAAAAAGAATACACAGATAACAAGAGAATTGTATTGTCTTCTTTCGGTTTATTTTTTTTATGACACAGAAGGGAGAGCTTTTCTGTTATTCTCGATTGGTGCTTGCCACCGATTGGATGAAAGAGTCTGTAGCTATTCCTTTTTTTCTATTTTTTTTGTATGCACTTTCTGTTTCGTCATCTAAACATCGCTCTGTAGTAGCAGTAAACCAAAGAGCGAGAGAGAAGAAAAAAAAGAAAAAGAATATATAGGCATCAGAACCGACGATCGTAGTAAAAAAGAACATCCGCATCAGCAGCAATAGAAAAATTAAAAAGCATCGTAGAGTTAGGAAAGAGACGAGCTCCTTTTTTTGTTTTGTTTTATAATGTCGGGTGTGACTAATATTAGCGGTACTAGCTTTACTGATATATCGAGTAAAACAACCGAAAGGCTTGTATACAATCATCCTATATTGAATACTCAAGCGAAAAATGTAAGTAAAATAATCCCAAGATAGATGATTTATTTATTTTAAAGTTTCTACAAACTAAAAAAAACATTCTTAGTGTAAATTAAGTTTCTTTTGAGTTATTATACTGATAAGATGAGATACGATCAATTGAAAGAGAAAATCGAGTAATGAATGAATCATTACGGCTAGTTCTGCTTTCAATCGGATAATAATCATTTGCTGGAGTAGTGAATCGTGATGTGTTGTACTAGTCTCAAGTATGCCCTTTCGAGTACTGTATCGATTCATGCATATATATATATATATATATGTGTGTACACCTGTATTAGAATGAGTCGATCTAATTTCACTGTCTAAACAAACTCAATGGGCGAAGAAAAAAGGAGAGAGAGAGAATAACTAGTTGAATCACAGGCACATGCGAGTTTTTTTGCTCATTCTCTTTGAGGCAAAAGAATATTGTATGTTTGTTTTTCTACTTCGATGCTCTACGGATGCCGCCATCACATCTATCATGCATGTTGATGATTTGGATAAAACATACCGATTGTAAATCATTTCTGCTTAATTTGTTTTGAGAGAAAGTGTGCATTATCAGTTGATTCTATGTCCGACTCTCTTTTCAACATTTGACGGATAAATTTCTGAAATTATGCATGTTAATCATTTTTTTTCTTTCGTTTACTCATAGCCGATGACTCTTCAACAACAAGAAATCAAAGACCGTTTGAATGCTACACCACATAACAAAAGCATTGTCGATTTAGATGAAATCATTGAAAAATGGGTAAGTTGAAAGACATCTCATCTCATGCTGTTTACACATATGAGAAAAGACATGGAGAACACAGCAGGTGTCCATGTATCACAAAATATGATTCACAGATTGAATATAATCGAATAATATGAATTACGTCATAGAATGAGACATTTCATTTAAAATATTTCTGTAGATATTTTAAAATGAAAAGCAAACATAGTATCCTTTTTTTTAAACTGGACGGAAATGTGCTGCCAATGTATTGCCATAAAGAAACGAGCTGTCAAATTTACATTGATAAATGAGTTACTCTATTGGTAATGTGAGATGTTCAGAGCATGTCATGTCATGCTCTTCTAATAAAATCAATTCTATTTTATCTTTTGTAAAAAAATACAGTAAAAATTGATACTATACTATTATTGATTTATGAGAAAGCTTAATTTTTTGCTAATGTTTAAACTTATTTGAATTGTCAATACTTGATATTTTAATAGCAAGCAAAATAATAAACACATCTTTATCCTATTTCTTATATCTATCAAAGAAATCGATAAGAAATTCTCATGAGTAAAATTAAGAATGTACGTGTGAAGTTAATTTATGAAGAATTTGATCTATTGAATCGTATTTTTCATCTAATCATTCGTTTGATATATATTCTATTAGGTATGGAAAATGTGGGAAGCATCAAAACGTAGTCGAGAAGATACGAAATATCGCCGTGAAGAACTTCATGTAAATTTAAATTGGAAACGTGTAAATTTTTGGCAATCTGACGCCGTTTTTACTCGGCCGACTCAACTACGAATACCAAAATCTCAAATTTTATTTCGAACACATTTTTCAAATAATACTGAAAGTGAACAAGAATATTCATTACGTGCTGAACGTTCAACAACAACAACATTAAATTTTTCATTTACGCGTGGTTTTACCAAAGAAAAAGAAGGTTGTATATCATTAAAATTGCCAAACGAAGTTTTGGAAGTTGGTGGTGGCCTTCGACATGAACAACGTATTGATTATGGAAAAGATTCAACGCTTGAAACACAAATGACATGGTCAGCGGATTCCGCTATTCGTGTAGCACCTCATTCAAAAGCTAATGCTGAGTAAATAGTTGTGTTGCTTTATCGTTCTGCAGCTAATTTTTGTTGTTGTTTAGATTATCTATCACTGAAGAAGAATATGCATCAGATTTTTCTGTTGAAGTACGTTTTAGTGGTAGAATATCAGCCATGATTAGTACAAGAAATAATATTGGTGGCTATTATAAATATATGGAGGGTGATTTAGCAACAATATTTTCGGATGCAATACGTTCAAGCAGTATTGGTGCATGTTCAGGTCAATTTGAAGTTCATGAACCAACACAAACAGTTCGAACAGTAATGACAGGACAATGCGCATTTCGTTACGGAATTGAACAACACGTTCATGTTGAACAAGAAAAATTACCAAGTTTATCTACATCATCTATAAAAACAACTGAACCACCACCACTGCCACCACCTAAATATCGACCACTTTTTACATCGAATGCAAATCATTAATAGAACTCAACTTTTTTTCTATTGTTGTATTGATTGTGTTCTTTTTTTCTTGTATATGATAATGTCCGGTTTATCTTTTTAGCAGAACCAATTTTTTAAGATCAAAATCTTTTGTTAAAATGAACTTTCAGAACAACCACTAAACGAATGATCTTAGAAGCAGATGTGTTATTTTGAGTCATCATTAGTAAAATGAGCACCATCGAGAATGTCTTCAAGTGTCGATTTATTTCCTAATTAAGATTTGGTGCATCATATAGACTAATGAACTTTGCAATATCGATGTAGAGATTTAAATAGAATAAATTTCTATAAGTGAACATCAATTTCTTATATAAGAAAATTTATATTCTTCCTTTAGAGATTCTCATTATATTGTAGACTATAACTAATTGTCAAAGTTTTCTATACATACATATTACGTTCGATCAGGTCATGGAATCATACGTCTAGAACTTTGAATCATTTTCTTCCAGATCACTTCGCAGATAGTGGTTTCTCTCTGCATCAACAGTAACATACATAACTAGAAAAGTAAAATTTCTTCGGATTCACCTATATACTACGATTAAATTTGTGATATCTACTTTTTTATGTTTCTTTTTCGTGTACTGTAACATATTACGATTCACATCAACTACCATTTTTTTGTTGTTTATCGATCAACAGTAACTATTATTTCAGAAATCGAAACTTTCATTGATAAATCCTTTCTTCTACAATATTAGCAACTCGCTGGTGAGTCAAATTCGAAACCAATCGGGCCGTATTGACAGTTTGTTCTTAGATAATTTCTATCCCATAAGACTTCACTCTTCTGTTTCAAGTTAGAAATGATAAAGCTAACCGAAATTTTTAATATTAAACTTTCGCTCATCGATATTTTCCATCATGAGAATTTTTAAAGTCGCTTTTCTAGGTGACGTATATTTGAGCTTGTATAGTAGAAAAAATTTTAATTCTACAATGAGTCGACATCAGAAAAGGATCTCTTGTAAATCGATTATCAAACACAATATTTTCAAGTGAATAACATCAATGACATAAATTGTTAATTGTTGCGTTTCCAGGATTTTGTGTCAAATGATTCATAGAGTAAGAAAATTTATTGATAAAGACTGGCAACAGATGCTAATCGTTTGGTGAGGCATATTCAAATCTCAATAGAAAATATTTTTCAAATCAGAAGTATTCGAAATATTAGGATAACCTTTGATTATTTTTTAAGATATTTATCTCAATAATTACAAGTATGAATGTAATTCGATTAAAAAGAAAATGCTTTGGCCGATCCATCATGATCTACTAATTACATTAAATAATGAGAGTAATCTATATTATTAGGGCAATTTAAAACTTGATATAAATATTTTATTAATAATGTTCAATCAAGTATTATCATTGACATTCTCATTTTGTGATAACTACCGTTTGCCTTAGTAAACGATGTTGTTACAGCAATGGTAACATCGATATTATCACTTTTGCACATTATTTTCACCTGACATAATACTAATTTTGAAAATGAAACGAAGATTCTTCTATAACAAGGTTCTGTTCTATTCTAAGATTTTCACCGCGTTCGAAACGTCTAGTATTTTTCCTGAAGATACGTATAATATCTTCGCGTGTCCTAATACAACGGCGATCTAATCATATTATTTTTTTCTCTAACAAAACTAGTCATTTTATTGTAATTTAAAGTCTAGACAGATCGCTTTGACAAGGGAACTATTGAAGAAACTGGTATCAAAGAGTTCTTTCGTATCTTCTTCGCCATTGTACAATGAAAGAGCAACAAGAAATAATAAAAACAATGCCGTATGGCACTATGCTATGAAACTCACTTACTAATACTGTCTAATTTATTTAACGAATCAATCAGTAGCTATATGTATATATCAGTTCATATATGGATATACTGCAATGGTTTAGAGAGAAGGCACCCGGACTAGTCATCTTTTTTCGGTTTTTAATCTATCCATACATGACGCTATTTATTCATACGAGAAATAAAGTGGTTCGAATCTGATAATGCATGCATAATATGTCATTCAAAAACTGAACGCAACTAGGTTTCACACAAATAGGTTTTAGTACTGTAGCAAGTTCAATCAATGAATATTCGTGATAGAGAATGCTTTTCTTCGTCTTTTCCAAAGTAGTATGTTGGCGAGCTCCGATAATCAAAAATGAAATCAATCAAAAACAAAAACAAACTATTTACTCAATCCTACGATATATAAGAATCTTATGCGAAATTTTCAGAGCTAGCATTTTTGAAGTAGCATCTTTTTATTACGGTTTATTATGGCTTGAAATTTATAACTAATATTTCAATTATATTCTATTTGGTTTGACTTGAAATGTTAAATTGTTACTTTTGAAAGATTTCTTTCTATTATAATTGCGTAAATAAGTTACTGAGAAATTTTTCATCAAAATCGACATTCTCCACAGGATCCTTGATGTTTTTGATTAATATTAGACAGTATTTTGAAAATTCTTCATCAGGTTTTTTGTTCTTCTAGCAAAAGACTATATGAACATGTTTTATGCTACAAATAGTTACACGATATATTTTTTTATTCTTTCACTTGAATCATCAGATTTAGCACAAAAAACTTAACTATTAGCGAGCTAAGCAAGTGATCATTGATAATTGATGTATAGATAAATATGACTTCTGAACTATGAATTTCTTCAAGAACACGTACTGTATTATCATTTAAACGTTTAAAGAAAGATGAGAACTATTTTTGGTTTATTCACTTTTGAAAAGTGGTAAATAGTTTTACTAGGATTTTAACTAGACGGATTAACCAATTCTTTTTAAAAGAATTGGTTGCCTGTTACAGATTTAACTGTTCGGTAAGAAACTGTCATGGACTCAATTTTATAGTCATATGATAATGATACGTGATAATATGAAAAAAACGTTTATCGGTGTAAATATGATCTAAATCAAGTGATAAAAAATAGTATGAATGTGTTCGTTTTTTTTCCTTTCAGTTCCATTCCTATCTTTTCTCGAGTCAGTTCATAAATCATTTTAAAAGTTATAGTTTGTTGAAGTATTTACTGCTATCTGATTTTTTATCATAAAACAGCGTAATCAGTTAATTATCTTGCCGTTTGCAATTTATTGTACTAAAAATGTCAGACATACGAGTAGTACAGCCGTGCTGAATTTAAAGGTGAATGCAAGCTCAAAATAGCAAGAAACACAAATACCACTGCAAGAAATTATCAGTTTGTAAATTTTCACTCAAACGAAACGAATAAAAGTAAACAAATGGATTCCAGTTTCTTATGGCAGTTGAATGATAGCCGAGCAGTAAAAATAAAACGATGAAAATATGTGAATTCAAGTCTTAATGCTAATATGATTATTGTCACAATTAATGCAAATTATGATACTATCAAAATAGCTGAAAGGATCTAACGAGTGAAACTGACATGATGGAGTATCTTTGTTTTCTATCTTTGAGATGCTTAACAATCATTTCTTAATCTAGCTCTGAGCTCTGCCGATAGATAGATGATTTGTCTACAGAATGCTTTTAAAAGCGCATTTCCATCACTAATCCAGAATGAATATCCGATTTGCAAATTTCTATCCGTTTACGATATCAGTTAATTTGTTGAAGTTGATGCTCACGAAGTTTGACCTACTTAAAGCTAGATATCTAGCATTATTCGATAGCACAATTTTGATTCTCTTTATTTACAATGCCCATGCAAAAAATTTTGTGCTCTCATTTTGGTTAGCATCGCATGAAGCCAAAAGTCTGTACGAATATAGATTTTTTAAGTTTTTTCATTTTCAAAATCCAAGCTTTTTCTCTCATTTATAGCTATTCAAAAATTCTGAAAATTCTATCGAAAGATGCAGAAATATTTCCATGGTGTTTTTCTTCCTATTTGTTACCTTTGCAAATTGACTAGTTAATATGGATCCCATATATATATTGTGGAAAACTTTTTCAATTTTTGTCGAGGCAAATCATGTCTCAAAGATACAAAAAAGGAAATGCTGCATTTTATTTGTCTCCCTCGTTACATGTGACATTAACACGATATGCCGATAGTGGTAACTTTGAATAAAGCGAAGATTATCACTTTATCTATCGTTTAGTGTTGTTTGTTTTCTTTTTCTGTCACTTTTGATACGCGTAGTAAAATAGTTTTGAACAGCTGCAGTTCAACATTTTAAGCTAAATAAACTTAAGAACTCTTCAAAATTGAGATATGTGAAAATGAGTAGCTACGATTCAACATAGTTTACTGATCTGTTAGAAATCTAAATTTCTGAAGCAGCTAAGTTCTTATGCAAGAAAACTGTAAACGGTAATGCAGATCAAAACTGCCAATTAGCGGTTCCATTTCAGCAATATTTAAAAAATAATATAACATCATTTCGATCCGATCTTTTATATTATCTATTTCATGATTTGGAAATTACATCTATAGAACTCGCTTTTTTTATGGTAGAAAATTTGTTCGATCTTATTGTTTTTGTTTTGATTTAAAACAAAATTCATTCTGAATCTAAATACTCTACTATGATATGTTAGACTCATTGTATTCTTTTATTAAAAGTACATATTGGGATTGCTGTCCAGCTCCTGAGCTTTTGTCTTGATTATCAATTAACATCAATATAATCTAAGAACAAGAAATATATCGACATTATTTTTCAATTTAAATTACGAATAATCTCTTATAATTTTATTAAACGGTCAAATTTGAAAACATCACTCGTATCATATGCTTTTTTTTCACATATTTTATTTAAACATTTCAGCAAAATAGAAAAATGTATTTTTTTGTTAAACAAATATTTGTTTGGAAACCTTGAATTTAAGCGAAACTTGTTTTCACGTGATTACTGAATGTAGGCAAGTTTTTTTCTTTTCACGGACAGTGAAGGAGAGATAAATTTCTCATGTAGCGTGTCGATTTCAACAACAGATAGTTGCATTCCCATCATTTTATACTGATGTCTCGTTCTCTTACTACACATTATGAAGTGATAAGCGATCAATCTTGTGTATATACACGTATAAACTTTGCAGATACTTGAAACATCGAGTACAATATGGAAAAAAAACACATGGACAATTTTGGATTTAAAAAAAATGATGCTGATTTTGTTGAATATTGAAAAAAATAAAATCAAAGAACGGAACAGAAAAAATAGCTTGGGTGAAAAGCGCAGCTGCGTCGATGAATTCGACCTAACACGTAAAACTGTGCTATTGATATGTAATAGACAATGTAATCGATGAAAAAAAAAATAGTCATACCACTCTCGAATACACACGAATACAAGGTTTTTAAAATGTGGCAGTTCTAACGTGCCATACCCATTTCTATATTCGTCCTTCGTCACGATTCTTTTCTTTTATTCTTTATAAATATACAACGATCACTTGATTCCTATATAGAAAAAATATTTAAAAGCATTGCTATTGTATAATTGAATACAAAAAGTTTACGTCTTTCATCAAAAAAAGAAAATAATGTCTGAAAACGAAGTAGTACAAAATAAATATGTTTGATTTATTTATTTCTTTAAATTATCTAAAAATTATTTTTTCAGTCAAGTTTTGCTTGTTTCTTCGATATCGATGGTGTTATAACTAAAGGACCGAATACCATTCCTGCTGCTAAATTGGCCATAAAGAAATTGGTTGAATACAATATTCCTTATGTATTCGTTTCTAATACTTGTATGTTGGAAACAGAAAAAGCAGAACAGCTGTCGAATATGCTCGAAGTTCCAGTACGTAGCTTTGTTTTTGTTTTTTTGTGAATAGATGTTTTTAGGAAAAGCTTTCGATTTTATTTAGGTGCATCCTAAACAAGTTGTATTGGCTCACACACCCATGCGTTGTTTAAGTGATTTTCACAGTAAACATGTTCTCGTATGTGGACAAGGTGATATTGAAGATATTGCTCAAACGTAAGAAACATATTTTTCTTTATTTTTATTCTCCTTTAGAAACTAGCTGACTGCTTCGTTTTTAGTGTTGGTTTCAAAGATACAACAACTATTGAGAGATTATGTGCAGCCTTTCCCGAACTAGATATGGTCGATCATACACATCGTACTAAATTGGTAAAATGTTACATTATTTTTTTGTTATTTCTTCAGCATTGAAATAACTTCTTTTTCATGCAGTGTGAAATGATAAAAAATGAAGGTCTTGTACACAGCAAAGATTTTCATCCGATTGATGGTATTTTCTTTCCTGTTCACCTTTCTATGTTGTTTTTTTGACGATTCGTTCTTGTAGCGGTTGTACTTCTTGGTGAACCTATTAATTGGGAAACATCATTGCAAATTATCACAGATATTCTCTTAACTCATGGTAATCCAAATGATACAGTAAATCCTTCTTGGGCAGGTCCTCACATACCGGTAATTGCTTGTAATAAAGATCTGGTATTCAAGGCTTTCGCAGATTTACCACGTTTTGGACATGGAGCTTTTTTGACGTGTCTTGAAGCATTATACAATGTATGTGTCTATTTACTATTGAAATTTAAATAATTTCTGTATATCGTTTAAGAAACTCAGCGGTAATGATTTAGTGTATACGGCACTTGTTGGAAAACCATACGAAATTTCATTTCAATATTCTGAAATGATGGCTAATAAATTAGCTCGTGCTAAACATCTACCAAAAATTGAACGGATGTATTTCGTTGGGTATGTTATTTGTATGGTAGTGAAAAATATTATTTGATCGTTTGAATATGTCGTTCGTTTTTTTTTCTAGCGACAACCCGGAAGTGGATATTGTTGGTGCTAATCTCTATAATGCTTTACTTAAGCGAGCTAAATCATCGAATGATAGTTTTACAGGATGTGGACTTTTGGCTCATCCACATCTATTAAGTGCTAAATCATGTGAATCCATTCTAGTATGCACTGGTGTTTTTGATCCAACGATACATCACATCAACGTAAAACAACCATGGGCAATACCGACTACAATCCAACCTGATGTATTAGGAGCTGTCAACTATGTCTTAAGTAAAGAACATATTATTTAAAATATTACATGTTTTCTTTACGTTAACATAGTATAATTCATATAGTTGTACGATAGAGCTCGAATGTTTAATATTTTGTTGAATAAATTTTTAATAGTGCATAGGAATGTTTCTATTTAGTTTAGAGTTATTATAATAAAATATGATTCTATAGATAGAAATAAAATTATGCATGAATCTCGGCGTGTTCTAGTTCAATGTTGGTTTTCAATGTACACAATGGTATGAGTACCACGGTTAGTTGTCATTTCATTCTCGTCCATACACTCTCATGTAACAACAGCAACATTTTGGTGTAAATGGCAACATCTTGATTTTGATCTGATCTTCATAGATAGATATTTTATGAAATGTATCTGCATACTGTATAGTGATGCCATTTTAATACAGATGGTATATTTTTTGTGAATATGATTATCTGTGCCTATCCAGTTATCATTATATTATTATATAATATATATAACAAATATATGTATTCAGGCTGTCACATAAAGGTTTCGTTAAAGAATTTGAATGAACACATTATTGTTCTTAAAGAGTTCTAATCCGAGTGATCTCAAATGTTTCATTATTAATGACTTGTATACTTTTGATTTATCATTAATCGGTATATGATTTCGAAATAATAAGTACTATCAGTGCTATGAATCTTTCAAAAACTAAGCCTTTTGTTTTTAAATTCAGACGTTTTATAAACACACCAGAGGTTGCTCTATTTTTTGAAAAGCTAAAGTGATATTCAGAATCGTAGCGTATAGTCATATCTGAATCATACATAGAATCCTCTTTTGCCGAAAAATGTTTTGCTCTGCCGAGTAAAATATTCTTGGAAATTAGCTTAATCCATTCGCTAAAATTATGATTCACTGATCTACGTAAGATATGGCGTTGAACATTGAACCTACTAATGTCAATGAACATAAACTAAGGAAATAGCTACCGAAGACTGGTGTTTTACCTCTATATACATTATTTTATTCTTGTAATAATATATTAGCACAAATTCAAACCAAAGTTCTCAACCAGCGTGTAATAATACGTCTAATAGTATATGACAGAATTTATAATCTAACCAAAACTTTTTAGTTTTTCCCAGTAAAAACATAAGATTGTATCTACACTTTACTCAGTTTTTACAAGATTTTCTTGAAATAAACTTTTTAACACCCGTATGCTACAAGTTACATTCCGTATACGATAGTAAATGGTGAAAATACAATTACTATATGGAGAGTCATGAGTTTTTGTACGAAGATATTCCTATTCAACACAGTTACGGATGAATTAAAGAGCAAGTGTGCTTCTAGAAACTAGTAAGAATTTTAGTATCAAGAGTTGGGCAGCAATGATGGCATCATCTAGTTATGTTCTAATCTCCTCGATGATCAGTGCTGGCATTCTTCCATATTATTATCTTTGTGTGAACATTCACCTACCATAACATCTGCTTAATTAATTAGAATAAAATGTTCAATTGTATCTAAGCAAATTACATGTCTGCTTATTATGCGAAAACGGTTCATTTTTCATCATTACATCTTTAATCAGTATTTGGTTGATTAAATTGTTACATTGAATTAAAATAATTAAAAAATACTATTCAATGTATGAATCTGTTTCTTTGATCGATAAGAAAAAGAATATATGTTTCATGAAAAATATTAGCAAAAATAAAATATTCTTCATGACTATTTAGTTATAATGTACACACTTTATTCTTTATTTGCATGAATATAAGACTTACATTGAAAATACTTTTACAATAAAATTGTCTTTAAAAAAAACTCATAGAAAAAGAACTGTTCTAAGATCGCTAAACAATAAATATTTATTTAAGCATTGAAAGTCAGTATGTATACAGCATGAAAGTTTATTATTCGATGATCTTTGAATGAAAAATAGTCTCAAAATAAATTGCTTCTAGGAAAATCCAATATTGAGATATGGAATATTCATGAACGCTTTTGAACTTCCCTAGTCAAACATCTTTTGGGATGCGCATAACATACTTGATGATCTTGAGCAAGAAAGTCATGCGCTATGGACACATCTTGAAATATTTCTTGATATGCGGGTAATAAGAGAAATTTTTGTAAAAAAGGCACCCAAATCGAACATTTTTCTTCTATAAATGAGCATTCTTTGAAGAAAAAACGTTGTTACCTATACCAAAAGTTTTATAATTCTTTTGTGCACATGCGCATGATCTTCTTGAACTTCTTCGGCAAGATGGTCCTGCGCTATGGACACATCTTGAGTTCAAGTCTTGTCAAGCGCTTGAAAAAAAAAAGGTTCAACTAGGGTTTGACCTTTTGATCTGTATTCTTCAAGAATGAATACTTCATAATTGAAAAAATAGCTGCTTTTATGCGTCATTAGAAATCAATTGCAGCATAAACATGTATAAGCTTGCAAAAGTAGATTAATTTATCTGATCAAAATATATGATATACGTATATATATATATATATATATATATATTATATTTCTTCGATTATTCTAATGTACCATTATCTTTTTTCTTATGTCATATTTCTAAGACAATTATACTTTGATTACTTTGACCTATTTACAAATTTTCAGCCCTATTGAATGCAACTTCATTGTGAATAGTATCGATATGTTTAAAAGATTGATGCAGAATTGAAATCTATCGTAGCTCGTTTTCCAGTAGAAATTTGACTTTTATTTTTCAACCACGATGACCACTAGTCAATCGAATCGAGAGAATCTAAAGTAATTCATAAAAAGTTGATGTTATTGAACAAGAAAGAAAGATTACAGTGGAAAAAGAACATTATTTCAGATTTACTACTTTATTAGCAGATAAGACGTATTTGTATTTTTTTTAGAACAAATCCCTATTCTATAGAGCTGAAATTTTGAGAATAAGTTAAACAATCAAAGATGCGCCCGTAGTGTAAATATGAATTCTAACAACCATAGTAGAAAGAAATAATCGAAAGGTACATCCACAGCATTCATTTTGGTCAGAAATATATCAAAAATAAAAATTGTCCTACTTCTCCAAGCCTATCAATCGACTTTAAAATAGACTCCAACAATTTTGATCCATGTAATTTACAAGCATGAAATAATTATAAACGAGTTATTAATACTTGATCGTCATCATTGACAGGTATACTAACATTAGAACTATTTACTTGTAGTTTTCGATGTTTTTTTAATTCAAGTAGTGTTTTCATTAGAGCAGCTTCTAATGATTGACATAAAAGCTCATTTTCTGGATCATTTATATTAGTCGACTGCAAATAATCTTCATCAATATCAAGTAAACTATTTGATTCAAAATCATCATTAACATTTGTTCTTGACGATGAAGTAAATACACCTGAATCAGATTGATTATCGGTTGTAACGTGTTGTATATCTGTTATTGCATCACTTGATGTATGTCTATGTTGAATGAAACGATTTCGTGCTCGACGAAGTACTTTTAATAAACTTCTGTCAACTTTCATCGATGTTGGTGACGAGGGTACTGAAGATAAACTAGTAGGTGTGAGGAAAAAAACTAAAACTAAAACTAATAAAAGTGATAAAAGTGAAACATACTCAAATGCATTATTTTGATTTATTGTTGTTTCTAACCAAGCATCTATTGAATTTTTATGACTCATATTATGGTTGTGATTATTATCATTATGCTGTAAAGATGATGTTTTGATTTGACCACGGATATCGACTAGAGTTGATAGATTTTTTAAAAGACGCGTGCGTTTTTTCATCATTTTTACTCCGTTTGAAGTTAAATGATCGTATAAATGCCATTGAATAAATTCTTCTTTAGATATTTGCCCATCTTTATTTGTGTCCATTGTGTTAAATGCTTGTTCGTATGATATATGATCATTAATACCAGTTTTATATTGACCAAGAAATTGTGCAGCTAATTTTTTCCGTGAATTAAATTCTTGTCTTGTTATATAACCTTGATTATTTGTATCAAAAAAATTATATAATGTTTCAATCGTACGTAAACGATTAGCTCCAGTTAATGCTGATAATGCATAAATGTATTCATTGAAATCTAATTGTCCATCATGATTTCTATCATATATATCGAACATCATAGAAAAAAATTTTCTAATTTGTCGATAATTTTGTCTTATTACCAATGTTTGAAGAAGTATTTTTGATAAAGTAGATTTTTGTATTGATGTATGCACAACTGATTTTCGTATAGATGCTAAAAACTGTTGTTTCGAACAATATCCATTCGGACAATCACGAAAAAATGTCTCACGAGCAAAATGGATATCACTTTCAGAAAAACCTGTATCATTATCATCGCGTGACGCCATTTCTATTTATAGTCATCCAATATATGATGGTTTGTATGTTGATACTTATATATGTGCGCATATATATATATATATGCATACAAAGAAGGATGATGATGTATGATGATTGATGTCTTTTTCTATTTATATAATATGAGACAAAAACAAGTCAAGCGAGAAGTGATACGCAAAGAATATACTAGCGTACATATCTCTTTATATATTTTATTTCTTGCAATTTCAGGATACATATGTTAAGGAACTACCTTTTAAACTAGTTCTCCTATCGCCATGTATAAGTATATACATATACGTATGTACACTACTCCAAGGTATAAGTAATATGTCCACAATGGCTACTTTTTGTATGCTCAATTAGAAAGGTCACGCAAACATATGGGCGACAGGAGCGATCGGCCGCCGATCACTTACTTTTTTTTTGTATTTCGAAAGACCTAAGGTAAGAAAGAGGATTAGACACTGTCGGCCTGAACTGTCACTATTATACATACCGGGAAATAGTTTAATGTTCATCATCGTCATCATGCACTGTCTACATACATCCACCATTCGATAAAGTCAATAGTCGACATTGATACATCAGAGGTGAGTACTTAGTTCCGATATTGATTTCCTCTTCTTACATACTCTACTATGTATGAAATATTTAAGTGAATACTTATGATGCCAATCTATGACCATATAAGTGAGATGGTACGAAAAATTTTCTCATAGTTATAGGAAGAAATGTTCCATAAAATTAAAATGAACCGATTTTATTATTATCCTTGAAAACGAATTTAATAATATTCCTAATTGCTACAATATTTCAATATGACTGAACTTTAGAAATAATCAGTTTATTCCATATTCTTCTTTAAATACGCATAAAATAGATTAATCGTGCGTAAAAAATTCATTCGAAAGCTTTTAACATACATTGTAAGTATAAGGCGATCTACATGTAGTTATGCATCATACATTACAGATCACTTTTTCTTTTTATTCTGTTCGACTTAATTCAAAGAAAATGATTTTTATATGATATAACACGATTATAATTATTCTTTCTTCTTTATGAATTGACCCTGAAATCGTACGAGACGAAATAATGCTTATATCAACGTATCGATTTATATGTTCACCTTCTATATCCGTTAGATATTTGCCCACTTCGAATAAAATACAAGAGAGAAGAAAATAAACGAAAGAAAAAGCTGAGATTAAAAGAATTAATCGAAAAATTCGATTTTATCTGATGTCAGTCGTTAAAGAGAAAATATTTCACATGAGATTGATATGTACACTTCTACACACCATGAGCAAACATCGACTCGTGCGAGCATTTATTGTCTATGTATGCTCCAATTATTCATACAAATGTAGACGTGACTTCAACCCAGTATTCGATTCTCTTGTTCGTCTCTTTCTCTCATCAACATCTTTAATGACATACATTGCTCTTTTTCTTTTACTGTTCACTTAAAAACTCAAGTAGTCTATATATTGATGAATATACAACATGAGAGAGTTCAAGATACACTTATTATAGAACTCGAGGTGTTAACTAGAACGTTTTTATTTGTCTAGTTATCATGATGGATGAACAATACGTTTTTTCAACATCATCAGCTTTATTTGATACTTATCTTATCTATGGTATCATTGCTTTACTACTATTCATTGCAATTATCGGTTTAATAATTCTATTAGCTACATCATGTTGTTGTTGTTGTTTATGTCCAAAATCATGTTGTTTATGTTATCATCATCATCGTCGGCATTCATCGTATAAATTAAGCAAAAGATCGAAAGATCTAGAAGGATCAATCAATGGTGATTCAAAAAACAATGCTTTTATCCGACGCCATCCCAGTGATGTAGCTGACTTCTCACAATTATATGATTCATGTCCTCATTTAATCAATAGTAAAGTTATGACAACAAGTACACATATGGATACAAGTTGTACAACAATCGATACACTTATTAGTCCAATATCACCATGTAGTTCATTTCATTCATTTATTGGACAAGCAACATCAACAAATAACACGAAACGTAAGAAGAAAAACAGCTCAAGAAAATTTTAATGTTTTTTAAATAATATTTTCTTTGTTTTAAATAGCTACTGTTAAGCAAAATGATCCTGGTAATTCAACACAGAAATATACTATAAGTACGGAGAAGACAAATAATGCTCCAGCATCGTCTACAAAAGGTAAAAATAAGTGCTAGATTATTTCTAATTAAATATTAAAAGTTCATTAGGTCCATGTTCACGTCCCTTTTCGTATATAAAAAATACAAATGATCGTGCGCAAATTTTACGTCGTTTTACGTCAAATGAACGTACTGTTCCAGCAACTACCGTATCAATTGATATTACTCGAATATCTTCATCGGAAAGCGACAGTACTAATCAAATAAGCTCAAATTGTACAAATATCTATGAAACAGTTCTTCCAACAGCACATCATAATAGTAATAGTAGTTCCTCATCATCGGATATATCAACACCTATTTATGAAACAGAATGGACACATAGTTTGAGACAATTGATGCTGACAACAACATCACCGACTAAAAATGACGGTGTTTCTATTATTAAACTTCCTACGTCACCGCCTGATTTAGTTCCATCGATAAAGCAAACATCTGATTATTTTCAACAACAAGATCCTCACGATAAATTTCTAGCAAGTCGATCAAGAATATCAGATTCAATGAGACGAACTACTATGCTCACACAATTGAAAGACAATTCAGCATTTCTTTATTAAAGCACTTGTTGTCATCCTTTTATTTATGATTGATATGCTTTGTTTTCTTCTTTTTTCCGTCTCTCTCTCTCTCTCTCTCTCTATGTATTCATGTGACAAAAACGAACGAATTCGGCGCCAGATACAATACTGTAAATAAATAAAAATTCGATCAAATTATATAAATATGCAAAGATTACATTGACTGAAATATCACTTGAATCTATTTCGACTTCGCTAGATATACCCAATGGTTCACAGGGTGATTTGCTCAGTCACCGTAAACTTTTAATAAGTTTTAAAATAAATATAAAGTATATGTTAAGTAAGCGATTTTGTAACAATCAGAAATTCATCCTATTGAAATTTTTAACTACACCTGAATGACTTTGTTTTTGACATATAAACTAATACTATAGTGTCGATTTGATTAATCATCGTACATTTCATGTAATCTAATATTCACTGAAGAAATGTTTTTTTATAAAATACTATTAAATTTGATAACAGTGAATGAATGAATAGAAATTTGTAATTAATCAAACTTTTATCTTACCTGATTTATTCATGATTCTTGTAAACAGTTAGAATATAGATGTGTTTATATCAATGATAAAAAAATATGATTATTGTAAAGACATGTGTACGTTTTTCTTTTGTCTCTGAGAGTCGTAAGAATGAAATTTCATTAAGCTTCGTAACAATATTCGATTACATAACCTAATTCAAGACAACACTCTATGATGTTCAGTTAAAACTACATTTACATTTAAATAGAATAAAAAAGCATAACAAAATGAGTACCATTTTATGTAATGGTACAATGAAAAATATGGTTGTTATTTCTTTTTGAAATGAAGTAAAACGATAAAAATGTGCAGTTGCGATAGCTACACCAACCCTCGTCTACAGGTAGACGGCAATATATGTTGCTATATAGATATAGATTCTTTTGGTTTGATTTCGATGCGGGATCCGGTCGTTTTATAGTTGAATCCTCTCTCTTCCTAGAAAGCTACCACAGAGTCCTTTGACAAAGTCTCCATAACATCTGCTGCTTTTTATCCAAATCAACCATCTCAGGAGTTCAGGAAGCCACGTTGCAGTAAACGAGTCTCACGGATCGAATGGTAACTAGCATCAAAACGATGAATTATCGCCGAGAAAGCTCATGCAGAAGTCTAAATGATATTTGTCACTCGCAACAGAATTTAAGTTAGAAAAAAACAATTATTTCATCAAAATAACCGAAGTCTTGTACACTTTTATACGTGCCAAAGAAACTGGTAATTGCATTCCAGTACTCTCTTGTAAATCTCCTAGAGAGTTCTTTCTTTTTCCTCATTCTGTAAAGTTCGGGAACTTCTCAGACGATAGTCGATTAGAGAATCGATTCTTCATAAAAATCTGTTTCAAACGAACATTTTGTTATCAATTTATCAGCAACCACTGAAACAAATATATATGGCATACGTATTTGTTACATTCATGAAAAATGATTTCCAAATTGATATATAACTGTGCATGATCCAGTTACAAACGCATTTTCATTCATAAGTTCAACAATAAATTTAAATGATATTTCTCGCTGAAATGTTCGATCATGATAGATAACTGGATAATTATTCTCATCATCCCGACAATCAGAGAAAAGAACCTTATGAAAGTTTTACAAAAATTTCATTTTTTATAAAACAAGGAATAATTTTGATTGAAAAAGATATTTACTACACGATATATTTCAATTGATGATTCACTGCGTAATTGATGCTTTTTAAATAAGCATTATATCATGATGCAACAAAATAATACGCTCCAATGAGCTATCCATTTGCCAGAAGAAGAAAAAAAGAATTTATTTGTAAATGATAAAATGATACTTGAGATTTTGTTGATTACTTGTTCGTTAACTTGCGTACGTTGATCAAGAAAAGCATAAATTTCTTTATCTGATGGATAACGTAAAAAATCCTAAAAGGAAAAACTTTGTTTAAACGAATCTTCTCAATTAGATTAAAAGAGGTAAAAATGTAATTTTTTTGAAATAAAATGCAAGTCTCTTCCAACAAAATCTTGAGTGTATGAGCCAGAGAACACCGAATATTCACACTCTTAAGTTTTACAAAATTTATTCACATATAATTTAACTGAGTTTAATGATTGAGCATTTGCATCAATAAATGGATTACCAAGAATGAACTGAGGAGAGATTTTTGAAGTAGATTTTAAATAAAAAACTGCTGTTCGTTCTTGTTCTTTTTTATATGGTGATTTCGAGATTGGTAATTCGGTAGGATGTTCAGAGTGAGAAAGATGATCGAAATCATCCTGCTGTAATTTTAAATTTCCCACATCTTTTGCCATTTGTTCAGAACTTATTTGATGATTATAATATGATGTATCTTCGATTGATACTTGATTAGTTAAAAGATGCTCTATTGGACCAACCATTTTTTCATCATTTTGTGAAATTTGTTTTTTCTCTACTTGTTGTTTTTTCCTCTTCTTTCGAAAATATTGTGCACAGAGAATAAATGTTAAAATAAATATTCCTATTACTGCACATACGATCACAATCGGAATCCAACTTGCAGTTTTTTGCACATTTAAATAAATAACACTCTTATCTTCATAAGTTATATTAAGTAATTTATTTGTAGCGGAACATCGATAATATCCATGATGATCTGAATATGAAACATGATCAATAATCAATGTATCATTGAGAGTAAATTTATGCCGAAAACGAATACCAACAGGCAAGGGATCATAGAAACGTTTGGATATATCCTTAATAAAATCCCAATGAATAGCTACTTAGAAGAAGATCCATAACAAAAAGGAACGGTTTTATCATGACTACTTACTAACATTTGTTCCATATGCTAGACAATCAATAGCAACCATTTGCTTTGCATAAGTATTTATAGTAAAAGATTCTTTTTGAATTATTTCAGCAACTGATAGTACTTTGAGTTGACTGGCTTGTTGTTGACCATGATGATATTTTGAACGACATTCAATTTTTGAGTTTAATTTTGAATAATTAAATGGTGTAGGGATTTTTAAAGTAATACTGGCATTATTTTTTACATTCTCTTTACTAGATAGCAATAAAGGAGTATTTTTACCAATATCTAGCATTGGAGCAATAATTGTCAACGATTGAATAATGCCCTGATCATTGCTAAAACATTCAAGATCTGATGATTTTGATGTATTGAATGGATATGGAGATGCGATGAGAATAGGATCATTAGCAATAGAGAAATTGATTGACTCGAACAAAATTACAAATATACAGAGCATACAGGAAAATTTTCTGTAATATAATTTATTTGGTTTTTCTGGCGCCGTATCTTAAACAATCAGAGCTAATTACAAAATTTCTTATCATCAACAGAGTACAACTAGGAGTTCAAGCTTTTAGAAGGTAAACAAAAAAAAGGTAAATAAATTGCTTTAATTCGATCAAAAATTTTTACAATTATTAAATCATTCATGTTTTTTAACACAACATATTATTCTGTGTCAAACACTTTATTGTAGATTCATAGCAACTTAAAATATAGTCTTAACTTCAATAGAATTGATACGATTCTTTTTCCTTTATACAAAAATAAAACGGTCCTCTTTCAGCTATCATAATCAATACATTCAATATGATTTAGTATGAGAAAAAGATTCTCTTTACGTTGTTGATTAAATTAATTTCATAGGCAATAAAAACAGCATCTCTCAAAGTAGAATTTATAATGAACTTCTTTTATTTTCTTCTCTATCTGTCACATACGATCATTTCTTCATTTATAATGTAACTCCCTGATGAAAATAAAGGAGACCTATTAGTTATGCAAACTAATTGAGACCATTTTTATCTATCTGATCATGTATGCTTTTCCTTTTCCCCGATGATTAAATAATAAATTCCATTAAAATAAAAAGATTTTAATAGCATATAGCTGTGAAAATTTTTCAAATCTAATAAAAATTGACAGTAGAAATAAAAGAAGATCATGTATTCATGTTGTATAATCGACTTTATTCTATTCATATAAGATTGTCGCCGATAACAAAAAGCAGGGTGTTGATATTCGAGATTTTGTTAAAAGAACAATCAAACAATATTCTTGGATTCACTTTTCTTTGATAAACGAATGTACCAATATATATATATATATAAATTTACTTATGGGTTATATAGTAAAAAAAACTCCCAGTAGATATTCAATATGAGAATAGGCAATACAATACTCATAATAGACATATAAACACACACAAACATATATTAATATATATATAAACGAAAAAAAGGACTAAGACAACAACAGATTATTTTTTTTAAACTGTTTTGTTCGATTGCTTTCTAACCGACAACAGCTCCGTCGTCGACCAGCACCGAGTATGTATATAATGAGTCTCGGTCATGTTCATCAACTTTTGTTATATGATTAAATTCTGTTGGTTTTGAAATAGCTGATTTCTTTATTTTTCGTTTACGTAAAAGAAAGACCGGTTGACGTCGTTTTGCATTGAATATATCAAATAAATCAGCATTACGTGGATCACATGATAGTTTAACAAAATATTGATGAAATTCGTCTGTTGCACTTGTATCATCAAATTTCAATGCAAGTATTGTACCTGTTTCAAGCGATTTTAATGTTACATGGCGTGCTTTTGGTAATCGTACATCAGATGCACCATTAACTATTGTATCCCAAAGTGTGAAACTTGAACCAAGTTCTGATATTATTAAGCGAATACAACGTGCTCTTTAAAGAAAACAATAAGAATTATGTAATCTTTTGAATAACAAGATTTTTTATTTACCTTTTAGGATTCATACCCGTATTGAAAAGCCATATAGGTACACCTGTATAAAGTTTTTTCCAATCTTTCAAATTAGCCATGGCATCAAAGTCCGATGTGTAAAGTGTAGCAATACTACGAGCAACGTAAACAAGAGTACCAATACTTTGATAAAATGATGCTACTTTTAAAACATCCCGTTCATTTAAACGAATTATTGGACCAATTTGAAATGGTTGTTGACTTCGAATCGAATCAAATGGTCTAATTTAAATTCGGAAATGAAACTTTGTTATTCTTTGCTTCAAAATAATTTAGAATATTTACCTATTAATAGTTGGTATTGAACCAAATGTACGAGATTGTACCAAGGATTGTTGCTGTTGTTGTGGATGACGAAAACTAGATGAACGAACAACTTGCTCGCAATCACTATGATACTGTTGAGAATCGAGAAATGCTCGAGGTATTGGTGCACGATATCGTTTTGCTGCTGTTGTTACTGGTACTGACGTCCCATCAGGTAGTAATCGATGTCGCCACGAACCAGGAATATCAACAAATTCAGTATGAGTAAAATCGAGTGATGCTACACTTAGTTCATCTGTTTCTCCTGTTTCCATACGTGTATTTTTCGATGTTGTTGCCATTGGAGGAACTGTAGCAGAACGAACAACAGTAGATTCAGTATTTGTCAATGAGGTTTGCTGCTGTTGTTCATCAGGTGTGTGTTGAGAAACATGGTAATGTCGTACATTAGATGAACCATAAATGTGATGAGGCGAGACTATATAAAGAGAAGAAAAGAAATGCTTCACTAGAATCATTAGGTTCAAAAATAATAAAGAATGTTTATACGATGACTGTCAGAAGAAAAACAGGACACACGTAACATACATGTCTAAGAAAAATACAGCTAATGATTGACGGACGAAGTGTCTTGTCTATGATGCAATATTGAATGCTGATAACTTGATAGAAGAGAACAGAAAATAAAATAGGAGGAGCGGTTATATGCGTGCTATTAGAAGCAAAACATGTGCTTCTATTGATGATCTATCTATGAAACGGTTTCACTTTGTAAAATGTCTTACCTTGTGCTAAAGCAATATTTGGCATTGATCGAATACTAGTTGATGGTTGATGATAATCATTAATTTGAATAAATTCATCATTCATGATAGATGTTTCTGGGGGTCCACCTTGTAAAAATTGTGATGATTGTATTGGATAAGATACGTTAAGAAAATGAACATATGGTGATGGATTAGGTGTATTAATTATGCCAACATGTTGATGTGTATTATCCATAATTTTTGCTCCTGTTGCTGCTGCTGCTGTTGTTGTTGTAGTTGGTGACTGATTAGTTGTTTGAACTTCAATGTTTCGAACAGTGGGAGATGATTGTTCAGCAGTAGACGCTGGCATTGCTTGTATTATAGTATCAGTTTTCTTCGACATTGGTTTAGATGATTGTTTAGTTGCCGTATTTGTTATTGGGATTGGTGACGTTGAAAGTTGAGTTGTTAATTGTTGTTCAGCTTCTTTTGATACAATTAAGAATGTCGGTTTAAGAACGTCAACAGGTCGATTCACATATTGTTGATGATGAGGTGATATTGGTTGAAAATCAGTATTAATCGACGATAATGGTTGACGTGTATTATAATAGATAGTTGCCGGTGCAGGTGAAACTGTTCCGTGAAAAAATGTTGGATAATCTGTATAATAATAGTGTGAAGGAAGACTGTTTCCACCACCTTTTCTGAATGTTGCGTAGGCTGGATACGGTACTGTATTGGAACGAGGAAAACTAGAGTTAGTTGAATTTTGTTGTTGTTGTTGTTGTTGTTGTTCGCTTGTCACATTCGTGGCTAAATATTCGACATTTTCATTGATGGATTGCAGACCTGTTTTCGGTTGTTGACTTTGTGATGGTGGGGCTGAGTGATGCTGTTGATGTGATGTACTAGAATGAGACAGAGAAGATGAATTAACATCGGATTTTGATAATCTAATTTGCTTGGTGATATTGTTCTCAATTTTTTTCGATGATTGTTTTTTTGTTTTCGCAGCTTCTCCTTTAGTTGTGGTTTTTACTTTCGATGACATGGTACACGTCAAATATAGTTTGCACAAATAAAAATGATGGTATAATAAAGACAGAATAGAAAATATTGCTTCTCGTATTCTAATGTTTTTACTCTCTATTGATTCGAATTTCGAATACACGCACTCATTCTGTGTTTTTGCGTTCTTCTACTATAACTTCGTTTTTTATTTTACATACTCTTTTTTTCTATATGTTTCGTATGAGTACGTCTACGGCATTGATGAAGAAAAGAAGAAATGAAGAGAGAAAGAGAAAAAAAACTATTCAAATAGCTTTCATATTCTCGTTTTTTGCTTTCATATGTGCGAAACATCGAATGGTGCGATATAAAAATAGATACGAACATTAATGATCATCATTGACTTTCTGTTTTTCTCGAACAGTGTATTCGCACCGCGAGTGACAATAGACAGTTCTGTTTGGTTAATCCACTGACTCAACTAAATTTGACCTTTGATAAGGTATCACTCAGTTATTTAGACCATCGGAGGCATGTATTTGATTATGCAGAATAATGACAATAATCTATTGACGCCATTTCTCACTTGGAAATCAGTGTTTGATGTGCGCTGGCGATTACCTGCTTGTTTGCATTCTTTTGACATTCATTGGTCTTTATAAATCGTACAAGTGTTGATATATGATTTTCTTTCTCTTTTTATTGTTACCACCGTTAGCAAGTAAGACAAAATAAGAAATCAATTGTGCGTCAAAATAATAGCAAGCTGTTATTTATAGATCTTTTCTTGTTAGTTATCATTAAGAAAAATAACAACAACAACAACAACAACAGCAATAGCCGTGAGAAATACTGGGTAAAAAACGAAGACTATGTCATCATGTTTGTACGATTATTATAGATTTATCTATGATATATGTTCGTAACATGCAGAACAGAAGAAAGAATACTCAGTAAAAAAAAAGCAAGAAAACACATGAATCAGCTCTGACAAGACAATGAAGATTAACAAGCAAACAACGATCGATCGATGTCATTGACAAACGATTAACTATTTGTCAGATATAAAATTATTCTTTGTTTTTGTTTACATTCACTAAAATACAGATTCAATTTTTTAAATAAAAATGATTTGTTTATAATATAGTAATAGATGTTATAATTATGGCAATAGTGGCATGTCTTCTCTTTTTTTTTATAACTATCAACTGTATCTCTAATGGAATGTCAAGGTCATGTATATACATGTATAAGTTTGCCGACTTCCGAATGGTAATGATCAAGGTCACACGAATAGATAGACAAATAGATATATCATTCTACTGGAGACAGAAGAACATTATTTTCTTCATAGAAAAAAAGAGAATCTCTAAGGAATTAACATTCTGTCAGATTTTATTTGACTAGATGGATATATGATGTTTAAAAAAGAGCCTACAATGCAGGATGATGGAAGGTTGGATCAAAAAGAAGAAAGAAAAAAAACAAGTGCATAGCTTTTCTCTTTCATTTTTGTTCTCGTCAATTGTCATACAGCTGCTGTCAAATACCATCATTGCAATATGCAAAATGATTTTTTTATAGCCCATTTCTTTTTTTTTGTTCTTATTTAATAGCTTCGAGAAGTATAGAATATCGATACTATTCTAGGCCCCATGTTATATTAAAAAAAAAGGACAAAAGATGAAAACCAGTGATACAAAAAAAAGTGGGAAGTGGTGTCGTTTTTCTTCTATTATTAATATGCTTTTAATAGAATAAAAAATAAAGGAAAAAAGGTTTGCAATTATCTCATCTTAACGATGTTACAAGCGGTAATGCACCGCTAAAAAACAGGAATTATTTCACGATTAGATATAAAATTATTTTTTCTTTGCTATTAAAGATAGAATTGTCAAAATAAAAAGTTTAACTTTTTCTACGCTCTTAACATAATATGCTGATATGTTTGCTAGTCATTTTTGTTTTATTCTCATTTGTGTATTGCTTTTTCGAGTTATTTTTGATATGAAGTTAGAAAACAAAAAAACACATCTCTTAGTGGCATAACTACTATCAATGTAACCCAGCAGGCAGCTTCTTCGATGATCAATTTTTTCAAACAACAAACCATATGACATTATAAACAATTATGAGGAGATTACCAGTTTCTGTTCTTACCTATTAACATGCTTTATAAACATATCGGAGGACAAGAAGAAAAACTAATTATTTGTGATGGATTCTTTCATGATTCAAAATGATTTTTTTGCGTGTTGATAATCAGGATAAATAAACGTAGAATTCAAGTAAAAAATTATAGATGGTTTGCTTCGGTGAATATGATAACAAAGAAATAGAGATGGATCGAGATAGAGTGGAAACAATGGAAATTGTACAGACGAGCAAACAGTCATGCACATAATACTGATGTAATCTGTCTCTGTTACATTCCAAATGGATAGCTGCATACTTTTCTTTGTTTATTTGATTCGAATTATGATTACTAGATGTTCATTCCAATGTTCAAGATGTATCGGTTGCCAGAAATGCTTACATTCACATCGTACATTGCTTTGAACTAAAATCTTTTGGTGACGTAGAATTTTTGCTCTTCAAACTGAGTTCATCTTCTGTTTGACTATTATCCAGTGGAAAATATTCGCTGGTTTCAATCGATTACTATTTAACCCAAACTTAATGATATTGCTAGCCCAGTGGAAGTTAGTTTGATTAAAATCTGATTGTTCTGTAGCACAATTCAAATTATCAATTGATTGGCAATGTGGATTTTACTTGAAAATAATCCGATTTCAATCAAAATAATTTCCACTGGGCTAGTAATATCATTAAGTGTGGGTTAAATGGTAATCGATTAAAATCAAAATTATCAATCCGATTGCGGATTGTATTTTGTTGCACAATAATTTGATTGAGTCAGTGAATATTTTTCACTGGGATAGGAACATATGGTGTAAATCAACAAGATTGTTTATTAAAATATGCCTTATACGATATACAATCAGAGTTTCTCTTTTCTATTCTTGAATGTATTTGTATATATACACAAGAGACAGTACCTGTAATAACTCTTCATTCTCTTGAGTCTCTAAGCAATGTCTTTTCATCTTTTTCATCTTTGCGTGTTATATACATTGGTTGGGTCTATGACTACGTGTATATGATTACAACATCATTGAAGCACAAGATTTATCGAATGTCACACGACTAGCAACAACTGTTTCCGGTCATCTATCAACGAGCGAAGAGGAAAAAGAAGAAGGAGACATTTTCTCTACAAGTACGTATTATGTTAAGAAAAGTAACGATAGTAGTTACTCTCGACACATCTACCGTTTCGATCATCAATGACGAAAGCAGACCTACTATTCATGTAAGAATATATAGGCACCTACATCTACATCTACATCTACATCTACATATATTTGAATATAAGAGGTTCATGGCAATGTATGACAGACGGAAGAAACTCTTCTCTTTCTTTTTAATGTAAAGTATGACATTTAGTCTGTATTCCCATGATAGCAAGGCTATTTCTAGTAACTAACCAACTTATTCACTGTTACTTTAAATGACACAAGCAGCCGCCAATAACACATTTGAATATGTATCTATTGTAGGCTCATAGGCGTTGTCTGTGTGTGTTGTAAGCGCACTGGCCCGTTCTGATACGCCTATGATCGAATCAGGTATCATTATTACAGAAACGAAAAAAGTAAAAGAAAATAAATAGGTCTTACATTCGATCAAGAATTTGATCACATATATGAATTGTATTTCGATGAAAAAGACCTCGACGTGAACGATGTTGTTTAGTAGCTGCTGTTGTTGATAAAGGAATTTGTATTGTAATTGTATTTTTATCTACTTTTTCAGCTGACACTGTTGGAGATGTTGTCGATGATGGGGATTCTCTTTTCGGTTCGAGCTGCGTAATTGGTTCTGTAGTTTCTACCGGACTAGAAACGTCAATATCATCGTCGCCTTCAGGAACGGCAAACATCTCTTGTAATAGCCGTTATTTTATTCAAAATGATATGATTCTATTCACACGGCTTATTCTTTTTCTCCTTTCTCTCGATCTCTCCTCTTTTTTTAACTTAACAAAGCATGTCTCTAAGGCATCTAACCGCAATGCTGCTGCTGCTGATGATGAAAAGTACATCTCAGAGAGAAGAAGATGGTCGCGGCCATCTAGAAATACGTTCTTCTTTTCTTCTTTTTCTTCTTTTTTTTGATTCTTTTAATGTAGCCAACAAGACAGATAGACAGAGACAGTCACAGAGAGGAATAGGGGAGAGAAAGTGACGTATATCACGACCTCTCTTATATATTGCACATGCATGTTCCGTTCAAACGAGTCTAATTTACAGTTGTCATGAGTTCTAAAGATAGTTGGGCATGGTGACACAGGAGGAGAGAAGGAGGAGAAGATAGATACATGGGAAATACTCTAGGGTAGTAGTAATAGAAAGAAGTTCTAATGAATTTAAAAGAAAATAGGAGGGCTGCAAGCAATAACTAATTTAGGAAGCAAACAAATTTGATGATCATGCTCACGGGCAAACAAGCAAAACAAGAAAATCATAATCAAAGGATATAAATATTGAGTTACATACAAGTAGCAATCTATCGAGTTATTGCTCCTCACAAATAAATCAAATCAAATCAATATATGAGAATAAGTAAAAAAGAAAACTAGAAAGAAATTTATTCAAGTAGATGATTGGCATTGTCTATAACCACTATGATAGAATGCTTTTACTAAAATAGAACAAATAGAAATAAAACTTACATATAAAAATAAGAAATAATATCATCTTTTCTTTTGCTACGAGTAAAATTTTATTAGAAAAATCGTTGAAATAAGAAAAACCCCAAATGAAAATAAAACATACAGTGCTAAAATACTCATGGGTAGAGTTACATAATTCCAAAATGATGGAATATGATTACATCTTGTTGAATACATCGGTTGATGAATTGTCATTGGTTTACAAGATATGAATTCATCTTCAACTTCCAGTTCTTCGACGCATAAACATTCAAATGGTTCATCTTTTTTTCGGCGTTCTTTGGAATTTTCATCAAGACATACGGCTAGTAATGGACATAAACTACTTGCACATGTTTCACATATTGGTGAATTTAAATCATCATGAAATGTCTGTGAAGCTACGATAAATGTTGCAATAGTTGTACTAGTCGATTTAATTTTTTTCAATAAATCATATGTACACGGTTTGAATGGATAAGGAGAATCATAAAGAAAATACGTTAATTGTGTTGCTAATGGAATAAGGTAATGAAATGAAAAATCAGCTGGTGGGTGTGCACCTTCACAATCAGCACAAAGTGGAGTATGATAGAATTTCATTTGAAGGGCCCCTTCTTAATGTACGAAACAAATATCAATCTGATTAACCAGCAAGAAATTCATTCGGTAAACATCACTTACGACCATTGATTATAAGTAAATGTTTCAAACATTTAAATTGACGTAATTCAACGCTTTGCCATATATCAACACCTTTTGCAAAACAAAGACGTTGCTCAAATAATTAGTTATGAACTTGAATCTATAACATACCACTAATAAGTAATGTTTCTATTTTAGATGCAACTACAACAGCTAATGCAGGTATATCGAGTATATGTAGATAATTGAGCGTTGATGATATAGGTATTATTTGTGGTGAATAACCGCAAATAGCCAATTCTCGTAATGATGTACCAAAACGATGTAAAAAACATAAATCAAGTACACGATTTCCGATTTTTTTTGCGGAAAACACTTGAACAAATAGGATAACTACATTAATACGATCAGCTGGATATTTTTCTAAATCAAGTGATAATGTAGGATCTTTAAGACCTAATTTACAAGTGAGTCTTAATTCATCACCATTGTAGAAACATTCACTATGATCTAAAGATGCATCATCTCTACTTTGAAGGAATGATAATGTTTTGATCGGTTCTAAACATGGTCCATGGGTAAATGATGAAGTTGTAACAGTTGAATCACTAGGATACGAACGCAGAAGATAAGGTGTATCAGACATACACAAAGGTACGTCTAGTATTATTAACATCATTGTGATGCAAAGCATTGCTCCAATATTAATTCGTCGAAGACTAAGAGAATAAAAACAAAAGATGCGCCAAAGTATAAATAAAGTAGAAAATTATGATATGGTTCCATTTCGAAAATTAACAATTGATTATCTCCATACTTGTTATTATGCGATGTTTTCTTTTTTTATTCGTTTCTAATGTTGACACAGAAAATTATCACGAATTGATTTCGAAGCACTATCAGAATTTTAGACCCGCAAGATAAAAGAAAACACTATTATGTGTTTTTTAACATTCACAGTTCAAAAATCAATTATTGTAGTATTTGAACGAAAAACATGTGCTTGCTATAATTGGGGCAACCATCATTTGCTAATCCGAAACAATGAAATAATTTGTTACAGACACATTTGTATAGAGTTTCAAAAATGAAACTATATGGAATTGCTGTAACCTTTGCTTTTACATACCATCAGTTTACAGATTGATTACTTTCTCTAACGGGTTTTCCTTGATTCAAGCGTAAATATCAAATTTTATTCTGTGCACTATTGCTGTATCACAACTAGTTGGTTGATACATCTTCCGTGCGTACTCTTTTGATACTTTTACACGAGTGAGCAACAGTGAGCTTGTGAATCATTAACACATTCGTTCGTTAATATGTTTTTGTAGAATATTATACAGCAACAGACCCGATGAAACAATACAACCGAATATTATATTAAGTTAAACATTTCAGATCGAAATTCTCGTGAATCGAATATTGTTCTATTCCTGACTTGAGTTTATCAATTAATAATTGCTTTCATTTTGCTTGTTGAAATACACTTATATCTAATTTTGATTGTAATGCATTAAGTTTAAAAATATTCTCCCGTTTTTTTTAATTTCCCTCTTTCTTTCTCAAGCATCTTGGATATGTGTACGTGTGCAAAAACCAAAAGAAACATGGGAAAAAATGAAGACATAATGCTGTACATTCACATCGAACACAACAAGAAAAAAGAAAAGAAAAGCAACATGTAGAACAAACGAAAAAGAAAAGTGTAATGTGTATAATAAATGAAAAAACCAAAAGAATGAATCGAATAACGAACGTTTATTCGGTATGTCCACTTCTGCCACTGATTGTTTCGTCGATCATCAATGATGATTTATTTGATGATGAATCAATGTTTGATTGATCTTTTCTACGTAGTGCTTCAATTGGTAATGAACGATGAGAAAATTCGTCGGACAATGGTGCAGAAAATCCACTTGTGGTTGAAGAATATTTATCTATATTATGATCATTACGGTATGAAGATGAACGACGATCAGGACTACGAGATGATTGATGTGGCAATGAATGATTCTGACTACCACCTCGATTATTACCACGAGAGAAAAAACGAGTTTGACCACTACTATTACCAGTACCGGTGTCATCACGACCTATCAAATAAAAACAATAATTAATAATCAAGAAAAACAATTTAAAAAATAAATACCTCCTCGATGGAAACCACCTCGACTTCTAAATCCTCCACCATTATTATCATTATTGTTTAGTCGACCACCTCGATCATTATTGCTGTAATAACCTCGACCACCATGATTTCCACCACCTGAAAAAAAGAAATTGTTCATGATTCGATAAAATGAAATTCATTAAATTTGCTGACCCCCTCTTCCTCGATTGGAGCCTCTTGATATGGCACTGGAGTTTGCTCGATCATTATAACTATTTCGTTCACCATGATAACCTGAGAAATTCCCATTATTATCTTGTGTTTGTGTTGTATCTTCTCTTTCTTCGAAACGATTGGGTCGTCGTGGAAACGGTGATTGTTTTTGGTGTTCATCATTTTTGGTTGATGTTGCTAAAAGTGATTGTGGTTGTCCTTGCAACATACTATTTCCGAATTGATGATGAGGATGCATACGACTTGGTGATGGTGATTCTCCGAGTAATGGGGGTGGAAAACGTGTAGATGATGATGATGTTGTTGTTGTCGCAAGATGAACTAATTGCTCATCAGTTGATGATAGATTATGACGATGATGTTCGTCATAATGTGTTGATTGTATGGACGGTGAAGGGCGTCGATGAGAATCATCATGGAATTGAATTAAAGCCGAACCTATCGAACAGATAGGAGATGATTTTAATACAGAGTATATCGAAAATTAAAATCTATTTGATTTAACGAATAGAAACATGCGATTGGGAAGAAAATTAAAATCCTATGTGCAGAAAATTTCACTACAAGTGTTTTAACCTTTACCATCAACGGTGTGAGCGAAAGTAGCAGCCGTCAATGGAGCTCCTGCTGCTATCGATGTAGTAGACATGAAATGATGATGCGTTGGTACAGCAGTTGCACTTGTTAAAAGGTGCAAACCACCGCCTAGATAGTGATATGCATATGTATATTAAGGACACAAGATTTTTTAATATTTAGTTTTCTCCTCGCGTGAAAACACAAAATATTTCAAATGTGAGTTAGAAATAAGAAACTATATTAAATATATATTTGTTATAAATTAATACATACCATGCTGTAGTGCTTGTGGATTAAAATCCTAAAATCAATTTATTTTCATTTGTTTTGATCAAATTTTTTCTTTTCAATTACTTTTAAATCGGCATGATGATGTTGTAATTGTATAGAAGGTGGATGTTGATTAGTCGTAACTACATGACCATATGGCATCTGATGAACGATCTGACTATTAGGAAATACTCGTCCTATGTAAACGCAAATGAAGTCAATGTGAAAGATTTATTATCTACGAAAGAATATTACCAGTTATATGTTGAACAACTTGCATAGGTTGCCCATGTGGATGTTGTTGTACTTGTATAATTTGTGCACCTGGTGGCATCATTTGAACAGGTAAACCAACACGTATTGAAGGATCATGTGATGGCGCCATAAGAATGGTTGGGCCTGGAGCTAATCGATTCGATGTATCTAAATGAACGGTGGTTGGTCGTGGTGGAAGATTTGGCGGTGGTTGAAATTCTTGATGAGCAAATGGTGCATGTGGTTGAACAAGTGGTTGTATTGATTGTTGATGCATCATAGGAGGAACATCAACACGCGTTGGTGGCACAGTAGCTGGAAAAAAAGTAAAACTAATTGAAATGACAAAACGAACAATTAAGAACAAACATTTTAAAAACGATGGCATCGATTCATCATCAATAGTTCCACCTTCGGCTAACGTTGTTAGATTAGGAATATCCTTTAATTCTGAATACGGTATATAAGTACAACCATGATCAGCATCCCAAAATTCTTTAAAACGATCTTTTACACCTTTATTCATTGCCCATGCAATCTTCAAAAAAAAAGGAATAAAAATTAAAGGAAATCAATATAACATATTGAAGTGTCTCTTACTTTGATTGGATTTCCATGAAAACGAAAATCTTTCATTTTTTCTAAACATCTTGATGCATCTGAACGTTCTTTAAAGCAAACAAATGCACAGCCACGTGGAGGAATATGCTATTAAACACAATAGAGAAATTGCAGTTTAAGAAAAAGGTAATTTGTTAAGTAAGTAAAATATTTTACAAAAGTATTTGAACACAGATAATTTTCTCATTTTTTTTCCATTTCCATTGACAAATTTCAGAAAACTTCAAGATTTTCTATTAAAATTCATACAGAAATTAGGTATATTCGTAGAGATTTTAATCATGTCTGTCCGTTGAATGACAATTCGAATTATTATATTTTGCTAAACCTAGACTGTCATAAGCTCGACTTAGGGATGATCATTTATTTTAAGATAAAGTAACGATAGAGTCACCTCTGATTCAATTATCAAATATAGATTAAATTTTTCCAGTACTAATTGATATACTTTTCTTTTTTGTATTGGCATCGTGGTAAAGTAAACATATATGAGAAACAACTAACAAGATAAGCTTTCTTGAGTCTAAATCCTTTCGGAATCAAACCGAAAAAGCTTTCTTACTAGAATAAACTATCTGAATAATCGATATTGTCGGTATTAACTGTAGATTATATTGAGGAAATAGTTTTTCTGATAAGAATTCAAATGCATTAAGCTGAATTCGGCTCTACCATCAATGGTAAAGTCGAAGATTCAAATATTAGTATAAAGAAAAACAATTGTACTGAAAAGAAATTTTGCATTAAATACTGATACAATGAGGTATATTTTCATAAGTAAAATCCATACGTGGTTTAAACTACAAAGAGTTTTATTTTCGAAACTAGAATGAAACAATTTCAAATCTGTACTGCCTCAGTCTCGATACATTACATCCCAATTAGACAACTCCGATACTAAGAAAATAATTAAATGGTATAAACATACGTATGATCCTTACAATAAGATAACCCTTAGTGAACTTGTTATATCGAATAGTGTAGATCTGCTTCAGATGAGATTTCTCATTGAATTAAGTAAAGAAAGTATTGTAACATTATTTTGTAAAGAACAGACTATGTTCACATTCATTTTTTTATTATATTTCGTACATCTTTATATTTTCTATTCAGTGTGTGAAGAAATCAATGGAGGATATGATGAAAACGTATTAAGAATATCTAATCAAGTGAATAAGAAGAACACTTAACGAAGGATATTATCTACAGCAGTTGTTTTTATAGACCACACTTGGATGTCGTTCGAACGTGTCTTTGTCGCTAGAAGGTACTACATGATTCAAAAAATTTCAAAACTCAGTAGGTAGAAAGCTTTTTAGTACGAGTCTTGAATGAGAACTTTTCGAACAAAATTCTCCGAAGTTTGTCATTGCCGATGGACATATGTGTTCAAAAAACATTTGTAGTACTCATCAATCGTACTTACATTGATATCGCTTATTTCTCCATGTGGTTCTAATTGTTCACGTAAATCAATTTCACTAATAATCTTTGGTAAATGTCCCAGCCAAAGTGTTCTTGAGCTAACTATAAATACAAAAGCAATAGAAATATGTGTTCTTTTCATAATATTTTGATTCAACTAACCAACAAGATGATCTTCTTTCAATGGTGGTAAACCTTTTCGACGACGTTCACGCTTTTCAGTTTCTTTTAAACGTGATGCAGCTGAATCTCTTCGGTTCATGGAACTGGAAAATTTTATTAAATAAAAAGATTTTTTTCTAATAACTAAAGCGAATCTTTTACTTCGATGATGAACGTGTTCTTTTTGGTTCACGTGAACGAGATCGTGAACGAGATCGACGACGATTATAATGACGTGGAGGAGATGATGTCATTCGATGATGATGGTGTTCATCAGAATTATCTGCTTCCATATCCTCGGGACGAAGGTCAACATCAATCGGCTAATAAAATAATGAATTGTGATGCTTTTGAAAAAGATTTTTATTTATTTATTCTTTTCAAACCTGATGCAACATTTGACGAGTAGCATCATAATTGATTTGTTGTTGTTGTGAAGATAGTGACGATGGTAGTGGTTGTTGAAAAAATATTGGCGGTGGGCGTGTAGGATCAAATGACATCGACATTGACATATTATTAGCATCAGTTACAGGAAACGACACCGTATTTGCATGGTTTGGGTTTATTAACATTCCAGTTGGTGGCTACAACGAAGTTTTGTTTGTTTTGTGTTTCATTTACAATCAAAAATCTTTCAGTAGCCGTCTTCTTACTTCAAAAATTTAACTTCGTTTTTAGCCATCAAGATTACACTTTTTGAAATATTTTAATTGCATGTACATATGATTTTTACTCTTACTGTTAACCTCTTTATTTCTAGTGGCTAAATGTGATAAAACTACTATTAAGACTTTAGTGTAACTACACATATCGGCGTAGTTATGCTATCTCAATCTTGTCTTACATTACACGAAAAACCCTCAATTATTTTTATGATAAAAACCATATTAATGGTAAATTACATGTTTATCACATTAAAAAATGAAATATTTCAATTGATTTCTTAACTAATATATTAAAAAAAGAAATTGCAAAGTTTCGTTACAATAGAATTTGATGAATATATGGTTCAATTCTTAAAGACACATTCATCAAGTTCGTATTTTGAAATTTCTTAGTAAAAATCAATAACAATTGCCATCGATAGAACTTTTCTGTCTTAATAATAATTATTTCGCCAAGATTCTACTTTAGTTAAAAGATTCAATTCTTACTTGAAGAAATTGCATTGTTTGTTGGATATTATTCGATGGGAAATTCGATGGTATATTTGTGATTGTTTGCCCTCGTGGTTCATCATCATCATTATCGGAACCATAATCAAAATCGTCAAGTACATTCTAGAAAGAAAACGTTATTTAACAATAAAATTCCAAATAGACAATATAATTTACAGCAACATTTGATTGCATTGGTTCAGGCGGATTTATAATTGATTGGGTTGTTGATGATGGTTCATCACTTGAATTATTTGCTGTTATAGGCTTTTTATGAGATTCTAATAGTTGATTGGTTATCTGTTGAATTTCGGTTAGAATCGATGTTGTATCTGTATCACCTTTAGAAGATGCACGCATCAATGTTTCTTGTAATTCTCGAAAACGATCGAAGTCAGTACCACCGGAAGTCTTCTAATGTAAAAGAGACATATATATATATATATTGTATCAACGTATTAGTATATTTGACAATAGATGAACATTGCAGAACTCTAATGATGTTTTTCTCAAATGATTTTATTTTTCGGTAGGTTTCTATAATATATTTCCGTATTAAAAGTCAGATACTTATAAGATAATAATGATTTGTCTACAAAATTAAGAAGTTATCATTAGTTCTCATTAGAATAAAACGTTTTGTTTTCCAATAACATGTATAATATCAATTAGATTAGTATTACAATTATATAAAATTGACAAAATCTCGTCATCTATGGAAGACAAAACTTGATTACGTTGCACGATGAATCTGAGCTATACTAGGAAATATCATTCGAAAATAGAACTGATCGTAGGACTTGCCTATGCTAGATGACAAGTATCGAAGGTGAAATACTTTCCAGTCCTTTACCACGTTTTTTCCAGTAAAAATCAAATCAGTGACTGATAAAAGCATGATATTTCTATAAATAGCAGAAAAGGCAATATATATGCATGCAGTACTATGGTTTTAACTTAGTCTAATAAAAAAAAAAGTCATAAAAATTCGTAAGAAGCAAGGTATTGTAACGAATCGTTTCTTCTCTTAATTATTCACATCTATCAATAAACATTTTCTTACTTCACCGCTTTGTTTATCCGTTGAAAATTCAACTAAAATAAATATTCATATTCTTATTTAGTAACATAGATTTCACTTGAAATATCTTACTTTTAACTGACAAATCACCCGTATTTACACATGATTGATGCGCTTCAAATAACTGTTTGATTAAATCAGGAGAAAAGATAGAATTTTTCTCCCATAAATTAAGTACACGTGAAACTTTATTCTAGAATATTGGAATATGAAATTTATCGCAATAAAAATGAACGGAAATTTTACTTTATCTTCTGTTGGACATTTTTCAACATGCTGTAATATATTAATTATATTTTTTGCAAACCTTGAGCCGTATACATCTTTATCTATTCCATATTGATGGCGAGACTGTCGTATAACAGAATCAATAACATATAAACCAGGAATTTTGTATTCAGGTTTACACTGAAAAAGAATTTTATTCGATAAACAGAAAATATTTTAAGTTTACTTTACCTTGCTGATAAATTTCTCGACATTCATTACAATATGCTTATAGAATTTGACTGCCTTCAATGCTGCTTTGGTAATTGACATCATTTTTGCTTTTGATATTGGTGGACGAGTTTCAACCATACTTTGAAGCTAATTTAATGTAAAACCAATAAATTATGTTATCAATATCTACTCTATTTTTTGTGAACACTATTAGGACAATATACAAGACAATACATGTAGGATTCAACTGTAACAAATAATGTTGTTTGTCTCAGGGAAACTATTTGATCCTCTCTATTTTTTAGATAATATTTCTTTAGCATCCATTCATTTAATCCATTAAATATGCGACAAGAATCAAATTTGTATATACTCAAAATGAGCTATTTTCACTGTGCAAGAGCATGGATAGATACACGTTTTTATATAGCATTTCAAAAAATGAACAAACCTCTCGAATAAATTCTTTAACAACTTCTTCTTGACTACCACCCATTTTTTGTTTTCTTTTTTGTTAATTATCAATAATTATTTAAATCATGTAATTCAATAAAGAAAATCTTTTTTATTAATCCAATTATTTGATAGACGAAAATTATCTAAAGTGAATAAAAAATTCATTATTTTACTGCAAATATTATAATTGAAATTTTTATGAAGAAGATTTAAACGAGTATGAAGGACACAGATCAACTAGCGAAATCTTTTTATTTTTGTACACTTGATCAGAGGATTCAACCTTAAAAATGTATGCGAACAAATGAATCAGTGATAATAAAAAAGATTAAAAAGAAGCAAATAATAAATACAAAAAAAAATGTCCACTCAAATTTCGTTTTTCGACGATTTGTTTGTCTGCAAGATTGTTACTTGAATAATGTTGTTGATATGATTCTGATGTTGGCCAATATTGAGTTGAAATCGTCTAAATCACAAGGCGTAATGTGTTTCGGTTTTTTATATTTCGCTATTGATCTGTGTCCACTCGTTTTCCTTTATTTTTTTCTCTTTTTACATACGAACAGTACTTCTGACAGATACAAATTAAACTCTTTTACACAACTATGATCTTCTTATTAGATACAAACCTGCATCATATAGAACTTAAACTATTGTTAATTGAAAATAATTCGCTATCATATTCAGAGTTTTTGACAGGAAAACACTACAATGAATAGTCTTTAACGGTCAAATCATCCTTAAAATAATTTTGTCTGTCAAATGTTAAAACATGTCGATGAAAACAGAAATCAATGATGATTAATTCCTTCCAAACTTATAGTCACTTCATCAGTGTAATGAATCATGGTTTGCTCTTTCAAATAGGCATAATAATATTGATAATTGTTTCTTTCGAAGGATTCAATGTATCAAGAAATCTCTGTATATTACACAAATCAGAAAAAAATGAATCTTTCAGATTTCTTCCCCGTTTGTAACACCTCAATATCATAGACTTCGAGAGAGCACATCGTTTTAATGGTAAACTCTAGGAAATCCAGTAGCAAAAGAGAATCTTAGTTTTCAAAAAAACAAACTCGTTGAACGAATAGTTCAATTGAACATTCTTTTCATTGAGTATATCATGAAAATTTAAGCTACTTAAACATATAAATTTCTAATCATCCCTGATTGGGAGATCATCTTTTTTTTTTGACAACTTCAAAATAATTTACTTTTTTCCCCGTCAATACGTCAGGTAAATTCTAAGAAAGTCATCGTCATCTCAAATTCTTTTCAAAAGAGAACATCATATAATTACTAGCTTAGTAAAAACCATAACTTCTAAGGAAACATACGTAGAAATATCTTCATACTCTGTAACTAGATCACATTTTGTATAGTAAACCATGGAAATCATTTTACGTTACGATTTCTACTGAATCGAAATATCTCTTATACCTCTCATTATATTGATAAATGAAATATGATGCTTACCAGTCTCATGGAAGAACTTTGTATGTTCTATTCAAGACTATCAAACTGGGTATCAATCTGAATAGAAAAAAATATATTAGTAAGAAATATTATCATTTCAAATAATTATCTAACCACAGATAAAGCTCATCATCCTGAATCAAGAAATCCAGTAAGCAATAACTTTAATCTTCTTCATGTTCCAATCATGAGCAATTGACTACGCTTTTTCACCATATTTTTCAATGGCTTGTAATTCCCACATAATGTGAAAAACAGACAAATGAACTCCTAAACGTACGATACTAAAACTATTGTTGTCATTAAAACTGAACATGATACCATTTTTGTCGCTAACATCAACGTATTGCTGAGGCTGCACGTGGCGATATCGATCTTCCTAACAATCCCAACGAACCATTATTTTAATTACTTGTCCTCTTCCATATTTGATCGCGAAAATTTTCCTAAAACAATTGTTTTTAGATTGGAATTTAAAATAAAATCTTTGATTCAAATTCATTTCGAAGTCTAGATGTCACTGACTATCAACCAACAGATAATAATAAGTGTAATTTCAAAATATTACGATCGAATCGCTTAAAAGTTCGGATTTCTATTGGTTTTATTATCATATCGCAACTCATGTTTAGACATGCATGATTCAATCATAAATCCATCCAGTCTTGTCAATACAAGAAAAGACAAAGTTTTGTTCCTTTTTATTCTTATTTTCGTTTTATTGATATCTATTATTTTCAATATTTGATACATATTCTTTTCGAAATCTTTTTCAGATGGCTGAATATGATCTCACTGCAAAATTAGGTCGATATTTCGATCGGCACCTTGTGTTTCCCTTATTGGAATTTTTAACTGAACGCAATGTAATAGAAAATTAAACACAGAACAAAAGAAATTCTTTCATTTGAAATAATTTTTTATTTAGATCTTCGATGAGAAAGAAATTCTTCAAGCTAAATATGATCTTTTACAATTTACAACTATGGTTGATTTTCAACTGGATATTTATAAAAAACTTCATCCAGATGGACAAGAACCAATGGGTTTCTTTGTTTTTTATTACGAGATAATGTTAAAGTGTTAAAAACTCTATTATTTTAGAATTAATCGAAAAACGCGAGGGTATTGTAGCTCGTTTTAATGAACTTTCGGAAGCTGTTCAACCATTACTCGATGCTGTTGTAACAGAAGATGCAGCTCGACTTATTGAGCATCAACGGTGATTAATATTTCTGATAATATAATTAATGAAGTTTAAATTATTTTATTCTGTTTAGAAATAGTGATTCAATGTTTACATTAGACTACTTAAAAGAAAAATTTAATGTAAGTTACGTTATATAATTAGCAATGATTTATTTATTTAATTTAAGAAAATTTCGTAAGATAAAATGAAGTTTAGCAAGAATAAAAGAAAGTTAACTTATTCAACGTTAGTAAACCCGCCCCCCCTTTAATTTATTTATTTTTTGCAAAATACAAACTTTAATTATCGTTTTTCCATCCAAACATGCCTGATTCTTAGCATTTTAAACTAGAAATATTAAGAGAATGTGTTCACAATTATAATGACACCCTTAACCCCTGAAAAATCATCTTAGTTTTTTCGAAAACCTTTTAAATTAAATATTAGNTGAACGGGTTAGTCTTAATTCGTCTCCTTTTTAATTGAATCGAACTGGTCCCCAAAAATTCGATTCCGAATTCGTCTCCATCATAGATTTCTTTTTATTTAGGTATTTAAAGATATTATTAGTGAAAGAATATTTTAACTGAACATAGATAACTTGAGTGATTCCCTTACGTTAGTAATTTCGCAGTATTTGAGTGAAAAAAATAATTTTGAATTCACAATAAATAGTGTCTGACATTCTTTTTCATGGTGTTTTTATTTTACTATACTTTTTTCTTGAATAGCCCTTGATACTTTGTCTAGTTCAAAACTGCCGTGACTTCAATAGTTAATAGTCATAGCTATGATTAGAAATTTGTTATGTATTGTTATGAACACTACAATAACGGTGTATGGTCTGTTCCATTTAACATATATTAGATTTTCTCATAAATTCACGTATATTGTTGTTCAAATTTCTCGAATATTTAATTTTGTCTTTTGAATTGAAAATAGCCATGCATGATTATCATTATCTTATTTATTTATCCATTAAAAAAGTATTTTTCACTGTTGACCTTAAGTGACATATTTTGTTATTTATTATGAAAAAGAATCTTTTGACAATTTGCATGAGATCTATAGGAGTCACTCATGTCTATCTAGACACACTACGGGCATTGCTTGCGCTCGGGTATTCGATTAAAGACTTGTCTAAACTTTAACAATCTCTAGAAACTCAAACTTCGTATAAGAATTTTGTGAATTATTTATCTAGACAAATTATTAAAACAACTGATTGTCTTATTTATACATAAGATAATTTAACTGTTAGATTAAAGTGAAGTGCTCCTATCAATGTATAACGAATAATCCTGTTCGTTTCGTCGGAGTAAAACTGAGCATATTTCAATATGTTTACAAATAAAAAATATTGACTAGTCAGCTGTAGACGCTTAGCCATTACATGTATCTTTCTTATAGACAGTCGGATTATACCAAAAAAAAATGAATCCGGCTGTCATTGCCACTAGCTGTGTATATAGACAGAACGAAGAATGAACATTTCAATGTTAAATAGAGTGGGGATGAATCCGGAGTCAATTAAACAAAAGAAATCTATGATGGAGACGAATTCGGAATCGAATTTTTGGGGACCAGTTCGATTCAATTAAAAAGGAGACGAATTAAGACTAACCCGTTCATAATCATGATCGATAATCACTGTAATTATGATCAAAAGATAGACCTACCGATATGACTTCGGATCATCCGTACTAATTCAAATGAGAATATTATCTCAAAGGTTGAAGTTACAAAATATCGGATTTTCTAGTAGAAACAACATAGAAAAAATAGTGCATTCTTCATCATTTTTTCGTAAGAATCCAAAAATTTAGAAAATAAAATCTTGTGCAAATTCATATATTTTCAAAAGATTATAACCTGAAACTAACTTTAAAATAATTCATGCCATATTGTAGCTAGTCAATTCTCTGCTGGCACTAATTTTGTCTTTGTTCTAGCAATTCATTAGTTATTAAAACATAATCCAAGAATAATCTGTATTTTTCTAAATAGATTGAACGAAGTATGGTCAATGATCTTTATGCATTCGCTCGTTATGTTTATGATTGTGGTGATTATTCTCGAGCCGCTACAAATTTAGGTCTCTATCGAGCACTTGTAAGTTTATTCTTAACTAAAAAATAAAATAATTATTTTTTGCAACAAAAAAAACGAAAATTATAAATTTAGGTTCCAAATAATGATAAAAATATGATGTCATGTTTATGGGGTAAATTGGCATCTGAAATTCTCATGCAACGTTGGGAAGATGCTTATGATGATTTAAATCGTTTAAAAGATGCCATTGAAACCAGTAATTCTCGCTCATCATTAGAGTTACTACATCAACGTACATGGTTTATTCATTGGTCATTATTTGTTTATTTTAATCATCCAAAGGGTCGTGATGATCTCGTACAATTGTTTCTTAGCTCAGCATCATCACCGGCAAATCAAACAAATCTATATTTAAATACTTTACAAACAACAGCACCACATTTATTACGTTATTTAGCTGCAGCTGTTATTATTAATCCGCGAAAGAAAAATGAAAGAACACTAAGAGAACTTGTTAAAATTATTCAACAGGTTTGAAGTTTTTCAAATATTATCCAGTTTAACTTATAATATATTGTTCTCGTTTAAGGAATCATATGCATTTCGTGATCCTATAACAGAATTTCTCGAATGTCTTTATGTTCACTTTGATTTTGATGGTGCACAAAAGAAATTACGTGACTGTACAGCTGTACTTAATAATGATTTTTTCCTTGTTGGTTGTGCTGAGGAATTTATGGAAAATGCTCGTTTACTAATATTTGAAACATTTTGTCGTATTCATCATTGTATTAAAATTGAGTAAGAAAATTTTTCCACTTTAACTTTCTTTTTATTATTTGTCTTATCTCTTTTTCTTTTAGTATGCTTGCAGAAAAATTAAACATGAGTCCAGATGAAGCTGAGCGTTGGATTGTGAATTTAATACGTAATGCGAGCTTAGATGCCAAAATTGATTCACAACAAGGAACAGTTGTTATGGGCTCACAAGCATTATCACCATATCAAACGATCATTGAGAAAACAAAGAATTTATTTAATAGAACACAAAATTTAGCACAGAACAGCGAACGAAAAAGAGATACAAATGTATATTTTAGTTTCATTTTTTCTTTTCCTTTGAATCCGATCTAAAAGTAACATTGAGTGAGAACTTGCATTTTCTTCACAGAAGTTAATATAGAAGCGTTTCAAATCGTAATACAAGTCATTGCTATAGGATCAATTACAGCATTTTAATTAGTTTCTTCTTATAGTACTTTCATAATCATAAATTTAACGATGATAAGAAAAAGTATTTTCAAACTAGATAAAATAAAATAGTTTCTTGAAATTTTAGTTAAACGTAAAATGTCAAAAAATGAAAATAGTAGAACTTTTTTAAGTGGATATACCAAAAATGATAGTTGATAACAATAAAAATCTCCTTCGTCCTAATTCTCATGTCTATCTTCGTTTTCTATATAATTACTTTCGATCAGATGTCAGATAATAGAAAAACAACAACAAACAATACCTCTGTAATTAGTCGCAATAAAATCTACATCGCTTTTCATATTTTAATCATGACGAGATTGCACATCAAGGGTTTTTTCCTATAATTTTATTTTATTTCTAGGCAAACTGGGGTAATTATCAGACACAACTATCACAGACAAATAGTGGAATTGTTCCATTTATAGAGTGATTATTGTTACGATTTTATTGTTATACCTATTGGCTTTTCATTTGTGTAACATCGTTAATAAAGAATAAATATTATACAAGTATGAGAAATTCTCGTATCTTTTCGAGTCTCGTCAATGTACATAGATCAGTCTTTGAGAATTTTAATCGACTTGAAACATTGGTGAAAAAAATGACCATTTAGTAAGTAGCAGCTCTTCTATATTACTATATGTTATTAACAAAATGATTTGTGTTTTGAAATATGTTTATCTGTAAAACTATAGAAATAAAAGAAAAAAAGGAATTGTTCAATTATATTCATACATTTAAAACGGCGTGAACTCAACAACAAGTCACATTCGAAAAGAAAACTATATAATTTGTAATTCTAATTTTATCGAATCAATTATTTTTATTTTTATCAAAAAGATGCGTATATTGTATCTGTTGTATTCAAAAGGCAAATATTATAAATGAATACTTTCTTTAGATTTTGATTATTCGTTCTCAGAAAAAGAGTACGATCGTACTGATATTATGATAGCTACTTTCGATATGTAAAGTTATATAAATATAGAAAAATCTCAATAAGTATACTTGTATTTATCTTGAATTCAAGAAGAATATGCTTACGCTAATATTTTCAATCAAACAAAACCTATAAAAAAGTCATTGTTCTGATGCATGTAGATAGTTTTTTTCCTTAGTAATTTTTGTGTGAAAGCATCTCTTTTCACCATTCTATTACCTTGAAATAGTATTCATAGAGAGTTTTCTTCTTATGAATAAAAACAAAATACTCATTACTCAACGGCAAAAAACAATAATTGTTCAGGTAAAAATAGAACAAAAATACTCATACTTATTTTTGATGATCGTCCTACATTGGATGATATTATTGTGAACGAGTCAATAATATACTCACCAAGATTGTAACACTTTATATTAACTAGTTAGGTTTCGACAGACCTTATTGTTTTCATCAGTCCGAATAGTCGAATCTTTTGTAGGTTATTCTTCTGTTTATTTTTTCTTCGCATATGCTATGACGTTTGACAAAAATCAAGTACGAATATCAAATATTTAAATTCATTGAAGAAGTGAACTAATTTTATTTTTTCCCCATCTCATTATAATGTCTTGAATGTAATGAAACATTTCATTGGAAAAGAAAATAAATTTCTTTAGTGTTTATATTTTAGTACTAAATTCGATGAACATGAATATATTTCAATAGTTTTTTCATCTTTATCACGTTATTTATTTCCTTACCTATTTATCTTTTAGCTTGTTTTATCTATTTGAACCTTTTTTATGCAAGTTTTTTTCTATCCTAAGGTTGAAATTTTTGGAAACATCACATTGTCGAACTTGTACGGATTGAAATATTTGATTTAGTGTCGAAGCCATCCTTAATAATTTCCTCAACAAACATGTGTCGTTCAAACAACGCAGTCGTGTTTTGCAGATTGAACTGTAAGTAAAATACATCTTCTTTTCTATTCCACATTTTTGTGTTCGCAATGTCTAAGTGCAATTTTTTTTGTTCATGATCAGATCAAATCCATTAGAAAACATATCATTACAAATGTTTTATTATCTAAAAAATAGATCTCCTGTTGATAGTTGCTAAAGTGATCTTATTTCTTTCATTTTTTGTTTTAATAAAAATTTGTAACAATAAAAGATCAAATTTTCTAATTGAATCTGGTGCACCAGATTCAATTCGGATTCGGTGCATACTTAGTCCGGGTCTCGATATTCTTGGACCCGATGGACTCTACTGTCAATGCACCTGAGCAGTCTGTACCAGCCACAGATTCGAAGTTGATCTCGTTACTGACATAATATTTTTTTTATCAACGATGGCATCGCAAAAAATCAAAGTTTTATAATATTTTATGAAGCTGCGCATTTTTTAATAAGCTGTTATCCTGATTGACAATAAATTAGAATCAGATTTGAAAACATCTCTCTGAGTCTTTTTCAACGAGAACCGGAAGATTCGTAGGTTACCGAAAATATGTTTCCAGCGTATACCGACGGTACTGAGAAAAATAGGAGACACGGGAAAAAATAAGATTGTTGTACTGAGTGACGTAGAAAGTTCAGATATTTCTTATTGTACGAAATAAGAATGAATAATGGTTATGAATTAACACTGATTGGTTTTAATTGAAACAGAAGCTTTTCTTATATTAATATCATGGTTCAGATATTACAAGAAAATCAAGTAGTTATAATACGATTCGAAGTATCACAATCTGGGCAAACTATTTGCATAGAAACATTCAAACATTTTCCTGAACTTGGTCGATTTATATTACGCGATGCAGGTCAAATAGTTGGTGTTGGAAGAGTTGTTGAAGTTATTGAATAAAAAAAGATTTGTTCTTGTAATACTCTATATTTATCTTTAACAATAGAACACAGAGTTTCGCAAAATAATACTTTCTTTCTTTACTTAATTCATTGAAAAATTAAAATCAATATAAAAGATTATTATTCGCTTTGCTCTTTCAAATGTTCTTTAAAGTCGCGTCAGTTTTCGCTACAATCAATACAAATCATTTTTGTCCTGACGATAGAACCCATCGGATCCAAGAATTTTTGGACTCGAACCTGTGCTAGGATCCGAAAGCGGTGGATTAAAATTTTCCTACCCAAAGCAGAACCCGGACCCGGTCGATTAAAATTTTTGGACCCGAACGTGAACCCGGTACATGAAAAACGTTTGGACCCATACCAACGGTTATGCTAAAACTTTGAAACTACTCTGATAGAATTATTCAAATGGAAGTAAACTCTCTCCCGTATTAGAAGACTCCCCCCCCCCAACTTGTATCACGAGAACTCTCAAAATTTCTAAAATGGTATTCTTATAGGAAATAGGTTACTGTTTTAGGGGTTCTTCTATTATTGGATGGGGTTTAGCGTACCTCAACTTCAATCTTTATATTTAAAGCTAACACGAGCATATCTTAAAGTTTAACTTTCTAAAAATTCAAAATTTAAAATATATTTTCAGAAAATCTTTCTTTTGTTAAAATTCTTTTTTGATAAAAAAATAATAGTTTTGAACAAAAAATTCCTTTCATAAAAAAATCTATCTGAACTTTAGATCTTTGGACTGCAAATTTTAATCATTCTTCTTTCAATTTGAAAGTAACGCTAAGCTGGCATTCTTAACAAAAACTTAGTTTATTAGTCAAGACTGGATCTAGAACGAAACGTACTCTTAAACTTGTAATAAATAGAAAAGAAATAATGCAAGTTCTTCTTTTAAAAGAACTTCAAGTTAAATATTGTGAAAGAATCTCGGTGCAAAAATGAGAAATAGAAAACATATTGACAATGTAATGAGATATTAATGGATGCTACCGCATTTACTACTCTAATTCAACATATAGTAAATCGTTCGCAAGAGTCAAGATGAATTGAGTTTTCTGCCTGCTGATCTGTATTTATTATAATCACAAAATATAATGGATTTTAAAAATATTTCGTTAAAATGTCACCCATAAAGAACCACTTGAGAAATGAGAAAGCAGAGGCATGTCGAAACTAGTCAAAAGTGCAGAAATTATCAACACATTTCGACAGGTTCCAAATACTTACCAGTAATAGGTTTTTTTTCACACAACTCTGAGCTAAATTAATTAATCTATCATCAATATGATGTTGAAATTGAAATCATTGAAAATTATGTTGATAGGCAAATAATTATTTTCTATATTAGTACTATGAATATTGTTGCATTTTATTGAACTTGTATTTTTGTTTCCGCTATTTTCTACTCATTTAAATTCAATGTATACCAAAAGAAAAATTTTCCAATAGACTATATCATTGTTTTTTATCCATTAAATATTTGTTTGGCCTACTCAATATTCATTTCAATTTCTGATATTTTCATGTACTAAACTATTGATAAGTAAATATAAAATTCGATGTTTTCTATTATTTAAAACTGAAATTTGTAAGATTTTCCCATATAGTTATATGATAGTTTATTGTTTATTAATACGTTACTACAAAATGAAATCGTTTTTATATTGCTTTTATTCTTAAAATTTTTTTGCTAATTCTCTTGATGAATCAATAATACCGGATATTGTACACATAAAGCCAAAAATAATAATTGCTAAATTTCCACATATTGTTGTCCATGAAAGCAAATAACCTTTTAGATGTAAATAAAAATAACAGGGCCATACTAAGGAAAGAAATACTCCAGTAATACTTCCAATAAGACCCATTAATTGAGCAAAATGTGGAATACATAATGCCATAATAAGAGTACTTAAAATAAGAATAATTCTTGCTAGAATGGTTTTCCATGTTGTCATTTCATTGGAAAGAGAAAACTTTGGTAAAATAAGTTCACATGCAGCAAAATACGGTAATGGATATGATAGAAGTGCTTTTATGGCTAATGTTAAATTAATAACGATCCGTAATTGTTGTGTTGGCAGATTATTTGTAATGACTTCAGATGTTTGTTCTTGCCATGTTAAAAAACCAATTAAAGCAAAACCTGTTTTAAATATAGCAGCTATAATATGGGACAATGCAAGCATCGCATTGAATTGATGTGGATAGCGCATATTATTTTCTAATGTTGGTAAAAATATTTGAGATGTATAGCTGAATACAATAATACCTAATGAAGTTGGGAATGAAGCTATATTTATACGAAATTGAATTTTAGACCAATCCCATTTCCATGCTTGTGTTAGACAATATATTATTATGATCATATTAATTATTAAATGAACAACAGCATTACCAGCACTAAAACGTGATACTAGACGAAGACTTCGAATGAATGAATATGGAAGAGTAAATATGCACGATATACATATCCAATATCGAACAGGAATATGAAATTGTGGAAAACTTCCTGCAAGTAATTCTCCACAAAGAACTAAATAAAGAATACCTAAAAATCAAAAGTTTGTCAGTATTTCTGCTTGATTCTTTTTTTCTTAAATTTCATTGGTACTTACAAGTCATCAAGAGTTCAATATTCTGTGCAATAAATAATATGGGTGCACCAAAACGTTTTCCCCAAACTTTTTCAGCAATATCAACATAAGAATATCGCACTTTTGTCAATAATCCTGTTGATGGACTTGGCTCATAAAGACATGAAATAAGTATTTGTCCTGTATAAGTACATATCCAGGCAACACCCATCATAGCCAGTAAAGACCAATAACCACCATGGTAAACGGAATATGGTAAACTAACCAAAAACATTCCCTGTACATAATTTATTATGTTTAATGAGAATAAAAACAAAACAAAAAAGACCAAAATAGATACTCAACTTGAATTGCATTAGTAACATTCCAAGCAGCCTCGAGTGCTGTAAGACCACCGGTAGTAGATGTGTGCCCTTCTTTTCCCTCACAATGTAGAAATAATTGATCTGTTTCATTATTAAATCGTTTGTATGTTGCAAATTGTGTAAAACGTCCCGTAAATTTAGAACGTCCGTTTTTCATTGTTAGTTCTGTTAAAATGAAATAGAATTGATAGACATAGTGAATGTCGTCTTCAGAAATTGATTCTATTTGCCAAGCTTTTATTCTATACAATATATCACTTTCAACAACTTTGTCAATAATATGAATTGCTTTTCCTCTTAATAGTATAGATAATACCATTTATATTACACTTATCCATTTCTTTTTATCAAGAATGTCATCAAACTTTTTCTTTTCATAGAAAAAACAAAACAAACAAATATTTCTTTATTTACTTTTTAGATGTCAAGTTTTTAATATAATAATATCATGGCAAATGATACGATACTTTATCAGGAAATCAAACAAAATTTTAGTATTGATAGTGATACTTCATGAGATGATGATGATGAGAAAGATCATCCAATATCATGAACACCTATACTATGCTTCACTAATGATCAACCGATGACATCAGTGAATAACATGAAAATATTTGATGATGTAAAACTTAATAAATCATATGATGAATGATTAGAATTGAATGTAGAACTACGTAGATTTGAGTCCAAACATAAAGAATGCGTTACAAAATTAGATGAAGTAGAACTATTGAAAATAAAATATAGAATTAAATAAGATAAGTACAAGAAAAAAAGTTGACCAACTACAAAATAATGTTACTCAACTACGAAAATAAAATGTGAAAATGGTTAGTAGAAAGAGAAACCGTCTTTTATATTAGTGATTTCAGCAAAATTATAGCTTTTATGTATACTTTAACTATTCGACATCGAAGGTAACTTTATTTTGAGTCCGTTCGAAAATAAAATATTTTGAAAATAGTTTATCTGAATTAATACCAACACAAAAGAAGTTATATTTTCCCAATACATGATATATTTAGAATTGAACCCGTTGATAAATGAGTAAAGAATAGAAATTTAATCATTTTTTTAGATTTTTCGAAATTTCTGATAAAGTTGAGTTCTAGTACATCCAGATTTATCTCTTTTAGTTTTCTTTTAGATTGTCATAATCGTTCATCATATACTGAAAGTAGAATATTGTTCTTCGATTAGAACAAAACTGTTAATGCCATTTTTTCGGAGATTAAATGTCTAGAATAAATACATTTCTTATCTTGTTGTTTTTGAAAATTATATATATATAGCTGCCGTCGAGTCACCATGAAGTAATTCTCTCGTGTAAAATTTAAGCTTAATTGCTATATGTATATATTGTTACACTTTAAAATGCCTGAAAACAATATCTAAGCTAGGTACCATTTCTCAATTAATGCAACATGACATCGAAACCAGAAAGAGAAGAATCAACAGAGAACTCAATTGAACGTGTTGAAAATGTCAAATATTAAAAATAATGTTACTATTTATTTAGATGGAGAAACCAAGAAAAGTATACTACATTCAAATGTAAAAATTTTGCCTAAGCTTTAATTCGAAACGAATCTTCCAAGCAATAGAAATGATTTCTTTTCACTAAGCGTATCATTTCATTTATGTGGTTTACAATCTGCTAATTCATCAACAAGATTAAATGAACTACTTAATACACTACCTTATGGCGAGTGTCTGGATATCATATCTGGTCGATTGAGTGCAAATGCATTTTATCTATCCCCGATCTCCGATATATGGCAACAAAAAGATTCATATTTAAAACTAATTGTTGGCAGTGTTAACGCATCCATATTGAGAGTAAAACGGACAAGTGGACATATAAACAAGAATATTAAAGTCTTAAATTTATTATTTCTTGTATTTCATTAGTATCATAATTTGTTATTTGGCCGCTAACATCACGGTATCGTACGTTTGATGCATTATTTCATTCTTTCTACTCGTTTGGTAATATTGTACATTGACAATAAATGAATATATTCTAGTTGTCAATGGATCCAATATTAATCGTAAATTATTTCCATCACGTCTCTGGAAATATTTCATTTGTTTATTTATAGCTTACTGGAGAACGAATCATTTCATAACAACGGTAACTACAGGTGTTCTTTAGACATGGTCCGAATCTGATTCTTATCATTTATTTCGCACACAATTCTTTATTATTTCATTTTATATTAGTTTTATTCACGTAAATATGATTTTATTGATGATTTCCAAAAAGAGCAAAGCAATTTTTCACCTTTTTCTTAAAATTCTTATTGGCTCTTCAGTTTTAATATTAACGTAGTTGTCTCATCGACTGCTAGGTTTAGATGAAACACATGATATGGATATAAATATAGAAGGATTCCACTGCTGGGTCTTTCGTAAGTAAAACATGATAAAAAATTTCCATTAGACATTTATTAAATTGATAGAGAAAAGTAAGCTGTCTGCTTCTCTCGCGAATGTCGATCTCTTGAACATATGAAATAATTAAGAAATCCTTTTTTTTCATTTCTTTCAAGGTGATTTATCATTTCTGGTTCCATTTGTTCTTGCCGGTTATTTATTTCAATTATATACAATGCATATTCATCGTGGCAACTAGCACATGCGCCAACTACTCACGAATGGCAAGTATTTGCATTATCAATTATATTTTTCATTTTATTTTTGGAAAATATTTCGACAACATTCAATGTTTTACGTGAAAAATTTCGGGACAAATCTCGACCAATATTATTAAAACAAAAATATCAAAGTTTGAAAACATTCTTATCAAAAATTTATTATCGAAGATCGAAATCATTTAATCAACTACATCATCAAACAGCACTACTCAATTCAGATGAAGAAATTAACATAACATCCAAAGAAAATTAGTTTATGATTTTGTTCTTCTTTTAATTTAAAATATATATAAATATAAATTTACCCGTTGATTTTCTTCCGTAGCTGTGAAGATACGATTATCGATAATTCGATTGAGAAACTATCGATTTTGGCAAGCATCAAAAAAGATTTCAGAGAGATACATTACTCAAGTGGAATTTTATCTTACTGAACGGATTTGAAAAAAACAGTGGAATAATTTGTTTTTAGAAAGAAAATAGTTATGCTTCGATGTAGGTATATGATGAAATCATATAAGTCTGATACGCAACAGTTACGAATCTAGATGAATAGATTATCATACTTTTGTGAAGAGGGCTTTTCAGGAAAAAACACCGAGTAAAACTATGTTTACTATCTTGAATCAATTTCAAAAAAGAAACGTTAACAAGACCAGGCATAGAATTCGAGATTTTCTATTAATAAAATATACAAAAAAAGTTACTGTGAATCATTTGAGATTGATTTTTATTCAATAAAAGACTTCAGCTGCTTAATCTTTACATCTAATGAACGCAACAATGATCGACAAAGATCTTTATATTTGTAACTTAATTTCATTCAATTTTTAACTAAGACCTACGAGATTGTGAAGGTTAAAGAAAAGCATGCAGTTTCGATAATTCAATAGTTTCACATTTAAGTTTGAGTTTACAACCCAAAATTTGTTGTTTTTTCGTTTGAAACTTTTCTTCCGATTCAAGTTGATTTTCATACAGCGTTTTTTAATTTGTTCAATTTTATTGATTATTCAGAAAAATTCATTGATAGCATGATCAGACTGACAAAATGTCATTTTCAACTATAGCCATGCTATGCGCATACTAAATGTATTGTTTTTTTCTTCTAAACAAAATGAATCAGTCAATACTTTTTTAATTGAATAATATTGGTGCGTTAAAAAAAAAACAAAAAAAGAAGCTTTCTTTAAAATATAATAAGCAAAAATTGTATACGCAATAACAAGAAATTAAACGTAGACTAATGATTTTATTAAACACTTATTTTTGAATACAATTCAATTAAATGAACAATGAAATAATTAAATCGAGAAAACATTTCTATTTGATACCAATATCGAAGAGGTAATGTTAACATATGCATAAATGTATGACGATAAGTGGCATAACATGAAGCAACTAAATTATTTACTATGATATTACCTTCGAATGTTAATGGAGTAGATATTGTTTGATCATACAATAGGATTTCTTTGATATTAATCACTTGTAACGGTATTAATTCCGATGAAAAAACAAAATCACCAATAGCAATGTTATATGCAAAACTATAATGAACAAAAGTTTGTTTTTGATCTTTTTTCTTAGTTAGAATCGAATGTGATGGTGTAAGACGAAGTGGTTCTTGTTTATTTGTCGTGTATATTTCCAAAAAACGAACAGTTGAACGTTGATGATGAAATATCGTTAATACTCGACTTTTTTCAATTTTTCCAGATGATAAATGAACAAGAACTTCATCACCAGTAGTTAATAAATGTAGTGAACGCACAGAGCCATCAGCAAGTGTTATATTTGTTTTATCGAAGAAACAACCAAGTTCTGCAACATAATTTTATTTAATCATCTCTAAAAATAGAAATAAAAGTTTACCATATGATTTTTCTGTACTTGACTCCATCGTTGTTGTAGTTGTTGTCGTTGATGGAATGGTAGTAGATTCAGTTGTTGTTGTTGTTGTTGCCACAGAATAAATCATAAATTGAGTCAATAGATACAATAACCCATTTAACAAAATAAAAGCAATGAAGATTGTAAATATCATTTTTAGATATCTTGGTGTTAACCGCCTCTTGAATAATTGAATATTTTGTTCTATCCATCGGTGCATTTTTTCCTATGTCAAATCTAATTAGAACTTTAAGAAAAATACTTTCAAGTTCATTGATAATCTTTGTTATCTAAATATTTATATATAATAAGGTTTAATGCTATATTGATTAATCGTTTTCTTTTATAAATTTGATATGCAGTTCGAATACTTTTTACCTTCAGATAAATTATCAAACTGCGATGATTTTTTGGTTCTCACATTTTATGTTGTATGTTTGCATCAGTCACACACTACAATTTCTGTTGCATAGTAACGATGCAATGTAAATAAAAGTGAAGAAAAGAAAAGTTTTTCTGCCTCTTGTAAGAGAATACTTTAAAGCAACCAGAATTATTTATTCAGTTATGAAAATAAAAACTGATGTGAGAAACTTCTTTATAGAAAAAAAAAAGACAGCCATATCTACTTAATTAATCGCAGCGAAAATTCTATTTAAATCAACCGCTTTTAACTCCTATAATACCAGTTGAGATCTAGGGGAAATCAGTACGTGTCATTATATCGATTAATATTTCATAGAATTGATCACTATACTGATGAGACAGATTTATAACAATACACATCACCTCATTAAAAAGCACAGATGTCTATACTAAATGTGAAAATCATGTCATTTTCTGAAGTAAATAGTTGTAGCAATGTGAAAAAGTTGAAAGTCAATGATTAAAACTGGAATATGATTGAGATATATCTTGGCGAAAATCCAATAAAATATGACACAAGAACTATTATGACACTGTATTTAGATGAAGTTATAAATCGAAGTTTTAATGTTTCGTTAAAATTAAATGAAGTAATATTTAATAAAATGAATTTGTCCAACTCAAGTAACAAGAAAACGAAGTAGATAAATTAATTTGATAAAGACTTGCATATCAACAGAAAAACCAATAAATTATAGTGTCCCATATGAATTTCATATAATCTCTAATGTAACAGTTCTGCATTAATTGCACTTAGAGTATATCACGACTAGAATTTTTTCTGAAAATTAAATAATGCTCTTTTAAAACGATCACCTTCTTTACTTTCAACATATTGAGTTCAAAGTATTTGACAAAGAGAGATAACTTCTAAGAATATATTTGTCAGCAAAAATTATCCGCAAGCTGCTGCAATTTTAGAAGAGAATCTTCATTCATTATGACAATAAGTTATTGTGAACAGTTAAAATAAAATTTCAAAGGTATTGTTTGAATAGGACCGTGATTTTTTTCTATGAAATTTACTAACTAAAATTAATGGCAACTCATACTTAATTTAGTACAGTATATAAAACAAAACCAAGTGTTTTTTAAATAGATTTTGTGTGAAAATTTTTAATCGCCATGGTAGATAGAAAAGCTAATTTTTAGTACATCTATTTCCTATCGAATATTAAGTTTTTGTAACTTGAATTTTTTTAGTATGACTAGAAATCTGATTACATTCATCTATAATATGTCTCAAAATTTCGAAAATCAAGTAGGAAATCAATACATTTAATTTATCTATGAAAATTATTGTTTTGTGAAGTCGTAAAGTATCTATCGAAATATACTCTTTAAAATTTTCAACCTTCTGTAAATATGTTGAATCCAATAGTTTTTTTTCCAAGCTTTTTATTGAATAGATACTTTATTCTTTTCTAATAAAACAAGTGACGAATTTCTGCGACGCCTTACTGTCAGGATAGGGTTACAGAAATTTCGACCCACGGAATTTTCGGGCCGAACTTTCGGACCAATTTTATACAAACTCATTGAACTCTGAAAAAAAACGAATTTTTTTGAAAATTAGTTTCTAGATTTTTTTAGTATCGAGCGAAGTGACGTAGTGCCGAGCAAAGCGACGTAGTGCTGAGCGAAGTAATATAGTGTTTAAAACAGCACTTCTATTATTATAGAACATAGTATCGCGTTTTAAGATACATATCGTTTATCCACAACAAGCACTAACGAATCTAGTGTAATCTCAATATTGACTTAAGGATGTACATTTTTTAGTTTTATTTTAGATGTAGAATTCACTATTGCTGGTATATTTTTCGAAATTTGTTGAAATGTATATTAGGTATAAATTCGTTTTTTTTGATTTCAACTAGTTTTTCTTCTATGGAATGAAAAACGCCGCTTCGCTCAGCACTACGTCGCTTCGCTGAGCACTACGTTGCTTCACTGGGCACTACGCCGCTTTGCTCGGCACTAAAAAATCTAGAAACCAATTTTCAAAAAATTGACGTTTTTTTTCAGGGTTAAATGAATTTCTGTAAAATTGGTCCGAAAGTCCGGAGAATTTTCGGGCCGGGCCAAAATTCCGGTCTCCCTCAGGATAGACTGAAAACAAAATTAATAAGAAATATATCAATCATTTTTTTTTCAAAATTAAATATCTTTTATTGATTGGAATATAAATTAAAGTAGTACTCAAAAAAATGTTTTGTCATCCTTTAAAAAGAAACACAATTGATTAAATGAAAAATAGTTAAACTTTTTATTCTCTATATGTACACGGTAAAATTCGAATACGATCACCAGCTGAACAGCAAAGACCAAGTAAAAGCTGCCATGGAAATGGACATTTATTAATATCAATATTAAGTTCATGTGAACTGTGTGTTCGCTCATTTCTTAAACGAATTATATGATGATCACAATCAATAAAAAGTTCTATTATATCATTCATTTCCATATCACTTTGATATTGAATTGTATTTGCTTTTTGATAAACACCACTAAGACAAATACCATCTTGTCCAGCTAATCCATAAGCTGTTGGCGTGCTAATTGAAACAGCTCTCATAGGAACATTTTTTGACACAATGCCAAAAAATGCCCATTTATCTGAATCAAGTTCTTCAATTTTAAAACGAAATCGATATTGACCATATGAATATTCACCTTTTCCACGTACAGCTGAATGATCACTCCATTGACCATGAATCATCAATTGACCATTATCATCAATTCGGATGTTTCCAGCTGTTCGTTCAAATAAATCCTTGGGTTCAACAATAAGAACAGTAAGTTTAGAAACAAACGTGATATGATCATCATCTTTATGAATTTGAATTGTTTCTGGTGTAATTAAATCCTTTTTTAAATTATCCAACTTATCTCTCCATTCTCTTAGATATATTTCAGTAAATTTCTCATCATTTTGAATTTGCTCTATTTTTTGTGACAAATTCTGTAAAGATTTTTCAATATTAATTACATGATCGCTAATAACATTTAAAATTTTTGTTCGAGCATCATCGGCTGTTTGTTGAATTTTATTTATTGATTGTCTTTCCCATTTATCAATTTGTTGAATAAGAGAATGTTGTTGAGGTTCTTGCATATACTTATAAATTAGCTTTTGCAATTGATTATGATCCGCTAAAAAATCGTTCATTTGTGTAACTGGAGATTGATGTTCTTCATTTATATGATCTTCACAAAAATCCTGTCGACATCCAGAACATGTGAAAAACGCTTGTTTTTTATTACACGTTATACAGAATGATTTAGTTATTGAAGATGCCATGCGGATTTTTTCATATATGAATAGTAGTAAAAAAAATGAATGAAGAGCAAGATGCTTGACGTTTATTGTTGAGTGCTTTGAAAAAAAACGCAACATAGTTGAGTATGCGCTTGTCTTCTTGTTTTTTTTTATAAACGCATAGAAAAAAGTCTGTTTTCCTCACATTACTTCACTGTTCATTCTATTCGTAGTCATATGTCATCGAAAGTGTCAAAATCAAGATGAGAAAGAAAAGCTGCAGACTAAATATATTAAAAATAGCTAAAGCCAATATGAATATTTCTGACTTATAATAAATTACATAAAAGTTGTATAATTCTATGATTATTTTTATTAGAAACGTTATTACAGTGTATTATAATGGAACTAAAAACGTATTACTGGTATAAACATGTTTAGACATAGAAATTATGTTGAATTCAAAAGGGAGAAAATGTTTTGTTTTAACATGTATTTTATTCAAGAACATATATATGATTATTATTTATTTTCTGGTATTTATTACTTCTAAAATGCATTGTAATTATGTCAATATAATATTATTAAAATATTGATAAATAATATGATATCACACTTTCTCATTAATTTTATATTTGTATTTATTCAATCAGATAAAAATAAAAGAAGAATAGATCAATTCGATTTTATATAATTTATCATCATGAACAATGTGGGATGTTTCTTGTTGAAAAACGAGTGTCATCAAAAACTTATATAACATTTTAATTGGATTAGTTTATTAGAGACTCTCTTAGTTATTAATTCTGAAGATGACACAACTATCTTTGTTCTTCTCTATAGAATCCTATATAATAAATTGAATCATTTTCATACAAGATAGAAACATATGCGAAGAAAATAATATCTATCGAAGCCATTTGTTTTTTTGTATAGAAATCCCTATGAAAATTTAAAAAAAAATTGTTTTCACACGAGAATAAGTTATAGATGTTGTTCTATCCAATGATTTAATCAAAACTGAGGAAATGTTGGTTCTTTGTTGTGTATGTATTAACAAGTCTTCAATTAATAATTTACTTATTAGTAATTTATAATGAATGTAGTATGAAACACAATAATGTTTCGTATCTGAATGTCACAACTATCGAATCATCAATGTGTTATAAGTGATGTAATCCGATCAATTGAAGAATGTTTGAGAAATACCAGGCAACACTAATCTGAATTGATTGACTAGTTATATACATTTGTATATTTCTATGGTTAAAAGCGTAACATAAATGAAATTAAACGATAGATAGACTAACAGATTATGGAATGTGTCGAGAGGCCTGAATTCTTGTTCATTCGATATTAGAGTTTACATGCATATTGATATTTCTCAGATACTTCTAAAATATCATCAATAGAAATATATCCTTGTACTCAATGTATGAATTTTTTGTTTCGTTTACAACATGGAATTTTCATCCTGTGAAATCAAAAGCACATTTTAATATTTACATAGTATAAATAATAAAGTAATGCTATTAAAAACTTCGTGTTCTGATCAATACAGAAACCAAAAGCCATAGAAAGATTCATTTCAAAATTTGCAGAGAAAAAAATGGTAGATTCGTAATGGACAGATAAACATTTCATAAAAAATCTATCATTGTTCAGCTTATGACGAGTATATGCTTACTTAATTGGTGATTGTATTCATTGAATTTCAACACAAAAAAAAGGCAGAATGAATATATGATTTAGATAAAAAGTTTTGATGCGAAGAAAATTGAATTCTCTGTTCAAATCATAAGTTTCACTCTAATTTCTTTTTTATTCTGATTTTTCATGCGTATGAATTACTTGGGATAACATATATTAAAATAAATTGAGGGTTTACGTGAAACGCAACCGAGTTATATGCGATGTGATTATCATTACAACTATTTCGATCGAACAAAATTGTAAGACAGTTACATGCAATTATTTATGAGCATTCTCTTTATAGCCGCAGGGATCGAAACATTGCCCATCGCTTGCAAAACACAATTTTCATTGTATGGCTTACAGTCATCTAGCAGTATGTGTTTAGATATTGTTCTTGCAACTGTCTTCCTCTTTTTGTTTTGCTATTTTTCCTCTATATCACCAAAGTATTATTTTTAGAAAGAAGCAATCTTTGTGCATGTCATTTTTTTATTAGTCTCAAGTATTAGTATTGACGGGTCTGTATTGAATTTTACAAAGACTAGTACAGGATACCTTCGGGTTATAACAATATTGCTTTTATGTTGATGCATTCGTTCACTCTGTAACAATATGATCAATTCCAACTTCATTTACTTGATAAAAACGAAGTCAATAGAAAAGGTCACAAAATTGTTTGATGGTTATTGTAATGATATTAGTTTTGCTCAATCATATATTGCTCATTTTCTTCTTTTACAGTGCATATCACTCTTTGCAATCTTTTTGATTTTCCATAGTATTGATAAAATATTTGTAAATTGATCTGTTTCTTTAGTTATATGCATCATTAAAAATCAATAGTGAAGATACACATAATTTCTAAGTCAATAAGTTCACTGTTAGTAAATTCGAATCAACAAAAGATTTAAAGCAAATACATGGTTTGAACGTAATGCGTTATAGCTACATAAATATTTTTTATTCGTTTCCTTGATTTAGACCGATAGACAATAGTTGATGCAGAACATAAGTAACATTCAACTAGTTTCTATGTCATATGAAACAAATGGCTGCTCTCCACTTTTAAAGTTGCTGTACTATCATCAAGTTAGACACATGTTGTATTTTCATTGATTGATTTATCAACGATCAATTAATTTGATAGCAAACGCATGGCTTCTTATCTTTTATCAGAATAGATTTCTATACATTGTAATATAGCAAGAATACTAGACACATGTATTTTTGTCAGTAAATTGGTTGTGATATTTCAGAACTTGGCAGTGAGTTTGAATACGAATAGAATTTTTCTTGAATAAAAAGCGAAAAAAGATTATTTTGTTTTAATGAAATCATAGTATTTTTTAAAATAGACTAATAATTGTATATCATTATTTTGAAATCATCATGTACATGTTTTCTATCTGTATTCAGTGGATTCTGCTCTCGTACAAGGATAAGCATATATGCTCAACTTGTTATTCTATTTAGATAAAGTCTTTGTCTTCTTCTATTCTCTTTGTTAATTTCCTTAGTGAATATTATTCTCTATTTCATATTATCGAAACACCTATTATACTGATATAAATGTTAGCGTCCAAGTTCAAATAACATCCAATCTCAAATTGAGACAGAAATTAATGTTGAAAACAGTTCACTTCTCAAGATCAAGATCAATATCTTATTTCTTTTTTTTTGTTATTGTTGAATTGAGAGGAAATAATGCCACTTCAATAAATACAATCATCAGTTAATCAGTGAAGTTTAAACGTATGAAATTATCGATGTTTTCATACGCAAAAAACTTTTTCAATCGAAACCAATTAATATCCACTTGAATGTTTACCGATTTCATGGATAAACTATTGCCTCAATTGAGGTCCCATGAGTTTTTTTCTTTTTTTTTGAGTCATCAGTAACAATCTAAATACAAAATTGATCTAAAGAGTAAGCCAGATTATAACACCAAATGTTTGTTCAATTCTATATTGTACAAATTCAATCTTAATTCTAAGATTTACTTATATCGATCTAGTATTAAATAAGTCTCCATTTTAAATGCTCTCTCATATACTATGTATATATTTCTTTTCATTGTTTGAAATTATAAAGAGATGTATACAAATACGTGATAAGATAATAGTTTTTTGTTGATTAAAAAACTTGGTAAGTGGTTGACAATCTTCATAGAATGGTGCTATACTAATATACACAATAAACAACATCTTATGATCATAAATAGTGTACTGCCCTTCAACACATTGTATGACTATACAAAATGTCTATCGTATGAATTTGTATTTCATTAAATAGACTGTGTAAAAAAAAAAGTATCTCGATTTTCAATCGCAAATAATAATATTAATATAAGAACAAGAAATATTTCTATTAATGCTATACTTAATCTGTTGGCTTGTATTTTTCACACAATTCACTTTCAAACACTATTCTTTCTATATAATAGTAACACTTGTGTATTCCCTATTTTCTTCGATACTCAAATCAACTCAAGTTAATCACGGATAGATAAATCATGATCATAAAATATGATTCGATCGTGTGATTGATCTAAAACTAATGATCAATTAATGTGTTGTTCATTAGGGCAAAGTTAATTAAATGTTCAACAGAAGAAAAGAAATCATCTACAATATCATGTATTTGTTTGTCTTTAATGTCAAAAAAAGTTTCTTTTGTCCGTATCATATCACGTATTGATATTCAAACATACCCATCAACTAAATATTGTTTTGATCAATAAGTTTTATTATCAAACTCGAAATACAATAGAAAATATGTATTTACATAGTAAATGTTGAATTCATACGGTAAGAAAAAAAAATCTTTTAGTACATGCATTCTTGAATCATTGACGTCCCACCGGTATGATGTAATCGTTGTCTTTTACTAATCGATTGTAACTAGTGAATCTAATTTATATACTATAAAAATGTAACAAGATAAAAAAGGCTTCTACATGAAATAATATTCTTCTCTGTTTTCTATTCAATTTCAACTTAATTGAAGTACGTACAAAAAAAAGAAACGTTTCTTTTTTCGATTACTACCTCTAATTACCGAATTCTTTGTTCAAAATTTCAATGGCGATCAGTTGTCAAATAAGCAATACACAAGAGTAAAAAAACGAGCACCTGTTTCTTACTTTCTCTTTCTTCTAGCATGTGTTGTTATTGGTGTACAAGCAACGAAGAAATCTTTTTTTTCTCTCGTCTTGTTAGTGTTTCTATTACTGCTGCTTCGTTCTCATCGCACAGAACACTAGAGAACACGTAAATTTTTTCATTTATGCTATTCTTGGAGTACAATTGTGATCAGAGTCGTGTTTTTTTCCTATTGACGAAATAATTATAATGTACATGACCGTATCAATCTTATAATTCAATAGTGGTCCTTTGAATTTTACTAGAAAAAAAAGGTGAGTGAGCACTTTTTCACTGTTTCTCATTTTGAAATCAACATCATCATTATCAAATCACGCGCTATCGGTCATCGGAATGAAAAATGAAAGAAACTAAGTTGACCGTTGTACGATAGACGAATCTATGAATAGGGAAAAGAAGAATGATTATTTCGCTTCTCGGACACGATGGTTGGAGAAAGAGGTGAACTTTTCCTCTTCCTGTTCAGCCGATTATCAACACTGAACATACCTTTGTCTCTCCCCCCCTCTCTCTCTCTCTCTCTATGTGTTTATTGTCCGATCGTCAAACTACTATTCAAAGTGAATTGAACATAAGGCGAATTCGATCCTTTTGTTTAGGGTCTTCTCGTCTCTTATTTATTCTCGCATATTAAGACCTTGACTACCAAAAGAATAACTATTCAAACGTATTGGTAAACGTTAGTCGATAACTTGTTAAACGATACTTTACAAACATCTGTTGCAAATGTCTTTGGTATGTATTACTTTTATTTCATATAGAAATAAATTGAAAAAATAATGAACTGATATTTTTCTTTTCCTTCTGCCTCTATACGCATAAAATTGATAATCTCATTGAATTTATATTATTTGACATGATAAAATCGAATATAGTTTTCAATAGATAGAGAAACGAGAATATATTTGAATTGTATATGAAGAGAGGATGAAGAAGATCAATATTCTATTTTGTTAGCTCCTAAATGTAATCGATATTTGATCATGTATTCTTTTCGAACGTGCAAAATGGACTAGTCATTGGGCTTTTTGTCTACAGATGAATGTACGTGCTGTTTACTTGTACTCGTTGTGTGTCCAAGCTTTTCTTTTTACACGTTTTTCTTTTATTTATATTTGCATTGATAGATCGACAATAACAATCGCAATAACAACAACAATAATATTAATAATAGAACTAGTTTAAATGATGAAGAAATAGCAGACTGTATTCAAGTTACATTAACAAGAGTAAGTTTGTCAATGCTTTTTCAAACTGATCGATTCTTTTGAGTAATCCTTTTAACGTTATCGTGTTAAAATTGATTTTTTTCTCTTTACGCTGTTTCGTGGGTCTTCTAAAGGAAAATGTTCACGTAATCAAGCGACAGGTGGCAATTGAATCACTAACACCCTGAAGGCGGCTTTCTTTCGTTCAAGATATTGATTTATGATAGCGAGCATAAGAAAGGAGAAAGAAGTCAATGTTTTATTTAGTCACCGTCACATGGTTTCGGCATAGCGATTAGTGGTGGAAATAATGAAAATAAATTGGCTGATTTAAAAAAAAATACTATTTCATATCACGATGAAAATCAATTCGATAATCAATCATTAATTGTATGCGAAGTTATTAAAAATGGTCCAGCAGATGGAAAACTTTTGTAAGTATTCATATATATTTTTAATATTAAAAAAGAAAGCACTAGACTCAATCAATATTTGTTTTTCATTCAGCCCAAACGATCAGATTTTGAGCGTTAATGGTCATCCAGTAATACGCCAAATGGAACATTCAGCATTAAAACTTATTCGTGAATCAACTGATTTTGTTAATTTAGTAATATTTATTTTTGTTTTTATGATCAATTTATAAAAATTAAGAAAATATTTTAATAGATTGTCCGACGACGAAAGCATCCTGTTCTTGTTTCGGACAGTCAACCACCTGTAAAATGTATATTGAATAAGACGCGTAAAGATGAGAAATTCGGTATTGTTTTGGGCTGCCGATATTTCGTTAAAAAAATTCATTTTAAAGATAGTGATAAATATACGAATCTTCACGAAGGAGATGAAGTTATTAAGGTAAATATTTGTGTTTTTAATGGAAAAAAAACATGCAAAGAAAACAAACTATTTAGATAAACGAAACCCTTGTTGATCGCTTAACATTACAAGAAGCACAAAAATTAATTGATAAAGCTAAAGAACGACTTGTCCTTTTTGTTATTCCTAATAAATCGAATCAAGATAAATCATTATCTCATCGTAAGATTACTAATTTTTGTTTATGTCTTTGATAACTGATATTCTATGACAATAGAAAATGGAATTCATAATCATCAAGAAGTAACATCAATGCCTATTGTTGTTCAAGATCGACCATCATCTTCACGTAAAGAATTACAAGCGGATTATAATCAACATGTTTTCGAGAGACCAATAGTTAATCGTCATGATTTTATGCGATCAAGGTAAATCACAATAGAATAAAATGAATATGTTTCAATATCTATACTTTATTTTCGCTTAATAATATAGTACTGGTACAAGATATGTATCGTTTCTTACTGATTCAACAAGTATGGGTATTCGATTAGCTGGTGGTGATAAACATGGCCTATTTATTTGTGAAGTACAACCAAACAGTGTAGCACATAAAGCTGGATTACTTGTTGCTGATAAAATATTCAGTGTAAGTTTTATTTAATATCGTTATTCTTTGACAACAGAATATAGGAAATTTTTACAAAGTGTTTTTTCATAAAAAATATGAGCCTCATTACAGGCAGATACATTTTTGGAAACTATCTATTAAATGAAAAAGCAAAAGAATATTTTGATGAACATTGCTATTAATGAGAATGCATGATGTGCCAGCCAGTTCTAAAGATCAAAATCTAAGGATGTATTCATATGATGTAATATACGATTGCATAGTTCTATTCATATGCGTCTATATACAGATTAATTTATTCTATATTGAATTCTTATACTTATCTTCAAATTTGCATCGTCGTTTATTTTATTCTTAGGTGAATAATATCGATTTTACAGCTTTAACACGCGAAGAAGCTGTTTTGTGTTTGATGAATATGAAATCATTACAAGTGAATATGATTGTAGCTAATTTACGCCATGGTTTGTTTTATAAACATTTGTTTTATAAATTTAAATATATTCGTTTCGAATTGATTAAATATAGAATATGAACAATTGTTGGCTGATGTTGGTGGAGATTCATTTTATATTCGGTAAGAAAACAAAAATAGCCAACAAAAGTGTTGAGAATAGTACTTAAAATGAGCGTCTTTTTTCTTAAAATTTCAGTGCTCATTTCACTTATAATACAACAAACGAAGAAGAATTATCGCTTCGTGTAAATGATATTTTTCATGTAACTGATACTCTCTATAATGGTCAAGTTGGTTATTGGGTTGCAACTAAATTAAATGCATCTCCAACACACAATAAAATTACTGGTGCTATTCCAAATAAATTACGGTACGTTATGAAATAAAAATATGATTATCGACGATAAATAATTTATTCTTTTTTCTTTTCGTAGAGCGGAACAATTGGCAAGTGTTGCTCCAAATCTTGATCAATTAATTAAATCAAAACAGCCTTCATTTAAACGTAAACTACGATCGAAATTTGGTGATAAAAGATCACGATCGGTTTCATCAATACATCATTTAAAAGAAGATTCTTTTTTTGGTATGTTGTGTTGTTTTTTTGTTTCAAAAAAAAAAGCAGTTCTATTTGTCATATACCTTTATAGCTAAAGTTACTTGTTGGAAGCGTAAGTCATTGTATATTATGGTTTTTTATGATAATCACTTATATAATTATTTTTTTGGCTAACCGCAGATGCTTTGTTAGAAGAAAATATTTTGAAAAGAATAGTATTTTGATAATGCTTAATGCCCACGCTTTTATCATTTTGTTTTACAGCTTTGAAAATAATACTATTTCAAACATGCCTTGTTTTATTTTTATTTTTATTTTAGCGTTGACCAATTCTAAATTTCCTGCATACGAACGTGTTTTACTTAAAGCTGGTGAGATAATTTTGATCATGATTGAATTTTTTTCATGATAGTTTCATAATAGTGACAATTATTCGTCCTGTTGTTCTTTTTGGTCCTTTGGCTGATATTGCAAGAGATCGTCTACTCAAAGAACATCCTGATCTATTCGAATTACCTCGTAAGTTACAGATAGTAAATATTGAAATATCTTAATCAGTATATGCATTTGAATATCAAACTCAATAAAAAACACAACAAATTTTCGGATATATTTTCATAAATTATTAATTTCTAGGTATTGAAACACAATCTCCTACAAAAGCACGAGCTAATGTTATTAAATTACAAAGTATCAAAAATGTTATTCAACGAGTAAGTTGAAAATCAAAGCTTTTATTAAGAATGATTATCTCAAGAGATTTTGTTTTGAACATGATAAAGATGGCTTATAAAACACTTCACTTCAATCTATTCTAATCATAAATGTTGAACCATAATTAAAATAATCTGTGGTTTTAATTTCTAGTGTTCGATTTTATGGTTTTCGTAATTTATCTTTCCTAGGATTTCCTGTTGAAACTCTTAGGATGTAGATAGTCGTTTCATTAGTAGAAGACTGTTCGTACTAAGTATGAATTGGAGATCAGATCGACGGATTCTACTTTGAATACAAATAAAAATACTATTTTGTCAGTCGAAATCTTTCTATAATTGATCTAAAGAAAAATGTTGTTAAATACAAGGATTATCAAACTATAAATACGAAGTATATTGTTCTTTAGAAAAGAAATCTATAGTAATTCAATATAATATTACTTTTGTATAAGTTTCATTATTAATTAGATGATTTTATTTATTTCTTGTCTTATGTATAAATTAACTTGAATGTTTTTGTTAGAATCGTCATTGTTTACTTGATGTAACTCCAACAGCCGTCGAACAACTGAACTATGCTCAATGCTATCCCATTGTTATCTATTTCAAAGCATCTGATCGTCGACAAATAAAGCAAATTCGTAATGAATATGGCAAACTTTATCAAAAATCTTCTCGACGCTTATTTGAATCATCGGAACGTTTAGAATTTTTATTTTCATATTTATTTACATCAGTAATAAAACTCGATTCAACGGCAAATTGGTATAGAGCATTAAAAGCACAAATTGAAATTGAACAAGAACAACCAATTTGGATGAGTGACGATCGACCAGCTGATAAAGATTTGCCGAATTCTGATGAATATTTTATTTCGACAAGAAAAAGTTATTCTGATGACAATTACACTCGAGATGAATCAAGTCCAGATTCAGATATGATGAATATGCAACAAAGAAAAGGAAAAAATTATTTACAAAGAGTTGCATCGGATCCAGTTATGTTTCCAAGAGATAAAATTGTAAAATTCATTTGACAATTTTCTTTTTCTTGCAATCTTTATTTTGTTTATTTTTAGCGTTCGTACTCAACTGATGGTCATCATGATTTCGACGACAATGACGAAGACGAAGAAGAAGATGATGATAGTAATTTTTAAATCTTCGACGCCAGTAAATTTCATTATTTTTAATTGATTGTTTAGATAGTACATTTTTTCAAAATTCTTCAATATCCTTACCAAATCGCAGCCATTCAGTAACAGAAATGCCAAGAGCAAATGATGAACAAAATCAAAATCGACCAGGATTAACGCATTCAAATTCAATAACAGATAATTCACGTCTTTATCAACGATCATTATCATATATAAAAACAATAGATGATAATAATAATAATACTTTTATGCCAACTATAAATAATAATAATAATAATAATAATGATGATGATTTATTTCGAACAGAGAAATATAATAATGTAAATAGTTATATCTTGTAAATTTATCTTTCTTTCTAAAAGCATTCTTCTTATCTTTTCTAGGATCGAAATTCTTCTATAAACCATCATTCATTTCATGTAACAACGAATGGACAACCTATTTATCGTCCTGATTCGATCACTCATGTTGAACAAGATGATCTCTATCGTTTACAACGTCTGTATCATCAAGATGAACAAGAAAAGTATAAAAATCACTTTGAAAATGAAACTTCATCGAACACGCAAAGCACTGCTAAGCTTATTCCAGCACCTTTTATTAGAGCACAGATTCGTGACACTAAGTAAATGCTTCCATCAAAAAAAATTTTTTTTCTTATATTAGTAAGCATGTTATTTGCACATGTATTTGACTTTCTCTTCAGCGAATCTTCATTAAATTCAATCAATGGTAAAACAGATCGAATTTCATCAAGACGACCACTTATTGCACCGAAACTTCGAACAATACAGACGAATGAAAGACTTAGTTCAAGTGATAGTGGAGGATCTGTTCAAAATCATATTAGAAGAAATTCAAATGAGAAAGCAACAATGACGATAATAGAAAAAGGTTTGCCTGTTAATGGCTATGCTAGTTGGAATAGGTACGACAGCTATTCATGATGTATAATAAATACTAATATTTATCAATTGATCATTATTTCAGACCATCTTCATCTAGTTCATCGAGGCCAACAATTCTACCTTCATATTCGAATGGTATTGATTCTTATAGTAATAACATTGATTCATCGTATCGTATAATTCGTTGTACATCAATGGATACTGTTCGTCGTAATGAGCAAACTCCATCGATGAATTCCAATGACAAATTACATGCAGAATCTTTATTAAAACAGAAGATGTGCTCAAGTAAAAAACATAATCATACATCAGCAACTGCTGCTTTTCCATCAGAAAGCTTAAAATCTCAATCATTTTCTACAACGGCAGCTTTTAATCATCAGCCATCAACAAATCGACATCAATATCAAAACAGTGAATTTCCATTACAAAAACCACGCGTTTATACTCCTGATGATAAATCTTTTATTGGACAACAGCAACAGCAAAATATTCTTTCATCTTCATCAACATCATCAACATTGAGTGTAAAAGACAAAAGTATCAAAGAAGTTGGTGAAACAAGGTAGAAATGATTTTTTTTATAATAAAATAATTATTATTTCAAAAACATAACTCATAGCATGTGCTTTGCTTGTAGTTCTTTCACTTACTCTTTAAATTTTTAATTGTCTAAACTATTTTTCTTCAAGGTTATATTCACTACAAGATGAATGTAATATTATCGGTGGTGCTCGTGGTGTCATGGATTATTTTGGTGGCAAGTTATCTTGTTCTTTAACAGGTGTGAAAATTGTTTTGCTCTTTTTGTTCAATCTTAACTTTTTGTTTTTTTTTGTAATAATCTTTTAGGTGTGTCGGTCTCTGTTCCAGTTGGTGCATTACCAGAAGGTGTTCAACAGGAAATTTTTTTCCATGTTTGTCAAGATGGATCAAATATTCGAAAATTTAATGCTAAGCAAGGTGAACGTTTATTGAGTCCAATTGTTATGTGTGGCCCACATGGTGTACAATTTTTAAAACCAGTTGAATTAATTTTACCACATTTTGGTGGTACAGATGCTCAACAATTATCTTTAATGCTTCATGGTGCTAATCAAAGTAAATTTACTTTTTAGTTAAAATGAAAAATAATTTTGTTTATTCTTTTTTTACAAGATGGTTCCACAATTAATCGACAAGATAAATCAATGATTTTGAATGGAATTAATCATGTCACCAATTCAAATGTCTCTATACTTGTTGATCACTTCTAGTTGTTTTTTTTTCTTTTTTTCCGATTATAATTGCAATCATTTAATTTGCTTCGTTTTTATGTGTATATATGCATACTTATATTATAAAAACTAGTTTTCTTCGATCAATGTTTTCTTTATTGCATTTAATATATAAAAAATTCAACGATGTGTACACAAAAGAAATAGATTATTGAATTTGAAAAAAAAAGAAGATATTGTAAAATTCGTCGGTCTCGAAACGACTCTAGTAGTACGTTTTATAACGCTAATAAATCATATGTGTATATTCAGAATAACTCTTAACAATAGTGAAACTATTAATAACTGTAGTATGAAACCAATGTAATTTCAATGCTTTCAAATAATCGATTTATAATTGTGTATATTGTACAAGCCAAAATAAAATAAATTCTTTTCCTCGATAGAATTTTTTAAATACATTTTAAATATAAATCACATGAAAAGGGGACAAAGAAAACAATAAGTATAATAATGTAAGTGACTGTGCAGCAATTAATACAAAGCTCCAGGGTAACAAAAGACAAGAAAAGCAGAATGTTTTTAACACTTCAAGAAAACGAATAACTAACGATTGAGAAAAAAAATCATGTTATAGAATATTTTTGAATTTAATAGATGACGACGAAGAGATTATTACAATATTCTAACTTAAAAAAACTAACATTTTATACACAGATTTGTCATTCAAAATGAAAATTAATCACTTATTTCTTGAAATGTCTTCACGAGTGAGCTAATAACTTTAAACAAATACGAATACAATGGTGACATTAATCGTAACATAAAGATATATATTATAAGTCAATTCTTCTCTATGGTTATGTATGAACTTTATATTTTGATAAGATACTCAGAGTTTTGAAAGTAAATTAAAAGAGATTTATGTAGCCCAAAGCAGTTTCATATATGAAAGTACACTCTCTTTCCGTTGTATGCGTGACCAATGTTAGTGAGCGCTCGTTGTTCGCTCAACTTTTTGCTCATTCTTTCATATGAAATACAAAAAAATCATATTTTTATTGACGTTCTGTAGGATGAAGTTAATGCTTTTTTCTCACTTCTGTTCAAGAATCAAAAGTGTCTAGCAACAAAAATAAACAGACGGCATTATAATACAGACACCCGAGAACATACAAAAGAAAATACTATTTCATACATCATGCGTTATCCATGCATCGGTTTTCCATCATGTTTAAAAACATTTGAAAATGGTTATGTTCTGCGTGGACATCAACTTTCCTGTGAACATGCGCAAAAAGAAATAAATAGTAAAAATATTGTCCAAGAACATGCTCGAGAAATTCAATATGATTATAATATTAATGGAATGAAATGTAATAAAACTTACCCGAAATTCACTGGCTTGGATGATACACAACGATTAAATTTTCGTGATCGATTTCACTTTGGAAGCGTCAAAGCAAAACCATATCGACCTCTTAATAAACCAGCTGATTCTTCAATAGTAACACCTCAAACAAAATCAATTGCGATGGATCTTACTGGCTATTACACATAGACATTAATAGTTGAATAGCCGCTATTATTGTTTTTCAATCAATAAATTTCGACTGAATACAAAAACATAGCATATATTTCATTCTAATCTAATAATTATAACTATTTCATGATATGACTGTAAAAAATACTTGTTTACGATTCTATCCAATTAGTATTTTAATTAAACTACAGAATTTCTATGCTGATTTAGAGACGAAAATGTGCCATTGAATCTGACTCGATATTGTTCATCATAATTTGTAAAAAATTAGAAAAGTTTAATCAAGTTCATATTCATTTATATCAAGAAAGATTTGTGTTTTGTATATATATATATATATAGACTCGATCGAAAATGAGAGATTATTTTGAACTGAAAAATGATGAATACAATCGTACATTCATCGTTAATAATTTCTTTTTTTGTAAGAGAATGGTACATAAGTAAAACGTAACGATGATTCCTGATCGTAATTGAACTATGAATCGTAAACTGCTGATTTCTATTCTGATTCCAAAACAAAGAAGTAAAATTAGTGATTCCAGTATGACCCGAAAAAAGTTACACCCGATTCCAAATCAAAGTGATTTTACTCATATCTATGTGTAAAATGTAAAAAGAAAACAAGTACTTGCATGCTATAACGAAGTTCTATCATTCTATTAAATAAGAATTAATTCAAGTATAATTATAGAACGGCTATTTCTTATTAAAATATGAACTCTGAAATCTTTATTTTGTTATTCACTTTATTGAAAACTATGATAGCATTCATTGTTCAAGAAATATTTTATGATTAAACAAAAAGAAAACACTATCCGATATATTGCTTTTCTTACTTTCATAATCTTATTTCACTCCATGTAACTGAGATAATGTGACTTCTAAAGTTACAGCATGTCACTTCACTTCATGGTGGAGCAAGTCTAAGATGGTACAAGACTTTGCGAGTTATTTCACTTTCTTAAGATCTAAGTTCTACTGAATAGATATCATAAATCAGTTGAAAAAAATAAAATAGACAATCAAATCAAAATGAATAATTATGGTTTATATAAATCTAGTACACAGAAGCGAATCGATGATAATGGAATTGATACTTCAATACATAATTTCCATAAAAAAAAATTTATTTTATCAAAATTCGAGTGTTTGAAAGTTTACAGTGATTATGTTTATCACAGACAAGAAACAATAGCAGCTAAACAAACTATACAAACGATGTACTATAGCCGTATAATTTCAACTAAATAGTTTGATAAAACAATTAAATTGAATAAAACAAGCCTATAATTAGTCATTGCATATTTGATTATTTATTGAGTTATCATTGATTCTTTGGTTTGTGTTGATTTTATTTAGATCATAGCTGTTACATTCGAGTTCTTTATTTGTCTTTTATTATTTTGATTAGTGAAACTATCGAATGTACTAAAATTACAGGATATATGGAAGGTGATTCAACAAATAGAAAACTTTATATCTTCTTAATGATTATTTTGAATAAATTACATTGTGAATTAATAGTGTAAAATATTTCAAAATTTTTTATTCAATGATACAAAGTTATCAGAAAATCCTACAATGTAACGCTGCAAAGATCGATACACTGTAAACATTCTTTTTCCGAGATGCTACCAAAGAATATTTAAGAATGTTTCATGGATTTTGTTTCTTCTTATGTAAATGTATTCCGTTTTGTTGTAAACTTTATTTGAATATTTTTTTAAAACCAGTTCGATTAATCTCCAGTCCATGATTTGTGAAAACTATAAAATCAATGTAGTTCACTCATATAACTATTCTTAAAGCTTTTAATAAAAGAGCAACATAGATTTTCTGCAGAAATCTGTTAACCTCTTTGATTTTATTAATTTGATTACAGAAATCTGAATAAAAAAGATAAATAGGTCTAAATGGCAGAAAGTCCACAATAATGAAACCAAATGGAGTAAATTCAACAAACAGTCAAACATATTATTTTTTTGTATCTCACCAAAAACGTTTTTGGTTCATTGAGCCTGAAGACGTTGGACTATGAATAAAAAAAAAAGTTCATCTAAAATAAATAGCTTGTCAACATACAGTTTTCCGTTCGGTCAACCAATTTTTGGTTATCTGTACTTAAATTAATCTTTTGAAATGAAAGCAAACCTGATTTTAAACTTAGATTGGAAAAAAACTTAAAAGGACATTTTTGCTTTGCATCACATCTTAGGAGATGTGATAACGAGACAGTATTTTGAGAATCTCGCAATTTTCATTTGTGATTCTTAAAATAAAGTTTCCAAAAACAAATTGTATATGTTTTCTTGATTAAATGTTTTCAAGGTATTTGATATTATAACTCATCACATTCAAAAATAGAAAAAAAGCATAATTATGCTGTATAACTACTTAGAATAGTAACAATATAGAAACGAACAAGAATATGTCTATATTTTGTTAAGAGCAAAACGTAAAATATTGCGAATTCCTTCATGAAGAGCACAACTCCGAGCGGCATCTGTTTTTGTCATTCGATTCCTTTACGCCAATACATCCAATCCGACGTCTACGTGCGTATTTAACATATATTTAACATTATCCTTGATTTTTATACTATTACAGTACATAATTCATAGCAGAATATGGCAAGTCCAACGACCAGCAATACTAATAATACAGCTAAAAACAAAGTTCCTGGTTCCATCTCTCAAAACGATCGATTTCTGGAGTATGTCTACAATATGGTATTTTGTTGTTTTATGTTATTTGTTGTTCTTTTTTTGTGTTTAGCTATAATTCAAAGACATTGCCTTTGATCAATGGAACATCGACGACAAATAGTTCAAATGATTTAGTTCATTCTCAACAATTGATCGCCCGCATGAATAAACTTCGTAAAGCTGAGCATCTTTGTGATGTAACACTGAAAATTGAACAAACTCTTTTCCCTGCTCATCGTCTTGTCTTAGCTGCAGCCAGCGATTATTTTGCTGCGATGTTCACTGGAGAAGTAAGTTAATTTTTTAAAAATTATTGTTCTTCAAATAAAATATTTTAGATGGTTGAACGTCATATGAATATCATTGAACTGAAAGGATTTAATGCTTCTGTAATGGAAATTCTTTTGAATTCAATCTATGGTGAATCAGTTACAGTAACAAATGATAATGTTCAAGATATTCTTCCAGCTGCTTCTCTATTGCAACTAAATGGAACTGGTCAATATTTTTTCCTCTTCCTCTATTTATTTATAATTTTTTATGATTTTTATTGTTCAGATATTCAACGACAATGTGCTCTTTTTCTTGCAAGTCATCTTGAACCAGCGAATTGTTTGGGTATCTATTGTTTCGCTGATTTACATAATTGTTCACAATTAAAACAAACCGGTAACCATTGAACTACATCTTCTAAAGTATCGAAAAGAATAAAACTAACGTTGAATTTCAGCTCTATCATTTATCTGGACTCATTTTGCAGCTGTAGTTCATAGTGATGAATTTTTAACATTAAAAGCAAATGAAGTTGAAGATCTTATACAATCAGATGAAATTGAAGTAAATTATTGATTTCTATGTTCATATTTAATAAATAAATTTTATGATTTATTTAATAAGGCACCCAATGAAGAGATAATTTATAATTGTGTTATGGCTTGGCTAAAGCATGATCAAACATTTCGTCAACAATATTTATTAACACTTCTACAACACGTTCGATTACCATTTCTTAGTGCACGTTTTATTACTGATATTTGTGATGCTGATGTATGTAAAGAGATATAAGCGTTTGTGTTACATATTGAAAAATCTTCTCATTATATTAGCCATTAGTAAGATCATCCCATAAATGCCGCGATTTGCTTGATGAAGCGAAACGATATCATTTACGACCAGATTGTCGAAAAGTCATGACAGGAACACGATTTACTAGTCGACGTGGTTAGTAGATTGATGATGATCATTTTCACTACGAAATTTATTTTTCTTTCATCCTCATAGGAAAAGACGAACATCTTATCGTAAATATTACTTTTCTTTTATTAAAACGTACACTGCGATAGTTTCTCAATGAAGGTAGCTGGAGGTTTTGGTGCTCATCAACGACCCGTTGACATTGTCGAGCGATGGAATCCACGTACTAACGAATGGACTGCATTACAGGTTACAATTATTGATAATAAAACAAAATGAATGTCAATATTCTGTAATTTCTTTTAATTTAGCCGTTAACGAAAAGACGTCGATATGCAGCAGCAGCAGCAATAGGCAAACGTCTTTATGTTGTAGGTGGCTACGATGGTCGACAACGTATGAATTCTGTTGAGTGCCTTGATTTATCTCAAGAAAACGCTACTTGGCAACCAGTTGCTTCACTAACATATCGACGAGGTAAAGACGCCGTTTTCAACATTCAACAAACTTTCTCATGATTATCTTTACAGCACTACCAGGTGTCTGTGTGCATCAAAGTAAATTTGTTTCTTCGAAAACAAAACGAATCTGACACAAATATTTTCTTATATTTGTTACAGATTTAATATATGTATGTGGAGGATTTGATGGATCATTGCGGTTAGCTTCAACAGAATGTTACGATGAAAAAACAGATGTATGGGCTATTGGTGAAGATATGCATGTAGGGAGAGAAGGAGCTGGTCTTGTATCTATTGGAGATCATCTCTATTGTATTGGTAAGATATATCTTTACGTAATAAACCGATTTGTAACAAACAGTTTTTGATTGGTATAAATTGCTCTTTTATTTTTCATCACGGACATTGATTACGACAGTGAAGACAATTCAGAATAAAGGATATCCAATTTTTATCTGAGATTGACACTTTGCTTGGCAATCTAAATCAAAGATTAAAATGTATTATGTAGGTCTTACGAAAAGTAGACAACGTTCAGCAATCGACAAAAATATATAGATAGAGCATTACTATTGATTATATTCTTCATTTCCATTTTTCAGAATAAAACAAAAAATCTTACGAAAAATAATAATTCCTTTTTTCCCAGGTGGATATGATGGTCATAGTTTGCTCCAAACAGTCGAAAAATATGGTAAACCATTTTCATGTTCAATCGATTCCACTCTATTTCAAAACTATTTTCTAGATATTAATTTGGGTCGATGGTCACAAATGGCACCAATGTTAACTCCACGTTCAGGTAAAGTTATATCGTGTTCTTATTTATACCAGAATAATTCAATCAACATCTTGAATTTAATTATTTTTCTCTCCGTTTTAGGCGCAGGTTGTGCAACACTTGATCATTATATTTTTGCTTGTGGTGGATTCGATGGAACAATTCATTTATCGAGTGTTGAACGATATGATAGTCAAACTAATCAATGGACAAATGTGACAAGTATGTCTGTTCGACGATGTTATTGTGGTTCGGCATTTATTCGTGGTCGAATAGCTGTCATTGGTGGTTATGATGGAACATCTTTACTTGATACAGTTGAAGTTTATGATAGTGATAAAGATGAATGGGCAATCGAGAGCCAAATGTTAACACCCAGGTGTGATTCGGGTTTCGCTTGTGTTGCTTATCGACAATAGCATTTTTATTTATGCATATATGTATACATTTATAAATACAAATTGATAGTCTGTTTTTCTTTTCTTCATTACCTATTTTGTTTTTTCTCTGCATTGTGATGTCTATTGTGATACGATAACTCACGTTTTTCCTTTCGGCTCTTCTCTTCTTTCTTTTTCTTTTTGTATTTTCTCTCACATACTACTTACAGATATTTATTAATACGAACAACAAAAAGTAATACTTGTCAATCAATAAGAAACAAAATAAAATTGATATAAAATTTTTGGGTAGTATGAATAATCGATTTTGAAATTGATGATGCTCATGTTTCGTACGATAAACTTTAAAAAAAGCCATTTTGACATTGAAAAGAAGAAGAGAAGCAATTGAAGTGGTTTCGATGAACAATTATTCTATTGTTTGTTAATCGTATACGTGAATGAATGAAAGAAAAGAATTTCAAGGAAAGAAAAAGAATATCTTTATGATCGGATGCTCTCTATCCAAATAGTTCTTCTTTTGATTTGACATGAGAGCAGAATATTATCAATATTATTCAACAAAGTAACATACGATGAAAAATATTTTGAAGGACTCTTTATTAGGATGCTCTTGTAATCGAAACTAACATAAAAGAATTTTAATTTCCGGGTGATAGATAAGAATAATATTGAAGCATCCAATTTAGGATGAGTCAGAAGAAAATCTAAAAAGTTTCCGTTAACCATTCTGTAGTTGTAATGTGATAGTTGACGTAACATCCAAATATATATTTATATAGCTATATAGATATGTGTGTGTGTGTGTGTATGTGTACACGCAAAAAAGAAGAGAAAAATTAAATTGGCAACGACAGCGGAGAGGCCACTTCGCGATTGTTGGAATAAATTAATTTGATGGTTCCCCCTCTATTTTCTCTGTCAAACTAAAAGAAAAAGAAGAGCGGCGTCTTATTACGCCATTTCCTTTCCGTTATGAATCGATCATATATATATATATATATACAAAACACACACACAAGCAACACACTCAATATGAGAGGACAATATATAGAAGGAACTAATTTGCGTGACATTTTTTCCTCTCTCATGCATCTCACATCTCCAATTCGATTTTTTAGATCTGTCATCATACCCATCATCATTACTATGCAGCCATAATAAAATATAGAGAGGAAACGACATTTTTCTTTTCTTCAAAGGTATTCAACATATATAAAAAGGACCATTTTAAAACAGGCGACAAAAGGATTATGTCACACTTGTTTCAAAAAGAAAAGAAATAATAAGAAAAAAATTAGATTGCATATTCGCCTACTTCAATGGTCAATTCTAGTAATGAAAGAAAAAAAAGAGGCCATTGTTTTTTTTTCTGCCTTGATTTATACACACACACATACGTATATACATACATATTTCCGGCTACTTGAATTTTAAACTAGCCTTCGCCATCATGTCTGTCGTCATTGTCATAAAAAAATCTGTCCATATGGCGATCGGCAACAACCACTTGAAACAGCAATGCATTCCATCATACATATACAATTACCTGAAGAGTGTGTGCGGTCCGCACTTCCTGTTCAATCGATAGAATCGAGCGGTTTTTTTTCATAGATAAGAGATTGAGAGCATATGAAATTAGATGTGTAAAATTCGACATTTCAAAAAACAATACGTATCTATGATAGCAATTTAAATAGTCGTTGGCTTTTTTCTCCATTAGATTAAATTCTTTCTCTCCGGTTCTTTTTATGAGAATTTGATGCCAATCAATTCGAGATCTGAATATTGGACATTACTAGTACAATCATTTTGTCCGATATAGGACAATTGTATTGTATCCATACGATGATCGGCATCGATGGGATCTTTTTTTTTTGTTCTCTCTTTTTCTTCTTTTTTTCCTCCATATTGTCCAAATGTACTATTCTCTTGCTCTAGTATGAGGTTCAAAAAATAAATAGACCGAACAACGATGAACGCAAGCGAGAAGGACAGAGAAAAGAGAACGAGAGAGAGAGAACGGAGAGAAATCGTAGAGTGGGTGGGCGAACACACTCACCACCATCGCCATAACTAACGTCTCATATATTGGAAAAATCGCGACTCATATATACACATATGCATTGTTCAATGGCTAATTTCCTTTTTCATTTCAACGTTTGATCTTATCGAAGAGTACATATATATTTAGCTATACGTATATACATACACAAATATATTTCGCTAGATTAACCATCGCTATACATCATGATTATCTTAATTATAATCAATTTTTCTCTTCAATTCATTTTTTCAACTACAGCAACAGCAACAACAACACCAGATATTTCTAATATTCGATATAATTCATTAATTTCAGCCCAGTGTAAAGCTCGCTGTTTATATGAATTTCGAAACCATCATCACCAACAACGATCGCTACCAACTATATTCAATAATGGAAAAACGAAAAGACTACTGGTGAGATCAAAAAGCATGAGAGAAAATTTTCTTTATCGATAATTGACACTCAAGATTAGTCTTTGACCACCTAGTGAGTTTCTCTCTCCTATTCTCTATCTGTCTCACAGGTGAGAGTAACATGCTGCGTAAAGCAAGTATGACGATGGACTTTTCCTACGAGGTTAAGAAAACATACACACTATGTTGATTTGTTTATTTGGTTAAACTTATCCTAAGAAATGATATTCAAGGAAAAGAAAAAAAGCATTGTATCAACATAATGCAACGAAAATTGATCTACTTTGATGTTTAAAAAAAAGAATACTTTTGCTTATATCTTTTTATTGCTAATGAAGACATATTTTCTAGTCGAAAATAGAAGCATTAAACACTTTTCTTTTCATCTTCGTTCGAGAAATGTACAATTAAGCCTCAAGGTGTATACATTCACTTTATTTTGTCGATTAAGCCGTTTGACAAACAAAACTAGTTTGAAAAATATAAAACTTAGTTTGTTTCAGTTATTAGAAGAAAAAAAACAGAAACGAAGGTGTCATTCATGCATACACACAGGTGCTTCTGATTCTCATTTCGTCAAGACTTTATTTTTCTTTGTTATCTCTACAGATGAGGTGTCTCGTCTATCACTCATTCAATATGATGACACGAGACTAAATAAATACTATATAAGAATAAATCGAAAATTGAGAATGATAACCACAAAAAAAAACAGTTCTCTTTTGCTGTTCATTTACTTTAATTATGTTGACTTAAACTTAATGAAATGAACAAGTTAGTTTTTTTTGTCGAATATAATATTGATCTTTTAACAATCATACGATCTGTCTCGTTAATTCATTTTTTTCACGTTTTACATTCACGTACATTATAATTATGAGAATAATGATTTGACAATAGAAGATAAGAAAGTCAAAAAAAAAGAAAATCAACTATCGATTGAATGTCTTCAATAATTATGATTATATTTTAGACGACACATGCACTAACTTTACCATGGCGATCCATCTGGAAGCGTTGTCCACGCCTTATCACATGTAGCTCGGTAAGTAAATTGACCGAATGAATAGAAGGAGGTAAACACATATGATTGTTTCATATGATAACCAATCTAAATGCACATCTATTGAGAAATGAAGAGTCTAATGTCTAGTAAATTCAATTGTGAAGAATCTCACTGACCGACAAACCACTATAGACGAGTCGGAAATCGGATAATTCGCTCTTTTTTCCTCTTTTCTCATCAGTATGCTAACGAGTCTATCTGTTTGTACTTGTTTCTTTATGTACATTCTAGTGCTTACTCCCATGTGACTTAGATCCGCCACTTCTCTTGTCCAATGAAGAAAGTTGTCAAGCAATCTGTTCTACAGTAAGTATTTCTATGTTTTTTTTTAAATATATTTTCTATCTATGATCTAAAGCATGACCCCGTATCTGTCGAGCTCATTATCGATGGTAAAAAAACAAGACTAGGATGATATATTCATTGTGATGAACGAATGATGTCGACAACTGCACGTATATGTATATATATATATAGCCACTGTATATTTATAATGGAAAGATACAGCAGAAAACAGATACGGAAAATGAATAAATGAAAGAATGCGAAACAAATAAATAGAGCAGAAAAATAGGGCTAATGAAGATCAACGATCAGATTTTTTTCTTAATATTTTTGTCTGTATTTTATTTTCTGTCTATTCTAGTTACGAAACGTTGAATGTCAACGGAGTTGTATTTTTATTCAAAATCTTTATCAACAACAATCCAATTGTGTGACAGGTGAGATAGAAATTTGAGTTGTTTGAAAAAAAAGTAAATGACATTCGGTAAGACAAAGTAAGTTTAATTTAGCTCGAGCACTTGTCGTCCACTTCTTTCCTCGTTCTGTTGCGCTGCTTGTTGTTTGATGTTTCGTGAGAGAAGAAAAATAAGAGCGAGAGATAGAGAGACAAATAGGCAGAGCAAATACGATTATTCTATTTGTACATCAATCAGAAGTAATGATTTTATGTTTTAGAAGATTGCCAATCATCATCATGCTCACCAACGAATGAATGTTTCGGTAAGTTGATCGATTCATGCAGGTGGCCCGGATGCCATCATAAAATAATGATTGACATATTGTCAAGAATAAAAAAGCTGTTCATAATTAGCCTTGCATTGCACGCAAGGAAATGGTGGATGTGAGAAAAAAAAACATACGCTTGTTTTTGTTTTTATTTTTACACAGATAAAATACCTCAACCAAAAAATGTCACTGCTATTGAGCGGAAAAGTCGACGAACTGTGAAACTAAAATGGAGTTCAACGCAGGTGACAAATAGTGAACCTATTTTTTATGTTATTGAAGCACAATGGACATTGCCAAAAAATGGCATCAATCAAGAAGACACGGTCTCGAAATGGGGTTTCGTTAAAGAAGAAGTGTCGCATACGAAAGCAATTATAAGAAATATTCAACGAGATAATCGATGGTATACTTTTCGTGTTGCTGCTGTAACACGACTTGGCTATTCATCCTTTTCAACAACAACGAAACCTTTTCGTTTAAGTTCACGTAAAAAACAAATCTAGCATAATAAAATATTGAATGAAACTAAAAACAAAAAAAACAATTGTCTTTTAGAAAATGAATCACAGAAATCCTCATCAACGGTAGCAGCACCGAAGAATTTCTTATTAAAAGATTTTCAATTAGATTCAAACACAATTAATGTAACTCTTAGTTGGCTAAAACCAGATTTTCCAATCTATGGATATCAGGTTTATTTCAAGATTTCTTTTGTTATTTTTTTTTTGGTAATTGTATTTTGTTTTTCGTTATTAGATTTCTTGGGAGGCACAGAATGATCCATCTCTACTTGTAAATACAATTGATATTTCTTCATCGTTATATCCATTAGAATTAACTATTCCATTGCTCTCGATGCATACATCTTATATTTTCAAAGTAAGTACTCACTTAGACCACAGTCAAGTAGTTCACTTTACTTTCTTGTAGATTCGTTCGCTAATGATTCCCGATGATGATCAAATACAAATGAGTGTACCAGTATCAATAAAATTTAATTATGAAGAAGAATTATTTTCGATAAGAAATTTTTATCTATCTGAACCATTCTATATAAATGGTTCAATTAAAACCGATATATCGTGGAATAAAATCAATGATTATCGAATTCAACAATATGATTTACATTGGATTGAAACTCAATGTTATTCTGACGTATCACCATGTTGTTATCGACGTGATGCTGTAACAATAGAAAATTTCTTTCAATTAGATGATTTGCGTTTTAATTGTACATATGTATTAACTATAGAGCCAATTATATCAAAATTACGAATTAAAAAATCTTTTCAATTTTACTTTAATGTTAGTTCTTGTCAATCAATACAGATCTATGGAACTATTCAACCTCCATGTCAAATAGATGAAAATTCAATTATTTCATCTTTATCACCTTTAAATCTTGTTGTCATAAAAAATGAATCTGGTATTCAATTGTATTGGCAAAATATTCTTCCATTAAGTAAGTAGTCTTCATTTTTTGATGAATAAAAATATCATTTGTTTATCGATAAATTAGCTCGTGATGATAGTGGTATTGTCTATCAATTACGTATTGAACAGCTGCCAAGTCATATTGAACTTATTTCTGTTGATCTTTCGTCTGTAAGTTTATATATAATTTATATATTCTCCTAATGATGTAATTGAATCTCTTGTTTTTATCTACTAGACGATAACAAATTATTTTTTACCCTATTTAAAACAGCAAAGTGATCGATATCTTAATGTGACATTAACTTTATTAGATAATTTAATCATTCGACAAGAAAAATCGATAGTAATCGACGGTTATCAGAATAATAATAATAATAATCATTATTATAATAATCGTAATAGTCGGTTGAAAATCGTGTCATCATCAGCATCAAGCAAAAATCAAATGGAATATTTTCTTTTATTCCTTTTATTTATTTCTATTGATTTAATACGACGATAATAAATCAAAAAAGAAAAAATTGAACAAAAGCGAAGCACGAACGTTCACCCCGTCCGTCTTCTGATGGTGCATCGCGATACCGGTTCTATTTTCTTTTTCATATTAAGAACAATTATTATCGTCGATTTTCAATTAATATGTATCTTCAGTTTTAATTGTCGTTTGTATATGCTTTTCTTTTCTTTTTTAAAAATATATTTATTATTTTTTTTTGAACATATCGATAAATGATCTCAGTCTTTTGTTTTTAATGTAATTACTTAGTAGTTGATAGGTGAATGATAGAGAACAGAATGCCTAAAGAAATGTCATTATACGTAAAGTAGCAATGATAGTGATACGATAGAAATATAGCTTATGCTATGATCTTTTCCGAAGAATAGAATAGAAGACCATGACATTATACTAGGTGTATTAACACATTTATCTATAATGGATATTATCTTTTTCTCTATTTTTCTTTGCTTAGGAAAATATTGGCCATGACAATATTCTTGTAATAACTAATAGTCAAATATAATCTTAGCGTATATGTCACAGCTATTTGTGAATTTGAATTCTTTATTGCTGAAATAATAACGAGTACAATTTGAAATCAAAATCAATAGTCTTCTGGTATATTCATTTATTCAAGCTTCGAATTCTTTGAATTTTGAAAAATTCTTTCAATGAATAGAATAGATTTTCTATTCCTGTACATTATCTATGAGATGATATTTAATAGATCAACTTCGAATGCTAAATCCCAATGAATGAATGATGAAGCGATATAATAATATAGACCAATACAGAGCTATATCATTTTGTACATTAAATACTTGAGAATAACTGTAGAATAAATTGTTCAAGAAATAGTAAACAAATCGAGGAAGATTTGTTCATCGTTGCAATTCTAATTGATTTTAAACTCGATTGATTCATATTGAATTTAACAAAATCACTTATGAATTTATTCAAGTCAACATTTAGATTTTTAATCATTTCAAAGATTGATTTCGTTCTGAAATTCAGAAGACCTATTGAATTTTGAATGAAAGCAGTCATTTTGTTCTAAGACTTTTTCAAAGTTACTTCGTAACTATTATATTTTATTCATTTCAAATTTAAGCTTAAATTTTGATTTTAATTTTCTTATGTCTTAGTGGTTTTTTTTTATCAGCGACAGCCATGAAAACTATTTATATAGAGAAAAAAAGATTACATTGAATGAATCTCGTTGAACACAAATATTGGGTATAGCATATCTATGGTTTATGATAGAAGTATATGATGAAAATTAAAGATGTTATTTATCTCTACAAATATGTTATCGTCTATTGTAAGTATATAAGCTACTAAGGCTTATGAAACATTTGTTTTTTGCAATCGTATACTTCTTGAACATTTGTATAAATCCAGTTTGATAATCTATTGTTAATAATACATTATTCTATAGTCTATAATGTCCTTTATCAAATATGCAAGTATCTATGTCGGTCAAATAAAAAGAATTTTCTTCAAGAAAAATAGTGAAAAAAACTAGTCTCAATCTAAATCTAAGACTAAATGACAGTAGAATCAAATTGTTTATTGTGTTTCTGTTAACTTCTTTTTTAATAAAATAGCTCATCTGCTGAATTTACTTGAAAAATCTATTAATTAGAATTTTCTTATATTGAAAGAATTTGAATTTAAAAAAACGATGTATTTTTTGTTTGTCTATTTTGTTTGAAAATTCCTATTATTATTGTTGTTGTTGCTGCTGTTGAATTGAACAATTTTGACAGAGATATTTTCCATCTTTAGTTTTAAAAAAATGTGATGTACCGATTTCATTGTGACAATTTCGACACATAAAACACGATCGATGATATTGTTTACCTTCAAAACCGACTGAAAAGAAAAACGTTTTTTTTGTTAATTACGTATATTATTTCAAAGCAAAAGAACGAAATAATGCTTGTGTAACATACTTGCTTCACCGCTAACTATTTTATTTTTACACTCAGTGCATTCTTGTGCATTTTGAATATGACAATTTTCACATAGAAATTTTGCTTCCGATCGTTGATCATCGGATTTTGACTGATGATAAAACGATTTACTTGCAATAGATGTATTACATTGAGAACATATGAAACAAGTTGGATGATAATAATCTCCTTTATCTTCAACAAGCGCATAATGTAGCATTAAAATAAATTCGAAAAACAGTTTGAAAAACTTACATTCACTAACTAAAGAGCCAGGCGCAAATTCTTTATAACATTGACGACATTTTTTACTAAGAATATCTCTTGCAGCAGCACTAACACCAGTATCTAATTTGTCAAAGCAACCTTTGCAATACCATTTATCATTCAAAGGATAAACAGGTTCATCTTTCATTGGCTAGATCAATAAATTTGAACTTTAACAATTATGTTAGAAAAGAAAAATTAATCTGACCTTTTGACATTGAGTACCATTTTTATCAACTCCCACACAAGTAAAACAGGATTCATGAAATTTCTTATCTTCCCAGACAACTGACGATGCTTCGATTATATTTTGACATCGAGCACTAAATTCACAAAGAATGAAGATGTTTAAGATCTTACTTCTATTATCTAAAATAGTTCATTTTTTGGTGTTTGAATAAAACAAGAGGAAATATTCCGTGATATCTCGAAGCTCTGTTTTTTTAAAGATAGTTGTTAGTCAAGTTTTCGAATGATTCTCGCGTGTTCATCTTCTACAGTGATGCCTGAAAATCTCGTTTCACACTTCTATGAAGGTAGATGAAAGTTGTCTGTCGAGAAACGACTGAAAATTGCCGCACGACAGATTCTCGGCGTATTGCCTGGTGTTTATTGTCAATGGATTCCAACATAAAGAACGAAAATATTCCAAGGACAAAAAATGTCTTATTTATTCTTATCCTTTTTTTTCACTATTTGATTTATGTTCTATTTAACGTACCATTTTGGAGCTACTTTTTTAAAACATGTTTCACAAAAACGCACTGGTTCATTAAGACTATTTCTTGATAGTATTGTCGATTCATCGAATTTAATATTTTTTGATTTATAGAAAAAACCACCAGCTAAAGTTTTTCCACAATCCGAACAATTAAAACAATGCGGATGATAAACTTTATTTTCGTCAGCTGTCATTACATTTAATATTTTTTCGCCACATTTTGAACAAATTGTTGATGCATCACTTGATGCTATTTGTTGCAATGCGGTTGAAGATTTTTGAGTTTCAACCATTTATATACGACCAATCAGATTGTTTATGAGATTTTGATATTGCAAAGGAAAACTTAATGAGAACAAAATGAAAATTAGAATTTAAGAACAAATATGATCGATCATTAAGTAAGATAATAGGCGCTTTTCAGCTGAATTTTGTTTACATTAAAAATTATGATTTCATCTAGTTTTGGAGACAATTTAGTCAGTTTGAAAAGAAAATCTTCGATATATCTACCTTGAATTAATTACTTTTTGATATGCTGGATCTGTTTTAACTGTTGATAAACGATGGAATTAAATTATGTTCAACAAAATTAGGTTAAATCTTCTCGACGATTCTTCGACACAGCCTTCCTCTCGGCTTTCAAAAAAGTATTTGTAGCTCATACGAGAGTAGTCGACACTGAATCACATGAATATACGTATTTTCCCGACTTTACAAATCCACGAATAAGTTCTTGTAATGAAAAGCTCCCCTCTTTCCGAATCAAATTATTCTGTTGCTTTCATAGAACAAAATGTATTAGATTCCAAAAATTTACATGATCTTTCCTTCATATACAATGAAATCATTTTGTAGCATGCCATTTTTTTTACTCCTATAACTTTCCAACACGAACCTAGGAAACAGATGTATTTATCACACCATCAATGAATCAATGATGTTTGAGATTTTTGAATCAAACGAAAAGTGCAAACCTGAAGAGTTAATGAGATCTGTTAGTGTAGTTCATAATTGTTGATAATCTCATCAGAAACAGGATCTCTCGTGTTCATAATCAACTTTTTGTTCAATAGAGTCAAACTGTGTTTCCTATGCAACGTTTGAATTAAAATATAATTTTGACTATGAAAATATCCGCTTTTTTTCTATACGGAATCTTATCGATCATTTCGAATGAGGACGATGCTATTTTCTATCATCACACGACTTATATTCACATTTCCGAAATTAAAAATACATTAGAAAGTAATTGATGGGCGAAATCCATAAATAATAATCAACTAGATGGTATTCAATTTTTACTCGAATACGAAATGCGATGCGAAGCTCGAATCGGATCTTCACGAAAAATCTTGAATACATTTTATGTCGACATAATGAAATTCATCACTTAGAAAACTCCATTCTTACTTAGCGATACATTCTTATAGATCGATTTCGATTGATCGATTAATTATCTCCATGATTCATTATCTTAGATCAGCTGTAAATGAATAGACTATAGTGGCTATCATATGTTCATGACGTCACTTTAATTATCTCTTGATAAATTTCTTTCATTTTCGTCATTTTGGAACCACATTTGTGACTGAACAAAAGTTCAGATTAAAGATTCGAAAACAGATGTAAAAGGTTCGATCTTGATACTTCGATCTCACGTTTCAACGATTTTTCTACGATTTTCGGTTCTCGAGATCATCGCGTCACAAAATGACGATTTGTGATGCGTACGTCAAGTAAGTAAACTAGATGGTATTCAAGTTTCACTCGAATACGAAATGCGATGCGAAGCAGGAATCTCCATCCAGGAAAAATCTGCAATTCAGAGAAATCTTGAATACTTTTTATGNGCGTCGCATCGCATTAATTAAAGATTCGAAAAGAGATGTTCTCAGTTCGATCTTGATACTTCGATCTCACGTTTCAACGAGTTTTCTACGATTTTCGGTTTTCGAGATCATCGCGACACAAAATGACGACTTGTGATGCGTACGTCAAGTGAGTAAAAATAAAAAAAACTCGCGACGGACTACATAAATGCTTCTGCTTCGCATCGCATTAATAAGAAGAAGTTTTATAAAAAGAAAAAAATACGAAGATTACAAAAGCATGAAGAAGATTTTAAAGGAAAACTGTCTACTAAAATTCACAAAATACTGAGAATATTATAAGCTATTTATTCTGAAACTAGAAAATTAATTAAGATTGCCATAGATAATTATTATTTCCTTTTGGAGTGAACTTCTATTTTTCTATAGAAGCAAAGCTTCATTTAAGCATACGAATTTGAGTGAAGCTATAGACTGTTTTCTTATGTATCAGTAGTTACAGAAGTTTTATTGATTATATGTGCTCATGCGTTCTTAAGTTTTAAAGGCTTTTTTTGGAAAACTTTAAATAACAGATGATCTAAAAAATACTTCATCTGTTACTAACAGTAATGTGAATAAGTCTTGTTTTGAAGATTAAACTGGGTTGAAAAGAATAAATTCCTAAAAAGTGTCTTCATAGACACATATCTACTTCTTAACAACGAATCGCAACTGTATTAGTAGGAGCTACAATACAGAAAGCATTCTAATTGAAAGAAAACTAATATGATTGTTCAATTGTGCTGCTATTCTTTGTAAGTTTCAAGGGGGAAAGTGCAGGTTTGGAACTTTCCCCCGCACCTCAGTACCTGCAGCGCCTTTTCTATAGTGAGATTTACTTCAGCCGTATGGAAATGAATCGGTAAAACTACTTTTATTTTCAATAGTAGGGGTGAATTTTTTGAATTATTCACAGAATCTGAATGAGATGTATTTCAGAATAAAAACGCGAACAGAAAAAGAAGACCATCCTTCGAAAGTAACCATATATCAAATTTCAAAATGACATACCAAAAATTTTGATCCTTCTTTTATTAGTGTGAGAACTAACACTGAGCTCTGATTATTTTTCAGAAGTTTATTTTTCATTTTATCACCATTGCATTTGTACAGTTTTTCCTTTCTCTCAGGTATGAAAAAAACATTGTACGAAATGCCATATTCCTTGGTAAAAAAAAACCTGTACATAATTTTATTAGCTTGAAAATCATCATTGAATTTGGATTCTGTTCCACAGTTTTATTGTGTATTTCATGAAAAATGAATTTTTAACACCTGGACTCCCCTCAAGGGTCAAAAAACCTTTTTTGTTCTGGTTTTAATATAGATAGTGATATTTCCATAAAGCTAAGCTTTCTGATTACAAGAATTGTCTCAGTTTTGAATTTCATCGAATAATAAGAAAGATATGCAGCACTCACTCAGAGCCTTAAAAAACAGTTATTGACCTAAAGGTCCATGAATATTCAATTTATACTGTTTGAAAAGAGCAGTCATCCTATTCCGCAATGTTGAACATTTCGGAACCAGTTCCACCCCCGGAATCAGTTCCGTCGATTCCGGAATTAGGTCAAATATGAACACTGTCCGATTCCGGAATTGGTTCGTCCGATTCTCGGAATTCCACGGAATTCAGTCCAATTCCGGAATCAAAACTTCTATTACTATTCTATCTCCTCTTACCCATTTAGTGATGATCCGATTCCGGAATTAGGTCAATACGGAATCGCTGGGAATTAGACGGAATTTCTAGGAATTCCGTTCAATTCCTGTTCGACCTAATTCCTGGAATTTCGTGCCGGAATTGCATGGCGTGGGTGTCAATGTGGGTGTTGCGATGAGTGTGGGTGCGCTGAATTCCGGAATCGTTGGAAATTAGATGAAATTGGTCGGCAGTGATTCCGGGGATTCGGGAATTGTAATGGAAGTGATAAACGGAATTCCGGGAATTAGATGGAATTGGTTCTGTGAGCGGAACTGGTTCCGGAATATTCAACATTGCGGAATAGGATGTATTCTCGGAAATATTATTGATTCTAGAATAGATCTCAATACATATACTCTAAAAGTGAATTTTACATGTAGCTGTAGGTTTAAACGTGTAACTATATATCTTTATTAGGGCTACACATCTTTCCTACATATTGATTGAATTAATTGTAGAATATTTATTTTTACTATTTATTTTTCAAGTCTTTGCACACAAAACATATCTTGCATAATTAAAATATTTCCTCGATGTTAAAATAACTTGAAGTGATTTCCTTAGATAAAAATAAAAAGACATTTTACTTTTTTGATTATTTAATGTCATTTTTGCAGTCAATTTTTCCATCATGCGAATGCTATCAAAAATGAACAAACATAATATTCGAGATTTATTATAGCTGAGTCAAGTGTTGTGTTTTTTCGAATTGTGAAAATATATAATACGCAGACATTTTTACATGTATACAAAGAAAAAAATACAATGCAGAATGTTTTGATGGATGCTCTAGAATAAAGATGAGTTTTAAATAATATTACAGATATTTAGAAACATAATTTTAAAAAACAATGATCAAAGCATGTTTATAATGTTTTTGTGCACGATTGGTTTTTGACAACGTCTTTTAGCAAGCTGAGTGATGGTTGAAAAGCTTCTATATGAATTTGAGAAGGTGGATGTCCACATTGAGCCAAATATTCTTCCACCTTATTCATAAACGTAGGCGAGCCGCATAGATAAACTTGTGTCTTAGCCATTATAGTTTTCGCTATGGTTTCTTGTAAAAGACGCTTACCTTGAAGTAATAAATGATATTGCTTTTTAGGCAAAACTATACGCATCTCATCGGTAAAAGCAGCTTGCTCTTCTGTAGGTACACAATGAATCAATGTTGTAATATCTGATTTACCTTGTTTATGTAATTCTAGTATCATTGCTGAGAAAACGCTGATACCAATGCCACCAGCAATAAATAAATGATGTTTTGCATCTTTTATTAAAGCATAAGTGCCAGCTGGTAAACTTAATGTTACAAGATCACCTTCTTTATATTTTTCAATAAGTTCAGTAGAAACAATTCCTTTGGGTTCATGATCTTTTTCTTGTTTAACAGCAATACTATATGTTTTGCCATCGAATGGTTCAATCAGACTATAGTGGCGAATGTGATAAAGGCCATCTTTTTTGATACGAAGTGTAATATATTGCCCTGCATGATAATCATGGATTTTCCCACCATCGCGACGTTCCAATGTAAAAGAAACAGTTGGTCCAATGGCAATTGTTTCTTTCTTGATTATACTAAATGGAATAAAGCCCTGTTCAGTTTTATCGCCGAGCTCACTGTACATTTTCTTTTCTATATTGATGAAAATAGACGCAATTATATTGTAGGCAGCTGACCATGCACTCAAAATACTAGGATCACCCATGCCACCTAAGAATTCGTCGATTGCAATAATAAGATATTTGCCAACTATAGGATAGTGTTCTGGTTGAACTGTAGACGCCCGATGTTTATGAGAGATAAGTAAAATCTGCGGCAAGAGTGTATCTAAATGATCGATGTTCTCAATAGCAAGATACACTGTATTTGCCAATGCGAATGGTTGTGTACCATTTTTTTGATTTGTCCGATTGAATATATTCAATAATTCAGGATGTGCTGCGAACATATGTTTATAGATAATTGATGTGATTTCTTTTCCATTTTCCTTGAAAATTGGTGATGTTGTTTTAAGAATTTGTTTTTGTTCGTCTGAAAGTGGCATGTCAGAATCTAATAAAAAAATTCTATAAATGATCTGAAATTTACTAATTGAATAATTCATAAATATTAATGCTATCAAAAAGATTTCTAAAATATTATTTTACTTTTACCCGTTACATCTTTTTTTAAAACAGATAAAAATTGAACTAGAAAAAAATATGTAAGTACGTGGTGAATTAAGAATTTCACATTCAGATTTATATTCAGATTTAGTTATTTCGTGGACAGTATCATAGAAATAGTTGCCTATATCGGCAGAATATTGAACAGGAGTAAGAGAAAAACACTCGTTAATATCTAATACTGATTTCTTGATTACTAGAATTATTCTATTTCGGAGCATCTTTTTTTGAAAAAGACTATGTAAGTTTTCCTCATTTTACTGCGATAAGTTGTAGTTTATCCAATGATAATTAATTTTGATGTTTTTTGAAAGAACTGAAGAAAAGAAACATAAGATTATACGTCAAGCTCAAGCATGAATGCGAATGACTTCGCAAGAACAAGTAGGATAATTACAACTAGCTGTCTGTTTTGTGTAAGGCGCTCCAAAGTCAAAAATCGAACAGGGGAAAAATCTCGTTTATTATTAATGGTTGGATAGAGCTCAATGAGTAGATCATGAATATCACCTTTAAAATATTTCTAGGCTTCCGCTTTGGCTGAGAAATTTTCAAGATACAAATTGCACCTGAAAAAGCGAATATTTCACTTTTTTAGAAAAAACTCGAAATTTACGTAGTTTAACAATGCTCTAGGTTTAGAAAACTATCATCATCGAATTTAGCATGAAAATTTGAATCTACTGATGTAACTTTGGCCAGTAAAAACATAAATTTCATGTTTGAGGAGCTCAACTAGGTCTCCGTTAGACACGTTCAAATTGATGTCTCGCAAAATCATCAACTATTTTTTTCTAAAGCGATTCTCCAACTTTCTTACGCCATTCAAACCGCCAAGTGATAGCGAACAAAACTATAGATTCAGTTTGAAAAATATTGTTCCTTCTTTGAGAAAATTGAATTTTACTGGATCGGCGGCTTTAGGTTAAAGAATGACCCTCTTATTTCGAGGTTTTGGCTATCAAAACTTAACTTCCATGCGAAGTAAACATCAGATTTAAAATCAGCACGAAAAGCAACATTAACTATCATAAATTTTATCAAAAAATAATTTTCATCAAAATTCCAGCCTACTCTCCCTGAGTCATTTTTTTCTTGATTTTACCCTGTAGTCCCCCACAGGTAAAATTTTGATGAAAAATATTTTTTAATAAAGTTTATGATAGTCAATGCAGTTTTTCCTGATGATTCCGAATCTGATGCTTATTTTGCATGAAAATTGAGTTTTGACAGTAGAAATCTCGAAATAAGAGGGCAATTCTGTAAGCGTTAGTCACTGATCCAGTAAAATTCCATTTTCTCAGAGAGGGAACAATATTTTTCAAACTGAATCTATACTTTTGTTCGCTATCACTTGGCGCTTCGAATGGCGTAAGAAAGTTGGAGACTCGCTTTAAAAAAAATAGTTGATGATTTTGCGAGACATCAATTTCAAGGTGTCTATATGGGGACCTAGGTGAGCTCCTCAAACATGAAACTTATGTTTTTTACCGGTCAACGTTATATCAGTAGATTCAGATTTTCTTGCTGAATTCGATGATGATAGTTTTCTAAACCTAGAGCATTGTTAAACTAGGTAAATTTCGAGTTTTTTCTAAAAAAAAGTGAAATATTCGCTTTTTCAGGTGCAGTTTGTATTTTGAAAATTTCTCAGCCAAAGCGGAAGCTTAGAAACATTGTAAAGGTGATATTCATGATCTACTCATTGAGTTCTATCCAACCATGTAATAATAAATGAGATTTTTCTCCTGCTCGATTTGTGACTTTGGTGCGCCTTACTCAAAAAGTGAGTTCACTCTAGATTCGGTCAGTGTATCCGATCATCCGTTAACACGTAACTTTTAAACCCTCATCCAATTATCATGAAATTTTGTACACAGAATGATCTCATCAATATCTCAGTCGAGTTCGAAGATGAGAAGGATTCGTCAAGAAATGGCTAAGTGATTGAAAAAATTGTCATTATTGGCCAGACCATCCCTGACGGCGGGGGGGGGGAGGGATACAGGNCACCCCCCACCCGCCCCCCCCCCCCCCGCCCCCCCCCCCCCCCCCCCCCCCCCCCACACAGGAATTTTTCTCAGAATTATTCACAATATATATATAGAGCGACTCAGTTTTCAACGCTGATTCCGAATCTGATATTAGTTTTGAACTAAACCGTAGCTTTTTAACAAATCATCTCCTGAAAAAGGTCTCAAAATGCACAAAACTGCATCCAGAAACCAAATTGCCTAGATACAGTGCTGTGAACAATTATATACTCACCCTACTCCTGTGGCCTCTGCCGCTTTTTTCCTCTATTAATGTTGATTTGTCATTGCAAATTCAACGCCAATATATTGGTTCAGATGCGCTTTCTCAATATCTATTGCAATAGATATCGAAAAGCACATCTGAGTCGATATATTGGCGTTGAATTTGCAATGACAAATCAACATTAATAGAGAAAAAAAGCGGCAGAGAGCACAGGAGTAGGGTGAGTATATAATTGTTCACAGCACTGTATGTCTCAGATGACCAGTAGTTTTGGGGTTTTCCAAATATCTGGTTTTTTAGCTAGGCAAAAATACTATCGAAAAGTAAAAGCCCGAATTCGATAGCTATTAATATTGGTGATTTATTAGGAAAACACTGATGCCTGTATCTATCATATATATTTCTTATAGATTCATGATATTGTCTACGATCGTAATCCCGCTAGATACAAACGCAAATCCATTCAAAAATAACTCTTCTTACCCAGCTTTCCAAGCTAAACACAAATCTGAACGCAATTTCTGTGATTTCTAAAGAATATTATATCACTCTTAGAGTAGAGTCAGTGGTCACCGGATAGGGTCGCATACAGTATGCTCCATGCTAACTTCCCATGTCGCACATTTCTTGTCACTACCGCCGGTATACCGTGGTACTCATAATAACCGGCGGTGTACCGGTAGTTTACCGGCAATAGAGCTTATAAGCTCCGGTTCCAGCTAAAAAGGCTTCCAGAAATCGTTTTTGTCAAATCCCGATTTATTTCAGAAAAATAATTCGAATTAATCGAAAACAAATCTATATTAGAATATATTTTGCGAATTATTATTTTTGCAGCGACGTCATTAATAAAATATTTATCTTATAAATGGGACTGATTTTAGATCTGCGGCTACTACAGGTGGCTCAGGCACATCGACATTATCAAAGTGCACCGAATTCAACACGATTCTGCCGGTTTTAACAGACGTAAAAAATTCTCAGTCGTTTCTATACTATACAAAAGGGTGCATCACTTTCATGAAAAGCCGGTAGGGTGCACATTATACCGAAGGATGAACCGCCGGTTTTTTCCTGTTTGAATCACATGGGTTAGCACGCATGTATTTTCTCCTTGCAATTTAGTGACAAGAGATATATCTTGATGAGAGCTATGTCTTATAGAATAAATGAGAAAACCTCGGATTTAAATTCGAGTGTTATGTGTATTTTAAAAAGTGAAAAGGTATATTCACTTTGTTTTTTATTTTTTTTAGATAGTTTGATCAAAATCAATCTGTCATACATTAGTTTTAATTTTTGATGCACGCATAACACTCGGATTTAAATCCGATGTTTCCACATTTATTTTTATATATATACGAATTTTTTTTAATCTTTTAATGAGCTCATTTTTTTTTGACTGTCAGTAATCTTGTTTGTTTCTTATTACGATATACTTTCTTTTTATGTGTGAACTTTGAAAATTAAATATTTTCCATGATAATCTTTTAAAGCTTTGCTAGTTGAAATCATCTCATTACGAACTAAAACAGAGCTCATATTACCAGTAGAAATGTTATATCTATTTTCAATGTCATTGTCTTTAGTAATATCAAATATTTATGCATCTTATATAAAGTATTTTTATTCTTTCTACGTATGCTCTACAGCTTGTAACTTGATCAAGCGCAATGAAAATGACGTCTAGATACAAAAACAAAATTTTTAATTTTAATTTAAAAAATACAATCAAATCCTCTAGGTAAAATTTTATATAGAACTGTTTTCATCGTTTTTTTCCCGCAATATTTCTAATAGACTATGTCATTTTTTCAGACTGACTTTGATGGGGCTCATGTTTGTTCTTGTCTTCTCTACACTTTTAGAGAATAACTCTTCAAAAACTAGTGAGAGTAGCAGAGTAGATAGATCTCAATGAACAGAACAAAAGTTGTCATTGACTGAAAATTACTCCATGCTTCTTTCTTGTAGATTTTCGTTACAAGGGCATATGAAAATTGCCTCCCGCCCCGTGTGAATATTGCTCGTTCACAGCTACAACATGTCTGATAAAGTTGTCATTTTTACAAAGATACTAAATACGTTTTGGAACGACTGCTGATGAGTTTTCTTTTCATCTCTTTTTATTGAACTGAAAGGATCTACATATCGAGCAAAGACAGAAAAGTTCATCGAGTCTTGTGTTACATTAACTAGAGCATTGCTTTTTTTGTTAACTCTAACGAAAGTGAACGAAACATCATATTTGTAAGCCAAAAAAAAGACATAATATGATCAAAACATTTTCCACGTGTTAAAGAAGTAGAAGAAACTGTGGCCTAACAAAATTACTGTTGTTGAAAATGTTAGATGGCTACGTACATTATTTTCACTGTCTAAAACACTCATTTTTCAAAAACAGTGTATTTGTCTACAAATGCTCATGTATTTCAATTCAATAAGTGCATGTTTTTCAGTTTTCGAACAGTCATAGTTATAAAATATTTCTTGAAATATCTACAGCTGATAATGAATAATTGAGCACGTATATTAGTAACCAAAAGAAACATAAAAAGAAATCTAAAATCTAAAATTTTCAATCGATAAACGAGAAAATGATTACATTGAAATAATTTGTTATTTTACTGATGAAACTCGGATTTCATAAAATACAGTTATCTCTAGAGCTTCACACGGTGTATCTAATTGTACTAGTGTATGTATTATCTAAGTTTCTTTCGTCAAAAGTATTCAATATTAATATACGAATGCTCACAATTACTTTCAGTGAATAACTTACAAATAAAATTGCTTCGGAGTTTTCTTAAATTAAAGTCAACCTGAAGTAGTACTGACGTCTAGTTATGTTACAGTAGAAAGTAAGACTACTTAAGAATGCAATAGAAAAACCGAATAATAATAAAAAGTGAATGTAGATAGAAGAAATAAGAAGCGTGAAATAGAGAAAAAAGAAAAAAGAAAAAAGAAAAAAAAATAAGCCAAGCAAGCAACAATACATTTTTCATAGAACACGAATCAGAGATGACAATCTATTCAAGCTTAAGTAATGAAAGAACTTGATATAAAAATATACTTCTTACTTCCTTTGTCAAATCGTCTATGTTATTAATTAAGATTTACGGTAAAGAAGCAAGAAATGACAAAATACTGTTCATCCAAGGAATGAATAATATGCTCTTCGGCTTAAATGAAAGCGTCAGTCGCATGTCAACTTCACACTCTAATGGAAATGAGATTATTAAAAATAATATACAATATTAAATGCCGAAAATATTTAATTCCTATCTATATAACTTATTTCATCAGCAATCATTGCATTCGCATAGATAAATACTTTCTTTTATTCCAGAATTTCATACATATAAATTAGAACCTTATGCATAGAAAATATTATACTCTGTAATCATATCGTGGCTCGTTACGTTGCTTTTCAATAATGATTATTCTTCAATTTCCTAGTCTTGATTCAGAATCACCAAACGGAAGAATGACGAATAGTCAGAATTCTTTTTTCCATTTCATTTGTAATTAATTATTGATATTAATAATAGAATACTTTTCTAAAAAAAAAAGCTACTTCAATCGACGTCTATGAAGCAGAATTTTTCATAGAACTATAAAAACAGAGGAAATCAGAGTATTATCATGACTGTTCAACAAAACTAATGCGCCCATTTTTTTTTGCTTTAGAAAAATATGGTCATCAAAACAGAAATATTGAATCTATATCTTTTTGTCTTCACGAATTCAGTCAACTAAAAGAATAATCTATTTCACTTTCATGAATACATTCATGCTAGAAATGTGCTATCTCGAGCGGCAACGTCGTTGCTAGTGTACTCAGTCAATTAGAAAGTAATTTGAGTGTTTTTTTTCTCGGCGTATAGATATTTTTGCAAATATTTGTTGTAAATACGACTATCAATTTGTAAACAAGCATTGCTCACAAAAAATAATTCTTGTAAATAGACCAAAATTTAAATTAAAAATCGTTATCGAAAGAAATTTGTAAAATATATGATGTTTGACAACTCGTCGGCTTCGCAGATACATGTATATATTGTTTATGTATCAAGATTAAGTACAGCAGTATCTATATGAGATGTTATACATGAAACAAAAGCTTTTCTAACATAAATTGTACCGACTGTGAATAACGAAATTCAATGAGCGATGTTTCTATATTTTATTTTGGCAACTCAACTAGACAGGTGTGTGCGCGAAGTTCGTAACTAATATCAAGTTTTTCATTGCCAATTAGTCATAGGATGATTGAAGATAATATATATTATTATTAAATAATGTTTTTGAAAAGAAACCATTTTCATTTCAAATTTAAGAAAATCTTTTTGAAAATTTTTACGATGAAATTAGTCATGAATGATAATTGTAAACGTTTTTATGCTTGAAAATTATATATTTTAAGGAGAAAATTTCATATCGATCAATATTTATTGAAGTTGAATAATAGTGCTATCTCTATGCGCAACCATGATGTTCATTGAATTAGTTGAGATCATTTCATTCACGTGTATGTTACTATGTACAAATCTTGATTTAAAAGTCATACTAGGCAAGCGAAGAATATCCAGATATTTTCAGGGTAAACAATATAAAGAAGAAGTTACATCAAGAAGTAATGGGTTAGAATCATTTATTGTTTAACTATATAGTTTTACGTTTTTTAAATGCTGACATAATGCGATATCAAATTTTAAAAACATATATAATTCTGTCAAATAGTACCAAAATGAACTGTTTTCTATATATGTTCAGGTATATTTTTCGAATAATGTAAAGAAAAAGAAAACATCATCTCTATTTCAATATTGGGGGTATTTCTAAATTGACCGAGTCATGCATTTAATGTAATATCTAAAAATAGAGCAACCCATATCTAAATTATATTCAATATTGCCTAACGTAATACAGTAGTATCTATTCTGGTGAAAGGGCGTGAGTGTGAAGAGAGATAAGAACACCCATACCCACACCCACACTCCGCACCCTCAAGATCTTTTTCTATTACTTTAATAATTAATTGTATATAACTTTGTGTTCGTAGGTAGTGTTACTTAATAAATTAGATATAAATAAATTTTAAAATTAGATATAGATTGCTATATTTTTAGGTATTGGTTTATATTTGCCCCGTTGGCCTATCTTATTGAATAGGAAAACTCGACTGACGTCACCAGATAATATCATTCATTTTGACATCTTACATAAAAGTTCTTTCAAGTTAATAAAAATAAAAGAGATTGTTAATTTTACATATTCACCGAAATAAAGATAGAATCTATTTTTTTATGACAATATACAATTGATACAGTTTTACAAACAAATTATATATATATATATATATATATACGACTGTTTTAATAATATCAAGATCAACCTGAACAAAATAGAACACAAGAAGATAAAACAACAGATAAATATAAGACGAAAGTTTGTTTAAAATTGTATGTAAGATGAAGTTTATGAAGATTCGATTGTCAATTAATTCTTCACTTCATTTTTAACCGGACTAAATAATGGTTGAAATACGTTGATATGAACATTTAATAATGGAAAATTACATGCTTCTAGATGATTTTCTACTGTATTCATAAATGTTGCCGTACCACATAAGTATGCATGTGTTTCCTTGCTTACAACCTTCTTAATCAATCCTTTTAACATGTGTCTACCTGGATAAAGTAAATGGTATTGTTTTTCTGGAACACACATTCGCATTCGAACAACATAAGCGGCATGACCTTTTCCTGGTACGCAATGAATCAATGTCACAGTATGAGATTTACCTTGCTTGTATAACTGTTCAATCATAGTTGATAAAACAGTAATACCAATACCACCAGCAATAAATAAATGGCGTTTGGCATCATCAATAATAGAAAATGTGCCAGCTGGCAAACTTGCTAAGATTGTATCACCGACATGATAGTTTTCAATAATTTCATTAGAGAAAATACCTTTTGGTTCACAATTAATTAACTGTTTTATGCCAACACAATATGTTTTACCGTTGAATAACTTAACAAGCCCATAATGTCGATTATGATAAAGACCATTTTTTTTCAGTCGAAGTGTTATATATTGACCTGGATGATAGTCAAGCATTTTCCCACCATCATTTCGTTTTATTTCAAAAGAATAGATTGGTCCATTTGCAATTTTTTCTTTTTTAACAATCATAAATGGAATAAAACCTTTATCATTTTCATTTTTGCCAAGTTGATCATATAACTTCTTTTCTATATCGATAAGAATGCTAGCAATAACATAGTAAGCAGCTGTCCATGCATCTAAAGTTGAAGTTGTTGCTTTGTCACCTAGAAACTTTGAAATAGCTTGAATTAGACATTTGCCAACAATTGAATAATGTTCTGGTTGAATAGTGAGAGCTCGATGCTTATGTGCAACAGTGTTCAGATCAGGCATGAGTACTTCCAATCGGTCGATATTATCAGCAATAAAATACAGTGCATTTGCGAATGCAAAGGGTTGTGTATTAAGTGCTTGATCTGTTTGATTAAAATAACTTAATAATTCTGGATGAGCCATAAAAAGATCTTTGTAAAAGATTGACGTAATTTCCTTGCCATTCTCTCTTAAAATTGATACTGTTGATTTCACTATCTGTTTTTGCTCTACTGTTATTGGCATTTCAAATCTAAAATTGAGATTAAAATATAAGTTTTATGAAACATTCTGAAATTATGGAAATATGTTTCAAAAGAGATAACAAAATAATTAGCAATTATTTTTATCTTTTCAAAAATGTCAAATAGAAAACATGAAAAGACCTAAATGAAAGAAAATGTTAACAATGATTTTCAAAACAGCATTCAATTATTTGCTCAATTAATCTTATAGACATGTCAAATAGACAAGTGAATTAACTTATACTTTAAAAACAATTCAAATTACAAGAATCCTACTTCATAGCTATTTCTTTACAAATTTCCAATAGTCATGAAGTATGATGTACTTTTGTATTTATGCTTTTACATACTTAATTGATAGTTAGAATAGAAAAATGATACTGATCAAAGAGAAAAGTTAAATGGCACTTAAAATTAAACAGGAGCCGATCTCAATGGCATTGTCATAAATACATAGATAGATAGATAGATAGATGCATATATAATCTGAAAACACAATTAGTGTCCATAGATTCTATGAGGAGAAAAACTAAAAAAAACGAACTGATTGCGATGATGCAGTTTCTTTTCGTTGGCAATCAAAAAATTTTAGATATATTTTGCTGGATGATAAATATGTTTTTTGAATGTTTTGTTTTTGTAAATCTACACGTATGCTGTGTTGAAAACATTTCAAAATAGTTCAACTTACTCCAAATTAATATGAGGATGTACTATTAAAAAAACAATCGAGTAAGAATTCGATTTAATATTCATCCTTGACAGTCTTTGGGTGTGATTTTATTCTAAGAATAACTTTTATATGTCTCATTTCAAGCTTTTAGTTGTATCTGAAATTACTTAACTGTCAGAATCAGAACAATAAAACATACAGCATCATTATTGTAAACTATTATAGAACCTCACTCGGATTGAACGACTACACTGATGAATTCATGTTCACAGCATGTTTGTAATCAAAATTCAGTAGTAACACCAACTATGAAATGACACTGCACAAAACACTGACGGTTGCTTGTCTCTAACTAACTGTTCTATTGTATGCAGACTACATTTTGGCATACGCCTACTCTTCCCGGTGGCATGTGAATAATTAATGTATATATATAGCGCTCACGCAAGATGAACACAAAAATATTTGTATTTAACTAACCGCTTCCCAAAGCTAAAATTAGCACTAGTTACAGGAAAAATATTGGTCAATTGAGTCTACTGCTAGGTAGCACTTCGTACCGTCTTGCAACTGAAGAAGTAAGATGAATCTTGTTTTTCTTCGGGCCATTATATATATATACGCTATATGTCTTTCATGCTGATGATCATTAACGGAAGACAAGAATTATTTCTTTTTATGTGTGCATTACATTTTTGAAAGCAAGGTTCATTGTTCCATCGGTACGATAGAGAAACATTGACCTATTTAACGCATGGCAGATTTAAATTCAAAATAGAGATAAGAGTGTATCTATTATTGCATTTACCTTGTTAAACGTTTCAAGAAAAAAATCTGTTAATTCTCGAAAAACCATGTTGAATAAACGGCAGCTAGATGAGTAAGTCTTTTAACTGTTTACTTATAATAATAGCTCAACTAAAATAAAGAGTCCTCATATTGACAAAAGAGAAGACAAAGAATATCTCATATGCTTGTTTAATACTACGAAGAAGAATCATATCTCCAATTAACCAATTTAACATAGGCCTTTTTACTGTTTTTTTATCAATCTATTTAAAAAAATCTTAATCTATATCGATGAATAACAAATAGTTGGGTAGCTATGAATTATTGACTGTGTCTATTACATTATTATTTGATATCAAGTATCAAGTTTTCTTAGAATTAATGGAATGCAGAATCCAAATAGCCAACCAAATAGTCTTAATAGTCTATTGAATCTCAACTTTGTAAGTATCGCGAAAAATATCCGTACTTTACATATTGATATTGAATGAAAATAAATTTGCTTGTTAATCAATATTATACGACAGAAAGGATTAGTATATATATAATAGAAAAGAGAGACAAAATAATTGAATCAGAAAGATTTAGTTAGACAAAAAAAAACTTCTGAAAACTTCTTCTAAGTCTAATGAAAACAAAGTGAACGCTTTTTATAATATCGTTTACTATTTAAATGTTTCGTAGTTTAACTTTTTTCAACGCTGAATTGAGCACATAATTAGAGAGAGAGAGAGAGAGAGAGAGAAACAATCGTATTTGATAGATTCTGCTTTCTTAAAGGATAGTTTTCACGATTTTCCCGTTATATCCAACTATTAACTGTCTTGTAAAAATCTTACTTTCGCTATCTAGGGTACACTCAATTGAAAAAGCTGTTAGCGCAATCCCTTCGGGATTAAAATGTGAAACACGACATAACTGTTGATTTTTTTAATAAAAGAGTATTGTTCTGTCTATTTCTGGACTTTTCTGTCATTATACCGTAATGCATCAGGTGCAAGTGGAAAACGTAAGCAGGTCATCGATTTTATCGATATAGTGCCGTTATCTGGTTCTTACTTTTACAGTGATAGAGTCTATCACAGCGTACGCTGAGATCTAGAGATGTTTATCGAGGTTTATTATAATCATGGCTTCGCCTCTCTATTCTCGTTGTATTTCTAATAGCGTTTCTGATGGATCCATCCCTTCTATCTGAGAATCTAGAAAGGTAATTAATTAATTAGACTGTAATTAGTTAATTAATTAAATATATGTGGATGGAATTCAATCTCCTACCCTTAATCTTTGACATAGATGGAACCGGTCGAATTTTTTCTGCCCGGATCGGCCAGTTACGGGCCGGTCTATAATAATGTTAAAACTGGCAAAAAACCGGCGGGTCTTTTCATGTAGTTTGACCAAATTTCAGTATTTCTACGTATTTGTATGTATTTATATGTATTTCAGAAATACAGTAATATGTAAAAATAAATTGGAAATACATAGAAATTCGTAAAAACACTTAGAAATACTTTCGAAATAGATAGAAATATGAAAATACAGAAATACGATTTTCCCCCTTTGAGTTTGAATTGTCGAAAACAGTATAAATGTAGTTTTGAAAGTATAACTCATACTTCAAATATTAGAGTATCGCCTTTCACATACTCTATAAGACTATGCAACTGCTGCATAGTCTTAGAGAATTAAAATAACACAAATTTTGTCTAATATCATTTACAATTTATGATTAGAATTTTATATTATCCACATGAAAACCTTAACCGTCCTTGTTTACGTCATCTACAGACCAAATATTTGATGTTCTATAGAAATATGGCTAAAAAATTGCGCAGACTAGCCAGTCTGACATCTCCGTCCGGACCGGACCGGTTCCATCTATGATCCTTGAACACATCTTCACTTGCCTGTAATAATTTGTGATGCGGGGCATCACCTGTCTGTAACGGTCTGCGACGGGGGAATCGCCTGTTGGTAACGGTCTGTGATGGGTAAATGGCCTGTCGGTAACGGTCTGTGATGGGTAAATGGCCTGTCGGTAACGGTCTGTGACAGGGGAATCGCCTGTCGGTAACGGTCTGTGAGGGGGGAATCACCTGTCGGTAACGGTCTGTGTGTGTGGGGAGGGGGGAGGTGGGTCCAAATTTCTACCCTAAACACTTCAACACTCCTTTCAGGTTGTGTTTCACAAAATACAAGCAGCACTGAGGTTTTGAAAAACGTCGGTGGCGTTTAATGTTTTTTGTGACGTTTTAAATCTAAAAAGATTGGATCGACATATAAAAATGAACGCTCTTTCAAACTAGATAGGCTAGATCGAAATCAAAATTTTTCCCAGGCCGACCTGCATAAAAATGTTCGGTTTTCTCGAGGAATGACTCTTAATGTCCCCATTTTTTTAGAAAAAGATGGAAACATCAATTACATTCATCCAAAAAAAGCTATTATTATTTAAGCCCCCGTCCTCAAAAGTCGATTTCGCCTTAGAACGTTGAAATGGGCTGGTATTTGGAGGATATGTTGATGCTACAGCGGAGAGTCGATGATAAAATTTTCAGCCCGGTATCTGCAGGTTTAAGGAAGATATGAACCAAACAATGGTTAAAAATAGCTGATTTGCAATCAAAACTGCTTTGTTATGACTCGTCTGATTTGATAATTTTTTTGTTTAAAAGAGCACATTAAGACGCAGGACACGTTGTTGCTATCTTTTTTAAGTTCATTTTTAAGTTTAAAAAGCTGTTAGCGCAATCCCTTGGGATTTAAATGTGGAAAACGATGAAAGTTTTAATTCTGATCAGAAAAAAATTATTCTATATATTTCTGAACTTATTTTTTAATTACACTTTAATGTACCACCTACAAGTAATAAATGCAAGTAGTTCATCAATTTGCTGATATTGTAACATTATGTGTTCCTTAACCGTACGAAGACGTCCACTACTGTTTAACAAAGTATATCATAAGTGCTTCTCTCTATCCGCCCTAAATTTGCTAACCCGTTTGTGATGGCTCCAATATCTATCTTTTAGGGTCTGCTATAGGTAATTAACTAATTATACCGTAATTAGCTAATTCATCAATTAAAATATATGTGGAAGGAATCCAACTGTGTACCCTTAACACCTCAATATTGACTTCTGTTTGACTTCGAGAAAGCACCTCTGTAACGCTGTGTGATGGATAAATCACCTGTCGTTAACGGTCTATGGGCGGGGGTGGGATGGGTGCACAATTTCTACCCTAAATATTTCAACACTCCTTCTAGGTCATGTTGCAAAAAAAGTTATCACAAGTCAAAGTACTCCAGAAATAGTCAAAAAATTGTAAGTGACACTTTATGGACCTAAAAATGAACTTTAAAAAAAAAGAACAATGGCATGCACTGCCGCTTGATGTGCTCTTTCGAACAAAGAAAAAATTCAGGAATTTAGACGAGCCATAACAGAGCAGTTCTGGATGCGTTTTTCACAAACTATAAATCGAGGGAAAACGAAAAAGACTTTCGCAAAAGTTTTTCTACTATTTTATGAATTTTTTGAAGAAACTGACCTACAGTAGTCCATTTTATTTTTGGCTGAGGGTGTGGGTGCACTTCTTCTCTGAAGTCACGCCTACACTCAACACCTACACTTACTCACACCCACAGCCTCAGGTCAAAAATGGGTCTTTGAAAAAATACTTAGAGAGTCCTTGAAAGAGCGAAAGACGGGCTATTTTCCTATTCAGAAATCTCAATTTTCGATTTCCTGAAGAAACTTGGCCTTTTTTGAATGGGGGAGGGGGCTTAACCAAACTTTTGAAAGCTCCTATACGCCCATGAACCGATAAGGATGACTAGTATAAAAACCCATTTTAAAACATCTCATGAATTATTATTGATAACAAAATTTCTAAAGTCATATTTCAAAAAAACTTCCTTAAAAAAAAACTATTCTAAACTCAACTGAATTCCAAACTCGCCTGTCACATCTGAATTTGACAAATCTCATATATGGGTGTGGGGGCTTCTAAGTCACAGCTAGCAACTGAAATACGCAGATCAAAAATTTGCAGATAGTGGTCTCAAATATTTGAGATTCAACTCTCAGTGCAAGTACACCAAAATAGCAAATTCTGTGAAACAGGCGCAAATATATTTTCGAGGACTCAAAAACCCATTGTCACCCATAAACTAATTTCAAGTTTTTCGCAGTTCGAAAATCTTTTCGGTTTCCATTCATGTTACTATCCGAAATTCTTGAATGGTTTTTGAGGTTTAAATCAGTTCCCGTGTCATTCAAAACCGATCTGTGTCGGTTTCCCAGAATACACTACTTTACAGTGTGAGTCATGGACCCAAAACCCCTTTAACGCTTTTCAGTCACTCTGAGCCATGCTCAGCCAAAATATGGGGCTGGAGTATGTCCAACAGTTGGATAAGTTCCTGCACAAGAGAAAACATGACTCACTTTTCGGCGATTGCGACTAAATTTTTGTCATCCATCTTCTTTGCTTTAGCCAGTGGAGAATAGCCTACGACAGTAATATCGTTTTCTCGACAGTACCTCACAATATCTCTATTTTGACACCATGGATGAATTTGAATTTGATTTACCGATGGCTTCTCGAGTCCTAATTTGGCAAGAGCATCCAAATGCTGTATACCAAAATTTGATACTCCTAGGGATCTATGATAGAAATAGTGGTGTTCGAATTGCGCAAATTCTGAAATATTGAATTATTAGTCTTAACGTCAATGCAGAACTGTTGGTGTTATCCCTCTCGGATCAAAAAGCTTGTTAGCGCAGCCCCTTTGGGGCTAAAATGTGGAACTCACATATATCCCTTCGGCTTACTAAAATAATTCAAAACAATTCATCTGAAAAATCTACCCTGATTTCCAAAACCTATAATTAGATCATTCCCTATTTGCGCTTATATCTGTAATTGAGTATTAATTGTTAGCTCGTATATTTAGCAAAAGCAGAGACTGGTTGCTATGGTCTGTAATGGTACCCTAAGCTAGTTACTATGGCCTGTAATGGTACTCTAAGCTAGTTACTATGGTCTGTAATGGTACCATACGCTCGTTACTATGGTCTGTAATGGGCAAACATTGATTTTTTCGTGTAGTCTGTAATTGAAAAAGGAAGAAATAGCAGCCTAATTAGTCAAGCTCCTAATTAGTACAATTTTAAACTCATTAATGTCTGTAATGGGGAGGGGGGTGGGGAGCCGCAAAAATCTCGCCTTTAAACTTGCACTCACCATTTTCTTCGAAAATATATGTGAGTTCCACAAAAGTAGAACACAGTGCAACTGTTGTTGCGAGTGTGGACGTGGATGTGCGTGTGGACGTGGTTGTAGGCGTGCGTGTGTGAGTGAGATTATGGGTGTAGCTGTGGTTGGATAAACACACCCACATCCACATCCTCGCACCCTCAAGTAGAATGTGAATGTTAAGATGATGTACCCAACTATTCAAGAGAGCTTTTGAATGACTTCTTGTCGTCAGGAATGTCTCTTCATAAATTTAAACTAGAGATTGGTGCAATTGTTATGCTTCTTCGCAACCTGAATGTTCATCAAAGTCTATGTAATGGAGTGTAGCTCATTTTACAACGTTTACAAAATCATACAATTGATTGTGAAGTAGCAATTGGATCTAACAAAAAGAAGCCGAGTTCTAATACCAAGAATTACTTTGACGTCGTCTGATCCATTTTTGCCATTTAAGTTGCGTGAACATCAATTTCATATTCGAATCTCATTTGCTATGACAATTAACAAATCACAAGGGCAGACCATTGATATATTATAATTTATTCTACCACAAACAATTTTTAGTCATGGATCACTATATGTTGCGTTTTGCAGAGTTCGCTCTCTAACGTCTATAAAGCTACAAGTCATGAAATACGATAAAAAGAGTGAAAGGCATAAAACTGAAGAAATTGCTTTCAAAGAAATTTTTGTAAATTTTTTGCATCAAAATAAAACGAAAACTATGTGCATAAATTGTTTGGTAGAATGGAGATAAAGATTTTATTTATATGCCTAATAATCCCCGGATCCTTGCGAAAAACTTGCTTTCGATCATAAAAAATCACCGTGCAATAGAAATGGGCTCATGGTAGTTAATTAAATTATTGACACCCTACCTACCTACCTAATCTTTCCCTCTTTCTTTGCGCCCATCAATGCTTGGTAAGCATCACGACAATAGCCATCTTTAGGAGCATGAATCATGTATAGATCAACATAGTGTGACTGGAGGCTAGAAAAGAACATATAGTAAATATAGGGAAAGGGCCAAATACAAACTTTTTTAGACAAAGGTCAAGACTTTTCAAAGCGCCGTTTGCTCCTTCATTTGTCGGCCACCATTTTGAAATGACGAATATTTCTTCACGTTTTTTACCACTCTGCTGAATTCCAATTCCGACACTAATTTCGTTATTGTAGAACTCAGCGGTATCAATCAGCAAATACCCTTGTTTTAGTGCAGCCGCGATCACACCGGAGCCTACAATGAGAGTGAGATTATCAACTACGAATCAGTCTTCCCTCTAAGCGACAAACTCTTTCGAAACCATTCAGAATGTTTGCATATCATTCCAAATAGACGAAACGTTTTTCACGTTATGAGCTGCACGTACAATTATCATCAATTCGGTAGACACCGAGTCCAAACATTGGTATAACAGTACCATCGTTAAGTACTATAGTGGAATCGATAGCTTTAGCTACAGTCATTGCTGCCATAGAATAGAGAGGTTTGAAGAGAATCGCACAATGTTACAGATATGTGTATACTACAATCTTGTTTGAGTGTCAATTTTTTGTGCCGTGGAGTAATATGATGAACGTAAGTTATTTTCTCTCTAAAATTTGTCTCCAACAGAGAAAATGAAACTAAGAAGAACGGAAGAAATTCACTTGTCCTGTTGGATTTGACTTAAAATCATTTCACACTTGTTTGAAACTTTTTGTGGGTGTGGCTGTGCCTGTAGATAGAGAGTACAACCACACCTAAACCTTCAAGGTTTTTGTGAGGCATCTTATCCAAAATGAAATGTTATAAAAATGAGTATCACTTTGTAAGCTTTCAGCAGAGCTATCGGCTGGTAAAATGTTCCAATTTAATCGCTGCTTCTGTAGTATCATGTAAGAACAATGTTCATATGAATACTCTTATAATTGTATACGCATATAGAAATGCGGTGCTACAACTAGTGTGAAAGAAGAATATTTTGATAAAGCCCTGTGTATCATTTGACAGTAGGAAGAATACGTTTTCATGTCATATTAACTCAAGTGAAAAAGCTGTTAGCACAATCGCTGTGTCATTAAAATGTTAAACATGATGAAACTCCTTTTCCGAAACCCTTGTGTCACGGTCTGTGACTATAAGCAGCTTTTCTGCCACTCTCTGTAATCATATATGGAGCATTTCGGTCATGCTTTGTGTGGAGCTGTTAGCGTTAATGTTGGATCATACTAACGCTAAACGATGATTTAGATGCGCTTTCTAGTATAACGGTAGTACATCTGCCCGGATAGCGGAAGGTATGGGTTCGATTCCCATGAAGGTCGTCTTTTTCATCGTTCTGTCACATAACATCAGTGACACTGCTTGTCTCTTTCGTTCTATACATATTAGAGCCTAACAGGAGCTTCTCTGTAATGGCTTGTATTATCATGTGTGGAGTTTCTAAATACCAGCAGAGATCTTGACAGAGACTTCAGAAATCATCACAGATCGTGACAGAGAATTTAGACAGCATTACAGATCGTAGCAGACAAAATAATTAATTAGTTAATTTCTTTGTAACTGTCTGTGGGGGATGGATCTAAATTTCTACCTTATATACTTTGACATTCCTCTTGAATGGTATTTCACAAAAGTTGTATACGAGAAAGAAAAGTTTGTCATAAAAACATGCTGCATTAAGACTAAACGGGATACATGAATATCATATTTTTAGTTGATTTCGTGCAGCTAGCATGAGATCTAACCTAAAACTTCAAGCAATAAACAATCCCAAGCACCTAAATTGACTATTGGGTAAATATAAAACCCTATTTCGAAAGGGGACCAATTTTATACCGCAACGACCAGCCTGCTTTAATCAGATTTTACGCGGATTTTGTTACACGAACAGCGTGTAATTATTTCACGCTGCCTTATGGTATATTAAAGCATCAAGTTTAATCATCTACCGGAAGCATTGCTGTAACTTAAGTAGTATGAGTGAAATGCGCTGCAAAGACAAGTATTTCCGTGGATCAATTTATATGATATGCATTGTATTATTAGTTTACACATGTGGTCATGGTACAAATTTTCTGATTCGATTTGAAAATGGCAAAAGCATAGAATCCGATGTACTATTGATATATGTGTACGCTGAGAGTCACCCATATGCACTGGCTAATCTAAATTATTTTATAGAAACTGCAGTAAGAAATACGGACCCCGTAGATTACTATTTTATACTGCAGCAAACTAATCATAGAAACATAAATGAAAGCAAACTACCAAAATTACCTAACAACGCTCGCTATGTTCACCATGAAAATGAATGTTACGATTACGGCACTGTTGGATGGTTTATATCCCATTTCACCCACGGAAATCCGATGGATAGTAAACCCTTGCCAAAAGATACGAGAAAAATCGATTTAAGGAAATATAAGTATTTTATTTTTTTAAATTCATCAACACGAGGTCCTTTTTTCCCTCCATATTATCTTAACCTGGTTTCTTTGTATGAATCAAGATTGGGCAAAAAATATTTTTGGTATTCAATATTTACGGAACGTATTACTGATACAGTTAAACTTGTAGGCCCTGTTATAAGCTGTGAGGTCTCCACTCATATACAGAGTTATTTCATAACAACAGATTCTATCGGTTTATCAATTGGACTGAAATCTCAAGGTAAACATGGAGTATTTGACTGTCACACAACCCTTGAAGAAACAATAACTTATGCTGAAATTGGTTTCACAAAACGCATACTTGCAGCGGGCTATATGATTGATTGTCTAATGACGAAGTATCAAAATTTGAATTTCAATTCACAGAAAAATCGTAACTGTAACTCTAAAACCAATCCTCACTTGAACAATGGTATCGATGGAATCTCATTGGATCCATATGAGATTGTATTTATCAAATTTACATACAAGCGAAATGATGGAATCGCTGCTGATAGGGCTCTCATTTATCAGAAATGGGTTAGAGAGCTTCAAAATAACACTGCGAAACATTCGAAAAAATAGCTCTTAATGTTAAAGAAAACTTTTCTTTTATGCCTTCTTTTTAATGCGAATGGTTCGTAAAATTTAGAAGCGCTTAAATCAAAATAATGAAAGTGAACGTTTCTTTACTGTTGTGCACTCGATCGGTATATTATAATTGGTTTAAATGCTGATAACAAAAAGCAAATACAAATAGATTTCATTCCACTTCGATTGTTCTTCAGCTATCACTCTGCTGACATAAGACAAAGATCAATCCTGCTGGACGGTTTCCTTCGTGAAATGGAATGCAAAAACATCATTTTCTTCAATCTACTCCTTTTTTCATCTGTTAAGAGAATTTCGAATTCTCTCTCAAAAAAATCATAGTCGACTCAATCCATTGAAAGCCGCAAAAATCGCACCCACAGCTAATTTTTATAGGAAGATTTTCATAGATTAAGCTGTAAGGTGGACAATGCAAAAGCTATAGCTACAAGCGAATAAGTACACATGAAAAAAAAACATGACCGTGTATTTTGTGGACTGTTATAAATTTGGGTGAGGGTATGCTTCGCCTTTCAATGGGAGCATGGATGTATATGTGATACGACTGTATTTGTACGTTTAGCTGAAGCTGATATGATTGTTAAAATAGGTGTTCAAATTTTATTTTGTTTGCTTTAAAAACAGTTACTAGCACAATCCCCGTTGGATTTAAATGCGAAACACAATGGCACTACTTTCTAGAAGCCATGTATAATGACCTCTGGTGGTCTCCTGAACCAACTCTCATGGTTTGAAAGAGTCACCTACTGCGTAAATCCCAGTCTGTGGATGGGAAGCGCGGATTCCTCCTTCATGTACTTTCGTATTCCTTATCGATTGGGCTTCATAAAGCTGATTTATTCACTTATGTAGTGAAGGCGGCGTGAAAATGCTTAAGAGAGAGAGAGAGAGAGAGAGAGAGAGAGTACATGAAGCTACCCAAGCAGGCAAACCTTTGAAAATAACGCGTTAAAGCCAGTTTAAATTTCGTTAAAACGCTGTTTTAACGATTTCTCGAACGCGTTTTAACGCGTTACAATATTTATGAGTTAAAATACGTAGAAACGTTTTTGATTGATGCGTTTTTATGCGTTAATAACTTTAATTTCACGCGATTTAAGACGTTTTTTTCTTAACAGGCTTTATTACGTACAAATTTTACTATTATTTCGTCTACGAGAAGTTTTTGTAGCCAGAAAAAAATAAAATACACGTTTAAAAGTGTGCAGAATTTCCCGCTGTCGTTTTAGTACACTGAGGATGAAATCTATGGAGTGGCCGATTTTTGATCTTATCCTATGTACCCATTGGTAGAAATTAATATTAATCAATAGCAGAATTTTGAATTCTATAGAATTCTCATTTCTACTACAACATAAAATATCAAGGGGGAACAAGCAGCTCCTGGCGGCTCCTGGTGGATTCTAGATTCCACCAGGATCCATTTTGATTAATGAATTTATATCAATATTTTAAACAATTTTTAGTTGCTAAAGAGAACAACGAGACTCGTATATGTCGGATCTATATGACTTTGGTCGAGTTTTGAAAAAATTACGAAAGTGACCATGCATTTTGTTTACAGATCTAAATGGTCTATCTATCGTTTCTTGAATCTAAATGCTTAGAAAAAAACTTACAGACTTTATTGTACACAGAAAGAGAAGAGCTGAAGGATTCATTGTTCGTATTATTCTATGACTGGGAACGTGTTACAATAGTTCTGAAAAAAATATTTAGCCTTTTTGTAATATAGACAATATTCTTGGAAAAAATAATATTATTTTGTTTCTACCGATGACTTTGTCTGTGTATTGATTAATTCTTCATATTAAATTGCAAAGTTCTAACAAGTACATAAATATGACTCGGCTTTACAACGATCGGTTCAAATATATGAACTGACAGCTATGTACAAGTTTTGTTTCGAATATAGTAGGGAGTGCTAGCTATAGCAAAAAGTGAAAAAATACATGAATTATTGCTACTTACAACATAGTTGCCACTACTTACATATTACGTCATCAATATGAAGAGGACAGGAATCTTTCAACAGAGATGATGAAATCATAAATGTTATTATGCAATAATGTATTTGTTAGATCAACAAAGTGCAAGTGACACGATTTTTGGCGTTATAAAGTGTGAAAATTAAAGCAAATAGCCATTAGTTCAAAACCAGTACAGGGCGAAGAAAAAACCTAGCTACTTTCTAGCAAAGATATCATAAATGAGGGGTTTGATTTTTAGGAATATAACGATTGAGATTAACGATTAATTCGATGACAACATGAAAAATCAACGGTGGCTGCCGATAGATTAGCTAGCATTAGCACCGTCTCTTAACAGAAAGACGGAGGGCTGCGCAAATACGGATACAGCTTGTATCGCGATTTTAAATACAAATGAGCCTCTAAACTCTTCCACGATAACCTATTCACTTTGACTAGCTTGTGTCGGCATGTAACGGCTTATAACTCGATACAAGTCGTCACATGCCGTTACATGAGTTCTAGGTTTTTTGGGCGTATATGGGTCGTTACAGTGATGTCCTAACCCGATACTAACCGATACAAGCTATTCAAAGTGAATAGGCAATCGGGGAAAAGTTTGGATACTCATCTGTATTTTAAATCGCGATACACGTTGTATTCGTATTTGCGCATATCTGCAAAGACGTCTAGGCAGTATAAAAAACCGGTCACTATGACAAGCTGCTGACTCATTCACTGAGTTTACCAGTATTAACGATGACGCTTAACAGTGCATCCTCAGTGAGTTTAAGACTCCGTTCCTAGATACCGGAAACATCAACTGGGGGTTACCTTTCTTAGAACGCTAAATTTTGTGCGAACTCTCGTGCTTATGAATCCGATCTAGGCTCCTGTATTTAGGTATAAAATCGAAAGTCAGTCTGAGTTTTGAGTGCTCAGGAGCCCATTATGGGTTCCCGCTCATTGGAATTCAGTAACGCATAGTAACTTGATACAAGCTGTAAGAATAAGCATATGTAAATATCTCTGAATGGTCAAAAATTCGTGAAAAAGAATATTCAATTGGGTTTCTGCTCTTTGGGAACAAAGTCTAATGGAACGGGAGTCCTGACACTACTAGCTATAATCTTATCACCTTGAGTATCGATATTTAAACGTTATAACACCCACACCCTCAAATTCTAACTCATTATGTAATCAGTAATAGAACTGACAATTGAAACTTATTTCCGTTAATTTTATTGTGTTTTTCTTAGTAAACCATGTTTAGCAGCTGTTCCTCATAGATTATACATTTCCTAGGCATGTATTGTAACGATTTCAGGTAGAAGAGATATTTGTGCTGATGGTTTTACGCTTTATTTAACTCTTCAAATCACAAAATCGCCCTGATTACATATAAAGCACACATTTAAATACTCAACCATTTGAGAGAACGAAGGAGAATAAGAGATAAAGATAAACATAAAGGACAGAAAGATAAAGGTAATAGGTACCATGAGAATAAATGACGCCATACTCCCAAACATCACGTATAGATTACACTAGAACGGGAGCATTACACCCTCGGATGGCATTTGGACACTCCGTATATATCGTTACATGGATCGATTCCATATCTGCATGATTGTTGTTGAGTGATTAGAGTTAGAGTAAGATTCAGACTGTTCTAGTCGCTCCTCCTACACGAAGAGCCGTCTTTTTAGTTCATAATCATCAAGAAAAATAGCGATCAACTTCGTTTTGCCATACAATTTTTAATTATTTTGTCAGTCTTTGTATCAAATATTGCATAAAGCATTTGAAAATTACTTTGATGATGTCATTCTGGGAGAGGGAAGGAGGAAATCTCGGGAAAATGACAAGTAACCGCAAAAGACGGAGACGCTCCATAAGAAAATAAAACGTGATAACTGCTAGAATAGAAGATTAATCACCTTTTCTTTCCCTTGTTCGTTGTTATCATATACATTTATTCTGTGATTTCTCTTCTCTTTGATGTGAAGAAGAATGCTCCTTTAACCTCATATGCGTATATGTATATATATGAATGGTTGTCGTCTTGGGGAGAGGTTTTTAGGGACATTAAAAAAAAGAAAGAAAAAAAAACAATTTCGAATGCCAAGTCCTCAATATTATCAAACGAGAATTAAAAGAAAAATTGATAAAACAATTAGTAAACTTTCATCTGATCTACCATCTATACGACGAATGACAGCATCACATTCAGATCAACTAACAACAACAACTGACATGCCACAATCGATCAATAGCAATCAAGAAGATAAAAATGTATCAATTAATGAACAATTTTCAATAATTGATCAACATCGTTCAGTCGAACAATCGCCATCAATGCATCCTTATCAACAAGCATTACCACCAAATGATATGAAAACCATGGTATGTCCATCGTCATTGTTTACAAATACTGAAGAAACACTTTGTTCGTCTGTTTCGTTAATGAACCACGAACAGAAATTAGATGAATTACAATACACATCATTACATCAATTACCATCAACTACAACGTTTGATCAAACTGATCGTTTAAAATTGGAAATTGAACGATTAACAAAAGAATTAGAACTGATGAAATTACAACAATCAAATACAATACGCGTATCTCATTCTGACACATCGGGAGCAACCGTTCAACAACGAACAACAACACAATTACCATATTCGAATGTCACTACGACACCGATTCACATTATAATTAATACTGATCCACTTCAACAAATGAAAGACTTCGTCAAACCGTTTAATGGCAATCCCAGCGATGATATTATTAAATGACTGGACAGTATTGTTCACCATTTTGATATTGCACAAATATCGGGTGATAAAGAAATTCTATATTTTCAATATGCTCCAGCATTCTTGAAGGAATATGCATACAAATGGTGGGCAGATCAAGAGTATTATATATTTAATTGGTCAATATTCAAGCAAGCAGTGGTAACATAATTTGCTGAAAAGAATGAATATTTGATTGCACAACAATTCGATCAACGAAAACAGCAAATAAACGAACCAGTCATCAAGTATTATTATGATATTATCGATTTATATAAGAAATATGATTCACATATGACAGATAAACAAAAAATTCGTAAATTAACAAATGGACTTAAATTATCATTATATCAAGAGGCTATTAAAGAAGCTTATTCAACATCATTTGATTTTTTGACAAAGACACAACAACTGGAAAATATTCAGAAGTTGATCGAATTACGACAAACTCAAACAACTCAAGTATCAACGATAATGAAGAATGATGACAAATTATCATTACCATTACATTCTTATCAATCATCGAGTCAACAACCAAACAATTACACAAGAAGACCAACATATTATTCTTCATCAGCACAAAATGATTATTCAGATACAACACAGCAATCGTTTGCATTACCATCGAATCCGTATCCATCATATGAACACTATGAAGGTAATCAGAATCAACAATATCCAGCATCACAGGTTTCTCAAGTGCAGCAACGGTACAACCAACCACATTCGTTTACACAACATCAAAATTATTCATCAGGAAAATCGGATATTTATTGTTATAATTGTGGTCAACCTGAACATATTGCTCGATATTGTCAACAAGAGACTGCAACTTCATCAGCCGGTCAACAACAAAAATATTCAAAAAAACAATTGCAGGGGTGCCGGATGGTGATTCTTCTGAAACAATAATAAATCCATCACCATTATCATTTATCACAGATCCGGTTAATGGTATTCGATTACAATGTCTTTTATATATAGGAGCTAGTAATACATTTATTCACATGTCAACATTATCGAAAATTCGACATAATCCAATTAAATGAATAAAAGCTAAGTATACATTGGCCGATGGTAATACCACAATGGATATCGATGGAAAATTTGAAATTAATATTCAAATAGGAAATATTCGAACGAGCATTATTGCATTAGTATCAAAATCTTTATCAACATTATATATAATAGGTCGAGATTGGATAAGTAAGTATACAGTCGATATTTGCCAATCAAGTAAATTAATTATCATCTACACAACACGATCATCAGCTACTATATCAATGGATGATAATATGGACGAGCATACTTTTGATCTACGATTAGTTAACAACATAGTATTAAAACCACAACATGAAACAATTGTTCGACTTAAATCATCTATTTCTTCGTCTTCAAACGTGATTTTTCATCCTAATCGTAATATCCAATATCAAAAACTTATTGCTATTCCGAATGCTCTATTATCTATACAAAATTATGAAACGCATGTTACAATTGCTAATCCAACAAATAAAATATGTTGAATACCTATTCATACTAATATTGTTTTTCTTTACCGTACAACCGTTAAATATTCGTTGTTATAGTATCAATTCATGTTTAAACAATGACCAACGGTCATTGAATGAACAACAATCAGAAGATACGCATGATTCGACAGAAGCTACATTTGATCAATTGTTAGATCACATTCAAGATCAAAATCAAAGATACGTAATTCATCAATTGTTAACTAAATATAAGAAGATTTTTGATACATCTATACATTCGATTGCTAAAATTTCTGCTCCACCAATGATTAAAACTGGATTAAATCTGCCAGTCATTCTCGTGTTTATCGTACAAATCCAATTAAACAACAACATATTTCGACAACTATTGATGATATGTTGAAATCTGGACAAATTCAAAAATCATATTCTAGTTGGCCCTCACCGGTAATCTTAGTGAGAAAAAAAGATGGAACTTATAGATTTGTTATCGATTATCGTCAACTAAACAGTATTGCCAAACGAGATAGTTATCCTTTACCACGAATTGAAGAAATATTGAACAGATTGAATGATAAGATTTATTTCTCGAAACTTGATTTAAAAACCGGATACCATCAAATACCGATTCATTCATCCGACAAAGTGAAAACCACGCTTGTTACTTGCAATGGTATATTCCATTTTAATCTAATGCCACAAGGATTAAAAAATGCACCATCTAGCTTCCAGCGTATAATGCATGAATTGTTGGTGAATACAAGATGAGATTTTTGTTTAGTATATATTGACGACGTTACCGTATTTTCTCAAACATTCCATCAACACGTTGCACATTTGAATGAAATTTTTTCGGTTTTATACAATGCCAATCTACAACTTAATCCACAAAAAGATTCTCTTTTTAAAGATGAAATCAATTATTTGGGCCACACAATCAATCAACAAGGAATTCGACCACTTCAAGACAATGTTGAATCAATTATTAAATTACCAACACCAACAACACCAAAACAAGTCCATTCATTCGTTCAAGCTGGCAAGTATTATCGCGACCATATCGAAAATTTTTCAAAGATTGCTGCACCATTATATCCTTACACAAAGAAGAACGCCATTTGGAAAGGTTGGACACCACAAATGGAAAACGCATACAATGAACTCAAACGCCGACTTACAACATCACCAGTATTTCTCAATTTTCCCGATGATAAATCACCACTTGTATTATCAACGGAAGCTTCGGGTTACGGCATGGGCGGTGTTTTACGACAAATAACACCAGAGGGATCAAAGGTAATAAAATATGTTTCGAAAAAATTTAATATAGCATAAAACAATATTCTAAGACCGAAAGAGAATGTTTAGCATTAGTATGGTGCATATGTAAATTGAAATAATATATTTGGGGACGACCCATTCAGATTGAAACTGATCATTGCCCACTTTGTAGTTTTAATAAAAAGAAATTTTAAAATTCGAGAATCGAGAATCGAGCGTTGGCAATTACAATTGTCGGAATACGACATTACAAAAATCACTTATAAACGTGGAAAATGTAATTGTGATGCCGATTTAGTATTACGTTTTCCATATGATGAGGCTGATATTGGCGATGAAGAACATTCCATGCGTGTTCGACATTATACACAACTATCTGATAATCATATAGCTGCTTTACAAATCAATGTCATTACAAGATCAAGAGCGAAACAAATATCAATGAAACTGTCCGTACCATCTCCGTTTACATCTTCACCATCGAACATCATCACAAGATTCAGAACGAAAAAAGTTAATATCTCACCTGATTTCGATACAACACCTGTTCCATCTTCATCAACAACACCTACCATAGTCTTGCCTTCATCGTCATTAATTGATTTTAGTATTGATCGAATTCGAAATGATCAAATGAATGACATTTATATTCAGACAATAATACAAAAGATCAAAGATGATCCTCGAAAATATTTGAACGATGTTGTTGATCAACAAATTTTATATAAATTAGTTACAAGAAATGGTCACACGAAAATTAAATGACCATGGATACCAATGTCAATGGTTCCAGACATTCTATCCGCATACCATGATCATCCACTTAGTGGGCATTTTGGTGTCATTCATACGTATAATTAAATAAAGGATAAGTTTTATTGGGTTAAGATGTAGAGTTCTACCAAACAATATATTCGTTCTTGTACATAATGTGCTCAATTTAATGTACAACGTCGAAAGAAGCCTGGATTATTACAAAAGGAGCCACCATCCGAAGGTGTGTTTGAATTAATGCAGATGGATTTTTGGAAAGCACCTATTCGATATTCTGATGGCAACCAATATGTATTAATAATCATTGATCGATTATCTAAATATGTTTCTGCCCGGGCATTATCATCAGAAAATGCCAGAGACGCTGCCGAGATACTATTTGAAGACATTATATTGAAACATGGTGCAATTCGATTTATACAATCCGGCCAAGGTTCTCATTTCATAAATGAACTATTGTCGGTAATCACACAATTAACTGGTTGTAAACAGGTATTTTCAATTCCGTATCACTCCATGTCGAATGGTCAAGTGGAACGATTTAATTCAATCTTTTGTGATCAAATCAAGAAATATTATCATGATAACATCAATGATTGGGATATCTATTTGCAATCGATTGTTTGGGCATATAATTCGAGTATTCACTCTGTAACTGGTTTTATTTCATATGAATTAGCATTTAATCGTCAACTAATATCACCGTTTGAATTTCCATCATCTGAAATTACAATGTTAAAACCACACGATTGTTGGGGGAAAAGCAAACAAATTCAAGCAAGTGGTCATTCATGCAGCTCAATTCAATATCAAACAACAACAACAACTGAGTAAGTGACGATACGACAAAGGACGAGCCAATCCAATATACTCATTAGATGAAATTGTATGAATAAAAATATTGTCTGGTCGTTCGAAACTAGATCCTCGATATCATGGTCCATTTCGTATTATAAAGAGAATTACTGACGTCAAGTATTTCGTTGAACATACACAAGACCATTATCAAAAAGAAGAATATGTCAACAATTTTATTCCATTTTACGAGCGAAGTTAAAATTGTTCGATACAACACATTATCAACTGAATACGAAAATCGTGAAATTCCATAGTTTACAATATTCAATACAATAATTTTGAAAAAAATTTGACTTACAACATTTCTATTATATTCAATCGATTATACTGGCGTGATCATCCATTGCCAGAAGAATAGCTAGTCAAACATTTTATTGATCTATATATACAAGTGGCAGTTTACTGGTCTATATGTATCAAAGTTTATAATCGACACTCAATGTGAAACAAATTATTTCATTTGGTCAATAGGAAAAAAACAATGCATATCGAACGACATGTTGAATTTTCCGGATACGTTTTCTCTCAACACTTCTATTTATATATCTACTGCTTTTCATAGATATATAAATCACATGATTTCGTTTTATTTTTTGTCGTTATACTCATTAACCGTTTAATCTATTTCGATTTATATTCGATATTTTTTTCTCTCTTCATATTTTTTCTTCGTTATTACATTAGTTTTGTTGTGGTCATGTTTTCTGTCGATAAGCAGATAGAGCGCTCATCCGCCGTGGGAAAGGAGGTGTTAGAATAGATGATTAATCACCTTTTCTTTCCCTTGTTCGTTGTTATCGTATACATTGATTCTGTGATTTCTCTTCTCTTCGATGTGAAGAAGAATGTTCCTTTAGCCTCATATACGTATATGTATATATCTATATGGATGGTTTTCTTCTTGGGGAGAGGTTCTTAGGGACATTTAAAAAAAGCTGTTAGCGCAATTCCTTCGGGATTAAAATGTGAAACACGACGTAACTGTTAATTCTTATCATAAAACAGTAATGTTCTATCTATCTCCGGACACTTTTTTTCATTATACTTTAATACATCACCTATACGGAGAAAATGGAGGCACTCATAGATTTTGTCCATATTGTAACACTCTCTGATGCTTACCTGTACGGAGACAAGATCCATGACAGTCTATGGCGAAGTCCAGATATGTTTGTCCCGGTGTATCAAAGCTATAGTTAGGGGCTTAAATAAACTGTGAGGTACGACACCTTCCTGCTTTGTTTTTTTCTACGGGAAATAAAATGTTACACCACACCACTCCTTTCAGATTTTCAGGCATCGGGGATCCACATCCTCCCTGTCTTAGAGGCGAATCTACCCATGGTCATAACTCCATCTATGTATACTCCCTGCATTCCTAATACCGTGTGTGATGGATCGGAAGCCTGTCTCTCAGGGTCTGCGAAAGGAAATTAACTAATTGGGTCGAATTAGTTAATTAATCGAAATATCGGCGGAAGGAATTTAAATTCCTAGTGTTAGCACTTGAATTCTCCTTCACGTATCCGTAACGGTCTGTGATGGTCTCCGAAGTCGTCTGTCACGGTCTGTGGGGGGAGGGGGTGGTGGGTACAAATTTCTACCTTAAACACTTCAATACTCCTTTCAGGTCGTGTTTCACAAAAGCTGTTAGCGCAATCCCTGTAGGATTAAAATGTGAAACACGATGAAACTTCTTTTCTGGAATTCGTCTATCACGGTCACTGATGATATGTAGAACTTCTGTGTCACGGTCTGTATCATGATGCATGAAGTCTCTAGTAACCATCACAGACCGTTACAGAGAATCCAGACACCATCACAGATCGTTACAGAGAAATTTAATAATAATTAATTAACTATTTATTAATTAATTAATCAATTAGTTGATTAATTGATTTTTCTGTAACGGTCTGTGGGGGATGGGTCCTAATTTCTACCCTATATACTTCAACACTCCTTTCAGATCGTGTTTCGCAAAATAAAGAAAAAGAAACACGTGGCGACAATATCTACCTATAACCTAATATGTGAAAGATCCCTAATAAATTCATCACTCTATCCCATATTCTTATGAAAAAAGATTCAAATTTTATGCTTTTCATGTGATTTACAAGTTATATTTTTAATCTTTCGCTTCATAGCTAAAAGAGTTGTTGGATAACCTTTCACAGGATGTTAATGATTACGAGACTTTATGTTGCGAAGACGAATATCATGCTAAGAAGCTACAATAGAAAACCTTGAAAAGCAGCTTTGCCTAACTGGATAACCCATCATTTTCGACTAAAAAAAGCAAGCGACAGCGATAAGGAGTAGATACTGATCTTCACACATCTTCAAATATCCACCAAGGCCCATAGGAATCCACTGGAATCCAGTAGAATCCAGAAGAATCCACTAGGATCCACAGAACCCACGAGGAGCTACCAGAATCCAAGGAGCCAGGAGCCGCTTTTCCCCCCTTGTAAAATATGTTAATTTATCATAAAACAGACATATTTTAGGAATAAAGAATTATCCTGATATTGAATAAAGAAAGATGTAATATTTTGGATGAACGGGAATTTTTTGAATAAATGCGCATATGAAAATTCCAAAAAAAGAATTTCAAATATATTCAAATCATATAAGGTGCGCGTAAGGCAAAAATCGAGCAGAAAAGAAATCCAGGTCATTTATATATCAATCGATAGAGCCTTCAAAGCTGATTCAGAATATATGCTTTCCAAGTTCCTAGACCTCACTCGAGGAGAAAAAAGTGCGAAATACAAAATTTTTAGAAATCCCTAAAAATTCGGCTTTTTGCTATAAATTTTAGCATTAATACACTTTTAGTTAAATCTTTTTCAGTAAAAGTATCTTATCCTAATAGAACACATAAAACTGCATTATTCAGATGAGTTTGTCGAAATTTCATCAATCCTGTAACCTTTACCTGGTTTAGCAAGACCTTCCTTTGGTTTTGCGAAGACCCTTACCTTGCAAACCTATCTTCTTTTTCTCTGTAAACGCTAAAATAAATCTTTTTATGTCATTCGAGTCGTTGGATGAATAAGAAAAAGCCACGTATGCTTTTAGCTGGGCTTCTTACCATTGTGGAGATAATTCACTTTCCCTGTCTACATTGATAAAAGGCTAAAAACCGGGGGCATATTTCGATAATTTTCCGACAAACGTTTGACTTTTCCCCGTTAAGATGGAGATATTCGGAATCAGCATGTAATACTGCATCAGACAGTCTATACTTCTTCAAAATAAATTTACCATCGAAGTTTACCCTGTACCCCTCCTCAGGTCTGTTTCACAAAATGNCTCGAGTGAGGTCTAGGAACTTGGAAAGCATATATTCTGAATCAGCTTTGAAGGCTCTATCGATTGATATATAAATGACCTGGATTTCTTTTCTGCTCGATTTTTGCATTACGCGCACTTGACATATTTTCAGAAATATTTTTAAAACTTTTTCAAAGATTTTTCCAAATGCATCATTGAAAAAATGTGTAGATGTTTTTTACATATTTGTATGTTGTTTTAAATTTTGTAGAAATTTATGTTAAAATAATAAGAAAAAATTTATGAGAAATATTTTTTTATATATCTAACAGAGTATAAGCATATTTTTTGGATGAATATTAGTTTCAATTTTTCCTGATGAAAGCTCTAAGCAGCTAAAGTTGTTTTAAGTCTTAATTTATCAAACTTCATTTCATTCTCTATGCACCTAATTTTATTCGTTCCGAATAGTATTTTCACTCGAACTTTCAATTGTAAGACTAGCCGAATGAATAATATATTCGACTCTCAATCAGAACATCGCAGGATCTAATCTTGGAGAACGCAGTAAGTTAGGAAAAAATGTCACTATTTGATATCAGTTGCATTAAAGGGAACGCTCTCTCAAGAGAGCGAAGAACGTAACGGAAGAAGAATCCTTGATGACTGGCCAAGTATGATAAACAACAGAAAAAACGCAGAATAACACGTTACAAACGCGTAGAAATGTGCGCTTTTTACGATGTTTTTTTCGTTAAAATTTCGACGCGTTTTTGCACGTTTTTTCTAATAGTTTGTCTGACTGGGTCACACCCACACCCACACCATCGCAGATTCATACCCTCCGATCGATTCTTTTCTTAGAACATTGCATACACTGCGTCGACCCATGATGTAACTCTCGAATATTATTGCCGAATCACGATTTTAATACGATTAAACGCTACCGTCGGATGAAGTTATCGTGGTATTGTGCGTGATGAATGCTACTAGGTGAAATAATTAGCCTTCCAGTATATTGCCAATCAATATCGTAAATAGCAAATGCCTACTGCCAGACGTTGTTCAAAAATTTTCCAACCCCATAAGTATAAAGTGGTAATGGTTTTGTTTCTCATCACTGGACTCCGTATGTTACTAGTGAAATCCACGTATATTTCTATGAGTAATATTTTGCAAACAAGATGGACTGATGGTGCTTTTTCAGAAACGCTGTCTCTTCTCTCACATAAAAGATCAGATTCTATATTACCGATGATCTGTTTCATTACGCGCGTATTTGGCAACCAAATTGGCTATTTGCGCGTGTTAGCACTTTCGTTATATCATAATGAACTTGATAATATTCGTTTGCTGATAGTAAATACAGATAGTAGCACAGATCTAACAGTACTAGCTCAAACAGTACAGCTCATAAACGAGCTTGTGCTTCGCAATGACTATGCTAAGCTTTTAGATTTAGGCATACCTTCCATGAAAAATGATTACGGTTATGAGTTAACCGATCGGGCTCTCGCATACTTATATAGAAAACATGCACGGTCAACCTCGGAATGTGACTATGTTATTTTTACAAATGCCGACAATTTCTATGTTCAAACCTTGGCACGAAAAATTCTACCATACATGAAGACTAAGCTAGATATTATTGCATGGGGATTTGTTTCACATTACAACTATACTCCTTACTCCAAGGAACTCGTCACTTCAGAGAAACAATCAGTGCCAGGGATTGTAGATGATGGCACTGAAAAATGCATAAAAGTGGCACTTCAAAGAGGAGCCGTGGACTTAGGAGCAGTAGCATACAGATTTCAATTTTTGTGGCAGCATAATCTATACTTTCGTAAAAAGAGTGACACTTATGAAGTGGATTCCGATGGAAAATTTGTAGAATTAGCAGCTCGACTAACGCATTCGACGGTACTATTAAGGCAAACACTATTTGTGCATCAATGACCCGCCATTTTCTCCAGCACGAACCAGCAAAACATTCACAAAATATACTTTTGCAAGACGCAAGCGTAGGGTGAAGGTGTGGATGTGGATGTGGGCCAAGGTAGCTGGATCAAAAATATAAAAATCAGAAAATGTTTTCTCAAAACCAGAAAATGATCAGAAGCTACTTAGAAAGTGGCAGTTTTTTTGCAAATTCGTACCTCTTTCGCTAAAATACTGGCATCCAAATTTCTGCTGCAATTCTCTTCACTGACTGGAACTTGATTTTCAAACATATTGAAATAAAGCTGTTAGGGCAATCCCTATGGGATTAAAATGTGAAACACGATGAAACTTCTTTTCTGGAATTCGTCTATCACGGTCACTGATGGTTTGTGGAGCTTCTGTGTCACGGTCTGTATTATGATGTATGAAGTCTCTAGAAAAGATCACAGACTGCTACAGAGAATTCAGAAACCATCACAGACCGTTACAGAGAAATTAATTAATCAACTAATTGGTTAATTAATTAATAATTATTAAATTTCTCTGTAGCGGTCTGTGGGGGGAGGAGGCCGGGGGATGGGTCCAAAATTCTACCCTATATACTTCAACACTCATTTCAGATCGTGTTTCACAAAAAAGAAAGATGATACAGTGAATAGCTCGGCTAGCTGATACGCAAGCATCAATAAAAGATACGAAATGTTGAGTTTCTATTTAAATTTAAAACGCATTCACAAGAACAAACACACCTAAATCACATACATTCTGCGTAGTTTAAGAAATCCAACAAGAAAAAAAAGGTTAAATCTCATGATCTCGGTATTGTTATTCATACTTCGCATCTTTTAGAATTTGTTCTAGGAAGTTTGTTTAAGATAACATATGCTAATAAAAACCTTCTCAGGAATAATTACGAATCACTTTTATTTTAAGTTGAGCATTTTCTGGTTTTATATTATCGGATTGCGATAATCGGACTATAAATGCTTCATATAACCAAAAATCAATTCGACTCCAGAATTTGAACGAGGAATATGAAAGATAATTAATAGAGAAAATTGAGGAAACACGATTGATTTATTATGGTAATGGGTTATCATCAAGAGGGAAAGTCGGATCGCGGAATTGTGGGATCATATTGATCGCCACCGTATCCCGGAAACGAGAATATCATGAAAATAGGCAGGATCAGAAAGTGAAATGACCTAATCTTGCTTTCTTGGATAAAAGCGGCTATGCCAAAACTACACTGAAAAAAATAAAGGTGTTGTACGGAACCTTTAAGGTTTGGTGGCACCTTATTAAACCCTTAGAGTTATGGTATGGACCTGCGAAACCTTTTGTAGGTTTAGTACTAGAAAAAGTTCGGTGCGATCGTTTTATAAGGTTCTGAAGTGACAGAGGTTTCTTACCATACTTTTGTGAAAGTCTAAGCTGAGTCAAGTTTCGTATGGAATCCTTGCACGTTTCGTAATATACCTCTAATAGGTGCCTCCAACTAAAAAATTGAAGTATTTTTCTTTTAAGTTGGCCATCACAATCCTCCCTGATGTACGCTTATCCTTAAAACTATCAATCTCAGCTATCCATTATAGACTTTTTAAATTCAATGTTTATATGAATGTACATTTAGAGCCAATGTCATTGGTTTTTTTGCACATTGCCCAATGGAACTATTTGCCAGGTAATTTCATCTTTTGAATGACAATTTTTATTTTTCTGTTTTAGATTACACAATTCAAACATTTATCTCAAGTTACATTCAATACTCACATTGTTCTTCATATCTTTGAGGTGAACAAATAGGACAATTTTACTTACAACAATTATATTTGTTTCTTCTGCTGTCATATATTACTAGAATTTATATTTGAAGTTATATTTTATATTGAAAGACTTACATTTCTTTCAAGTCATTTCATTCAACATTATTTCAGGTAATTCTACATTTAACACTATAACTATATCGTTGTTTTATATTATTAGATCAAAATATTCGCTTCAGGTTTCATTCAACTTTCAAAAAGCTTCTTTCGTCCAAGGTGTTCACCTTAACAATATTTCAGGTAAATCTATCTATTTGGGATTACTGTATATCCTTCTTTCCTCTATTGTAAATTATTAGATAGAAATACTCTTCTCAAGCTAAATGTAAATCTGGAAACGCTTTGTTTCGTTCAACTTGCAGAACTGAAGAATATTTCAGGTAACTCAGCATTTTACATAATAACTTTCTTTTCTTTGTTGTAGCGTGTTATATATAAACTTTCGCTTCAAGCTAAATTTAACTTCCAAAATTCTTTTCTTCGCACAAATCACTATGCAACCGAGTGGTATTTCAAGTCATTCTACATTGAACAATATAAGCGCTTTTTCATTGTTGTAGATTATTAATTGGAAATATTTACTTATAGCTAGCCTCCGCATATGCTTCTTTCATTCAGATTGCCCAACTAAACAATTTGGCAAATAATTTCAACACGAAAACTACGATCATTTTTTTCTATTGCATGATTATTAAACCGAAGTATTGATATCGATATGGATGTCATATTTTAACTTTGACTCGGTCGGATTATTCAAGTCAATAATCTGGTTATGGTCTAGTGTTTTTAATAGTTGACAAGTCTGACTAATTCATTGAAATATTTTCTATTTGTGCCTTATGTAAAGTCAATGAAGTAAGGTTGCTCGTTTGGTATCCTCCGGCTACATTTTGAACGTCTCATCGTGCCTTCCCTAGAGTCTTAATCTCTGTAGCTAAAATTAGGCAATTAGAAAGAGCATTTTGAACCCGTTCCAAACTGTAATTCTGGGAGAGTCAGCCTTAATTTGGGTGAATCTGAAATAATAGGAATAGTTTGCGATGATACTCATACAACTCTGACATTTTAACTTTGCGTATCGAGTTCTGTAAAGCAGAACTGCCATTATAACGGCCTGTCTGGTCATCGGAAAATATGAAATTCAAGATGACTTGATCTGTTCATATTATCTTGAAGTAGAGTGGTAAACTAACTGAGAACAGCATTACGGATCCCGTTTATTCCTTTTCTGTGTAAGGAATATATTTGATAATATGAGTTTTTGGAGTTTGATGATCGACGTAAAGATTTCTGACGCAAGAAAAGGATAACTTGGGTCAATAGTGCTGCTCTCAACCAAACTCCTATTCTACTTTAGTATAATGTAAAAGGCAAAACAGATTTGAATTTCATATTTTCCGGTGATTTAGTACGCCGGCTTGATGACTGTTCTATCATTAGATTGGTAGTGCGGAAAAAATGGTGAGTGTAAGTTTAAAAGCGAGATTTTTGCGGCTCCCCCNACCCCCTTAGAGATCCCCTTACACAAACCTTAGAGACCCCCCCACCTTACATTACAGATATTAGCAAGCACGCAAAAATTAAATAAGACATTTTTCCCTACCGATCGATTTTCTTGCAGCAAATTTCGCACCACGCATTATGTATGAGTAAATTAGGCGAAAAATCATATGTGGGTTCCACATTTTAGCCCCAAAGGGGCTGCGCTAACAAGCTTTTCCGGTGATTTAGTACACTGGCTTGATGACTGCTCTATTATTAAATTGGTAGTGCGGAACTTAACTCTTTGAGTCCCGGTGGTACATATATGTACCGCCCAGCGAAAATTTCTAATTTTCAAAAATTTTCAAAAATGTTTGTGGTTTTTAAGATCTAGAAGGAATATTTTTAACTAATGTTCGTAGTTAAAACATATTTGTGCGAGATTGTACAGATATCCATATGAATGGGCAAATGTCGAAAAGTGAACTGTGGTATGTCTATTTGATTTCAGGGAGTTTTCTTCAGAAATCTAAATTTTGAAAAATTCGTGTTTTGACTCATTGTGTCGTGATGAAAGAATGTACTAAAATTATGCAATCCTTGAGCGACCTCTATTTTTTCGACTAAACGAATATCATTTATTGGATAATCCCCTTTTCCACTAAACTTGTATTAGGGGTTTAGTTGTTCTCCCTTCTCGTTTATTGAAAATCGAAAAACTAACTATTAAATAAACAACATGTTGTATGCACACATATATATATATCTCCTCCGTTGAGAAGATAACATATATATTTATACATTTATATATATATATATATATATGACGATAGATGTGGCGGGTGACTAGATAGAAGAAGAAAATGAATGACATAATAATATGTGAGGGTAAACCCGTAACAGTCGACCCCCCTCCCTTGAGAAAATGTGTGTCCGCACACATGGTTCAGAAAAACAAATAAACATGTTAACAAAAATATGAGGATAAGCTATACATCTTCCATAAAAACGCAACAACAACGAACAAGTAGAGGAGAAAAAAATAGATTTTTCAACTAATAAATCTGACTGTTCATCAAGAAACAAAAGAAGACGGAAAAGAAGAAAAAGCGAAGATTAAAGAAAAGTTTGACCTATATTTACAAAAGAATAATTTCTTTATTTATCTGGACGTAATTTCGTGCGCATATAATAATAGTGTTTTTTCGTAAATATGCCATTGTGTATTGTTTCGTCAACGTTGTTTTATATTTGCTCGTTCTTTACACCCAAGATTAACGTGCTTCCGAAGACACTAATGTTCACGTAAGGAATATCCATAAATATTAAGATTTTTTTAATATCTGTGATGGTAAATTTATGATAAATGTTCCGAATGATTTCATATTGATATCTTTTAGCTCGATGTTTGCATTTTTTTCGTTGACTTCTTGTTAATGGTTTATGATTTATGTATTGTTGATTTTGATCGTTCATTGCATCTTGTTGAATGCCATCATCAGACATGTTTTCAATTTCGTTTGAAGGTTCATCTCGTACATGACCTCCTTCTTTATCATTATAATTCAATGTTTCTTCATCTAAAATATTTATAGTATCATTTTCTAATGATGCTGCTGATGGATAACATTCTGATGCAAATGCTGTTGTAAATTATTGTGTGATAACAATTGTTCTTGGCACACATAACAGTGATGTTGTTGTTCTTCATGATGTTCTTTTCCACAGATAAAGTCCGTAAATCGGGCCTTCCTCTTTTCACGGAGTAATGAATCACAGAAACCACTCTTGCGAGTGTTGTTCCTCTTATAAATAAATGATTGAAAATGTGTTGATTGATAATTGGCATCTTCTGATGACACCGGTAAAATAATATGATTATTTAATTCAGCCTGATATGACATATTTCGCAGTTGAGTATTCGTTGATAGTGTTCGTTGACGATTAGTTGCGCTAAATTGAAGATTTGAAGGTTGAACGAATGGAGCTGTTGCTAATTCGTGGCGGTTCTGATCAATAAGGGTAATATGCCATTGTAATGACTCAATAATAACATTGTGTTGCATAATCCAGTCGTTTCCAAGTAATATATCAGTATTAAGATTCGTTTCAACATCCGCTATAATCAAAGTTTTATGTCCTGGTATTTTAACTTCAAGTTGAATTTCGCCAATAATATCAATAGACGTACAATTAGCTGATTCGTGTAATTTCTTCTTGTAAATGAATCTTGTGCGGTAAATCTTTTTTAATAATTGTTGATTAATAATGGTGACTGCAGATCCAGTATCGACAATGGCTTCATGTTGTTTATTATTTATTTGAACTGTTATGTATTATTTTCTCTTACATTATTATACTCAGTTATCAGCGAGATAGCAACGTGATGGTATGGTAACAGAACGAACCAAACGATAATCTCCTTCCGATGGAGTCAAACCAGCGTCTTCTGCTTTCCGGGCAGCTGTACTACCACTGTACTAGAAAGGAGCGTGTATTATTCGTTTGTTCCGTCTTACGATCGAAGGGGAACACTTCGGTCGTAACATGAACATTTATATAAGTAGGAGTTTGTAACGTTGATGATGGGTGTGGGTGTGGGTGTGGGTTTCAATAAAGATCAGAAGTCACCCACACCCACACCGACACCCATATTAAAAGCCCCCCTCCCCTCATATTAGAAGCACCCTCAAGAGAGGTCGATATGAAAACGGATTAGAAGCCTGGACTTGTATTTATTGAATAATACAATTTTTTGTCTCTCAAGATAAAATTTCACAGATTTTCGTGAGACTATTTGAACTTATCGCAAAAGAAATAGTCAAGTTTATTGAAATAATGACTCTCTTACAAGGAGAAAACTGCTGAAATTCGATTTTTTTTATTTTCTTGATATAAAACCAATTGATTCAAAATTTGAAAAATAAAAAAGGTAAAAAAACTACCAAAAACTTAAAAGTTATAGAAATCCAAAGTTTTAGAAACTGAAAAATCAGAAAAAACTCTGAAAGATTAGAAAAATCAAACCTTGAAAAAATTACAGAAATAAAAAGATCTATTTCAGCCCAAATTCATATTTTGGACAACAAATGAAAAATTTTTTCACTTAGTTAGATCTACACTGGAAAAAAAAATAGCACCACACGGAACCAAGAAAGTTTCGAATTTTCTCACTGAACTTTAAAATGGTTTCGCAGGCACTACGAAACTTAAAAAGGGTTTCGAGATTTGAAACGA